ATTACTTATCTACCCTTTCTAAAAGTATTATCTCTTTATACAACTTATGCAGTATGCTATATTAGTTAAGGGTATTAAAGAGGAATAAGAAGTTAAGGCATTTATCCCGTTATTAAGAAAAGGCTATATGTGCTAGCTAAAAGCTAAATATAGATAGTATACTTTATTGTTCCTTTTGTAAAACTTTAGGCTTTAATTATAAAACGTTAAATTATTATTTTACAGCTGTAGGGAGATAATATAATAGTAAGTAAAAGCTTGATTTATAAAATAAAACAAAGTAAGAAAGTACTTATTAAGGATGTAGGTATATATTTACTAAGTATATTACTATTGCTATATATGTTTATAATGCTTACTATAACCTTATTTAGCTTAATAAAACTATTTACTTAAATACAATTAAGCTATATATTGTTTAGTATTATAAGGATGCTTTACTTAATAATCTTTTTAGTTATAAAGGTGGCTAGATTATAGGTAATTTAAATAAAATTATTCCTAATACTATGCATAATGCTAGCTAAAATATTCTATTTTTAACTTATATAAATCCTACTTTTAAGTTAGCTATATAGTATTTTAAGGACCTTAAGTTTCTAAATATGTTTATTTATTATTGCTTTTAGTATAAAGTTATAAGCTTTAGTAATAATACTGCAGATAACTATAAGTCTTTTAATATTAGTAAAGGTAGTAATAATAATAGCAATTACAATTATAATTATAATAATAGTAATAATAAGAACGTTTTAAAAAATAATATACTTTATATTACTAAAGAGTATAAGGTGTGTACCCCTTTTAATCCCTATTTAAATTACATTAATACTTATAAGTAGGAATACTTTAAATACTTTACTACTAAAGTAAATACGTAATTAAAAAATATAGTAAATAATTAGGTATATAATGGAAGAAGGCTTTATAATAAGCTGAGCTGCCTTATAGATAAATACTAATATAGCAGTAGGCTTTAGTTGTAAAGTATAAGCTAGTTTGCTAAGCGCTAGTATATAAAATAAGGAAGAAAAACTAGTTTATATTAAAGTATATAAATATATTAATTAATTTATTTTATAATTCTTTATACTTTAGCTTCTTATTTATATATAGCTATATCCTTTATTTATATAAAGCAATGCTAAACTTTAACTTTATTAAACTTAAGTATATTTTTAGGCTTAAAAAGGGTAAGCTTATTGTAATATAGCTTTTTTTATACTTTTATTATAAAGTAAAATAAAAGTGCTTATTTTAATAGTAGAAATATTATAAGTATAATACTAATAGTAGCTATATATATATTGTATGCAATTATTAGAATTTCCTTATAAACAGCACTAATTGCTAAAAGTATATTTAAGTAAAGTAGAAAGTAAAGCTAAAAGTAGTATAGTAGCGCTTTAATAACCCTTTTAAAAGCTGCAATAGCTTATAAAAATATGTAAGCTTATAAAAAATTGTGTTACTAGCTAATATAATATAATAAGTATTTAAGCTTAGTATTATTTATACTTTTTAAAATAAATATTTAATATAGGATTACGTTTTATATATAATAAAAAATAGCTTTAAAGTAGAAAAAGCTATTTATATTATTAATATAAAAATAGTCCTTATAAATATTATAGAAAACTAGCTAAAAAACCCTTTAATTTTTAAGCTAGCTATTGCAAATACTAAAGAAGTAGTCAAACTAAATATAATACTTTAATATAAAAATAAAATAATTTTAAAGCTATATAAAAAAATTTTAAAATAACTTATAGCGTATATATATAGGATTTATAATATTTTAAATATTATATAAAAAACTAAAAATATACTATTAAAAATTGCTAAAAAGGAAATAATTGCTTTTAAGCTTAAAAATAGCTTTATAATTAAGTAATTTATAAATAGTTAAAATTAGTATATGCTAAGGTATATGTTTAGGGATTGCAGCGTGCTAAATATATACTTTTATAGTAATAACTTTCTGTAGATAGTAGGCTATTATAGCTTAGTGAATTTATAAATGCTTTTTTATTTATTTTTTTTAAACTTTTTTTTAAAGTTTATTTACTATTAAGCCTTTATTAATATATAAAAATTACTTTTTGTACTATATTATATTCTTATAGAGGGCAAGACTTTAAAATTAGATATAGGGAAAGGTAAATAGTTTAAAATAAGTAAACTAGTAACTTTTATATAATTAGAGGTTTAATATTTATAAAAGGTTTAAAAGTTAATAGTAAAAGTTTTTAATATTTAGTTATTAGTTAAATAAGAATTTAAGAGTTAAATAATATTTTTATTATTAGCTATTTTTAAAACTTTTAAATTAGTAGGATAAATAATAGCTTTATAGTTAGTTTTATAAAGTTTAGCTGTAACTTAACTTAATATAAAATATTATTTATAGAAAATATTATTATAAACTTAATATACTTAAATAGTACTTCCTTTTATAAATGTATTTAATAGTAATTCCTTTTTTAGAAGGTCCCTCTTTTTTAATTATTTAATATTTATTTTAACTAGAATAGTTATAGGGTTAATTAAATTTAAGTAATTATTAAGTAAGATTTATTTTAATTAATATTTTTAATATATATTAAAATACTTATTATTAAAACCTTTATTTAGGTTTAAGTATAAGCTTTATTTAATTATTTTTAAGCTTAAATATAACTTTTTTGCCCTTCTTTTAATTTAAGCTTAAGTTTACTATTTTTAAATTAAAAATTATATTAGAATTTGCTACTTTTAATTTAAGATAAGGTTTAATCTTATTACTTTTTAAATTAAGGTTAAAATATAAATTTAAGCTTATTATACTTTTTTTAAATTTAGATTTTAGCTTTAAAAGTTTACTTTATTTTATAAAAAGATATATATTTTTAAAACTTTTAAAATAATAAAATAATAAGACTTTTATAAAGAAAATAGTGGGATTGGTTTTTAACTAGTTATTATTTTAAAAAGAAAAAGCGATTTTTAGTATTTTAAAAGGGGTTTTATTATAGCTTAAGGAAAAAAATCTTTTTTAAGAAATTAATTTCTAATTTTAAATTTACTTAAGCTTTTTCTACATTTTTATATTAAATTATTAAAATATAAAATAAAAAGGTTTATAATTAATTCAAGGCTATATTAAAAAGGATTTTAATATAGCTATTTTAAGCTAAAAGAAAGCATAATATAGTTAAAAGGTATATTAATAGGTACTTTTTCTATAATAGAAAAGTCTTTTTATGCATACAATTATAGATTTATGCTGCTTATATATTTATAGGTTTAGAGATAAAAAGGCAGCTTAAAAGCTATAGCTTAGAAGTTACTTTTTTAAGTAAAATTGCTATTCCTTCTATACTATATTTACAGCTGCCTCTTGCCTTTTTTATATTAAGCTATATGTAGTTAGTGTTATTACTTTTTACTTAGACTATAATAAGTTTTTTATATTTATAATAGTTTCCTAGGTAAAGCCTATTATACTTAGTTCTTTGTAAGTTATAAGATTAACCCCTATTAAGTTATAGAAAGATATAGAGGCTTAAGTAATATTATGATAGTATAAGCTAACTAAAAGATAAATAATAGTAATATTTATAATAACTTTTATACCTTTTTAGGCTGAATATTGCACTAAAATATATGTATTGCAAAAAAAACCTAAAAGGTATTGGATATTAGTATTAACTTATAGTATACTTTTTTAAGGTATATAATTATTTATAATAGCCTTTATATAATAAATATTTATTTAAAAAGCGAAATAAAAAGTAAGCTGGGAGTTTAGTTATACAAAGTGCTCTTTTTATACTTTCTGGGTGCTATTAAAAAGGCGGATAAGAAGGATAGTACCTTATAAAATAAGGTGTTTATATTTTTTAAGGAGGCTGGAGCCTAAATTGAGATTTAATATAGCAATTCCTAGTGTAATAGCTCTATATAAGCTGCCTTTAGTGTAGAGGATATAGCTAGTATGCTCTTAAATAATAAAAAAGTAGTAAATATAGTAGATTATATATTCCTTGTTTTAGTTTTGCTTAATATTATTTTGCTAATAATAGTATTCTTTATAGGAGCTTTTAGGTAAGCTAAACGCTTATAGAGCTAATGCTAATACCTTTTACTATTTTTAAGGCTATAAAATACTGCTTTTTTAGCTAAATATTAACTAGCTTATTTAAATATATATATAAGTAAAGTAATTTTCTTATGTATATTAGGTTATAAGTATAACTTAACCTATTAATAGTTTTTTATAAGCTAGTATATTAATAGTAAAGCTATTAAAAAGGTATAATTGTATAAATTATTTAATAGTAATAGTAAATAAATAATATTAATAAAGTATATTTGAATATATATTTAATAGCTTTAAAATTTTAAGGCTATTTATAGCTTAAAAGTAAATAAATTGTATTTATAAGATAAAATTGAATATATTATTAGTTTAAGTATATAATTTTGAAATTAAAGTTATTTAAAAGTTATTTAAAATAGGGGTTAAGTATATTATTTATTAATATATTAAATAACCTTATAAACTTTATAGCTTAATATAAGGTAAATAAATAGCAGTTATAGTTATAGGATATAAGTAAATGCTTTCATTACTAATACATTAAGGAACCTTAATATTAAGGTTATTTTTATAAATAGGCTATAATTTTAAATATAATAGCTAGACTTCTTTTGAGTATTCTAATAAGTGCTTAGTGGGCCTGCCTTACTTAGAGGGCAGGGTTCTTAAAGGTTTGCATATATAAGGGTCGGGGCTTTGTAGTAGGATAAGAATGGTTATGAGGTATTGAGTTGCTTGGAATCGGTAAGTTATAGTATCACCTGGCGATATTGGGCATTGTGTCACTCCCGGTGTACCATCGTTTTGACTGTTATTGAATTGGCGAATCCCATGCCAGTGGATCGAAGTGCTGTGCATCATATATGTAAGCCCAAAGTCTTATTCAGTCTGGCTTCGCAGCGCTGGGTTGACTATCTCCTTACCCATTGTCAGGAAGACCGTTTGTGATATGAACGACGATCTCATCTCCCCAGTTTGCCTCAATAGTCGGCCCAGGGAGAGACCCATTGAAGACCTGCACCGTCGTCTCATAGCCGTCCGGACTTAGAGTGATTTGCTCGGCATTCAACCAATACTCTCTGATCACTCCAGTGGTTGGCCACGTCTCATAGTAGTCGGTGTTGATGTCATATTGGCCCCAGCAGGTTCTATTAATTGCCGAATTTTGGCATAAAGATGTCTCGCTCTGGTTTTGTGTTGACTTGAGATCAGGTAGAGAACTCGGAATGCTCTGCACCAGCTGGAATGAGAAAGCGGCGGTGAAAAGGAATCTCTGAAAGACAGAAGTCATTCTCAGACGGAAACGCTCACTAGACTAACTTCTACATGAACGATGAAGGAATGGAGTGTTGCGTAAGACGCTTTAACGAATGGCTGCGTAAAAGAAAGTGACGACTGAAAAGAACGAGTGACGTTGCAGAATGCAATTAAACTATATTCAGTGTCATGGCTACAACGGTTTCAAAGGCGGGCAGAACGATCAAATATGGTTGGAGTGGGCTCGGGTCTTGACGGCTCAGCCTCGTGGATAATTTCATTTGCCTTTTGCCTCCCGCATCCCGAAATTTGGGTTGTGTCACAGGCTCCAACAGGCGTCATGATACCGTTCATGGAGCACTCTGCAAGGGCAATCGTACGAAAAGTGTGGATTTCGTTTCTAAAAGAAGGCGATGTCGGGGAATTAATGACTCGCAGAATAGGAGAGCAAACGGATTTCCTTATACCTTAAATGTTATCCTTAGACGGCTGGACTACTTTCATGTGAGTAGCTGAGCCCCTTCTACGGTATTCATGGCGTTTTGCAACCATAAAAATGGCTGTGAAACAAGTACCCCAGCTCAGACGCTGTCTATAGTATTAAATCATCCACCACTCATCACGACCAACGTGCTCAGTCCCAGAAGAGACACTGCATAACTTTACCACATGAATTCGACCCTGCCCCACCCCTACATTTTGGTTTCCGGGGTGTTGGTTCGGAGCCGGCTTGCAATTCCTGGGGTAAAGCCCGATTCGTGATTTTGGAGCAACAAGTGTCAGTCCATGTCCCATGTCCCATGTCTTCGGCTCGGCTGGTGCTGAACTAGGCCCCCGTGGTCACTACTTCGGCTCGGCACTCAACGACTCGAAGTGTTTGATCGGTATCGCTTATCGGCAGCAGTCCAGAATGCTGAGTCTCCTTTCTTGATTCCCCAACTAGTACTACAGCTACTCTTTATTATAATACAGTGATCGTCCATAAATCCTCTTTGAACTTGTCAGCTAGAATTCCAGCCCACGAGACTGTGTCAGTGGCTCTTTGAGAGCAGTACTGTTTGTCCAAGTGCTTAGCCATTTTTGAAGAACAGCCCGGCATCATATTCATCAAGTATAGAGAGCGAATGAACTGTCCCGCTATCCAACGTTCCTGGTCCTGTTGTAACGAATAAACTTCGTTCGAATTGCGCTCTCTGACCAACAAGCCGATCAGTTGGGATAGGATACTGACAATGTGCAACGGACCGTGCAGGTTTACGTGGCGGGAGTGATCGAATCTCGAGACGTAATGATCACTCATTGTGTACTCGAGGAACGCTTCATCGCTTGGAGACAGATCATGATAGCTTGGAAATTTGTTGTGGGGGTTTTCCATGTTGGCTAAGATTCCGGAGCGAGTGCAGCTACCGAGGTAGAAAGGAATGCTAAAGCATATAGAGTCGACAAGTTCTTGGACCTGGCGTGTCACATCCCCGGGGTTTATGTCGTTCTGTGTGCTCGAAAGTTCATTCCAAGAAAAATCAAGAAGCGTTATGAGTCGGGACTTGGCTTGTTCGAGGATAAGACGATAAATGCGCCATGTGTTCCAGATATTTACAATCTGCATGCTTGGGTAAATGTCGCACGCTCCATGGTACGTTTCGATGGAGGGGTCAATGCCGTTCCTGCTCTGCATTCTTCTCGGATACCAAAGCGGCGGTATGCTTTTTATCCACCTCTGGAGCCGGACGTCTAACCTTTGAACTCGCTCTCGTAGCTCTCGCAGTCTTGGTGGGCGTGTATGTGGTGCCAATGACGGGCTGCAGAAATCATGTTGGAGACCGGCAATATCGACACCGATAACATCGAGGAGCGAGCTTGGGTTCATGGGCAGAACAGGCATGACGTGAGTCTTGAGCCATTTCAGCTCAGTCGAGGATAGCGTATTGTTGGTTTTAACGGACCGGGAGACTCTAGCGTGCAAGAGGTTGCCCACAAGATATGCATGAAACTTCGAGCCATGGGTGTTATCATCTCGTTGTGACAGCAAAGCAAATGCACCATGTCGATGAGTAGCCATTGCTTTTGCTTGACCGGATACGGCTGATAAAGTATCATGCATCTGTAGCACTAGAGCTGCCAACACAGTTGCGTCGTGTGTCCGTTCTTCAGGATCATTAGTTGCCTGGTGCAGCCGCACAAGAGCCTGACCAAGTGATTGAATGGCCAATGAGTCGGAAACGTTGTTGTGTCCCATAGTTGTCCAGACTTTTAGTGCGACAGCGTTGACTGCGGCGAAGAGAGCCGAGCTGGGCTTTTCGGAGGCGAGGGCAGGGCGGACGAACTCCAAGAAGCCGCGTGTCGATTCCAAGCTGCGACCGACATCGGTGACATAAGTGAGGAAGAAGGAAACAGCGAGATCTTGTGGTGAATGCGACGGGGATAGCGGAATTGTGTTCCTTATAGGAATCATCTTTGCCAACTGCTCATTGCGGTTGCTGACGCGTGTTACTTGAGCTGGCGGTTTCCCCAGGTATCGAACAGTTTCGTCCTTGAATCTCAGTCGAGATCTCGCGTATCCCGCGCATTCGAGCCCAAGGCGGAGACATGCCCTGCAGAATGGCTTTGTTGCGTCACACATAACGCGTCGTTGTCTGCATGTGACGCATCCTTGTGAAGCGCCTCGATTGACCATGATTTCCCACTGCGTCGTCTTATGTCGGGAAGAAACCAAACGAGGGTGATTTTTGCGACGGACGTAGGAGGATGTATTAGCTACCAAGCGACCTTATACCTGAAATACATTGCTCTGTTAAGTCCATATGGGGTAAGCTGACAGGACTCCGGAGGCACCCGCTCTCTATCATAGTTGCGAGCCGTGGGAGCCGCTGACGGCGTTGCGGCTGTGTCTGACGATTATATCCATATAAGGCTAGACTTTGCGACAGCAACAGCGGGTTAGTCACGTTTCCTGATTTTATCAATCCATTCACCTTGGCAGGTTCTATGCTTGCAAGAGACTGACTTGGCATGACATCTACTAGGTATCTGAACCCAACAGTATGCCATATTCGCATCTTTCCCACTTGTTGCAGCTATCAATGCCTGTGTATAAAACCTGAGAACATTTTCCCTCTAGAACCGCGAGTTTATCACAACAATGATTCATTCTTCTCTATCCAACGCCAAGTTCTTATCCCGTCACCATGAAATCATCAATCTGGAGCAAGGCATTCACTGTATTTGCACTTGCTCACGCAAGGTTCGCAAGCGCCAAAGACAATGAGATGCCCATTCTTACCCTCAACGACGACGAGAACTTCAACTTTGACATTCTCACTGGTCTGGGACAAATGGTCAACGACGGTGCAGACGTCAACCCCGTGCTCGAGGTTGCAAAGAAGATCAAGCCCGGCGACCGTGACAGCTACACCAAGGCTTGGTTCGATCTTGCAAACGAGACCAAGGCCAAGGCGTTGGACCCCGAATATGCCTCCAACCTGGTCAACGTTAGGGCTACTTGGTTCTCTGCTTCCAACTACTTTCGCCGGGCAGACGTTTACAACAGGGCCGACTGGGACGACCCGCGCATCAACGATTACTGGGATGAGCAGCGGGCAGCTTTCGATAAAGCTATAGCTGCCTTGCCTGTCCCGGCTGAGCGCGTGGAAATTCCTAGCGATGGTTTCAATGTCTCGGGTATATGGTATTCTCAACTATCCGAGAGCAATCACACTGAACGCCGCCCAACTATCGTCCTTACCCAAGGTTATGATGCTGCCCAGGAGGACTTGTATTCTACCATCGTTGCCCCGGCTCTGGCCCGTGGATACAACGTCTTCTCGTTCGAAGGCCCCGGTCAGCCGACCCCACGGAGAGAACAGGGCGTTGGTTTCATACCTGACTGGGAACGCACTGTCACACCCGTCGTCGACTACCTCCTTTCAGAAAAAGCCGCATTCATTGATCCCAAGCGACTCGTCCTATATGGCCACTCTTTCGGTGGTTATCTCGCCGCTCGAGCCGCTGCTTTTGAACCCCGGTTGTCTGCACTCATGCTTAATGGTGGGGTCTGGGACGCATATCAGGCTTACACTGCATATCTGCCGTCTAACCTCTTCGAGGTTCTCGAGTCTGGTGATAGGGCGGGTTTCGACAAGGCAATGGATGAATTGCAGAGTGATCCGGAAACATCCACGGTTATCAAGTGGGGCCTTCAGCAGGGTTTGTGGGCTTTCAAGATGAAGTCACCTTACGATTTCTTCCAATCATTCAAGAACTACACGCTGAAGGGCGGCATCTCGGATCGTATCAAGATGCCAGTTTGGCTCGCTGATGGAGAGTTCGAAGATCTCATGGCGGGTCAGTCACAGCTCGTCAAGGACGCTTTGGGCGAAAAGGCGGAGCTGCATATGTTCAATGGAACGGCCGGGTTTCACTGCCAGACTGGTGCTCCGCAGGAGTTTGGAAGGGTCATGTTTGCGTGGCTGGGCAAGACTTTGGACAAGTGAAGCCCCTTGTTATCGTAGCAAGTGTTTTCGCCTTTGTTTTCACCGTGTGCGGCATCGAGCTCATGATCCGAGAAAATTGAATCCGTGGAGCAAACACATTGTCTGTTCCTGGGCAGCTCATTCCATTCCTTATAGGCATTGCAACATTAGCACGGCTTATATACATCGTCTATTTAGACGACTTCAAATTACCGCCGCTGATCTGGGGATTCTCAGTAAGTCCATTCATCTCAGTGAGCTCGGATCGCAAGTAAGATTGATTACTTTCAATAGTTTGGGATCGAACCATTAGTGATACCGCAGGGCTTACAAAGTCAAGAGAGTGCATAGTCGCAGCCATGAGCAATGTTCAAGCACTAAGTTCAAAGCCATTTATGGGATCAATACTTACGGTGATCTGAGTTCAACATTTGAATCGAAGAACAAAAGTCTCTTAAATTACATGAAATGATTTAGGTCAATAATTTTCACACTGAGGCTGACGCGCTCATCGATGTTTCCTAAGTGGCAGGCCAGAATAAGCTTATATAAAATATTATAATCAGTAATAATAACAATGAGACAGTAGTCGTAATTACTGCATGCAAATTACACCAGCGCAAAAACCATAATAACTAATCTGTAAATTAGCTATGCAAGCGATATTTAAGAGCCGCACCGTCACAAATACCAAGGTCCGTATAATTCTCCTCTATTAGCAGTCATTTCAGTGTACGATTGCGGCAAAGATGCTGCATAGCCAACGTATTCGACCCCAAGAGAGCTGCGTGTCACAGTCCCCATTGCGGCACAACATGAATATTTGTAAGATTGAGAACGAATAGATGTCGGCGCTACTATGGATGGTAGCTGCCTTGAGAACGGCAAAAGATTCCCGGTATCTACGTCAACGAAGTCATGCACATTTGATGATAACAACACGTGAGCAGTTCGCAGACAAAGAAAACACAAGCCTGTGTCTGAGCATCCCCTTTTCGAGTTTGTCACTAAGTCATAAAAGGAATAGACTCCATGAAGGAAAGAATATTGAGTATTATTTCAACCTTAGTATGGCGTCTTCTTCCTCATGTCTTTTGCGCTTCCCTTTCAACACCGCCTTCACGAAGTAAATGAGTCAGCTTTCGGAGACAGCATCACCCGTCGCTTTGACAGCGATACAGCAGAGGCACCATTCCCGTGTAAAGAAGACTGGATTTCTTATTGCCTAGGTATTTACCGACGGATTTACTACTTACGTATAGGCTACGTTATTCGTTATATCCTGAATACGTTGACCCTTCGAAAACGCCTTTGAGACCGTGCCAATTCCCCATCTGAAATGTATCACCATTCTCAAATCCTCTTTCCTTTGGGGGAAGGTCGGGCGAGGGTGTTGTTCAAGCCTGACTGTATGTATGCATCCGCAGAGTCTCACATTAGTCGAAACGTCCTGAGATCAACTCCCCTCTGCCGCAACGCCGCTATTCCTAACCGCGGGTCATATTCTTGCAAGTCCCCGGTACTTCTATTTCGAAATTTCTTTCCTTCCACCCGTCCCCACTCCAACCCCAAAGGCTCCAGGCGCGGGTCCTCGTCAGTGCTCAGTCCCGTTATTCCATTGCGGTACGACCACGCTGTATGCCCTGCATCGTCGTAATAAAACCATAGACTCCATGGCGACGGCAGAGGACCCAGCAGGGCCTCAGCGGCTCCAAATCCGTGAATGTAACAGCCGCCTACAACTGTGTATCCTACTCCTTTGGGTAGCGGCCGTAGGGCAATTGGTGCGGTGCAGTTCAGAATCGTGACGACGAGATCACCCGGTTCCGCATTGGAAGGGCCGAGCCCAAAGTAGCCGTTCGAAGTTGTAATAAATGAACGGTTCCTAAGGCGGCTTAATCGACGGTGAGCGAGTATCGATTGCCCAGTTTCCTGTGGCTCCACTGTCTCTGTAGATGATGAAAGGTGCTGTATGACTCCGCGCTTGATTTCTTCGACTGATAGACTGATTGCCGAAAAGTTCTCTTTGACCATGTTCCCTACTAGTGACAGTGAAAAGGCTTCGAGAGGCGTCTCGCCTGTTGGGTACTGGCCAGTCAGCAGATCATTAGGTGCCCACTGGCTTAGTGGTTCCAGGGACACGATGGATTCTTCATCCCGTATCATAGAACAACTGGCGGTTTTTACAGTGTCAATAATCGCCCCATGTACCTGAAGAACATTCAAGGTTTCAAGAACCAGGTACTTTTGACTCTGTAGGGATAGTTGCGCTGATGAAACGCCCCCAGATCGGAGCTCCATAGGGAGAGACCAGTCTGGAACCCATGAAGCCATACCAGTAGTGCTAGCATCACTCAAGAAGCAGCTTGCCAAGGCGTCCAGCCTTCCTGTCTCATGCACCATGGCGATGAACGTATCTCTGTAGACTGAAGCCACCGGGAGCGCATAGCTAGACTGCATGTGGCCTATAAACTCGGACGACGCCAGGCCCAGCAGTCCATAGACCTTGTCTCGCGGGTCAACACAAAGGCGGTCGTAGGTGGTGCTCAGAAGGTTGAGGAAAGTGTCACCACGGATGGGCCAAACGAATCTGTAGATCTTGTTGGTGTGTGCCTGCAACGCGCGTGTGGCGGGGACGTTTTTGCCCTGGAGGCAGACGACGGCGGAGCGGAAGTGAGACCAGAGGACTGCATCATGCCCGCATTGTATGACCGAGGCGGGACTTGCAAGTTGGACCTCTTGGGTGACCCAGAGTCGGTAGAACCAGGGCCGGCCGAATAGTTTGATGATAGCTTGCCATGCGCTGTCTTTGTATGGCAACTCGACATGACCATGTATCCACCGGGGGTGAGTGCACCCAGGCCTCGCATTCCGATGGCCGTTGCTCAGACACACGACTTGGGCGCCGATGTTGTCCATGACCGACAGCGCCAAGCTACTGTCATCCGACTCGGGTCCTAGCCAAGCGATAACTCTCTCAGCATATCTATAGATATCACCCATACGGGTCACTTGTATATCTCTTTCCGCTATGTCCTTCTGGTTGATACACACAGCATCAACCCAAAGTACTCTAGCACTGTTGCAATGGCGCAAGTATCTCAGAGCAATACCAAGGTTTTTCTGTATCGCAAGCTCAAATGTGTGTTCAGGGTTCGTTTCGGATATAATCTGTAGATTATGTTCACTCTGACCGGTTCCCCATGTATAAGATAATGCTTCGAAACGAGGTTTGAAAGGTTGTGTTGGTGAACGGAATAGATACTTTTCAGCTGGAATTTTGGGATCCGGATGTTTCCAAGATGTTGTTTCTTCCTTTACGTGACCGAAAAGATAAGGGCCTTCCACTGTTTCCCCTGCCCTCCAGTCCGATGGTAAGGTCTTTCTCAAATTTTCAAGAGACAGCCGTGATTGTGTCATTTCGGCAGGTTTGGTCAGCTGAACGTGGGATATGATTACTCGCAACGGGTCGTCAAAGTTACCGGGGAGCAAAGTGACAAGCCGGATGTCCACCTCTTTGTCTGCCAGTTCTGTGTACTGAAATGGCTCCATAATTGGTAATTCGCAACAAATGCATCAATGAACCTGAAGGGAGCAACAAGGGGAATACAGAAGTTCATCGATGGGACGCGTTACGCTTGACCCACCTGAGGCTGAGGTATGGTGACTTGGTTGCCTCACGGGACTAACATTGCTGACATGCATGGGAGCCTGCAGCTTTTGTGACTTGATGCCCAATGGCATCACAGTGGAAAAGGCCTTAATCCACGGGCCCAAACTGCTTACGTGCTTCGGAGATCTGGACATAATGATTCCATGCCCCATTAGCACTAAATCAAATCGGCTTTGATTCCAACTAATGAGAACAGCAAGGCAGGCGCAGTCTATGAAGAGCTCGAAACGCCCATAAGCAGTGGAAAAGGAAGCCTAAAAAGCGAACAATTTGCAAGGGAAAAAAGTAGAAGGCGAAGGTGTTTGATTTATATTCAGAATGATGCCAATAAGGTCTGTCGGCTGGCTCTGAATTCACACTTGCATTTGACTCCCTTCGAAAGAGACTTGGGAGACAGATATGAAAGTGGCAGCAGATAGGCTCTAGCACAAGAGCAGACTCTAGGCTGGAACAAGCGCGACCTTATCCAACCACCTGAGAATATTTTTTTTTTTTAAAAAAAAAAGAAAATATGACATAAAACAGACCACATTCATCTGTCTCTTTCCTTTTGCACTGCCTGGAGTAGCGTGCAAATATTGACTGGAAGTACACCAATCTAGAGCAGGCGACGGGTGTGGTCTTAGGGACTTGTCAAACATGGCCTATCGAGAAATATTATAAATCAATGGCATTCCAATGGTCCACAAGTGCATGGGTCTTTATGTGAAGAGAAAGATGCATTCTGTGCATAAAAAGGAAAATGGAAAAAAAATCACATTCTCGATGAGTATATGCCCCTGATGAATGTTAGAGGGGTGATCATTGTGCACACTGGAGGTGGAGGAGACTAACCCAGGCTGATTCGAACAACCGATCTTCGCATTACAAGTGCGACGCCTTACCACTTGGCCATAGGGGCATTTAAAATCCTGGGCGGATTTGCAAGCTTAGATCCGCACTAGTCTCACTCTTGGGAAAACATTGTCACACCTGCAACCCCAAGGCGTTTGGATCAAACAGCTTCATTCTTCTGCTATGCCAAGGTCTTGTTAGAATAATTAAGAGTTTCAGAGATACTTACCAACCTAGTTTCTGCATTATGTATGTCCCCAGATGTGTGCCGAACACATGGTTTCTGCCTTTAGGGCCAAGCCTTAGAGCCCGAGATACCTAGGTATGAAGATGCGTCCCTCATTCCTATCAGCAGAGTGATCGCTACAGAAACAGCTATGTCTCCATCGAAATCTCAAGACGTACTCAAGATAGAATGTGGAAAAGGAGCCTTACAAAATGGAGTGAGCCGCCCAGTGTCTACACTTTTGGAAGTGCAACAGTCCGAATGGCCAAGGCCTGGTTGATATCATATCCACTCCATTGTTGCCAGACTTTCTCCGGCGCACCTATAGCGGGGTCTTCCAGTCCATAGACTTCCCTCGACGGAAGGACTTCTGGGTTCAAACTCCAGACTCATGCATGGTTGAGATGGTTCAAATATGGATCTCGCAGCCATGCAGAGCAATTCCAAGCCGCATCACATATTCCAATCTGAGTTGTGACTGTTATGTTCCTTCGAATAACACTATCACAGAGCCCATGACATTTGAGAATGATTCATGTAGTAGAATATCATGCAAATACTGTCATCAGTAGTCTATAATCGCTATTCTAAATGACTCCTGCAGATTTACAACCCAGTCTGGCGACTACATTACAAAAAGAAGAGAAGTCATAAATTTTCTACAAATCGGTTCAACACTATCTTCCCCACCCAGATGCCGGCAGCGCGAGACTACTCATAGACATAGCAAAAAGGGCCAGCGACGGTGCTCATAGCATCTTTAATAGCAATAGGTGGTCCAGCTGCGTAACCGTACTCAAGGGCATCCTCAAATGTCGTATTAGAGCTTTCGGGGGAGTTCATAAAGGTTCGGGTACCCATGAGAGCTGTTCCCCCGTACTGCCGCTCTTGAGGGTTTTGCATCTGCCACAGCCACCAAACTCTGTCGATCATGCCATGGTGAAGATAGAACGCTGGGTCTCCAGGCGACACGAAAACATCTGAACCCCTTGTCAGTAAATGCACTCGAGGAAGTGAGTTTCAGGAACGTACCACGTCCAGGGTCGCCTCCCATCGCATAATGCCCGCCTCCGTGGATACCCAGCGAACCAGACCCAGGAACGCCCTGCATCGCGTACTCGAAGTCGTAGATATTATCATAGTCCAATATGTTGGACAGGACGGCAGTCGCGTTTGCAAAGTTTTGAACCACGTAGTCGGTAAGATCGCGCTTCAGGCAACGAGGGTTGTATGACAGAGGGCCATTCGGGTTGCTTGCCGAAACTCCGCCAGGTTCGTCCAGAGCAGAAGGCCCAAGATTTACCGACATGTTGACAAACGGTCCGGACGTGACGCATCCACCTCCAGTACCGGTAGGCAGGTATATGGGAGGCAGCCCGAGGCTGAGACCCAATACAATGTCGCTGCGATTGGCAATGAACTTTCCATTCCCGGACAGTGATGTCTCGCTACCGTCAAAAATGGGCGAGTCTTCCAGGCCTATCATAGCAGACAATGGCCAGTCCCAATAAGGCTGTGTGCCACTGTATCCGCACTCGGTCCGGAGGGCCTCCTCCCATAGCCAAGTGAAGTAGCGATGCCATGAGAGGAAGTTGCCCGTGAAATGAATGGTCAGAGTCTGATTTATGTGCGCCGCAACGAAGTCGTCGAAGCGAGTTTTTGCGCCAGGTGCCACGGCCTCGGGGGTCAAGGGTGGAGCAGATTGAATGCACTTGACAGCATCGATGTATTCAAGCTTCTCTCCATCATTCAGAGATCCCCTAATAATATGGTCAGCCCACGGTTCTCACCTGCTGATACCCCCGGGAGACTATGGGGATAAGGCAATGCGCAGTTGCTACCCACCACTCCTTTCGAACTCTGATGTTATCAGACGTGCAAGTGCTATTGCCAGCGGTTGAATAGGTATCTGCTAGTAACTTAGACGTCTCAACAGCTGAAGCAGCCAAGGACTGTAGCGAATGATAGTCTATTATTTCATCACTCGACACTGAGCCATTGCTCGTCTTTGTGCTATTCGTGACACCAACCCCACTGCTGAAGTACCCCCGTGACGCAAATGTGTTGGCACTTCTCCGGTCATCGGTGTCAGTATCGACATCATCCATGTATGAATCCCTTGGAATGAATTTGCCCCAAACCGTTGGCGATACGACACCAAGGGCCAGCAAGAGTGACAGATTTTTGGTGTGCATGATGACGGTTGTTGAGCGAACGAGGTGAAGGAAACACAGAGAAACGAGGGACAGCAAGCGTGTGCGCTTGAAGAGGACCTGCAGTCAGAACAAGACCTATCTTTTGACGCTGCAATAGACCACACAGCGAGTATTATACTCAGGTCGCACCGGTGGCTGCCGTAGTGCTTATCCAGAGAGTGGATGCTCTACTGCACTATACTGCGGCCCTAGTGCCACAATCGAACACAAATCACCGAGACAAGACGCTACTAATTGGCACTATGATTCAGTGGGACAACGCGCGCCTCTTGATTGGAATACTGTTGAATCTTTCCTGCGGCTCGATCAATTATTCCGCATCAACCACTCGGGCAAATGCCAGATGCATGAGCACGGCGGCGTGACAGTGAGCTCTCTTTTGGTTGGACGCCACAGCAGATTACTCAAATTACTGGGTGGAGGTGGAATTCATGAGATTCGCTGACCTAAGGGCCGCAGTGATCCGCCATGCAAAGCCCTACATGGTGTGAAGGATGAATCATAGCAGTATGCTGGTACTGCTAAGCAGTGGACGTCCCGTAGTATCATTTGATCCAAATCACTGTTCCACTTTCCTCAATTCGTGTCCCTACGGCATGCGCCCGAAGCTGGCGTAGACGATGGCATGGTGAGTGTTGCGACTCCTAGTCAGGACCCTAGCCCGCTATCATCCAAAACTGAAGATTTTCCAACAATCAAGGGCAAACAAACCCTGAACCTCGGTACGTTTCGGCAAGGCTATGCACTTCTTAAGCATTGGCAACCTTCGTCATTGCTGACTCGCAGCTGGCCGCGCTTGAATTCTCCGAGTCGATGAAGAACTGGCCCGCCGAGCCGGTCGGTCTTGGCTCCAGTTTTGGTAATATACACGAGGCGGTCCAAGATTATGGTGCCCGCGCCATGAAGGCTGACTCAAAGCATGTTCTTCCACAGCGATGCACCCCTTTCAGCCTTTCCTGCCCTTCCTTGAGAACAGATGACTGTGTCTTTTCAATTCACCATCATCGTATAGCTATCAGTAAATACAAGATACACATCAGCGTTAACCATCTGGTCTTGTTACCAACTGAGCCACTTGCGACCTTATCTACTTACCGATTGATCTGACTCGCCAAGCATAACAAGGCACAATAAACTAGACTGCTTTGCAATAAGCCAATCCGGAATCTGGGGAGCATATCTTGGACTACGGCAATCATGTCTGAGAACAACAATGAGTTTTCACTGATGCTGTATTTGAGTATCATGACAGACATTGGGTTTTTGGTAGGACGTCCATCAAGAGTCCCATAATAATGCTAAGCAAAACGTTGTCAACTCAGTTTGCAGCCTGACTCCAGCGCCGCCCTGCTTGACGCAGATTTGTTGATAATCAATGTCTCCTTCGCCATTGTAGTGGCAGAGATCACTAGGAACTTGCACAGCATTATTACTGGGTCTCTTTGTCTTTAAGAAGTGCAATAATCGTCACGCACAGCTCATCCCCTGATCAGGGACAAGATCGAAGGCTGATCGATCAACCGAGCAATTGAGTTTACTGATTTGCAGGACCGGTGCAGATCCGCTTCGCGCCGCCAGGAGCTCCCGGTTCGGGGATGGTCGACAGCCTGTGAGCAAGCAGGGTTATCTTCATTGCGACCAATGCACAATTTCCCAGCAGACTTGAAGAACAAAGTCACATCCGGTTACACCCTTTCATTTTGACATGATGACGGCCTATAGTTTTGCATCCCGATGGTCTCTTAATAAATTAGCCTTGCGTGCACTGTGCTTTGCAGAGTCAGCCGTGAGGTATCTGACATTCTTTCGAGGCTGCCGCATGCGATCGTGACAGGGGCGAGGACCAAGCTTTCCAGCTTCGAGCTAGATTTACAGGAATATATTGACCACTGGCATGTGTCTGGTTCAACAATCCGATGTCCTATCATCGACCTCAAATAGACTTTCTGGTCCCCCGTTAAAAAGTGCGCAATCCTTTCCGCTGAACAATTTTAGGCTTCTAAGATACGACGTGTTCACCACTCCCACTTCTGATCTCGTTGTTTCTCGCAAATTGTCACCTGGCGCAAAGCCACTCTGCCATTCAAACTCGCCTACAAACTGTTGTGGAATTGATGGGACGCAGAGGGCAGAGGGCCTCCGCTCGAGCTGTCTCGTATCTTCATGATATTTCAATCCCGGAACAACACTCTTCATTCGGAAGACTGCAACGCAAGCTGGCGAATTGGCATTTCCAGCTTGGCTCGCATTCGTATGACAGCTCCACGCCTCCTAGATCAAATCGGACCCCGGATGGCGATTCATACAATCACCGCAAAGAGACTGTGCAGATTCCAAATGGTACGGCTGATCAGATGCCAGGATGCTTTTCCATTCGGCTTGTGGGGCTTAATAAGGGTCGTCCGATGAACGCCTCACGTCTGCACTGGCGTATCTGGCGCCTAATACCGGATGGCGCATGCGCTGACTCGTCTGATCGTTGCATCCCCGGAGTTGATCTTGACTGGTCCGGCTTGCGTGGAAATCTTGCTGTGTGCAAGCTTCGTTGTCATCACAATCGCGAAGGCTTTGCGTTGGAGTCGAGCTCTGATTCGCCGCCAAGTAAGTGCCGTTGATCACGTAGCAACAACCCAATTCAAAGTTGTGTATGCCTTGACAGTTGTACTAGTCTAAGGTTTTCTCCTCTTGATTGTAGGTGGGTCTATTCCAACTTGACTTTTGTCACAAACAAGGTTACAGGTGCCCCAGAATACCCGAGTAGATCCGGCTGCGCGCTCCGCAAAGGGGCTACTGACACGGTACACCTAAAATTGGCCTTTTCCGGTGAGCATTGTGGAGTAGCGCAAAGACCTCTAAAGGTACAGTCACAGCTGCCCAATGACGAGTCCTAAGACATGCGACTTTGTTCTGGCAAGTATGAGATATCTCAAGGGTCTCCCATTAAATCTTTCGCCTCTACTCCATATCGAGGCGCCCACATCCAAACAGCCTCACGGCGCCCTTTTAGATCATTCCTTGAGCCGAGCCGAGTCTAGCGAGGAGGGCAAACATGTCTTCCCCAACGAAGCTGATATCAGATCCCACAGAGAACAAGGGCCCGATTTTGATGGGAGTTGCTGTGTCATTCACAAGCTTGGCCACAGTAATCGTTGCCATAAGGCTCTGGGTCAGAGCCACGATGGTTGGTAAAGTTGGATGGGATGTTAGTAAAGCATATAGCCGCATTATCCAGATGACTTCGCTGACTGGCTGGCCATAGGACTGGGTAATTTGTCTGACGACGATGATATCCATCGTAGGAATGGGGGAAGTCAGTAAGTATTCGACAATATTTGCTTGTAATCTTGGGGATGTGCTAGTCATCTAACAAACTTGCAGTTGCTCAAGTCCAGTACGGGGCGGGACGACACAATGGTGATATCCCGCCAGAAGACCTACCCATGGGTCTTATGGTTAATTACATGAGCCAGCTTACGTACCTGTATGGCATCTGCTTCTGTAAACTAGCCGTCGGTGCGTCACTGCTTCGTATAGCTTCCACTAAATTCTGGAAGCACTTGGTGCTTGGCGTGATGATTTTCGTCTTCGCTTATACGACCGCCGGCTTTGTTGTAAGTGGAATTCGAAACTTATTCGAGCTTCTCCCGAAACCTTGTCCGATGGCGAGCAAATCGTTCAACTGTCGATTCTGACTTTGAGCAGACCCTCTTGGTTCAATGCACCGACATCCGCATCTTGTGGGATTACTCAACAAAGGCTACGTGCTGGGGACCAAGTACCCTGATGGCACTATCATATACCAACTTCTCTCTCAACATTATCACCGACTTAGTTTTCGCTGTTTTCATTCCGGTCCCGATGCTCTGGAATATAAATGTCAACCGCCGCACGCGCATATCTCTATTCGGTGTTCTCGGCCTCGGTTGTTTTGCTTGCGCCTGTGCCATCATTCGTTTCACGTACGTGAGCACTTACGGAAAGTTAGGCGATTGGCTTTGGGACTCGCAGTACCTGAGCACCTGGAGTGTTCTCGAAATGAATGTAGGCATTATCGCTGCAAGCTTACCGAGCCTGAGGCCTCTGTTCAAGAAGTTCCTTGGCAGTATGTATGGCGCCGGCACCAAGGCCAAGGCTTATTATGCCGGAGGATCATTGAATCGGACCAAGAAGAACTGGCAGAACCTGTCTGGAAGGAATCTAGATGAGCGGAATGGCGGCTATGCCCGGCCGATTGGGATCAAGGAAGCATTCGACGACGCGAGCAGCCAAAGCGCCCTGCACGGATCGAGCGTGGATTGCATCACCAAGGAGTCTTTTGAGCTGGTCTCTTACGCACCTGTCCGAGATTCTGTGAGAATCAGCAAGAAGCCGAGTGTGTCAACCCGGGTTGAGGCCAAGAGGAGTTTCGAAGACGGTGTCAAAACGCCGACGGATGTACCTTCCAAAGGAATCACGAAGACCACAAGTACGACAGTGACATACCAAATTCAGGGGACAAGGTTTACCTAGTTGCGGGAAAATTCTATTGTTGGCGTAGGGAGGGATCGCGTGGTGTCCGGAGCTTTTGCTTTTGTGGAAATACATATTTCGACCAGATTCCAGACAATTGCTCTTATGTCTCAAGGATAAAATTGCACGTGTACATATCTCAGATAGTAAAAGCAAAACCGAGTTTACCAGACTACTTGAAAAGCTACTCTATGCACATTGCACATTCGCCTGTTTCTCCCTGCTCACAATACTGACAACTCGGAACACCCTGTTCCGATTCCAAGAAACTCACTATCCGAACCCGAAAATGGAGGTAACTAACTACCAAGGACGCAATCTTGGTTCATCAATGAATATGAAGGACAGCTCCTTCGCGCCTTGAAAAATGACATCCCTGTAGCTTGCAGGCTTTTTAACGATTACTAAGTAGTGAAATGCATTGCAAGAAAATTGCTCGAATTTTCTCTCCCACCGGAAGCATCCACATCAAATGCACTCTCTAAACGGCAGGAAACTCGGGTTCCCGGCAAACACATATCCTGCGGAATGCGAGAAACAACGGGGAGTGATTCTTCTTCCGAATTCAATTTCAAGATTTTTAGAGGGCACTCAGATCTTTGGATTTGACATGAAGCTCCCAGCACGGCTCTCGCTTGAAAGAAGTGTCGACATGCTGTCCATGAAGCGATTCAGTCACCAGAAGCTGCTTTATTAGAAATAGAACAACTTCTTCACTTTAGAAAGGATCTTGATGGTATCTTCTGATATGCTGAGATTGTATGAGGATGATAGAGCTTCCTGATATCTTGCTCGCTGACCCAATTTGCCCGCGGCGATGTTGGCTTTAAGTGAAGTCTAGTAATTTATACGTGGAAGGCACTGGAAAGAAAGAAGGCAATCTTCTAATCACAACGGATCGAAATCGGACTTCAATATCAGGTAGTGATTCTGGAGACGACGCCCTTTTCCCTTCCTCAGATTCGCTTGTCTTTCTTGGAAAGAAATACAAAAGAACACGAATCCTCTGAGGCGAACTTTCTGACCGATAGCGCTGAGCGGATAAAATTGTACATCAGATGAAGACTGAACATAACCCGACTAGTTTGCGCCTGACCTGCTTCGCAAGCCAGGCTTTTCTTATGTTCAGGTCTGGCCTGGAACTGGAGATTGAGCTCGAAGCTTTTCTATCCCCAACCCCTCCCCCCAAAAGTGGCCACAGCTACAGCAGCAACTTTGCAATTCGTCACAGGCACCAAGAAAAGACAAGCCACCATAGTTCGCGAACAGAAACCGTTGGGCTCCGCCAGCAACCATATCAAGATGAATGTCGACGCCACGGAGCTTCCGAGCTCTCCTGTTCATGCAAAGCAACCGACTTTCGACAAAAACAATCATCAAGAGATTTCTGCCTGCCGAGTTGAAGGGCGACTGAGTCACCTGCGAATCGAAGACGAGCAGCCTGATACCGTGCATGATGCCATGGAAGGCCAACAGCCAAGCGCAGTCTTCCAAGTGGCGGCCGACGGTGGATGCGAGGCCGAGAACATACATGTGAACCGGGGCCCAAACAACACGATCGACCTTTTCGGCGGCATCCAGCATTCTGAGCTCAACTGTGCCTCAAGCGACGGTGAAAGTGAGGACTACGGAAGTGAGGGTGGCGAAAGTGATGACGAGATGCAGGACTCTAATGACGGAGGCGAGCTTCCCATACAAGGCGCTATCGACATTGAGGGCGACGACCAGGATGGAAACGAGGCCGCGATCAACAATTTTTCAACTGTCAACACAGCAGAGGAAATTCGGCAGCCTTCGGACGATCCTCACGAATGGATCAAAGTCGCATCGCATGCCGACTCCTACATCGACCTGGATGATGAGGAGAGGGGTATCTTCGTTGACTTCGACGAAGAGCCTGATGTGGAGGACGACGAGGAGATGTTGACACATGAGCAAGACAATGAAATGGAGGAAGATGTCGGTGTTGGCTTCGGTTCGATGAATGCCATTGCCTATCCTGACACAAGCAGCATTATCCGGTTGCACCTTGACTCACAGAACAAACAATCCTTTGCGACACTCAACGAGCTACTTTCTTGCAATAACGCCCCGGGCCGTGGACTCTACAGTGTCGAGAAAGTGCTCGAGCACGAAGAAGGAAGAGTTGCTGAACTGGAGGAGCAGATGAGGTACATCGAAGCCGAGCTTCAAGAAGTCATAGGGCGTAAGAACAAAGCGAGCAACATCGTCGAGATCGCATGCGCAACCTTCACAAAAGCTCGTGCTGCAGCTGGAATCTCCGAAAGGCTTTGGGAGGAGTACGAGGCGTTCTGCGAGTCGCTGGAGCCGAAGTTTGGCAGCCGAGGAGGCTGGTCTGTGACCTGCTTCGAGAACCACAGCGGCTCCTACGTCCAGTGGGACCCCGACCTCAACCTCTTTGTCGAGTCGGCCGAGATGCCACTGGGAAGCTGCAACTTCCGTTGTGAAGCCGGCACAGTCAAGAGTATGGGGAAGACGGAGTATGTGGTGGAGTTCTGGCCTGTTGCCAATCCTGAGCCTCGCATGCAGACTGCGACGACCTGGGAGGATCAATATGTGAGTTTAATCTGCGCAGTGTTTGCTTGATCCACAACTGACTGTTATCACATGTGCAGCCTGACCTCTACAAACTCGCATTCAAGGCCGCGGGCGACAAGTCTCGGGACAATACCATTGCCAAGGAACTGCTTCAGTCACTGCCTACCCATAACCTTCCGTTCTCTGGTGGATGGCTCTTTGAGTACGCATCGGAGCCCAGCCGGACCCGACACCCCGTCATGTCGCGGCGGTGGTCCTACCGGACCGCCTGCAGAATTCACGTTGATGGACGTCAAGACCAGGCCGGCATTGAGGTCAAGACGGAATTCGGAGACCAGGATGTGAAGATGGAGGACGATTGGTGAGGGCAGTGAGCTGAGCTGGGGAGTCACAGCATTGAGAGTGTTGCGCAGAGGCCTGGATAATAATGCAATCTGAAGTTTGGCTTCTCAGCATGGATAAGGCAGAAAGTTCGAAGAGACAACTTTGACGGCGTTTGTATGCCTCAATATTTGAGAGCTCTCAATCATGACTACAGATCTCGTGTGAGGGGGGAAGGGAGGAGGGTCCGGCTGTGCTATTTTCTTGAGCCGCCTAATCAGAGTTTCGATTACTCCAACAGTGGTCGATGACAAATTTGCGATACCAAAAACGAGAGGCTTTAGCACAGCCCTCTGAATCATTATGACTCAACAGGGAACTCCTCTCGAGCTGTCCTTTAAGTGATGATGTATGAAAGAACTGCCAAGAACAATATCTTTATACAAGATGCTGACCTTTGGTCCCAGGGACAGAGAACAAAGTGACAGGGAAATCACAAGATACATGGTGAGAACGAGGCTTTATGTATGCTGAGACAACTCTTTCGTCTCGAAGTCAAATCGCTTCCTTTACCTAGAGCTTGATCTAACCTATGTAACATTGGGTGCGTACCGCGGCACTGCTCACGTCTTTCTAGTGGAGACTTTGCCTCCGTTTCTCATGCGGTGTACAACTGACATGTCTCGGCAGAATGGTTTTCTTTATTGATGCATTTCCACTAAACGTATGTCATCTGCCAGGGGTTTCGGCTAGTGCCCAACAAGCTTCCCCCAACAGTGACTCTTTGGCCGGCTCAGCCCGCACAGACGGAGTAGCTTCGTATAGCACAGCCACCATGCCTCCAGACCTGGACTCACCTCACCTCACCACACCTCATCCGTCTCATCCGAGACCTGATCCATCGATGAGTTCCACAGTAGACGCACATTTCTAAGCACACTTGCGCAAAAGCATGAACGCGCCACCCCTTCCACCTCGGCCCCAAGGTTTCCACCGGCCGCTCTGGCAGCCGGCGGTCAACACCTCCTGGAACTACGTGCTGCACCATAAGGTGCACCTCGACCACACCATCGAGCACCAGCAGGTCTGGATCATCGACCTGTTCGACAACACCGCGGCGGAGGTGGCGGCGCTGCACCAGCGCGGCCGCAAGGTCGTCGCCTACTTCTCGGCCGGCACCTACGAGAACTGGCGGCCCGACGCGGCGCGTTTCCAGCCGGCGGACCTGGGCCGCAAGATGGACGACTGGGAGGGCGAGAAGTGGCTGCAGACCAACTCGGCCAACGTGCGCCAGATCATGCAGGCGCGGATGGACCTGGCCGTGCAGAAGGGCTTCGACGGGGTCGACCCGGATAACATCGATGGCTACGACAACAAGAACGGGCTGAAGCTGTCCAAGGGCGATGCTGTGGATTATGTGCTCTGGCTCGCGGGTGAGGCGCACGCGAGGGGCCTGTCGGTCGGGCTGAAGAATGGTGGCGACATTGTGCCTCGTGTTGTTGACCAGATGCAGTGGTGTGTGAACGAGCAGGCGGTGCAGTATGATGATGAGGAGCAGTTTCTGCCCTTTGTGAGGCAGGGCAAGCCCGTCTTTCACGTAGAGTATCCCAAAGGGGAGGATCCTGATAGTGACAAACAAAATGACCGCAAGGAAGTGACCGGGAAGAAGAGGGACAAATGTATGAGGGGGAAGCAACATGGGTTTTCGACTATCATCAAGAATGTCAGGCTTGATCAGTGGATTCAGACATCTTGATGAGGATTAAAATTCCTATGATTAGGTACTTCTTCCTACAGTATAGGTCTTCAAAGTATTTAGATGGAGCCTTGGATCTTCAGCAGCTGTATGTAGCTACAGAATATGGGGCTCGAAAAAGAAGGGTGGATGGGTGGAGACAGTCAATAATATTTTCTCAAGCTAGAATGTCGCAAAAGCTAGTAATGCCGAGTGTGGTATGTGTGATAAACTGTTTAAAGCAGTCTCCCTTCCTTTTGCAAAAGCCATATGCTTCTCTATGCAACCCTGGACCAGCCAGTGCCGGAGTGCTGTAGTTCCTGTGGCATAGACAAAGTCGAATCTGTTGTCTTGATCCTGGTCTCTGTGGTTCCTAGCTGTTCTTGTTCTGCGGCCCTGAAGAGAATGCTAGCAGTGTCAGCAGAAGGGAGCAGATCAGTTGTCTTGAGATCGCTGTTCGTGAGTTGTTTCGTTGAAATCGCCATCGTGTTCAGTCTCGTCTTGATGCTCAATAAGAATTTGACCCCGGTGCGTGGGTTTCTAGTGTTGCAGTAATTTGATATCTGCTACGCTTGTCAGTTGTGCTGGATGAAGAAGCGTACGTGAGAGAATAGCAGGACCATGATTAACAAAATGTGAGCAACAATTGGAAGAAGGATCCATATTGAGCAACATAAACATATATTCGTTGCTATAGACGGCGACGCTGGGGGTTTATTGAAATTACCCACCATCCCTCCCTGATGATTCCAGCCTCCTTTGGGACTCAATGCCCAAGCAAGCAAAATGTCTACAGAAAACCCCCTTTCTTGATTCGTGCCGCTGATATGATTTGTTTCGTAAATGTTCCTTTCGTTCGTGCAATGCGAAGGCAGTTCTTAACCTTCGTTCTCTACCGATACTCGCGACAGCTCCTGCATGACCTGGCGCATAGTGATCCTCTGCTTCGGGTTCAAGACCAACATCGCCGCGACGAGTCTTTCCACCTTGTTGTTTGGATCTAGGCCCATCTTCGCTTCGTGGACGTCATTAAGCCAGACCTGCATTTTTTGAGCAGCAGTGCGTCCGTCGAAGTTCGGGAGTTGTCGCTGTTGTTGCGGTGGTGTGTTGATATATGCAATCATCCAGTAAAGGTGACGTGGGTGATTCTTCTGGCCTCGAGCATCTGGCAGACCGATCTTGCCGAGGACGTACAGCATTGTTACGCCCAATGCCCACACATCCGCAGGCTGTCCGCGGAGCTTCTGTCCGATAAATTCGGGGCAGATGTAGAAAGGCGTACCACCTATTCTCTCCTGGTTTGCATGAACATCGGTGATCATGCCGTAGTCGCAAAGAACAGCCCCGCGCTCCCTGTTGAAGAGGATGTTTCCTGGCTTGATATCGTTGTGGACCATGTTTCGGCTGTGCATGTAGTCTAGCGCACCTGCAACATCACGGAGAACACGCTCAGAATCTTGTGGATTACCGAGAAAGAAGGTGCTCTGAGGATCTTGCCAGCTGCCTCTTGCTGAAAGATCCCTAGCGTCAATGTACTCCATGTACAATGATAGATATCTCGCATCGCCCCCGAATAAGCGGGGAATCGACTTGTGGTCCAAGACTTCATGGTTGAGAAACTCGCGGAGCCAGATGTCTGCTTGCCGGATGACATTCCGCTCAGCATCCTGTGGCTTTGCTGCGGCCAGAGCTTTTTGAGCCAGACGGGTTTTGAGGACCTTGACGGTGATAATGCTGTCGGGTTCCCGGGAAAACTCGGCCATGGCGACAGCACTCAGGCTTGTCGATGCTATGGGGCCGATCTTCTTGATTGTATACTGGTCAACATCAACCTCGGCACCAGGTATCTCAGCAACTTCGCCATCCTCAAGCTCCAGCAGAGGGTTGCCATTGGTGGTAATGAGTTCCTTCCCCTTGTCTCCCGAGGGAAGAGGGAAGACGAGTGGGTTCGTGGCGCTTCCTGGTCTCATAAACATCACCACGCCATCATCACTTCGTGCATCACTTCGGGTCATGGAATCATCCGCGCGGAGTCTCTTATCGGGAGTGGAAGATGCAGTGTCCTCGGCGGTCAGCGTTCGCTTTCCTGATGAATTGAGCAAGTCGCTGAGGGATTCAGTGGATGCTGATAAGCTCAGCGACGACCTGAGGATTGCGGGGCGCTTTTCAACGATCCTGAAATCAAGGACATTGATGTTTCTGACCTTGATCCTCCATGTGCCTGGGATCAGAGCCTTGGTGGTGTGCGGATTGATGGTGTATTCGATGCTCGGGCTGGCAGCTGGCAGCTGAGACACCCTAGATAACAACAAAGGAATGCCGGAACGATTGAGAAATATTTGATTGTCGCTGGCTGGGTCGTAGTAGAGCTCACACCACAGAGGAGGTCTTGTGTCGTTTTCCAGCTTCTCGCCAGGGATACGTACGGAGAATTTGATGTCTCTGCTCGTTTGTGTGACCGCGAGGACCTTCTGTTCGGGCTGTTTGGGTTCCGCAACTTCGGCTGTCAACTGTAACCACTCACAGCTATCGAGATTGCCAGGGCTCACAGATCGTGCCCGAGTTAGAGGTCGTACGAGGATGCGAATGTCTCTATCCTGGGGAACAGCCAAGTCGTCGAGGTGGACAGCATGGTTCTCGGCCGCGATCGCCTCATTGATCTCCTTCTGCTCCTGGAAGCTTCTAAGGCGGGCATCGATCTCGCTCTGGGAGTACGGCTCAGTCTTCTCCTCGGTCGCCACCTCCGAGGGTGGCTCAACATGAATGGTCCTCATGGCGAAGGCGACCCGGTCGCGCCGGTCTCGCCGAGGCAGCCTGGCTAGGCACTGGTGCTGCCGACGATGATGCGGACGGAGTGACCAAGTCGAGCTGGAGAAGAGTCACACGAGGAAGCTAGCAAGAAGCTATGTACGCGGATATGCGCGGCTCAGGTGCCTAATCCTAGGGTATGGAAGACACCGGCAGGTAGAGAGAATGGTTGTTATGACACACAAAACACTTTTCCTTAGATCTCGTCGGCACAGGCACAGGGTCCAAGAGTCGGGTCCTAGCCACGGATGCTCCCGAGGATGTTGGTTCCGGTCGTTGGGTTGGGTGACAGATCGAAGGGGGCGTACGAGAGCTTAAATGAGGCCGCAGGAAAGCAGGAAAGGGAAATTCCTTGAGAATTCGACAGGGACGGGACAGCAGACAAACAACAGAGGCCACCTGGCTCGCTGGCAATGCGAATGATGGTGAAGATGCGATTCAAAAAAAGAGTCAGATGCGGAACATGGAGGAGCAGTTGAGCAGGAATAGGACTGGGGGGGATGAGCCCTGCTGACCGGGGTCCTGGGGTGCTTAGCAATTCAGCCTCAACTGACCCTAGCAGAGCAACAGGTGAGTAGCAAGTCCTAGGATGCTCCCGTTGGCTACACTGCCGACTGCCCAGGTGCAGTATGTAGATCTGGGTAGGCGGGAGGGTTCGTTTGGGTACAGGGGTGCATGAGAATGCCCCGGAAAATGACGAGGACCAGAGAACACCTGGGGTTGGCCTCGGAGGAACAAGCAGAGTTGCAGCTGCCTAGTCCTTGTGAGGGAGCCCGCCTGAGTCAACGCAATGTGAACGATGGGAAGGCTCTGGGGATTGAATGACTGTGATTTCGAAGTTGTAGTCCTTTGGCTTCAAGGAACAGAAGGCATAGTCATCTATCAGAGACGAGGCCTTTCTCTGGATGCTGATGTGCTGTGCTTATCTGGTCTAGTGGGTCCAAGAACAGCAGCCCAAGATTCTCTGAGTGTTGTCTGGATGTGCCTGGGTGGGCTGTCTTGTTTGGTGGCAGATGAAAGCTTGACACGCTGAGATACAAGGTCCAGACCAGGTCCCCGGCTCGATATCCGGGAGGGCAGAAAGGCTGGGAGGAACAGCAGGGCCAGCAGAAGTCAAGAAGGGCTGGAGCGTGACCAACCGGAGCCAAAAATCAACGTCGTGATGAGATTTAGCATGACACGAGGATGAGTTGAGATGGAGCAGGCAGACATGGAGACCAAGGGCAGCTGACATCAAGTCTCACCTCGCCTGGGGCAGTAAGCCGGGCGCCATAGCCTGACCTACGAAGTGTAGGAATGGGAACGGGGCCAGCTGGCAGCCAGGCGGCCCCCAGGATCTGAGCAGCTGGCAGGAAGCAGCCGATCAGCCTGCCAGTTGGGGGCCATTCTCCCATTTTCCATTTTCCAAGCGAGGATGCAGGGAGATGTCGTCAGTTGTCAGTTGGGCGGCCCAGAGGATGGGATTGATGAGACAAGCGTCAGCGTCAGCCAACCTCAGTCAGCCAACTAGACCCGTGTACCCGCAAGCGTGGGCGGCGTGGCTGCACACCATGGCTGCATGGCCATGACCGCTCTCGGCTTCGTGATGCAGGCCGGGGCTGGCTGGTTGGCTGCTAGGCGAGGCTATTGATTGGACGGCTTGCGCCACCTCGCGTTGCGCCGCGCCCCTCTTGGGATGCACATTGAGTAACAACGGACAGCAGAGGGGCGGGCGTTGGGCAACATTCAAGAAAACAGTGCCACTGTCAGTCCGCATGTTGGGAAGAGGACAGACAGACAGCCTTGAGCAACCAATGCCGAGGAGACGAGGCTCGACCAGGAGTCATATAGTTCATATTGAATGCATGGATAAGGCGAAGTATACGTAAAGGTGTGAAATGCTAGCGGACTGATTGAGATGGGAGAGAGTTGATGTGATGTTTGTGTTTGTGTTCGTGCTCTGTATTTCTCCAGGCTTCAGCTCTCAAGGTTTCATCACCAGTTGCAAGGCCAAAGGAACCGTGTCTGGGAAAGGGCCAAAGGGCCAGAGGGGGGCAGGGGCGGTCGGGTACCGTTTCTCGGAGAAAGAATTCGATCTGGGAAGGAGGGTTTATCCCCTTCTGGGACTAGCCCCATGTGGTGCCACTCTGGGAACTGAATGTCTCTTGCATTTGCAGTGCAACCTCGCCTGCATAAGGGCGGCATGTGCCACCACTAGCGCCTGGCCCGCGAGATCCTGAGTGGTTGTGAGTGGTCCGGGATGCAGGCCTAGTGGACCCACTCCTTCCAGACGGGCCACGGGCTTTTTGTGGGTGTTTTGGGTCTCCCGCCGTCAGTCCATCATTGTGAGTCCAGCTTGACTCTCAGTCTCGTCACCGTCAGAAAACCACCACAGACCCCCGTCCAGCCCGCCCACGCTGCTCTCCCTTCCCTCTCTCCACCAAGACTCTGCCCACACAACAGAGCAAAAGACCGAGACCGCCCGTTTTCGACAACACTCCCTCACCGGTACCAATTCCATCGGAAAGGCAAGAAACAGCAGTCTACGATCCCCTCACCCATACCATACCTCTCTGGTCAACCCTCCGTTTGTTACTTCAACCAAAAAACCGAAGAACAAACCACTAGACCAAACCACCCATCATCAAAATGTCTTCTTGTCCCATCATCTTCGTCTAAATGGCTTTCAATGTCCACACGAGCCTTCAATCAACCAACAGCAAACAAAGCAAGCCGCTTTTTCTTCTCGGTTTCTTCTCTCTCGGTCTTTCATTCGATCCACATACGACTTCGCCCTTGTACTTTGACCAAACAGCTTCAACGTGATACCCCCTTTTGATACCCACTTTCCATTTACTTCCTGGCGTCATCGGAACAACCACCACAACATATCAGAACAACCACACATACCATGGACGATCCTGGCTGCGCTTGGCCCTTTTGGAAGTTCGGCTTGCAAAAGGATGACCTCACTACGACTCTACACGACCGGTTCAACACCATCCCCTCCGCCATCCAGGACCCAGAGGCTTTTCACCACGATGTTTATGAGCTCTCCACCCGGGCCTCCACCCTCGACGAGTTCGAGCGTTTGATGGAGGATCGCAAGAAGTTGCGGTTGGAGGAATTGAATGGTAAGGGCTATGAGCGGCAGGCAAGGCGGGGCACCCAGTTGACAATTAGCTTGACAGGCATGTTGGAGGATGCAAGTTTCGAGATCATCGGCAATCCCTCCCTCATCGGCACCGAGCAGTGGCAGTATGCCATCCAGCTCTTTCGCACCAAGTCGCTTGACTCCCTCGTGCGCTACTTCTCGTCCTACCTACCTCAGGAACACCCCTGGCACAACGAATCCGTATCGCCCGCCAGCAGCGCCGATAGCATCCACGCCTCAATCTTCACCTGCGATGGACCCATGTTCTTCGACGAACCCGCGGAGGACGACACCTACTACACTAACGAGCACTCCCAGCAGTCTTTCGACATCGCCGACATCTCGCTGGACCAACCCACACGGTCTATGACCGTACGGTCTGAGGATTCTGGCGTATCGGTCACGGAGCGAATCCAACATAAACATCAATACGACACCCGCGTCTCCCAGCGGGCAATGTCCTTCTCGGAGTCGGAGCTTGAGCACACATCTACGACCATGCACGACTCAATACCTACGCTTCACGACGACGAGGTTACATCGCAGTCCGATGACCCAGAGACTCCGTCCACATCTATATCTGATATGTCTGATGTTGAAGAGTCTCAAGGGAAGGACATTGTGGTGACTACCATTGTCGATGACGACGCTCACGATGAGTATCTTTCCATATCCCACGCCCAACTCTCTTCAATGGACTCTATGGAATCCGAAACTCCAACCCCCAAACCCGAACATACTCGCTCGCCCGCGGTACCTTTCTTCGACTCAAAGCTATCGCCGCTGCGAGCTCGGAGTCTTTCTTCCAACCGTGCACATCCTCACCACGCCCATCACGCCAATCAAGACTTCCGCAGACAGCCTTCGACGACCCGACAATTGCGACGGAGAGAAGTGAGCCTTGATCGGCAACGACAGAGGTACGAACCGCGCGGAGTGCGCGGTCGGATCCAGAAGGCTGTGTTTGAGCTGAAGGGCAACAGCCGTCAGCGAGGAAGAAGACCCGTTGGTGCTTAGGTCTGTGTGGAGTGCAGTGAAATGTTGGTGGTAGCTATGGATGGGACCAGTGGTTGGCCCATGGTTTTGATGAGGGCATCCGAAACCATGTACATATCATGGGGAGGCCATTGTACATACTGTGATGAGTCTGGCAGAAATGCCTTAACGAACAAATTATTCTTACACTCTTTTCTCACTCTGTTTTGCTGGTGGTAGGACGACTACCTTCAGGGTGTAGTCGTCCACGGGTTGAGCAACAATGAGTGCCACTTCGGCCTTGTCTCATGTGTTGCCACCCACGTTGTCTCATTCTTCCTTGCGTCTCTTGCTTGTCATGCTTGTCATGCTTGGAGTGGATTGGTTCAAACAGCGGTATACGATCGCTAACCTCATCGGCTTTTAGGAGGCTCAGACCATGAGCGCATGCTCAGTCAAACTTGAGCTCGGGTGATATTCAGTAATAACAGCTTCGCCGTGTGACGGTAAACAACTCAATCGTTCTTTGTAAGTTGCATTTGAATGCTCTAATTTTATACTCGGGTTGAGTTCTAGAAGCCCATTACGACATACAGGAGTGCAGATGCCCGCCAGTCATGGGCTTGATGGTAATGGCAAGCTACGTATCAAGGTGGGAAGTTCTCTACTTTGTGACGGCGATGTTATGACGGGAAAGATGAGTGCTAGCGTGGACATAGCAAAGTTTGCTTTTATGTTTCTGGTTCGCCGTTTATCGCACTAGCGATCTAGGCTCCTCGGTCCTCTTGTGATGGCCATGATGCCATCACGCATCAGCCTCAAGGTATAGAAGCGCTGTTGTAGCAAATGCGGTAGGTAGTCTTCTCCTTTTCAATACTTGCGCACAGCATCCGAGACAGACCAGGAGGACATTTCACTCGTTATCTAGGTAGGGAACTACATCCAACAGCGTTATGTTTGTTGTGGTATTTGTTTCAGCAGAGTCAGATGGCCCTCCATCTGTATATATTGCTGGATTTCGCCTTTTTCGGGCTCTGCTCGCAAACGTATGTAGTGCAACTACGATGCTGTCAGATTTCCAGGCCCTTTTAATTGTATTCCGTGCAACTTCCGTGCAACTCCTGTGTCGTGAGCATTCCAAACCTGGGGAGGACGCCGGCTATGCTCATATGTTAATTGGGCTCATTGGTGGGTCAGGGGTTTCCTACATGTAAATTCAAGACTTACAACTCTTCACGTTAGAAAATTCGTCAGCTTTGTGCCGTAGCTTATGTGTCTTGATCGCTGTGGGATGACATCCGTAGTATAAACCACTTGCGATGATCGTTGTGTAACATCAACCTTCTGGGACAACCTTCTGGGACATCGGTACCGAAGGAATGAGACTTTAGATATCAACTTATCTACAGCTTGACCTGGAAAGTCCATGTCGTGAGACATCTCGCGTCCGAACGCAGGTCGTCCCTCTACTTTAGTCCATCCCTTGCTTCAATGCATGTACCTAAAAGTGTAGGCCTTGTCACCCAACTCAGATAGTTCACGTGAATCAAAGCCGCCCTCTCCACCTTCAGCCAGCTTCTTTTCCCGCCGCTTGTTGATGGCAGCGTAGCTGACGTTGAGAATGATCGCCGCGAGGATTCCAAGACTGACGAAACCCAGTTCCAGGCCGTGCCCGAGGATGTAACGGGGAGAGTCCGGCTCCCGATAGAAGTTCGAAGCCATGGCTCCTCCGAGATTACCCACGCCGATCTGGATCGCCATGCCGGCGCTGCGCTTGTAGCCTCCAGCAAGATTATTCGACAGCCAAGCAATGTTTCCGGGGAAACTTGGGTAAATGGCACACACTATGATGAAGACTCCGCCATACACCACACGAGGGTGTTTTGTTGGATCGGTGGAAATGCACCTGGAAAGAAGTTAGTCTTGAGGGAGCGTCAAGAAGACTGGGACACCGGACAACATACATGGCAAATCCAATAATCATTACACACAGGAAAGAAATGATAAATGGACTCCTCTTGCCCGCGCGATCAGACAAGTAGGCAAAGATGACAGCCAGTATCGCTGCTGTAACATAGATCGGAACCGTCATCAGTTGGGCGGTGCTTGATGTATAGCCCAAATTTTTGATGATCGTCGGCAGGAAAAGACTCGTGCCGTACAGCGGACAGACGATCTAGGCAGCAAGATTTAACATATTAGCCCGACCAATGGCAAGGAAGAAACAAGCACTTACCCCCCAGTAAACAAAGATGTTGACCCAGATTTGCCAGTCCGCAAATGCTTGCCTCACGTACTTCCACTGGAACTCATCGGCCTGGGCGACTTGGGTCGCTGTCCCACTTGCACCCCTCAGCTTGGCAGACTGCCCTTGGTACTTCAAGCGGAAGACCACAAAAGCTCTCTCCTCCTCCGTCAGAAATTTTGCCGTCTCAGGAAAGTCGTGGAGCAAGAAGAAAGCTGCAATAGCAGCAACAACCGTCGCAATGCCCTCCAGGATGAAGATCCATCTCCAGCCCTCAAGATTCCCAACGCCGTCCATTTTCGAGATGCCGAAAGCCAGAAGGCCACTGAACGCGCCCGCCACTGACGCAGCGGAAAAGAATAGGGCCTGTCGGAATTGGATCTCGTGTCTGCAATACCACATCGTAAGATAATAGGCTACACCGGCTGCTCAGAAATTATGTCAGTAATCGCTCGACTATAAGTGATCAGGCTCGTAGGGCTTCCAGAGACAGAAAATAAGCGCAAACAGTGAACTTCAAGGACATCTTCTCTCTCGAGTACAGTGTATGAGAAGGCGATTCGCTCACAACAACCACTTACGATACAGCCCTGCCTCGGTGACTCCCAAGAACAGACGCGCGGCCAAGAGACCCTGATAATTCCGAACAATACCCATAAGCGTCATCACCGTGCCCCAGGCGACCATGATGATGGGCAGCCACCTGCTAGGGCGCAGCTTCTTGAGCAGGAGGTTACTGGGGACCTCGAAGGCGGCGTATGTGAAGAAGAATGCGGTCAGGCACCAGTTGTACTCGTAGCTGCGCATTCCAAGATCTTCTTGGAGGCCCTCAATCTTTGCGTTGCCGATGTTGCCACGGTCGAGGAAGGAAAGGAGGTACAGTAGGGCGAGCATGGGGATTAGACGCAGGTCCATCTTGCGGAGGATTGCCTTCTCGTCCAGGTGCTTGAATGAGTCCAGCGTCGTCCCCTCAGCCGTGGCCAGGGCGTCGATGCGGTCGATCTCATCTTTCCCTTTAGAGTGCCCGTGGCGGTTGTGGGCTGGGAGTGCAGAGATGGACCCAATGCCGAACTCGTTCTGGGCGATATCGACTTTTTCGTCTTCTGATCTGTCGTGAGAGGCCATCTTGAATTCCGGTGGCAGCTAGCTGTGTCGAAGATTCAATAAGGCCAGAGATATTGAACGGGCCCGGTTGTCAAGGACGAAGATCTGGCAGATCGCAGAGACGGTTGGAACTCATCTTGGAAAATACCAATTCGGCAACCCGAGTGCCCAGGTGATGTCTCTGCCCCCGCAACCCCATCTCTATCCCGGTAATGGTCCCCAGAATGGTGCGAACGGCCCAGATACTCGGTATTCGGGGAAGCCCTCCTGGATTGTTACTCGCTGCCCGCTACGGCTCTGGAGACCGTTCCGCTAAAAAGCTTAGCTCTAGCCCATAATTCCCCGCACTCCAAACTCCTTGGCACGACCGAGTCCATCTACAGCGGACTAATGACGCAATACTATTCACTAGATCTACTGCAAGACTTCGGGAATGTTTTGTCCGGAGTATGAGCCGAAAAGAGATTGTTCAAGTGCGTGGGACTCGTCTCAGGTGCAGGCGGGCGAGCGTTGGAGCTGACTTATAAGTCTGAACGTCCAAGCTGCCGCACTTACCAGAACGTAAGTAAGAGGCCAAGAAGGACTTCGCGGTGAGGCTATCTTCACATTGGATTTGGTGGGAATGGGGGTGGGAAAGGGCATCGTGACCGAGCACGACTCGTGGTGGTCCAAGTCAATTCCTTTCGCTGATAACCACAAAGAGGACGAGACTCTCCAACCTTCGCCTTGGATAGCTCAGAACTCCTGTACAAGATGACATGTCCTAATGCCTCCCTAGGTTCGTCCACGAAAGAACATCCTAAAGGTTGTTATCCCACACTGAACAGAAGGTTGTCCTATAGGAGGTTATCCCACAGGAGGTTATCCCACAGGAGGTTATCCCACAGGAGGTTATCCCACAGGTTATTCCAGAAGAGAAGGTTATCCCACACTGGGCAGGAGTTTGTCTCACAGCAGGGTATCCCAGAGGAGGGTATTCCCACAGATTTTGTCCTAGAAAGTTATCCCATAGAAAGTGTCCCACAAAAGTTACGCTCAGAAGTGGTGTAGCCAGCTTAGAATTCGACAGGCCATCGGAGCTTGCATGTGCCATGGAACACCTATCATTTTGTCGATATTCATGTCTTCATCCGAACGTCAATTCCATACCCGTATAGATCTTTCTACACACCTCCAAGACCAACGCAAGCTTTCAGTGCTGGAAAAGCCTTCGATCCCATCTTGAATGTATCCGCGGCTTCCACGCTTTGGATTGGTCGATTCTGATATTCCACGAAAGTCCAAGGGTCCGACCAATCGAAAGCTCAGATGAAATGGTTTCCAACTGCTTCCAGTTCCCATTGTGGCTGCAAATATTCCCATTGTGTCTTTTCTCAATACAAGACCATGGCTTCTCCGCAGAAAGTACTTAAGCCCACAGCCCTCTTGCTTTTTAACCTTTCTTCCCTCTTCTAATCAAGCCTTCAAGGAATACTCGCAAAAGTATTTAAACTCGCACACCTCCTTTCCCTTGGGAGTTTTCCCTTCTTTCTTTCGCCCTCCAAGGAAACTTTCCAGCAGGCACTTACAGGCTAAACCCACAACGTGCACTCCGCAAGACTCCACTTCGCCCTTTCTGCTGGTCATTTCAAGCATGGTCAAGCCCAACGCGTCCACAAAACCGTCTGCTCAATCTTTCGAGGGTACTCAACAAGCCCGTACTCCTTCACATAAGTTTTGGACGAAGACTGACTTTTGTCTCAAACTCCAGTACCACTCCCAACCTTCGCCCACCCTACAAGTCCAAGGCGCAGAGGCGATGGGCTGCTAAGCAGAGAAAAGTGGCCAGAGAGCGCGAGGCCGCCCAAGGCTCTGAGCAGCCAGCTACCACCAGCAAGCCTGGGCAGCCTGCTACTACCAGTAAACCTGAGCAGCCTGCTGCTACCGACAAGACTGAGCAGCCTGCTGCCACCAACAAGATTGAGCAGCATGCTCCTAAGAACACGGCGAAGCCCGCTCTTCCTCCGAAGCCCAAGCACTTGCAGTCCGCTCCCACCACCGACAAGACTGAGCAGCCTGCTGCCACCGATAAGATCAAGCAGGTCGAGTCTTCTGTTTCTCAGAAGGAATTCGTGAGTTTTCTAGAGAAGCACATGCCCACGGCGCAGAAGCAGCAGCCGTCTGCAGCAAAGCCCGAGCTGCCTTTCCGTCACGTCGAGATCCCTCCTGAAGCCAAGGTCGAGCACATCTCAGGCGCGACCCCTACTATGTTCCAGCGGAGGCCGGGACTTGGCAGCCCAGGACGATCTGCAACCAGTAAGTAGCCTTCTCATACATCTTTCCACGTGGCATACTTCGCCGCTTATTTTCTCGTGTGAACTTTGTTCTTCTGCGAATTGTGCGCTAACACTACGCTCTGCAGTCGACCTTCCGACCACTCCTCAATTGGAGCAGAAGAAACTGTCATCTTGGCAGCAGATGACCAAGAGCCTCGACCAGCTCGACATGAATAAGGTCTTCGCGAGCCTCTTACGCGTTGCACCGGACGAAGTCCAGCAGTTGGACCACACTGCTCATGTTCGTGGAGCTACTGCTCAAAAAGTCCCGAAGGCAAGTTTTGTCTCAGCCACATCTACTTCGAAATCCGGAATCGATATCCGTAGCAACATCTTCGAACAAGTGAAGCTGCTCGCTGCTGATGTCGGCGATTGGGGCAAGAGCAAGCTGGACGCGTGGTTTGATGAGCTTGCCTCGCGACATGACGATCTCAGGCGTCCAGTCTATGCGCTTTCGGAAAAGACCGGTGTCATCCCTGAGAAGAACACGGTGAAGGACCTCGACCCAAAAGAAGGTGATGAGCCAGAGCCAGAGGTCGACATTGAAGGCTTCGAGCCTGATGGCGCAAATGACCCACTGTACGGCTTCTCGCCCCATCAGGGATGTCTCGTGCTCTTGGAAGGCAGGCCCATCCTTCCGTGCCCGGAGAGCGTCATCAACGACCTCGGTAATCAAGCAGCATCTCGTTTCTCCACGACAGTGAGTTTCAATGCTTAGATCTTCGGACCCATCGAGCTCAGGATCAACCTGAATCTGTGTTACGGGACCACGAACGTCCAATTCGGCTCCATCGTCATCCCAATGAAGGAGCTTGTCGAGGCACCAAACCCCTCCAAGCTTGAGCAGGAGAAGGTGCAGCAGTTCATGAGGTTCGTTCGCCTGCCGTCTGACCAGGACTCCGGTGCGTACATGGTCAAGTTCTCGTCGTGGACACCCCGAATCAGCCTCAAGTTCAACGATCATGTCTACCGGGACCTGACTCGCCTGCGCATGCCATACCTTGAGCAGCTCCGGACCTCCATTGAGAATGCCTTTCGTAGTCCCAATCGGATCTACGCCACCATCCTCGTCCCCGATGGTCGGGAAGACTTCTCGAAATGGACCGAGCGATCTTCGATTAACACGCTCCTCGACCCAACAGTCATCAAAGATGACGAGGGTCAGCGCATCAGGGTCATCGATCCAGACTTCCAGCGCCGAGAGAACGTTATCCTGCAGGGATTTCTGTCTGCAGTTTGAGGCATTCACCGACGACCAGCTTTCTGCCGTCAAGAAGCTGACCAAGCTTCCCTTCGGAGGGCTTTTCATTGAAGGCGTACCCGGCAGTGGCAAGACTCCTGTGGCTGCGTGGATCATGGCTTCGATCATGGGATCAAGCATGGACGACACCAACGTCAGCACATACCAGCAGCCGGTGGCAGGTGAGAATCCAGAAGATGATGGCGAGCTGGATTATGGTCACTTCCTCGACGATGTGGAGGACGAAAACGGGGATGTGGAGTTCGACGTCGAGCCGGAGCTCATTGGAACCGTCGCGGCCATTGAGCAGGAGCCTTCGACGGAGGCAAAGAAGCCAGGCTCGCAGGAAGCCAAGTTGAAGCCTGACAAATGAAACAGCCTATACGACATCCCTCGCTTAGCATGTGGGCCATCTCGCCAGCAACTGGAGACGATCCTCGCCGAGCTTCGAGACGTGACCGAGGCAGACCGCAACAAGCATCTGATGCAGAGGATCCTGTCAATTTACAACGCCAACGTCGACCTCAATAACGCGCAGAACTTGGGTCTGGGTAAGGATCGGCAGCCGTAAGAGAAGCCCCGCAACGTGCCCACCATAATCACAGGAGACTTCCCGCAGGACGCGCCTTCTTCTCTCGTCCAGCATGTCAGCCTCAAGGCAGATGATCGCGTGATGGCCTCATACGTGAGCCCCTTCTCTAGCCAGTACATGACGCCGCTGTCACAGCGCATGACTGTCTGATGCCGAAATTTGCAAAGAGCGAGTCTCGATCCGCACCCAAACCAGTGCCGCCGGAGGAGAATGGGACGTAGTCCTGAATGTCTTCGTCCGTGATGAGACCATGGGATTTCTCTCCGACCCATGGCGGATCAACTTCATGCTGACTCGGGCGAAGCTGTTCGAGCTCGATATCCTCGACGCTACTTTCTTCGACTCGCCAAAGGGACCAAGAGCTTCTCTGATATCCAACTACCGCGATAACCAGCAGCGCAACGGAGCTGTGATGGTCGATAACAAGAACTGGGGAAAGGTCTGCAACCGTTGCCTCCTCCCCCACGATAACAATGCGCTACGAAGCTTTCCTATCTAGTCTTTGAACAGGGGCACAACGTCAGGAAGTGCTCGGTCGAAGCCACGATGGGCGTCGCCCTCTCTGATGAGGAGATCGAGCTTGCCTTTGCCATGGATGCTGCCGTGGACGCCGCTCCTGTTGCAGTCGCAGAGCAGGACAATGTTCACGATTCTGAGGATGATGCCGCTCAGGATTCCGTCGCTCAGGCCGATGCCGTTGAGGCCGAGACTGTCCAGCATGATGCGGCTCCAGGTGACCAGGTTGATGAGCTGCCCGACATAGAGCAGGACTACCCGGCTCGTGAGGCTGATTACGAGATCATCACTGAGCTCCAGGCCATCTTAGAGCAGAAGGAGCAGGCTGTTGTTCCCAAGGATCCAGTGGCAACCATCGAGGAAGACGATGACGATGGTGAAGAGGAAGAGGAGGCCGAGATGAGGAGCGTGAACTCGGTGGCGAGCTCATTGACGTTCCCATCACCAAGCCGAAGAAGCGCCGCCGCGGTGGTGGAAAGGTCCACAATCCCAACAGCTTCTGGACTACGAAGCTCGAGGGCGACAATATCAAGGACAGTGGTAAATCCTCTGAAGGTCAGGAATTGGGTGGGAGCTGGACGGCTGAAACGACCTTGACTTGCCTTGAAGCAGCTGTTTGAGGATAGCTTGTAGGAGGTAATGAAATCCAGAAGGGGGTTGTATGACAAATGCACAAGAACAGGTGCATTCTTTCGGAGTTAATGATGTGCTACGATACATACCTATTGCAGGTGGTTGGCAACAAGTAGAATTCATCGTGAGCCTACGAACTGAAATCTATTTTTAACAGGAAGAGAAACTCTGATCCTTCCAGTCCATCTCATTAGCAAGTTTGAGTTCCTTCTTGTTCATATGTCTTTCCAACCTTTTACTAAGCCACATTAGCCATAATACCATGGCTCCGCATCACTTGAGCCTCCTACCAGGCGCTGCTTCCTGGCCATGGGAGTATTCAGCTTCGACGACCTTCTGGTAGTGTATGCCTTTACATTTTTGATAATGGCTTGAAGTCGCCATCAGAATGGACTTTCATATTATACATACAATACATTTATGTTAGCACCGGTCCTAGCCATGTAAATAATTCGTCATCATGCTTGTGAAGATTTGAGCAGCCGCTTGCTGCAAATGAGAAACCCAAGCACCATCCCAGATTTCATATGTAGGGAGTAAACACATACACTCTCGGCCCATGCATCTCCGGCAATTGGCACTGACTTACATACAGTACTGATTAGCTCATGAAACACGCAAAACCTTTGAATGATACCACGAGAATATGGTGCTTCCTTCGCTCCGATCACTATGGAGCGGTACAGCCCTACTTGTGTGGGGATCATCACCAGCTCTCACCAATGGCACGAGTTTTCCGCTTGAGGTTAAACTAAGTACATTACAGAGGTCATCATGTGGGCAAATTAGTTTTAGTTAGATCTCTTCTTCCTGTTTGTTCAATTAGCAGTGATACTGAAGAAAGCCCGCAAGACTTCAGGGTCCTTTCCTATCCAAATGCAAGCCGCGTACAGGAGAAGGAGGTGAGTCTGTCGACGCCATGAAGATTCGCTCCACGGTTTCGACACAAGGTCGCAGATCAAACAGTCGACGCTGAATCGAGCTTGCCGATCTCCAACAATTGCAGCCTCTGTAGCGAGTAATTGTTCAGAAATGAGGATTGCAAGGATGCCAGCAGCCTGCAGAGACCGAAACATGCCCAGAGCAGCATGCCATGGATTTTCGAATACCAATGACCTAATGAAATCAACCTCGCCACACACACACGTGATATTAAGCCTCATCTACAACATTGCATTGCTGGCACAAGCGCCCATTGCTCTCTCGGTGAAGATTGAAGCCGAGCGCTTGAGACTATGACAACTTGCCATGCCGCCGGCGGCCGCCGCCACCCAAAAATGCCCCCCTTACCAGAAAAGATTCTCAAGCTAGTCCAATTGCCTCAACTGATATATTTATTATTCCCAGAGACTGCGGAGTCAGCTGAATATATCTTTTCCGGTCCCACTGCGTACTAATATGAATGGCTGAGCTATTTGGGTACGGCCATGACTGACATCACGGCAACCATAGAAACATAGCACGTTCGAAGTCGGGAATCCTCTCTTCTCAATCTGATGGGTTGGATAGCTTTAGGTTCTTGCAATGTGGCCTGCAATGCACGTGGGTGGATTTTATTGCTTGATGGTCATATTGCAAACATGGGCAGCTGACACGCACTGATCACCATACTGTCGTGCGCTGTGATTCTGTCTGGGCAAGAGGTGCCGGTCCCAAGACTCTCCTCTCTTGGCCAACGCTTCGTCCTGCTCATCTTACCATCTAAGCCTGTCGTTCATCTGGACGGCTTGTGTTTCGAGCTCATCTTAGAATAGTTGCTGGAGCGCGTCAGGCCATTCCAGATGACTGCTCTAGGCGCAGGTTCAGATCTACGAATCGCAACCATGCGGGCTCTCTTGGCTTCTACCATATTTTCTGAGTACCAAGCTTGAAAACAATGCACATCTGTAAATCTCTGTTTACAACGACAAGAAAACGTAACTGGGTTGTCCTGGGTGATGTGAAGGTTCTGAGATGGACAAGAATAGAACTCAGGATGAAAATCTGAAGACCGGATTTGTTCGTCCCGAGTGTCAAAATGTCAACGTTGGGGTAGGCAGCGTGCGTGCCCAGAATCCTAAGCCTGTGTGGATCGTCTGAAAGGAACACTAGGCACGTGTTAGCTGCTTTACCGTGCACTTGGCATGCTATTGCTGTCATGACAGTCATGGGCGGGCAGGCCTTGAAAGCTGCTGTCACAGCACGGCGACGTGAAACCGCTGGGCATCCCGTTCTGTCAGATTCCAAGCATTTGAGATGCCCAGACCGCACATGCACGCCTCCTTTCCCCAACGTTGCGCAGAGCACCTCAAGCCCGCTGTGGCGGGTCCAGCACCGATCGGCCCTGACTCTGCTTGTTTCTGGGCCTCCGCTTGGCGGGCCATTACCCGTCTTATTGGCGAGCTCCTGCTCGGACTTGCTGATCCCAGCCGCATATGCTCCACGGCTTGCTCCAGCTGGGATTTGATCATCCCCCTTTTCTGCCTCTCCAGCCTCAATTCAGGTGGCCAAGCTTCATCAGTGGGACACACCTTGGATTAACCTTAAATCCAAGCCCCTGAGGGTCTCCGCAGAGCCGCCGCTGGCTGCACGCCGCCCGCCCCAGGATTTCCCTGAGATCGTCCGTGGATCTCATTGGTGATTGGCAGTGTCTCTCGCCCGCGCAGCATAGATCCTGAAGCAATGATCCGAGACAGCGCGCCGGACCAAGCACCGATCCTAGATGATGTCGAGAGCCCGGTCATGCCAACCGTCCCCCCTTCTTGAACAGCCGCAGATGCCTATCCCAACTCAATCAACATCTTACGTTGATCATCCCGTTGATGTTTAGCACATCGCTAAACTCCCAGGTCTTAGCCATGTTTCGGGTCTGCTTCCGTGGCGACGTTTCCAACGGGACAAGCGGTAGCATAGCTACACCGGGCCGGTGACACCATAATCAGGCAGATAGATGGCTCGAGCTTCTATAATCGAGATATATGAAGAGAAACTCTGTCATTGGAAATGATCCAAATATCCTACCATCATCAACCTTCTCCATTTCCATAGGTTTGATTGTTAGTGATCATACACAGTCTACCGGTTAGACGACGTTCCTTTCTCTTCCCTTATTTTTCCCTTCTTTCGATCTTTTGATAAGACTTCCACTTTGATCAATATACACAGTCACTATGCTCGTCAATACGAAGTTCTCGTGGCAGCATGCCGTCCTGTCGGCTCTCGTCATGAGCTCTGCTGTCTCGGCCAACTACGGCACCGTCCACGTCCGTCGCGGTGAGCATGCTGTCCGCGACATTGTCTCGAACGAGCACGCCCTGAAGGACCGAGACCTTCTCTCCACTCTTTCTAGCTTGCTTGGAGGTGCCGGGGCCGGTGCTGGAGCCGGAGCTGGAGCTGAAAACAACAACGATGCCGCTGATGCAGCTGGCGAGCAGCAACAGCAGGCCGGGAAAAACCAGGCCAAGCAGGGAGCTGCCGGAGCTGGTGAGGCCGCGGCCGGTGAAGCTCAGGCCGGCGAGCAGGCCGATGACGCAGAGGGCGAGAATGCGCAGGCCGACAATGCACAAGCCGACAACGCACAAGCCGGCAATGCACAAGCCGAAGCTGGTCAGGGCAAAGGCAAGGGTCAGAACCAAGACGAAGCCGCTGCCGGTGCTGGTGAGGCTGCGGCTGGCGGAGAGGCAGGGAACGCTGCTGAAGCTGGAGCTGCCGCCGGTAATGCTACCGCTGAGGCTGGAGCAGGCAAGGGCAAGGGCAAGAAGAACGCAGATGCAGCAGCACAAGCAGGCTGCGGTGCCGCCGCAGCTGGGGCCCAGGGCAAGGGCCAAGAGAATGCCGGTGCTGCCAACGCAGGCGACGCCGCCGCCGCCGAGGGCAATGCTGGCGCTGCCGCAGGTAACGCAACCGCAGACGCCGGTGCCGAGCAGCAGCAAGGCAAGGGCAAGGGCAAGGGACAAGCAAACGCAGACGCCGCCGCTGAGGCTGCGCAGGGTAAAGCAAAGGGCCAGAATGGAGGAGCCGCCGCAGCTGGTGAGGCCGCAGCTGGTGAGGCCGCAGCTGGTGAGGCTGCAGCTGGCGAGGCCGCAGCAGGCAATGGCAAGGCTGGAAACAACAACGCAGATGCTGCCAACGCCGACAACGCCAATGCCGGTGAGGCGGCAGCTGGCAACGCCAACGACAACGCTCAAGCTGGAAATGCCAACGCCAACGCCGGTGAGGCGGCGGCCGGCAACGCTAAGGGAGGAAAGGCCAACGCCAACGACAACGCTCAAGCTGGAAATGCCAATGCCAACGCTGATGAGGCGGCAGCTGGTAACGCCAACGCCGACGCCAATGAGGCGGCAGCTGGCAACGCCAAGGGCGGAAATGCCAACGCCGACGCGAACGCTCAAGCCGGTGATGCCAACGCTGCTGAGAATGCTCAGGCTGGAGATGCCAACGCCGAGGATGCGAACGCTGGCAACGCCAACGCCGGCCAGGAGGCCGCTCAAGGCAAGGCAGGAAAGGGAAATGCCAACCAGGCAGACGCCCAAGCTGAGGATGCTCAGGGCCAGGAAGCAGCAGCTGGCCAGGCCGGAGCTGGACACGCACAGGCTGGAAATGCCAACGCTCAGCAGCAGGAGGGAGCCGCTGGCCAGGCAGGCGCTGGTACCGGAAACGCCGCCGTTGATGCTCTGATCGCAGCTGGCAAGAACCTGCCCCCAGGCGCGGCCGGCAAGAAGCTCAAGCTGATGAAGAGCCGTAACGTAATGGCCAACATGGCGTGGTAAATCATCCACTTGTGCTGGATCTGGGACACGAAGAACGGGAAAGCCAGATGCATGCTACGCATGATCTCTAGCTTAGGATCTTTCAGGGAAGACATGTGTCGAAGACTGATGTATTGGGAGATTAGTGGACTTGGCGGAAAGGAATGGAGTAGATCTCTGTCCCATGTTATTGAAGTATTGGCCATCCTAATAATCCTGAATTCTTCCACAAAGTGCAAAGCACAAGTCTCATTCTGGCCCACGCATTTACTTTGCCAAGTTATGCATCTTGAGGAAACTTTGTGTTCCCTGGATTTATATGGCCTGAATATGTAATGCATTGCGAAACATCTGCAAGTGTCGAGGAAAGTTAGCTGATCCTGGTCACGTTCCTATTGTCTATTCGTTCACTAAAGTACTTCTTTAATAACTGGGGAGTGCTTGTCGTGCCTCAAAGTCTTTGCAAGTCTCATTGAATTGATAACATTCAATCAGAGTGATCAAGCTGTTACTTGCCAGGCAAGACTATCATTAGGGTAGCCGTCTTGATTTGAGCAGAATATAAGGTAGATAGATGTAGCGGAAAGCACGAAGATTCATCTTCAATTCCCTTGGATTCTTGACACGCAAGAACAATAGCGTTGTGATCATGTAACAACTACTGGATGACTCGACTAAATCTTGGAATTTCTCACATCTTTGCGCTATCTATTTGAGCCCGGTCTTTCTTGGTTGGCTCTAGTTTGACGGTGTCGTTGTACTCGGCTGCCTCAACCGATGTCGTCTCCGGGCTTTTCATCCCTATGGGATTAATTGAAATATGCAATGGCTTTTCTCTGATATTTCCCCAGTATCTTCCGGTCCTATAGGTCCCATAAGCTCCAAGAAAGTAGCCGGCTTTCGGATTCAATCACAGATTAGTGCGATCATCTCTCAAAAAGATAAATCAAGTTGTGAAGGCCATCACCAAATGCTCAGTCAATAAAGCGGAAAACACTGAGCCAAGAACATCGTTCGGGTTTCAAATGGTATCTAGTTATAATACATCTGAATTCTGAAGGTACAATAAGGTCGATCAAAGGACAATCAAATAACTAACGAGATCATCCTCCTGGTCTGGGGAGTCAAGAGAACACCCTAACCCTACATGAACCTCCGCCTCAGATCGATCTACACCTCTTGAGCAAACGAGTGTGATTCTTCTTGGGGCTCAGATGAGAACGACTTGCGTGGAGAGAGGAAACATGCACGCTAGTAATTGCATCAAAGGAAGCTTCATAACAGAGTAGATTGTAAACATGTAAAATTGACTCGTGGTACAGGTGAGATGGCTCAACGAGGCAGAGACATGTGCCCCACCACGTGATGGCTGCCTGAAGCTGTGAGCGCGACACCTACCCGCTGCAACAACGGCCGTTACAATTTCCCGCCTTCTGTTCCAGACCCTCAGCAACCAGAACGTCGCACGCCGATCCTTTAGCAGGCAGAGCGAAGGTGAGGCTGAGAGGCCCCGGTTGCATCAGGTATCATCTACCGGCAATTAATCTACATCAGAAAGGCCGCACAACACCATCACACACGGGCACCGCGCCAGTGACGTGCCGAGTACCAGGTGCCTAGGTACCCTCACGTCACCACCTAGACTACCATCTATCACCTCTCACCTCTCACCTCCGATCTTCCAACTCACACGTCCCACCTCACACATTACGCAAAGCGCTCACCACCCTCTGAAGCTCCAGCCACACCGACCCGACGGAGAGAAAGGAGAAACACACAAAAGACCCTTGCATCACGGTCACGGCAACTGTGTTCAGATTTATTTCCCGAAGCCGGCTATTTTGGGACTCGCCTGTCGCTGTCTGCCTGTGTTCCCCATTCATGGTACCATCCGACATCATTGAGCTGGCGAGGTTACGAAGCACAGCATAAGTTGACAGCGAGAGTGTCTCAGGCGCGAGGTGACACTTCCAAGCCTCGCCAGGACTGATCTATCACGCCGCGTTCCCATCACCACTCCAACACCCATTTTGGCCCACCATCTCATCACGTCCCCAGCCTGACGCGTTCTGAGAGGCACACCGCCTGCCAGCCTGCCATCCTGCCAACGATGAAGGGTGACACAGTACGCGATGATGAGACGACGGCGTCCGACGTAAGCGAGCCGGAAGATACCACCCGTCGCACGGCCACCGCATCCGCGCGCACCGCTGCGAGGCGCCCCAAGGGCAAAGGCAAGGCTTCCTCAGAGCCTACCGCGACAGGCAAGGCCAGGAAGAAGAAGGCTGTCGAGGATGAAGGCTCTGAGACGGGTTCGGGCTCGGATGCCAACGAGGCACCACTTGGGCAGTCCAAGCAAGGCGGCACTGCGTCGAAGCGTAGTAAACAGGACGCACTCTCAGCCTCGCGGTCACTATCTCTACGGAACATGGGCTCCAAGGCGAGGAAAGCCGGAGATGACATGTCAACAGCCTCACCAACACCTTCTCCTCCCCCGTCCAAAGTAGCCACAGGAAAGAAGGCCGCTACTGGTGACTCCAGATCCGCGTCACCCACACCATCGCCATCGCCATCACCTCCCTCCGAATTGGCCACAGGAAAGAAGGCTGGTGCTAGCGACGCTGTGTCTCCGTCCCCTACACCATCACCATCACCCCCGCCTAAAGCGATAGGAAGGAAGGCCGGAACTGGCGACTCCGGATCCCCATCTCCTACACCATCGCCATCGCCATCCCCCTCCCCGGAGCCTCAGCAAGAAGCATCCCCGGCCAAGAAGAAGAAAGGTGGCCTGGGTCGTCTAGGCGCAGCCAAGCGTGCCGAGGCCGCATCACAATCGCCCGAGCCAGACGGTAGCCAGCACCAGCCGTCCAAGGGCGGGTTAGGCAAACTTGGTGGCCTCAAAGGGAAGAAGAAGAGGCGCGGCGGTCAGGACGGCGGAGCAGGACCTGCATCAGAGGCTGGAGGGTCTGAGAGGGGATCACCACCTGACGGCGCAGGGCACGGTGGAAAGTCGGAAACCATTGCGGAGCCAAAGATCGAGACCTCAGATGAAAGGGCTGCCCGGAGGCGAGCTGAGCTGGCGAGGGACCTGGAGAAGAAGAGGGCTGCTGGGCCGGCGAAAAAGAAGCGGAAATTTTGAGGGAGGCGATCAAACTTTTACAGACAATAACATCCACCCAGTACAAACAAAGGGGGGAAATTGTCACTGGGAATCTCCAGTATGAGATTTATATTTACAAATCTGCTGCTCTAACTAAATATATATATTCAAGAAAATCACTCTTGGCATGTCCAATATGGCCGTCTAGAGCATTGACTGGCAGGTGACATCCAACACAGTCTCGTTGACGTTCAGGCAGGAAGCATCGTCAACGCCTGCGGGACTCAGCACATCAATGTTCTCAGCATAGATGTTCCCGCAGACTTCCTTGCTCGAGCAGGCAAAGAGGCCAATGTCGGGCGAGTACTTCTTGCTGGTCGTGCCTTTGAAGTTACGGAAGTAGATGTTCTCGATGGTCAGAGGCGAGGGGTACTCCAAGCATAGGGTGAGGTTCTTCTGGCCGTAGCACTGAGTGATCTCAATGGCGTAATCCACGTTGTCGATGGTCATGCCATCATAAGTGATATTGTCCACGCGGCCGCTGCCACCGCCTCCCTGCAGATCCCCTGACAACGCGGAGGCGACGTTGGGCCAGACCTTGATCCGGGCACCGTCCGAGGCATTGTGCATCGAGATGTTGGTCACGTAGACGTGCTCCACAATGTCAAACTCTCCGGGGTACTGGCCCAGGGAGCCGACGCTGATGCCGTGGGAGCCGTTGCACCAGAGCGATTCCACAAGAATGTTGGTTGAGTTGGGCTTGAAGGAGACACAGTCATCACCGTTGTTGATCACCGAGTTCATGATCGTGATATCGGAAGACCTGTATGTATCCCAGCCATCCGTGTTCTTGGCCACATTGGAGCTCGATGAATATCCAGAGATGTCAAAGTTGTTGAACACAACATTTGTAGAGTTGGCCATGAATGTGTAGTATTGTGGCGAGTACCTCAGCACAAGGTCGCTCAAAATACTGTTGTGAAGACCGTCGATTCCAATGCTAAATGGAGAAGCGAGCCGTCAGCTTCCCATGATCCGCGGCAGACGTCAAAAAGGGGATAAGGCAATGGACTCACAGGACAGGTCGCAAGATGTAACTGTCCGCGGCGTAAAGATCGTACCAAGCCTGACCGTTGCCATCAAGGGTACCGCCTGTGAAACAAATTAGCCTCAATCTATGCATGAAATCAATGTTGTACGACGGCATTCATCATCTCGAAACCTCTGTGAGTGGCCTAGGACGAGGCAGTGACGACGGAGCGGGATGGTGAGATAGCCAAATGGCATGTGTAATGGATGTGTAGCCCAGCTTCCGTGAGGCAGAGCGAGATGAGCCCGGCGTTGTGATATGAATCACACGGAGACAGACCAGGGCATTGGTCGCCCCACGGCAGCTTGTAGTTGCCTTGTCCAGTTACAACACGGACCAGACTCGTGACGTTCTACAGCCGTACCGCAGCCCCGCAGCCGGTCCGCCCATCAACGCATCCATCAAGCCGTGTCTACGGCCGAAAGGTGCCCTTGTGTGTCCTAGGCCATCTGACCTGGGGCAAAGAAGACGAGGAAAAGGTGACTGGGCAAGGGGAAACATGGATAGATACACACCTCCGTAAATGAAGACATCATCTCCACCCAGCTTGAAGAAGGTAGTGACGTTTTGGAAGCCGAACTTGAAGGAGTTGGCCTGCCAGTAGTCGGTGTCGTCGGTGAACTTGATCTTGCCCCGGATATCTACCGGTTTCTCATCAGCGGGCCGTCCCCTTTCATGCACGTCCGTGGAAGGCTAGATGCGTTGCGGCAGTGTCATGAAACAATGACAGCAGGTACGCGACAACTCAGACAGGAGAGGATACACGTCCACACAGCCTCGTAGACGCAGCTCGTGTGCTCAGCCCCGGGTGGTGGGATGGCTGCCCTATTGGGAGAACTCACCGATGTCGATAGACTTGAGGAAGGTCCAGTCCATGGCAGTGCCGATGGTGTAAGTGGCGTTCTCGCTGAACACAACATGGCCGCCATTGTTGCATTCGTTGAAGGCAGACAGGATGTGTTCCGAATCGTCGGACCCGTCGCCATTTGTTTGGACGACGCAGTCCTTGGTCCTGACTGGTGGGTTTGGAACCGACAGCCGGGGTTGGGCAGGAGAGGGCACGACCTGTGGACGTGTAGCCGAAACTCCAGCCACCGAGGCCAGCAACGCTGCGCAAAGCGAAGACTTCATGATGTTCTCTGCTCAAGGGATCGATGTGTGGCCACAGTGACGATTCCTTTCCGTGGACTGTTGGCGATGCTACCACTCGGTCAGCGCATGTTCACGGGTAGACGATGACGTGACATGGGGACTCACCTAGGTACTCTTGGGGGGTTGGCAGGTGAGAGAGTCCTTGAGCAGAGCAGACAAGATCGACACGGCACGAGGGAGGAGGCCATTTTGTAGCAATTGTCCGGCGACTGACTATCCAGTTGATATCTAAAAAGGTGTCTAATCAAATAAGCCTTTCGGGCCCTGGCCTCGCGCAAAGCGTGGTGCTGGCAGGGGTTAGTCCCCCAATTTCCGAGAGGCTTTTTGGGGTGGAGAAGACGAGATTCAGGGGGGCCATGGGGCGACGCGAGTAGGAGGGTCAGTGAGGGTCAGTGAGGGTCGGTCGGGGTCGGTCAAGATCACCAGACTCCATGACTCTGTCATTGGCTCTAGACCGTGGCCCAGTCCGGCCGTACGATCCGAGATGGGCCACTCTGGCTCCCGGCTGTCTGGATATCGACCACAATCGCCTCGATTGGGCTGTTGTCGACGTGATGATGCGTCACTGGGTGCAGAATCCGCGTGGCAGGTTGGGGCATGTCGAGAGACGCCTCGGGAGAGAATCCCCAGATTTGAGGGGAAGTCTGGGGAAAAGACGGCGTGGGAGCTGCCAGCCTGCTAACAGCCCCAGGGCCAATTCAGGCCTGGGGACTGTTAAGGCCGTCGCTGCTTGGTGAGGGTAATTGGTGGAATTGCAGTGGCATTTCCTCCGTCCAGGCTCAGGGTAACCTTGGAGCGTGCCTCCCCTGCGCCTGTCCTCCTGTCCTCCCGTTCTCGAGCCGTTCTCCCACCTGAGGATGTGGGGTTAGTTTGTTCGGAATCCTTCCTTCCCCAACTTCTGTTTCCACTTGGAGTGGCCACTACCACTTCCACTACCACTTCCACTACCACTTCCACTTCCACTTACGCTCCACTGCCACCTGCTGCTGCTGCTTCCCCTTGCACCTTGCAGGCTGGCATCTTCCACTGACATATGAAAACGGTGAAGCTCATCCCAGCTCGCAGCAGCTGGTCCTGTCTCCGGTAGGAGCAGGAACGCCAGTCCGTTTGTCTGTGCTGTCTTGGCCCTTTCTCCATGTGTTCGCCAAGTCGGGACGATGTTGCCGTCGTGGTTAAGCACTTTGGGGGTCTGGGCAGTCAGTCATGACATGGCGTGGCGAGGCATGGCATGGCATGGCATGGCATGGCAAGGCATCTGACTGACACCTGGGCAATGCTCATCGTCAGTCACTCGGTTCATTCAGTGCCCAGGTGTCAGTCAGATGCCTTGCCGAGTCAAAAGTCAAGACAACAAACATCCTCAAAAGTACTCATCCACCGGATGAGCCCCTACAATCACGGGTCTTTTCTGTGCACTGAGCTTGTCGACTCACCGTCCAGAGGTCTGAAGAGACCCTTCACCGTCTTCTTTTATGGCCCCAACTACAACGGCGCTCCGGCATGCTGCCTCCCTCCTTCTCTGTCAAGTCCACCAGAGCTACTGCTCTTCACTTCAGCTTCTCCCAAGAACTTGACAGCAGCTGCCCCTGACCTTTGTTGCTTCCCTGAAATGACAAGAACTATTGCGTTTCCCACTCGCAGCTGACACAATGTCCATGAACTCGCAAGCTGGTCTCGTTCGCTGCTGCTGCTGCTGCTGCTGCTACTGCTCCGAGGTGAGGCAAGATGAAGCGAGCATTGGGTGGCAGACCCCTCATGGTTACTCAAGCTCATCCCATGCCCCTCGCCAGCCCGCATATCATGCAGGATGCACCATTCCAACCGCAGTACTCACAGCTCATCTACTGCACAGCTCTGCATTGTTGCTCTTGAACGGATGAAGAGCTGCAATGGAACCCTTTTTACTGCCATCCGGAGCATGCGGCCTGGTCCCGAGATCACTTTGGAATCAATCTTTTCGGCTTGATCGGAAGCACGGCTGTCTTTGACACCTGTCAGCCATCACCGGCTCATACGTTTTCTCCGGGAGAAACAACGAGCCCGTGGTCTAGCTCCAACCCCGGCTGGTGTCTGCAAGACCGTCTCCCTCGCACATGCTATCTTCGTCCATCCGTCCATTCATGTTTGACTGATGTTCCAGTACAAGCTAAGACTGTTCAAACCGGGATTGTGTTGCATGCATCCAGGAATCCTATGTCGACCTCGTTTCGGCACGCAGGATGCGTATGACAGCGCTTCTATCAGACTATTGACACTATTAATCATCTTGCAGTCGGACTGACAGCCACGGAGGATAACTCGTCACATTACAGTCGTCATCGTCGACTTATCTAGTCGGATCGGCCTTGATACGCACCTCTCCGTCGAGGCCAAACGCGGTTGACCCGGGCACCGCCCGGACGAAGTGTCCTGCGAAATAGCCATGGTATGCAACGCAACAGGAGCTCTTTCGGGGGGTAGCTTCGGCTTGGGACGCTTCATCACTCAGATAAACGGGCAATGTCTCGAGTCCCGGTCTCCCGATGGCATGCTGCGGGTGCCCAGCGGCCGATGTCAAGTTGTCGAGCCTTCTCAGTGGTGATCCGACAGGTGTGATTTGAATGTTACACCAGCAAGAGAGGGGATTCGAAGAGGTGACGTGGTTCAGCAAATCTATAGGACACCTTCATCCCGTCGTTGAATTCGATTTGTACAGATTGTAGTTTGCTCATCTTCGTGCAGATACGGCTCGCGTACAATGCTAACAGAAGAGAGCTCTGCGCAACGTCTGTTTGAATCTAACAGAAGGTGGATCCCGCCGTCCATGTCCATATCATGAGCCCCCTGTCTGTCGTTGGCACCATACTGAAAATTAGGTGTCGTCGCCTTCGACCACATGAAACGCATTTTCGCTTCCGATTTCCAACCCAGCAAATCAGCAGCACCGCCCTTGAGCATCAGAATGTTAACCAGGCTCTTGGGACCTTCGGTAATCTTAGATGGCGCAGTGCGGTGCTAGGAGAGCCATAATCCGGGTATTCGGTCTGGGTGGCAGCCAATGGTCTTCAGCCCCTGCAGGGCATGAGTGCTCACCTCGCTCATTTGAGTTGTCACAGAGAGGAGAGACCGGTCGATTCTTCATTCTCGGCCCTCAAACGTCATTGGCGCATACTGAGATCCATTGCAACACTGCGGATGCCCATCACGGCAAATGCATTCCATGGGAAATGCATAACAATCACGATAGCGTGGACCATCCGGAATGACCAGGCAGGATACAATGACTATTTGTCGTCACTTGTATCGACTGTGTCTGAGCCGGAGGGGCTGCATCGTGCCTGGCCTGAATGCATCGACGGTCTACGACCTGCCCACCTGCCCAGCTTAACGGGCGTACAGCCTGCACCGTGATGCGGGGTTTCTTGCGATAGCGCCCGGGATCACTTCTCACCTTCACTGAAGTGATCACCTGGAATGTGACCATGCATGGGACCAGACTCAGGACACGAGAAGCACCACACAAGCACCGAGGGAATGCGCCTGTCGGCGCTTTTCTCTCTGAATGCTGCTGCAGGTGGCAGCCGGGTTGACCTGCTCAAGGCTCCGAGGTGTGCCAAATCTGTCTAGCCTGAGCGTGGCGCCGAAAGAACTGCTGGATATGCTTCCACAAACCTTTGCCTCGATACGCTTCCGCTTCCGCGGCCAGCAAAATATGACATATCAGGGTCCTTCATGCCAGTATGGGCCGAGAATGATCGCCATGCTCTCTTCAGATACAGCTACACCGGGGTTCACAATCAACTGTACCACAAGACAGGTCATCATCCCACCATACATGTGGTCTTCTGAGCATCCCTGGAAGCTTTTGTCTCCTTGTGACAGCTGCACTCCTAGTTTTGTCTCGCAACATGTAACCTCAACGAAACCCCATTCAAGTATGACGCAACTGGCAGGTGGGCGAACAGTCTTGAAGAACGTTCTGGCCAACACTTTTGTGGCATAGTCAAGGGAGGGTGGGCACGCACTAGAACAACAATGAACCCATCGGCGGCCCGTTCCATGCCCACCCACCTTAGTCCGACCACTTATACAGTTGCAGTCACATCGGCTTCAATGCTTGAGGGGCTGGGGGCTTGGTGTGCTCACCGTTTAGTCACTTCTCGCTTTAATCACAATATGAGCATCGCGGCTCGCCGACCCTCATTCCTCATGCCCCAAATCATGTCGAATGGAGGACTATCGCACGTTCTCGCTTGGTCCGCCCCTCTTCTCCATTGAAGCAGCATTGGGGATACGGACATGCGCATGCAAGACCCAGCCTGTCAGTTATGAATAGAACCGCGTTGCACAGCGTTCGTTTCACCCCATGGACTGCAGCGCGGCAGTTGACAGCGGGGGGGGGGGACAAGTAAGGGTCTCGCTCACCTACTCGGAGACTACCGTGAGGTGATCCGGTCACTCTGCCCACCTGGGGAAATGTAAGTTTTCCGGAGAACAAACAGAAGTCTTTTGTTTGGTTTGAGCCGTTGTCTTCTTGGAGAGAATGGGGGCTCTTTCAATAAAGGGAGAAATTGAACAGTCCAGGCCCAAGCCACCAAGGGACTTGATGCAAGATGCTAGTGAAGCGATTTGTGTCACGAATAACAAGACCTAGTGCCTTTTTCAGCGGCATCAGCCCGCCGTGTTCCTGTTGGGGTCCGATAGATAAGGACAACGTCAGTGGCCGATGACCTTGGAGCTCTGTTGATATTAAATCTGAGCAGCTGGGACGTGGAAAGCCCGAGGGGCCACCGCCAAGACTATGGTTGTCATGCACAGCACCGAGGCTTTACTGGATCCTGACAGCAGAGCCTCCATATTAACTGAAGGCAACGACGCTCACTAAGCACTTCAGTCGGCTTCCACATCCTCATCCTCGCTTTTGGCCCACAAGCAGAGAGATCGTCGTTTCCTCCACTAACAACAGAAACCCAAAGACGGAGCTGACAGGCTGGTCCTTGTCGCCATCCCGGACGGTGTGACCCGACAGCCTGGAACGCTAGAACCTGTGAGCGCACAGACACAGGGCTTCAATTGACAGGCAGCGGTATCCCTGCAACCTCAAACCCACAGTCTAGATCCCCCACGAACGGCCTCCAAAAGAGCGAGCACCTAACGGCGCTCACGGCGCCAATAGGACGGGCTGTAGCGCCTGTGGGACGCCCGTTGTCTGCGCGTTGGTGGTCGAAGGGTCCACTGGTTGAACCTTTGGTTGCTTGATCTTGGTTCTTGATCGCTTCACGGGACCGGCCGTCCTGCAGTAGCTTTGAGACTTGGGGGTGTTGCGTCCGGCTGTTGTACCCTGTGCGCAGCAAAACCTCAAGAACGTTGTGCTTGGAAGCATGCCAATGGTTTCAGCGTATCTTATATATGTTCATTCCCCTATCTCTCTTTCTTCTCTCTTTTTTTGTGATTTCATTTCTCTTTCCCATTTTTCTTCTTCTTTTTTTCTTTTTGTGGAGTTGTCATTTTCTTTCTCGGAAATGGCTTAGGCGAGGGTACTTTGTTGACAATGCTTGTGTAGGTTCAAACCATACTGTAGAAAAGGGTATCATAGATCATCATAAGATCATCGAAAACCATATCGTAGAAAATCTTCTCGTAGAAAATCTTCTCGTAGAAAATCTTCTCGTAGAAAATCTTCTCGTAGAAAATCTTCTCGTACAATATTATTAGAAGACCGATAAGAGAAATACCAGAGTTCAACTGAGAACTGGTGATGAGAACACTCTGTTCATGCCACCTCCAAATGCCACGTCGGCAGTGCTACCACACAAATCATGGCTCATCGCCTTTCCCAGGATTTCTGTTGGGTGGATAGATTAGCGAAGCATCGTCATCGTCATCGTGATATATGAGAAAGAGGAACCGGAATCTGGGAAGAGGAGATTTCCGACCACGACGTGATCGATCTGTAGATTTCTCCAGAGATGGTGTTTCAGTGCATGGTTTATGGACTGACTTCAGTTCTGAATTGTTCAGGCTGATGTCACGTCCACGGAACCCGCGCAGGCCACAGATTACGAAGTTGGATGGAGGGTCACACCTGGAGACATCATTCGACACCATCCACGTCGAAGACGTGAATTTTCGGTTTGACACATGTCCACCACAGCACACATCTGTTGAGGAGTTGCTAGCCGCTGCAGATATGTCACCCCACGCGGCCCTTACAGCCGTCCAACTGCACTCAAAGGCTCGATTAGTCTCATTTCTGCGTACTAGGTCATCGGCAGTATGATTGAGGCCGGTGAAGATGCGCCCAGACTTGACTTGGCTGTGTTTCTGCTCACTGGGGCAAAGGTCTCCTGTTGTCTAGTCCCCTCTCAGGCGCGCGAGACTTGAATATGCTCTAGGGTACTGTACCCAGCTGAGCCGGTCAATGTATGTGATCCATCACATTGTAAAATGTTATCGACCTTGTCGTCAGTTCCTTGTCATGGTCCGATGGTTGGCGTTGAGATGGGACATCTAGGTGCTTTGGGTAGCAATCCGGTCTGACAACCCCAGGCTGCATGATGCGGCGCCGAGAGGTGCATGGTCTGGACCCCTTGATCGCAATGTTGCACCGAGGTAAATCCGGCATGTTCACAGATTCTGTGTGCTGTCAATTGAATGTCAAAAATTAGGCATAGATCTAGAACATACCATATATCAATTTCGCACGTGCTATATCCGCTCTCCCATAGCACAGCGTAAGTTAAGAGGACAGGTCACAATCGAAATCGTAGACAACACTGCTTCAGGTTTTGAGGACCATCATGGGTATTAAGTGTCATAATCATAGCAAAAGATACAATTTCTTTTGCGTCCAAACGCCGCCTCCCCCTGCCCTTCTCCCATCTGACACCCAGGTACGACACAGCCTATCCCCGAACAGCCCGCATTACAACGCCACGAACACAGTAGACAGATAAAGAAGCACCCAATAGGATCATGTCCGACAGACGCAATACCACACAAGACTGTAATTCCACAGTTCCTGAAGGAGAAAGTTTCGCCCCATACCCACCCACACGCAAAAGAGCCCCTCTTAGGCCCCTGGAAAAGCCAAGAAGAAAAAGCAACACACCACTACTAGGAAAACGCACAGACTTGTCCATCAGGCGCCTCGAACACTGCAAGCCCTGCACATCAGGATCGTTTGAAGGGTCCGGGTGACAGCGTGGTCGACATCCCCGTGCTTGACAGCTCACTAGTGCGCCTACTCACTGCCCTTTTTGTCCTCACCGTGCTTCGGGAGGCGCACCCGCGGGGAGCGCCCTTGATTCTTTTAGGGCTGATGCGCTGCAGACGGTGGTGGCGTCAGCATGCCTCTCTGTGTAGATCGATGCAGGCAGGGTTCAGAGATTTGGTTGAGTGAACTGCATGACCCACTAGTGTGCCAAAAGAAATTGAACTACTTACCTGGACGTCCGCAAAATGCCTCTGATCGCTCGATGCCACGAATTATCGTACAGACAATAGCCAGGATGAAAAACAAAGGGATTGAAACCCGAGGGAAGAAAAGTTTATCCGCAGTATGGGCTCGTGTTCGCCCAAGCAGGGTTCGCGGCGATCAGGGCCGCGGCCTCCTCGGCCGTCAGACTGCTGCCGTGTATGAACAGCGAGGTTTCGATGCCCGACGGGGGCTCGAAGATGCCCGTAACCTGCTCGAGCGTGTAGCCCTGCTGCTGTGCGTAGTCTGCGGGTGACATTGAGGTCGCCGGCGGCGGTTGTTGGAACGGGTACCTGTCGGGATTTGCGATGAATCCGGGCAGGTAGCCACGGAACTTAGCTCCGTATGAGACATCATCCACGGGTGAGTCATGCGCGGACCCCGGTGGTGTTGTGGGCTCGGTGGAATGATCGAGGTCGCCTGACAGTCCCATTCTGTGCGTGTCGCGAGCGTTTCCCAGGTCCTGAGGGTAAAAATAATTGAGACTCAGAGGGCTTTGTCGGCTGGGTGAAATCCCGGCGCTCCTGGTCAACCCAAGCTGAGCTTGTGTGTAGTAGGCAGAGGAAGTATTCGGAGGCAGCTGCGGGGGGTATTCAGCGTAGTAGTGGCCGTCCTCTTCCGCATAATAAGGAGGTCCGCATCGCTGCAGTCGTTGGATTCGCTGCCGGGCTGCTTCTTGTTGTTGTTCAGCTTTCACTCTCTTCCTGTTTTGGGCGGCTTGGACACCACCTTTTCTGCCTGAAACGGCCTTCGTATTTCCGTCAAATGTCCTGTCACTTCTGTGGGATCGAACAGCACTCTTACTATTCCCCTTGCGGTACCTGGTCGTGCTCTCCACGCCGCCGTAGTATCCCGGCTCGAGATACCACTCAGTCGATTTCCTTCCATCGGCACCTGAAGCGTCCAATGACAGACTTCCGTCGCTGTTCAGACCCGCCTGGTTGGATGCTCGCTTGGTAAACGCCTGCGAAATCGCTTCTTGTTAGTTGAACCACATCCATCTCAACTTGCTAGAGAAGAATTACCTACCCCATTCATCGAAAGGTTATGCCTTATCGAATTTTGCCATCCTTTGCCTGTACTCTTTGCCTTGTCCGTGTTCTCCCTGAACCACTGATAAATCTCCTGTAACGTCATTGACTTGTTCGGCCGCGACAGGAAAGCCCTGTAGATGAGCTGCGCGTACGGCTCGTCGCTCTTACCTCCCGCAGGCTCAGTCGATGATCTAGATCCAAGAACATCCTCAGCATCGTAGAGGCTGGGGTTGTAGACCATGTCGGCGTCCATTTCAATGTCAGGATCAGGGGATAGGGGCGCGGTATCCTCCCGGTCTTTGCAGATTGCATCGCTTGTTATCGCTAAAGTGTTGCTGCAGGGAGACAAAGATGTCATGGATGTGCCAGCCGCGGGGTTTGGGTGCTTGTAAGTGCCACGCATCGGAGGAAAGCCAAGATCCTCGTCTCTGGCGTTGTCGTAGGGTTGGCCTGACCTTTCCCCTGACGTCGAGTACGACGAAGAAGTAGGCTGGGCTTCTTCGGCAGATGACGGAATAACAAAGCGGCTTGGGTGATAGAACAGCTGATGGTAAGAGGCTTCCTGCGGAGCAGTGAAATTTTCCCAAGGTGTCCAAGATTCCACGGGCTGATCCTGCCCATCGAAGTCATACAAGGCTGTCCGATCACTGCAGTTGTTGACATTATAGCCGAGACTTGGTCGTGAGGTTGAGACACTACCAACCGCTGGCTTGGAGACTTTGCCAAGGTTGTAGTCATCGAAGTCGGTCGAGTGGCTCGACCGAAGACCTTGCATGCGCTGTGAAGTATCCTCCAGATGGTACTGTGCATACTGAAATTGGTGTTCTGGACTAAGCTGTTGCAGTGTCGGAGATGAGCCGCCGCGCTCGGGTCTGTCTGTCCTGTCACCTTGATTATGGGACGAGCTCGCGACGGATCCCGAAAGGCGTGTCTCGTCAACTGTAGGCGACACTTTGGTAGGCGAGTAGGAACCGTTGAGGCCCGGGCTGATGTCTGTGATGGCCGCAGGAGGTGCTTGCGTCGTGCAGGCAGAATACTCATGTTTCAGATGGACATTTCTACACGGTGAGTGCGCTCCAGAGCCGTCAGGAGAGACCACAGGCGGGAAGTCATCCATGCTCTCAGGGTCTTGAGCCATGGCGTCTTGTTGATACTGAACGACAATGCTCAGGGTTAAAGGCGATACGAACTCGTGATGAATGGGGTCTCTGTCTCGGCTTTGAAACAATAGATGTTGTTGAGTCATCCGGATCATTCCTGTTTGGCGGCCACGGTTGGGATGGAGTGAAACAATGATGGTGACGAGTCAAGAGAAAACTAGAAACAAATGCTTCCAAGATGTATCTGGGTGTCAGGACAGGTGCTTGCTTGGTGTGCTTGATATGACGAACTGCAGCACAGGGAAACAATCTAGAAGCTGACGGTGAGTGGAAGCCTGCAGGTTGTGTAGGGAGGAAGCTATGCTCGAACTGATGGACATGGAGGGTGCTGCCTTCACTAATATCTCTCTTTGACTTCCCCTTCTCACGATCAGATCTAGAAGACGAGCTGGGCCAGTAGTTGGATTAGATCGATTCGATGTCACTCATGTGGGCAGGGCTTGGGAGATCGGCCAGGGTCCTAATGCAGACCTTCCTTGCAGATCAGGACAGACAAGGATACTTGGGTAGTATTTTACAACATTCCGCCGCATAATGAGGCAAGGCAGGGGAGGTTGTGAGAGGGGGCAGCATCTAGGGACCCAAAGAGGAGTGCATCTAGCGAACACGTCCAGCGATGCAGATGACTGGTTACCTGGCAGCTCAAACATGCCTTAGCAGAGCCCCGTATTGTGTACTTCCTTTCTTGTACCTCCATTGAAGGCATGCGGGGCGGCTGGACCTGCCTCTGAGCACGAACCTAGATAGTTGGAAGCCACTGCGTGCGTGCTTGTGCGCTGCCACGGGTCGTGTGTGCTGGGCTTACAGATCTGTGTGGGCGTGGATTGGGTGTGAGCGAAAGCGTTGGGCAAACGAAACATGGCTTGCTGTCATCGCAGTTTCTCCTGAAGTGGTCGCATCTGGGGCCTGATGGCAGTCGGTCGTCCGGCAATGAAAGTCTGCAGCTATGGGAGAGGGTAAAGCCCCGCTGCTCCCTGATACAGAGTGATCTTTGATGGGTACCGAGCACCAGGGGGCACACATACGTACCGTAGCGACCACAAAGCCGTTAAGATCCACCCTTTCCACGCAGGCACAACAGTGTCAGCCCCAAAACGTCACAGGGGACCTGTCCTGGGGAGCATGGGGGCCGCATGGGGGTCCCCATCGAGGCCAGTGAGCCTAGGGTGTGACCAAGGTGAAGTTGTAAAGGAATGCAAAGGAAAGGCGAGCTTCGTGGAACAAGAGGCGACCATAAAGAGCCGTGTGTATCTGATGAAGGGAGGTGGAGCCTGACAGAACTTCTGCCTAGCAGGTCAAAGAGAGTGTTACCTCGTCGTGCCTTTGCTGGATCGGCTGGTCTGTTCGAAGTATACTTGGCAGTACTTCGCCCGAATGGTGACCTCTTCCCATCGCCTCCGGAAACAGAAGCTACTTGTGTCTGCCAGAGCTGCGACGGCTGTGACGCCCAGAGACGTGCGGAAAGCTGCATTCGGTCCCGCCAGTTCTGCCAATTATTTCGTTTAGAAAGAGGCTACAGAGCAGGTCATGACCATGTATCCAAGGGCAACAGAAGTAGACCGCTCTCGGGATTAGGAAGATTGCGTGCATGGGACGGGAGAGTAAAGCATTCTGGAAGGTGGAAGGGCCCAGAAATTTGACGCCAATCTATTGCTGAACAGTACCAGTGGGGCCATGGTTGCATGCATCTCAGGGTAAAAGTCAGCGAAGAGGAAGCCGCCATTTGGGTGGCTAGAACTCACCGCCGCGGCTTCTGGACTGCTTCTGGATAGTTTTCGATGTTGGATACACAACACAGCCTTTGCCCAGAAGTTGGAATCGAGAGAGCAAGGCTTCCCCCTTTCCCTCTGAGCCAGCGATCATTTAGTGTGATGATATCAAGATGGGGAAGCACAAGAGCAACTAGCGGTATCAGCCTTCCCAACAGGGACCCGCAGGCAGCTGAATGTCGCACAAGTCAGTTGCCGGGCGAGCGCGGCCAGACTCGATGGCTGAGGGCATGACGATGGCGCGGTCAAGATCAGGGTGTGGGAACGTGAACAGTAGGTGAGAAGGCCGCTATAGTACCGTTGGGGTTTCACAGGAAGCCTATTGCCTGCCATTAGTCCCATGCGCCCTGCAGCAGAGGCAACGTGTGATGTGATTACATAAGTATCGGAGACTCTCAGAATGACCATTCTTCCATCATTGTGCCGTTTTGGCCTGCCAGAAAATGCTGATTATACAACCAACATGCAGGTCAGGTCCATCCCTGCTATAGAAGGGCTTGCCGCTGTCAGAGACGTAGCCAAGAGTCAATTCCCCGCCGCCTCCAATCTTGCATATGTTTGAGGTGGCGCCATACCTCTTAGACCAAGGCACTTTTGGGCAACGATGCTTGCAAATGTGGATGGCACAGCACCTGTTCTTGTTGCATTACTTTCTATAGTAAATCTACAAAGAGCGTTAGCATCGGCGCTTTAATAAATCATCGGAGAGCTTGGTTAAAGTCGGAAAACCACTGACCTTCTTGAACTGAAAGTGTAGCTGAAGAATTCCCTGTTGAGGATAGTTAGCCAGTGGACCACACAAGGCCTGCTGAACCTTTTTGGGCCTTTCATGGCCCAAATAAACAGAACATCGATTTTGTAAATGTTTGTACTCGCACTACAGCCCGAAAGCTTCCTGGCGGGGCACAGCGGAAGAAATTTGACATACCTTGTCGAAGCTGCTGCGAAACCCTCGGTCCCTCTTCGCAGAGTAGTCCCACTCTCGGTCGACGATACGAAATGCAATATCTTCGTACGGTGGACCTGCAATGAAACGAAGGAGACAAGTGTCCTCCTCTCCTGCGGGAGCAAAAGATTCTCCTCTGCGTCGGCCGCCCTCCCGCATGATCTTGAACGTAGGCGCCTTAGTCTTGTCGATCAAATCCGGGTAGAAAATGTTGAACTTGTAGCCCTGGACCACCTTCGGAGGCGGATTGTCGTGGTCATAGTGTGTTTGATTATATTTGTTCCATTCGTATCCCATTGTCACCCTGTTGAAGTACTGTGGCTTCCGTGGGCGATACTTATCAGCCCACTTCGGCTTGGTGGCACTAGGGACAGCTTCTTCTGCCGTGAAGATTTCCTCGTTTTCGCTAATTCCACGCGCGACCTCACGCTCATAAAGAGCCCGAGTAGCCTGGGAGAAGTCCTGCGCACCGCTCGACGCAAACCGTGCTGTTCCAGGAGGCGCGTTGCTGTCTTCGGAGGCACCAGCACCAGCGGAGGATGAAGCAGCGGTTGGCGGCTTGGCCGCTCGTGAGGTGGCCTCTCCAGAACTCATCCCAGCCCGCGAGCCATGAAGATCGATATCTGCCGACGCAAGAGCATCTGCTTTGGCTGGGTTGCTGGACCTGAACTGCTCGATGCGGCTCTCCTTGATCGCTTCACAAATCTTGTTCAGCTTCGCTTTTGCCTTGTAAACCAGCAAATTTCTCAGCAACCCCTCCCAATAATCCCTGTCGACATTCTCGTCTGATTGTAATTTGGCCTTGATCTGTTTTTCCAGACCCTCAAGTTGCTCAAAGGTCTTGGGACCTAGAATCCTATCCACATCCGAGGATACGGCACTGACTGCACGTCCTTCGTGGTCGTTTCCCTGTAACTTCGTCCTCCTATCTTTGCAAAGAGTGAGGAGAGAGCTCCAGTAGTCGCGATTCCTCTGGCTGGTCTCCAATGTGTGAAAAGAGGTGATGTCTGACTCCAACTCTTTGAGCTCTGCCGCGTTGGAACTATCCACTATTTTTTCGGGTGACGGTACATTGATCTCGATATCGCCATCGTCATCGTCGAAGACATCCCGATCATTGTCGATATAACGAAGGTTGAAGGCCAGGTAGTCGACGGCCCTGGCGCGCCCCTCTCGGACCCGGATGTCGGCCTTCTTCTTGGACTGCTTAAGGACGAACTTGTCTTCGTCGGCCACAAATTTCCTGGATTGATCGTCTTGGCTCAGGAATCGGGCGGTATTGGCCGCCGCGTTTGACGGGCTTGGTTTCGAGGGCTTGGTGATACGGTTGTTGGGGTCTCGTCGTGGGCCGGTAATGTCTCTGTCCTGCCGTTGAGGCGACTTCGTACCATCAATCATTGCCTGTCGTCCCGGATCCATGATGGGCGACAAGGAGGAAAGCTGGGCGACTCGAGCTGGGTTATGTTTGTACTTGTAGGGTTGCGTGAGGTTCTGCTGAAAGGTGACGCACATGCGAACTATTCCAAGGCTGTCGTCGATCACTTTAGGAGACCCGGACGCGCTTGGCACTTGGCTGCTTATGTAAGCCACCACGAACTTAGTCACAGAAAGCTGTGAGGCAGCCCTGCCATTCACCCATTTGAGTCGCGAACACCACGACTAAGATCAATTCCTCCCTACTGGCACTGAAGCAATAGCTCACCCATTCTTTTGCTGGGGCGACGCCGTTTGGGCAAGGTGTATTCTTATCAACGCTAAGGTGTCCACTATTGAAGTCTGGACTGCTGACCATAAGAACACGATACCCAGGGGTTGGAAAGATCTTGTTCGAGATCGACTGTTTCTGGGGAGGATTTGCGTTAATACTATGCATGATAGACATCCGAAAAATTGGTCAGCTTGCTGATTCCATTGCACACGAACTTCCCAATAGTCCCAAAGCTCCAAATCTACATCCATCGTGGAAATGTAAACTCCTACTTGAACATGGGGTGAGGTATCATTACAACTTCTCCGGTATTGACTTATCGATTAAAGCGCACACTAAAATTCATTTTGCCCTTCCCAGTCCTTTGCAAGACGAAGTCCCCATGCTTGCTCGACCCCCCTCCCATTTTCAAGAAAAGGTGTTCATCTCCACAGCAATAGACGTCTTGGGGTATGGTTATGATGCTTGTCCGCTTTTTAGGACACTTAAAAGGCTTTGAAATTTTCAAATCTAGCTGGGTGGTCACTTCTTGGCTGCCAGTGTTGGCTGGACAGGGCAATCACTGATGAATGCAGTTTCAAATGCACAAACAGAAAAAGATGTCTCCGATTCATAACTCAAATTGTTGCTACAGTTTCTAAGTGTGCGGTGTCCATGATTACTGGTTCGGTGTCTGAGATTGGAAACAATATGACTCTTGCATGTATCCTTGTCCGCGGGGTCCTCCAGGTTGGTGTCGAAGGCATGTGTTCACCTAATTGAATCGAATGCTTAGAGTTCAGGAATGACTGGCAATTGGTCAGTCAATCGAATAGGTTCGAGCTTTCATCCAAACGCGCACATACGCTGTGGTCTGAAGACAAGTATGTCGATCATATCACTGTAAGCCAGGCCGCTTCCGACGAAAGCCTACAGTGATCCTCTTTTCCATGTCCCGTCTTTGGGTAGAGTCCTCTCCCGGTTGAAACCTCGTCGACAGGTGGTAGTAAGATATTAAGGTTAAGATGTGGAGAGGCCGTCATGGCGACGTTGTGTCTGAGTAGCTGACACTGGTGCTCCACTTGAGAGGTGATGCTCGATCTGTTTTGTCCTTCTTTTCAAGTCATTGCATACCCATCAGAGGGTTTCGTATCTAGTGCATTGAGAACGAGTTCGGAAACAATGAGATCTTGTCGCCTGCCCTGCTACATGTATGCTGGACTTTGCAATTCCGCAACTCGGCGCGCGGGCCGAGATCGAGATGAGCCGCATGAAGAGCTGTACAAGCCGCGGCAGAATTTAAACTTGCTGGAATTGTGATTGATTCGACTCCATATTTCTGGCAGTTGATTCTAGTGATGCACATGAACTTTGATCGAAATATCATACACGGTCACTTTTAATTCGACCCCTTTTTTCCTTTTTTGTAGATCGTCGCGCTGCCGAATGTACAGGTGACGTATATTTAGAGATATCTTAGCGATCTTAGCGATGATTGCACACAAAAGAAATTCCTGCGCAGCGGTCTGTGCGGTTCAGTTCTGACTGTAGCAATTTTTGCTCACAAAAAGTCGGCCCGTGAGTTAACTTGGCATGGTTTCCATCTTGCACCCGTGACAATGATGTATCATATTCAGGTGTGTCTGCCGCAGTTGATGCGATCCACTATCCCTCAGGTCAAACGGGTCACCGGTGGAAGATATCGCCTCTGAAAGGAGCAAGGGCCGCCGGAGCCTCGAGCCAATCCAGCATTGTGGTCCATATTAACATGTTGTTGGTGCCGGGGCTGACGTGCTTCAGCCAAACGACCTATGAGACGTTCAACTGAGGGTCCCCCCTTTGCGGAAGGTAAGGCGAGCGTGCCGTGCATGCGCATCGTAGCGAGCGCTTGGTCACCCGAATTTTCCTGAATTGCGGTCTGCCTTTAATGCTGGCTCTCACCCAAGATCCTATCCCACCGTCCTACTCTCTATCGGCAAAGTCTAAGTTGCCTCGCTTTTCGTACAGCACATTCTCTTCAAGCATTTCCCACCACCCGGTGATAATGCTGGACTCGTTCTTCCTGCGCTCTGGGTCCGAGGAGCTGGCCAAGGCAATCCACTCGCTTTCTGGGGCTGTCACGACTATCTTCCTCTTCACGCGAATCTGGGCGAGGACTAGCCTGTACAAGGGGCTTTGGTGGGATGATTACATTTGTAGGTTAACCATCCTCGTGCCAGATATTGGATTGTAACAAGTGTGGTGACAATTGACACCATAAGTGATTGCATCCTGGGCTCTCCTGCTATGCGGCAACGGACTGGCTGCCGCTGCGCCGTCGTATGGCTTCAGAGTCATTGAAGGCACTTCGCACGGGTGGCTACTTGCCTTCTCTTCCATCAGCCTTTTTTACATTGCTATGGCTTTGAGCAAGACTGCCTTTGCGGTGACCCTGATCCGGCTCTCAAGTGGCAGGACGCGAGTGATTCTGTGGATTGTCGTCTTGTTGGTCTGTGCCGTAAATATCGCGGCGGCCGTGATCACCTGGCTCGATCTTTGCGATGCGCGCGCGGATGTTAGGGGTATCTCTGGCTTTTGTGTCGCTATGCAGACTGCAGTTTGGATACATGTGGCCAACGCCATTGTTACTCTACTTGCCGACGCCTACCTGGCGTATTTACCTTGGAGGGTGCTGGCCAAGATATACATTCCAAGCAAAGAGAAATGGGGTGTGGGTATCACTATGAGTCTCGTTGGCCTAGCAGGAATAGTCTGCTTGGTCAGGTGAGTGATATCACGATGGCCCAGCACTGAGAGCCCTCCGTATCCCGTGCCAGAATCTGATGGAGACAACTTTTGCAGGACAGTCTTGGCAAGCCACAGCCCGAAAGCAACCGAGGAACTGGGGACTCCGGACTGGACCTGTGAGTATCGATCTATACCACCTCTGCATCGAGGAGGGCATTTTATTGACACTCAGCAGATGGGTGGGTGGCTCTCGTCGGTCTCTTCCAGGCCGAAGTCGGAATCTACATTGTTGCACAGGCAATTCCCCTGCTTCGAGTTTTCTATCTCGGCCAAACAAATCGATCAAGCCGGTCTTCAGGCTCAATCCGAGAGGCCGCAACGCCTTCATTTGTGGGAAAGAAGATGACGACACGAGTGACCGGTGGAGAAACAATACACGAAGCCGATGAAAGCATTGAGCTGGTCCAACTCCCCAGTGGCCGCATCGTCCAAGCTAATTCGGAGGAGGGCAAGGCGTTCAGGGCATCTCGACCAGCACAGAGTGCCGATGTCCCTGAGACGCAAGCGCAGCAAGCCAGCGGATTCAATATGGACGACGAGGTGCACCGTGTCTGGGCTGATATGGGCCTCTCCAGGAGGGCTTGGTCGCAGTCACCATCGCCGCCGCCTGCAGCTCGAGAGGTACAACACCTGGGGTGAGACATCGAGGATGAAGATGTAAATGTTGAAAAAACAAGGCAGGCCTGTTTCATTTGATGTGGACCGGATCAGGCTTCTTGTGATAGGAACAGCAGCCAGACCAGAGGTCTGTCGAGAAAGTCGCAGCTTTCTAGTCGTACCCGTACCTTGTGTCCAAAGAGAGGCCAAGATGCAGTGGAACGGAAGATGCGGACTGCGGCCAGCAACCTAGTCATCATGCTGATTTCGAGTATAGTCAGAAGTTGCAATGATAGTAATGTTCCAGGTCTTCCCTCAAGATACTAGATTACATGTAGACGTATCTAGACATGCCATCGGTTGTGAGACGAGCACAGCTTTGAGCAGACAGAGTGTCTCGGGACAGGGCGGTGTGGTCACATTGTGGTAGTGAACTCTGAGAGATGAGATGGCTGAGTGACCACAATGAAGCCCTGGATAATTAGAGTCTTGACAGGTCGCTGAGAAGAGACAGGGATCGTCGTCATAGTAAGTGAGGCTCGCCTCGGAGTTCACAGCTGGCCCAAGCTTCTCCCGTTTGCAGGGGTCCAGGGGGCAGGAGCTGCCCCGCTGCGAGGCCGTTTTCTGAGCTCCCAGTTCAAGGTTGATGGAAGGGCCTAGAAATCTCCATGCTATTGAAGTCTGCCTATCCAGCCGGGATGAAAACGGGGGACCACCACGAGTCTCACCAGCCACTGTTACTGTAGGAGGAACAACCACAGCAACAATAACAACAGTAACACCACCACCCCATCCTTCTCTTCAAACTTTTCCAACCCCCAACAGTTTCCATACCACTTCATACCCCTCCATATCCATTTGTTCTGCGCTTGCGTGAACACGGCCAATACCAATTTACTCTTCCACTTCTGTCGCATCCCCCACCATGTCGACCGCGGATGAGCTCAAGGCTCTGGGCAACAAGGCCATTGCCGCAAAGAACTTCGACGAGGCTGTGTAAGTCTTTACCTTCCGAGCTCTGGTCTCTCCACTCTTGCTTCTCTTGTAACCTTATTCTGACTCTTCGTCTCTGCAGTGACAAATTCACACAGGCCATTGCCTTGACGCCGGACAACCATATCCTCTACAGCAACCGGTCCGCAGCCTACGCCTCCAAGAGAGACTACGAGAACGCCCTGAAAGATGCCGAAAAGACCACAGAACTCAAGCCTGACTGGCCCAAGGGCTGGAGCCGGAAAGGTGCTGCTCTCCACGGCAGGCGTGACCTTGCCGGCGCTCTAGACGCCTACAAGAAGTCCTCCGAGCTGGACCCAAACAATGCCGCCGTCAAGAACGACATCGCCAACATTGAGCGAGCCCTGCAGACCCCAGAAGACCCCATGGGCGACCCTTCTGCCGGACTCGGCCAGATGTTCAGCGACCCCAACCTCATTGCGAAGCTCGCTGCCAATCCCAAGACGAGCTCCTTCATCTCCGACCCTGTGTTCATGAACAAGATTCAACAGATTCAGCGAGACCCCAAATCTCTGAATCCTCAGGAGCTTACTGGGGACCCGAGGTTCCTGCAGGTGCTCGGGGTCTTGATGGGCGTTGACATGCAGATGGGCATGCCCGACGAGGCTGGCCCGGCTGGTGGCGCGCCGCCACGTGAGGCTGAGGAGGAGATTAAGAGGCCCGAGCCTGCCAAGAAGGCACCTGAGCCCGAACCAGAGCCAGAGCCCATGGAAGAGGATGAGGAGTCGATTGCTAAGAGGAAAGCCAAGGAGGAGGCCGACAAGCTGAAGGCTCAGGGCACCGCTGAGTACAAGAAGCGAAACTTTGACGCGGCCATTGAGAACTATTCCAAGGCATGGGAAACTCACAAGGACATCACCTACCTGACCAACCTGAGTGCCGCCTATTTCGAGAAGGGTGACTATGAAAAGTGCATCGAGGCCTGCACACAGGCTGTCAATGAAGGACGCGAGATCTACGCCGACTTCAAGCTGATAGCCAAGGCTTACGCTCGCATTGGCAGCGCCTATGAGAAGCAAGCCGACCTGACAAAGGCAATCGAGTACTACAACATGTCCCTGCGTGAGCACCGTACACCCGACATCTTGAACAAGCTTCGGGCCGCGGAGAAGAAGAAGCTCGAAGACGCCAAGAAGGCGCTCATCGACCCTGAGAAGGCCGAAGAGGCTCGCGTGCAAGGCAACGAGTTCTTCAAGAAGTCCGAGTACACCGAGGCTTACAAGGCCTACGAGGACATGGCCAAGCGCTCCCCGGAAGACCCCCGAGGCTACTCGAACAAGGCAGCGGCCCTGATCAAGCTTGGAGAGTTGCCAAGCGCCTTGGACGAGTGCAACACTGCCATCAAGAAGGACAAGACCTTCATCCGCGCATACATCCGGAAGGCACAGGCGCTCTTCATGATGAAGAGATACTCCGACTGCCTGGACGCGTGCGAGCAGGCCGCTGAGGTTGACCTTCAGCACCACAATGGTGCCAGTGCCAGGGAGATCGAGCAGCAGCAGCAGAAGGCGCTGGCCAAGATGTACGAGAGCCGCGAGGGTGAGACCGAGGAGCAGACTAGAGAGAGGATCATGCGGGACCCCGATGTAAGTGGCAGCCGAGCACGCCCCATTGTAATTGGAACACAACAGCTGACCCTCTTCGCAGATCATGGCCGTCATGCAGGATCCAGTGATGCAGTCTATCCTCCAGCAGGCTCAGTCCGACCCTGCCGCTCTCCGCGAGCACATGAAGAACGCCGGTGTGCGCTCCAAGATCCAGAAGCTTATCGCTGCTGGCGTTATTCGCGTTGGTTAAGTAAGTTCGTTTCTGCGAATCATGTTTGGCACGGCATGGATGGGAAGAAAAGGGACAGGCATTGGAAGGAAGTTGGTTGCATTCAGTGAGGAAAAGTAATGTACGATGAAACGATCATACCCTGATACCGATCAATTGAATTCCGTTCAGTTGAATTTGATGAGGTCAACCGAGAGAGGAAGACTCGCATTCGACCGTCGACACTGGCCACCCTGGCACACAAGATTGGTCCTGTCGGCCGCTCTCGTCCTGACCAACATCGAGCGGTCTTGGAGCAGTCGAGGCTCAAGGGCAGCGTATGGCTTATTTTTGCAGCGTCCATGGAGAGACTTGGCATGTATCTCATCTCTCACAGGCTTTCGGAAATCTAATCACTATTAACCCTGAAATTTCTGGCATGCTATGAAGGCCAAGCCCACAACATTTGGGCTCGTTGTCCCGCCCGCTATGTACACATTGAGCTTCTCGTGAAGTATTTACAAAAGCTCACTCCTATGTTATATTCAACTTTTTGTGCCGATAGCCCACCTGGACCTCAAAGGTCGGCCCTCAAGCCGGCAGGACGAACATGGTCGTCGCCGCCGGGTCAGCACCGTCACCACCACGAGCCGGCTGCGCCGGCGGCGGGGGCGAGGGAGCAGGAGGAGCTGCAGGTGGTGGCGGCACGGGTGGCGGCGGCGGCGGCGGCGGAGGAGGAGCAAGGGCAGGCGGCGCAGCCGACGGGGGCACGATGACGGTCGTGAATACCGTCGCGGTCGCCGTAGTGTTGGACCCGGTCGGCGCCTTGGGGAGGACCGCGTTCGCGAGCGGGATGTTGGCCGCGATGCCGCCCGCGATAGTCCGCCCGGGGATGTTGGCTGGTGCCCTTGCGGCGGCGTTGAAGTAGTTGATTAGGTCTGCTGGTTGGCTGTTGTTGCAGGGCAGGGAAGATGTCAGCCACGGCAGTGGTTATCATTTTCTTTTCCCCATGCGCACGGTGTTTCTTAGGGAAATAGGAGGAGAGGACGGCAGGACTCACGCATTTACGGTCATGACCATGCCCTGTTGGCAGTGCATCGCCTGCGCGCAGTACAAGAACATGGGCTGCGTATTCATGACGGGAACATTAAAAGTGCCGACCATGCCGCTCGCGCCGCCGTCAAACGGGATGAAGCCACTGTTCACCCCGGCGGCACCACCGGGTCCTTCCACGGGCTGACATGGAGACGAGGGCAGCGACTGCGTGACGGTGTGGTTCCGCGCTGCGAACTGGAACTGGAGCACGTCGCCCGGGTTGGCGGTGATGCTGTTCGGGGTGAAGGTCAGGGCCGTCCCGCCGACGAGCACGGGTATGATCTTGTTCGGGGTGGACGGTGCGAGTGGCTGGCTGTTGACTACGTGGTGAGAGAAAGGTCAGGTATCTGTCTGTGAATAACCGCTGGTTTGTTTGGATGCAGGCACAGGTGTGTATGCCTATTCACATCTATCTGCGAGGTGGAGTAGACATACCGGCAAAGTCAACAGCCCAAGACTGCCTCGCCGCTGTCAAGGCAAGGCATATCGTCGAGAGGAGTCGCCTCATTCTCTTTCGAATTACTGTAATAACATGGGAAAAGAAGAGAGTGTGTAAGTGATATTATTGCCGCATATTATTGCTATGACAAGATATTATTATGTTCGAATCTCGCTCGGGGTCAACCCAAGTAACTATAGACAGGACGAGCGTGAGAAAGGGAGCAGATTAATCTCGCCACTGCCAGCGCCTGGACAGGCGATACTTCTTGTTCGAGCCGTTTACACGCAAGTGTCAACCTAAACTCTGCTTGCCGGGAATCTTGCCCTTTCCTCGCTCTGCCACTGCACTGCAAACCCACTTTCGCATCGGTCCGCTCGGCGCGCGGCCACCGCCCAGCCCTGCATCATCATAGGGCTCGCCTTCAAACCTTCCGGTTACGCAGACGTCCGTTCTGGGAAGCAAGACTGACAAAAAAAGAGCAGGGCATGACGAGGAGCGAGGGGCTAAACAGAAAGCATCCCATGCGCTCTGAGCTTGATGTTTAAACCTCTTAGTTCGGATGAGACGGCCCACGAGCAATACTGTTACCAGCGAGCGAGCGAGCGCATCTTAGTACACATAAGTCCACTGGCATTTCTCTATACCCCACCTCGCACCAGAATCCATTGCCCTCGAGGTGGGTTGAGCCGATGTTTCAATGGCACCAGTGGGCGTTTCGCAATGGCCTCATCTGATGTCGGTCGCTCGGATCAAGTGCCGACCCTCGCGCTGCAGGCACGCGGGACCGCACCCAAACAAGCTCAAATGCAATTCAGGGCAAGTGGACGTGCTTCCCTCAAGACTGCTCGTGGCCGTCTGATGCGTACGGGACGACCTTAATTTTCCGTTAGCCAGCCGCAGGTCTCTGCTTGACTCCTCCGGTGGTCCAGACGACTAACGGATGGCTGTTCATAAAAGAGAGACAGGCAATAGTCCATATCCTCTTTGGAGAGAAGCAATATAAGCTCGTACGTAGGGCGTCACTCTCAAAAATTGACAAGTTGGTCCGGAGCAGCGCAGCAGTCGGCAGATGTCAGTGGTACGACGATCAAACAAATATGCACGGCTGAAAGAATGAATCGCAACGATATGTGTCTTGTTTCTATGCTCATATTTACACGTGAAGTAAACAATACAAAACATGAGTAATTAAGGCGTGGCGCTATGTGCAGTACTCGCTCGTGCCGGCTCGACTCGGACATGATATGATGCTCGCGCGTCAAAAGCATGCTCCTCTTTACTTTTGGTCTTTTCTAACCGCAACATCCCTGGGCGCTCTAATTCCATGTTGTGTCTTGACATACCCTAACGTCTGGCCCTCTCCACAGCAGCGGCGCTCATGTTGGTCATTGACAGACCAGAGGGCGGCGCGGGCGTGCTGGCCCGTGTTGGAGGTGCGGATCGGTTGTGAGCCATATGCGCTCTCACCAGATGACCGGCGGCCAAGGCGGCATTAAGCGACAGCTCGCCGGCCAGCACGATCGAAGCAATGATTCGCGCGAGGCGACGGGCATTCTCGCCTGGAGTGACCGGATGGGCACCGCGCACGCCCAGCATATCCAGCATGGCAGACTGTGGCTCTAAGATGGTACCACCACCAAGCGTGCCAACTTCGATGGAGGGCATCGAGACAGAGATTTGGAGGGAGCCTCGGAGACTGCAGATGTTGGTTAGCAAATGTAGCATAAGTATAGAGCGTCATACATCAGGGGGTTTCGACGTACTTCTTCATGATTGTAATACAGTTTGCACTTTCCACGACCTGGGCTGGATCCTGGCCAGTGGCAATGAAGACCGCGGCCACCATGTTTGCGGCGTGGGCGTTGAAACCTCCGACGCTGGCAGCCATGGCGGACCCGATCAGGTTCTTGTTGATGTTAAGCTCGACAAGTGTGTCAACATCAGTCTTAAGCACCGACTTGACGACATCACCGGGAATGATGGCCTCAGCAACAACGCTCTTGCCTCTTCCTTCGATCCAGTTGATAGCGGCGGGCTTCTTGTCAATACAGTAGTTGCCGGACAGAGAAACAATTTGCATGTCCTGGAAGTCATGCTCGTTCGCCATGACGTCGAGCGCGTGCTCGACACCCTTGGAGATCATGTTCATGCCCATAGCGTCGCCTGTCCTGCTCTTGAAACGAATGTAAAGGTTTGTTCCGGCAATAGTGGATGTCATGGATTGAAGTCGTGCAAAGCGGCTGGTCGAGTTGAAAGCATTCTTCATCACGGTCTGGCCGGCTTCGGAGTCGAGCCACAACTTGGCAGCTCCAGTGCGTTCCAAAGTCTCGAAGGTCACGCAAGGTCCACGGGTCATACCGTCGCCGGTCAACACCGTCACGGCACCACCTCCAGCATTGATGGCCTTGCAGCCACGACTGGCACTAGCGACCAAAACACCTTCCGTCGTAGCCATAGGAATGAAGAAGCTCTGTCCATCAACAACCAGAGGCCCCGCAACACCAACCGGCAGAGGCATGTAGCCGATGACGTTTTCACAGCAAGCACCGAGGACCAAATCCCAGTTGTAGTGTTGGTAAGGAAGCTTGGATCGCTCCAAGACGTTGGTAAAATCTGAAGTAGCCTTGGTGCGAGAAATAATAGCGCGACGGATCTTGACAGCGCGAGTGCAGTCTTTCAAAGTTCTTTCCAGGCTGTGGCCAGGGACCTTGCCCTTGAGTGCAAGAGTGATGATCTCATCGTCGTTCATCTCGGGAACACGCTTCTCAGCAAGCAGCTTCTGAAGCTCCTCGTAGGGACGTTGAGGACCGTCGTTAACGATAGAGACAGTAGAAGCTACGCGTTTGAAGGCCGACGCATCGCTCTCGTCGTCGGTAGCAGCGGGCGTAGGCGGCTGAGCCTCCGTAGGCGATGGGCGAGCTGATCTGTCGTATGGGCCGGGTGTCGTGGGGTCGGAGTCGTTGAATCTCTGTGCTCGCGCAAGCTCCTTGACATTGATCGGGTGGTCGGGAACGTTGGGATCTTTAATTCCCCATCTGGCGGCATTGAAGAGGTAGCCATTCAGAGCAACACTCATGGCCAATGCTATGACGATCCACTTGGACAGAACGGGATCCTCCAGACTCTTGAGTATACTACCAACCACTCGACCGTAGCCCAAGTCGTCCACTTCATCAGTGGCCGTTTGAGGGACCTTGCCATAATGGATCGAGGGGAATTCCAGCTCATACTTGATCGGAGTCAAGATTGTAACTACGACTCCCCGGTTGTTGGCGTTCGTCTGCGCCAGCAGAGTGTCCAACCCATTGGAGGCGACCTTGAAAGGATCGACAGGGGGGTTGGCGACAAGGCCACCGAGACCACCAGCCCATGACGAGATGGTCGACAAGGAGTCAGTGTCCCGGAATGGAACGGTGCAAAGATTGATTGCGTTGATCAGCACAAATCCAGAGACCATGAGAACCTTGAACTTGGGGACACTGGTGCTCTTGATTTGCTTGCCAAAGAGAGACGCGCCGGTCTTCTTGCCGTCGGCCTGGGGCCAGTCATTGTTCTGTGCAACATTCTCAGCTACACGGTGGCTGACACCATCATCCTCGAGGGCCCGTCGCATCTCGATGTGGCGCCTAATTCGGTTGATCTCGAGCTTAATGCAGAGAATCGCAGTGTAGAAGGTGAAGAGCAGGACGCAGTCGAAGAAGAGGATCCATGCGGCGAGGAAGCAGAACTGTTGCAGTCCTCCTTGGACGCCGGAAGCAGCTCCGAGGACGAGCACGACAATTTCGATGACATAGTCCTTAACAATGTCGTAGCCCTTCTCCTTGATAGCAACCTGGATCGCGGACTGGATGTAGTTTGACGTGGCGTCCTTGCTCTTGCGGTTCTTTTCTTGTGCCGCCTTGTGCTCGATGGAGTGATTGAGGACGGCACGGGTGAGAGTAATGTTCTTCTCGAATCCAATCGTGATAACCAAGAATGGCAGACCCTCGGAGAGCAAGACCATGGAGACGGGAACGCCAAGCTTAGTGACGACCACCAAGCTGAACATGAAGGCGAAAGCCGAGGACAAGAGGGTGGTCGCAGCCAGCCAGAAGTTGGAGCCCATGCGACGCATGGACAAGAACAAGGAGACGAAGGTCAGATGCATGGAGATGTACCCGAGAAACATGATAGTGATATCGAGCGCCTCGGCATTCTTGAGAAGATCAATGAAGTCAAACCAGGCGTTCTGAGCCCACTCCACGACGCTGTTCCGTGGGCTGACCTTGGCGGCCTTCATGATCCACATCTTCTTCTCCTTGCCATGTTCGGTCTCGCGTGTCTCCTGGCTTGGGATATCGTTGGGAATCTCCTGCGCGGCGGCCAAGAATTGGGGCGCCTGCTTATAGGGCACAGCAAGGGCCACAGAGGTCTCTTGAGAATAGGTGGTAAGGGAGTTGGAGGTAGATGGCAGCGAGATGATGGAGATGTTTTGCGGTAGAGGAATGGTCTCTAGAAGCGGCGCCGTCTTGGGGGCATCGTCGGACAGCGAGTCGGGAAAGACGAAGGTCAGGAGGGCCAAATGGTCAACGTCGGTCCCAACAACGGCATCTGAGTCCCAGGTTTGCCATTTCCATGCTGAATCAGGCCCAGCGTGTAGACTGCGGCTGCCCTCGATCAAAGAGGGCCAGTCGGCCGTCCTAACGGTTCTTGTCGCATCGAAGAGGCTCTCCTCCAGCAGACCGAGATAGCACGAGCTGGCCAGAAGCGCAACTACGACGATAGTGTGAATCGGGTGGGATGCCGTGATCGCGGAGACAGAACGTAGGAAGGGCGTGATCTTGGTGTTGAGCCAAGAGGGAGGTTTTGCCTGGGAGGCAGGCTGCTCGCCCCGAAATCGGGACGGGAGGAGGGAAGAGGCAATCATGTTGAATATATCGAAGCCGAGCAGGTACTGAGCAGGACGATTCTACATTGAATGCATTTGCGGGGACTGGGGGCTCGTAGTGTCGAGGATTGCGGACGGTTTGAAGGTCACCTGTTGAGAGATTTTGTGAGCATGAGGTCAGACTCGAAGGACGACATATCGGGATGGAAGTTGCCGGATTGGGAAGAAGCCCGAGTATGCGTAAGACGCCATGCCCAGCAGGCAGATCTGACTGTACGTCCATAGATACATGGCAGGGACCAGATAGTCGAATATTGTTGATTCCTTATTGTTGTAGGGTATAGGGATTGACTACGTACCAATTCGCGCCTGCTCTTAATGCCGGCGCGCAGAACCCTTAGGGAAGCTTGCAGCACAGATAGGCTTCAACAAACAGACACAGGCAGTTGGTTGAGCAGAGGAGCAATTGGCTCGCTCTGGCTATGGTCGAAGTCGAAGTCGAGAGCGGAGGGCGAGTGTTGGGATGAGGAGGGAGCGATGAGGTAGGTGGTCGACAATAAGATTCAGCCACACAGCATCGAGCCCAACACCAACCAACAAGGCAAGCGGTTGTCGTGGATGTGTCAATTCGACACAAAGGACAGGGCCGGCGATGTTGATGAGTAGTAGTAGGATTTCTTGAGCGGTGCAGTCAGCGGGGCGTAGTATCCGTCTGACAAGAGATATGGGGAAGTAGGCGACGATGGGAGGGAGGGAGAGAGAGGCTCTAGGGCTAGGAGGTGGTCGGGCAAGGTTGAGAGGAGACAAGGAGGCTGCTGGTATTGTATCTATCTGGCTCCGGCGGCGATGGGCCGAGTCGATAAACCAAACGAACTGGGGCACCGGCACACAATACAAGACGGCGCAGGCTCAGGCGCAGACGCAGGCAGATGAGATGGTCCGGGGAGCGGAAAAGGTGAGAAAGAATTTCGAGAAAGATCCCAGAGCTCTTGGCAAGAACGCACCACGCAGTGCTCCACGCTCTTGCAGGCTGGCGAAGCCGCCCCGAAATGGCAATTGATGCCCCACACTACGCAATCTCCATGCCGGGTCAGGGATTTCATTGGCCAGTGTTGGGCAGAGGTTCCTGGTCTAGCTGTGGGGGGGCCCCTATGTGCCCTCTGCACCAATCTCTCTGACCTGCCGTACTGTACGTACCCGCCAACTGGGGCGACAGTACATCTGTGCCCAGGTAAACGTGGGCCTTGCACCGGGTAACTCTGGGAGGTGGGCCATGTATCTGCGTACCCATGCATCCATGTGGTCCAGCTACATACCCTGCCACTTCCAACTTTTTCTATGATGGTTTGCAAGAGCTTCCCGCGAACCTTTTCTTCTGCCTGTGAGTCTCCTGCCTGCCTGCCTGCCTGGCTGTTTGACAGGCATGTACCTGCGTACTTTCGGTACCGTATTCCCGCTATGATTGCGATTGTCCATACCGCGTCTTGATATTGTGTTGCACTCCCACATTCAACCCCCTTTGTGCGGTGCTTTGCCTCGCAGAGTCAGTCGACAGCGCGCCAGGACGGGGAAACTGTTTCTCGTGCCGTGTCTCATCCATCCCACTGTTTTTGCTTTTCTGATCGCCACGGCCTGCCCCAGCGAGCAGCACCAACAGCACCAACCGACATCACGCCAACCAGACAACAACTCATCAACGCTGCCCCGACGTCGCCTTGACTCGAGTCGCGGTGTAGAGCTGCGAGGTTTGGCTATCTTATCGCCTTATCCGCCCAACGAGGTGCCGTCCTGGCTGTGGGGTCCTGTGGGGCGGGGCGGGCTGCTGCTCTAGCGAGATGCGAAGGCGCGGTAAGACTCGGGCAACTGTCGGGGCGGCCTGGGCGCCCGCTTGGTGATCCCCTCTTCTTTGCTGCGGCCGTCTGCCGTTTGTTACGTGACCGTTACTGCCCTGTATGTGTGTATGCGCACACAGAGTCCCTTGCCGCCGATGTAGTGCATATGCGCAGAAATTGCACAGGGGTCAAAAATGCCCGGAGTTACTGCGCACGTGTGGCCAGTAACGAGTGCAGCACAGCTGGGGAAACCGACATGCGACAGACAAACAGACTGATAGAGATAGACAATCGCGTAGGCGATCGTGGCCAAGAGCCAGAGCTCATTCTTCAGCCGCAGCTTGGTAGACTTTACTGCCTGACTCTTGACTGGCTTGACAGCTGCAGAAGATGCGTGCCTGCATGGGAAATTTCCTAAATTTACAACATCCATGGCAACCATGGTCAGAATCGGTGGCATTCTGTCAACGCAGTAGGGGGCCAAATGCTCCCCACCAAGTCCTCGAGGCTAGGATAGCCCCGCGACCTCAGCTCCTGGATCTGGATCTCTGTTCTGCCAGGTCACTGTCACGCAAGGATGGCCGACGTGCCGACTTCTCCATCGGACTTCCTAGCATCGGAGTTCTCGAATGGCATCTTGGGTCGTCAGGGTCGTTTGCTCCGTCGCATCGGACGAGTGAAACATCATCTCAACTCTCCCCCACGAGATCAAGATGACACTGAAACATGGGGAAACTGAGCATCACCTCAGCATCCAGCAAGAACTAGCTGGTGCAGTCCGCCTCGGCGGAAACCTGGGCAAAGCATTCGAGCCATCGCCCCTCCAGCCATCGCACCTCGGCTGGGCATTCGCGTAAGAGGCGAAGCAAAGTATAACACAAGGATGAACTGCGATCCAATCCAATCCCTCGTGACGGATGCATCCTTGGAGTGACAATCAGCCGAGGCTTACACCAACACTCACTCAATCAATCAATCAAGCCCATGCCGTGTCAAGCCGCAGCCTTTAGCCTCTGAACCTCCTCTCCATCCATCCTGACAACCTTAACGCCGCCACCAGCCAGCCCCTCCTTGCACTTCTCCCACCCCGCGGCGTCGACCGCCCGCGTGCCCTCCTCGACCACGTACGTGACGAAGCCCTCCTTGGCCGCGTCCGCAGCAGTGGCACTCACGCAGTAGTCGAACGCCAGCCCCACCACATACACGTGCGTGACGCCCTTGTCCCTCAGCGTCTGCGCCAGCCCAGAGTCGCTCACCCGCGGGCTCGTGAACGGGTCGTAGAAGGCGCTGTACATCTCCACGCGCGCATCCGTGCCCTTCTTGACCACCACGTCGACGCCGTCAGCGCGCAGCTCGGGCACCAGCTCCGCGCCCTTGGTCCCCTGGACGCAGTGGACGGGCCACAGCCGCGTTTCGTAGCTCTCGGAGGCGTTGTGCGGGTTGACGACGGTCGCGCTGTCGGTGAAGGGCTGCTTCGAGGTGTGGTTCGCGGCGAAGGAGATGTGTTCCGCCGGGTGCCAGTCCTGGGTCGCTATTCGCACGCCGAAGGAGGGCAGGGACAGGAGCTCGTTGACGGTGGGTGCGATGTCGCGCCCGTGGGGGATGGCGAGCGAGCCGCTCGGCGGGCAAAAGTCTTCCTGGAAGTCGACGATGATAAGGGCAGGGACGAATGGCGAGGACGGAGGAGCCATGGTCGCCGTGCTTGTCGCTGTAATTTGAGCTGTCTGGCTCCGTGTGTCAGAATTGTCGAGCATTTGTAAATCGAAGTGAGCGATATGATGTCTTATATTTTGTCCGTTATGCATGGCGGAGCGCGGGGTTCTTTTAGCTCTGGAAGCCTTAAGAGCTTCCGCGCACCTCCCTGCAAAATGCACTTGATTATCGTAGCACAAGCTTCGAGACCTCGTCAGCTTGCCTTTCAGCTTTGCGCTCCTTAAAGCGCAACCAGCCCGTAGCGTCAAGCCTACTTATTGCCTTTGATTTCCATCTTCAAGGTTGATTTCCTGCATTTTCTGGATGTTCAAAGTCACCAAGACAGATCCTCACCATGCATGGCAGTGTTTCCGGGAGATCACAACCTTTTTTGTGTATCATGGCCGCACCTGCTGTATGTGGATGAGTTGAAAGCTTGATAGCCTTCGATCAACTTTTGTCTTCATAAGCCCTCGGTGTCTCCCACATGTTCGAAACTTTATTCAACCACCTCGGCGATGCCGTGAAAGAAGGGGTTGGGATGGCTGTCACAGAGATGAGACTCTTCTGACTAGGAAATGTCCATTTTTGGGTCACGTAACACAACCGGCCGCCATAATGAAAGTGAGCTTTCGCATCGTTGGGGGGTCAGAGTCTTTCAGGATGCGGGCTCACGTACCTCACGCGCGTCAACAGGCAGGTGGGAAGAAGACCTGTCCTATGCGACCCTTCTGCAACACGGCTCATGCGCCTAAACGAGCCACTGCGAACAACAGCTGTCAAGGATTGCCCGTTTGACAGCGTGCCGTTCAGCCAGCTGTCTACGGGTTCAAAGAACACTGCGCTCGGCCTTGACTGGAGGCACCCCTTTATGCCATGGACTTGCGGCCGAGGAACGATTTGCGAACAGGAGGGGCTGTCTTGACTCGCCGGACCAGACTCTTACCTGTGATTTAGGTCTCTCCTACAACATATTATCAACCCTCAGAAGCGTCGAGTGGACTGTCTGGGACCATCCGCCATAATGGGTAGGAGGGAAATTCTTCACGGTACAAGATTTCCAGTGCAGGGAAAGAAAGAGCAGAAGGAGGTCGTCTCTCCCGGCACCGCCTGTTTGAGCCGCAACGGCATTGAGGGCCCACTTCCGGCCCGCATGCTAAGCAGGCAGTTTCCAGTTCCGTTCTCCAGGTCGGAACGCCGAGGCGAGGACGGCGATATCATCGGGTGGGCTCCACGACTGCTGACCGTGACGAAGAAAACTTACGGTGTACGATAAACTCTTTCGGACTGGCCGTACAGGATCATGCTAGGCCAACACAGTGAAGGATTTTTTTACACAATCTAATCGACTCGTAGAGGATATGGCCGACTTTTATCTCCGCCCCGACGGAGATCGAGCTGCGACGTCGCGAGTTTGTCTTACTCGGATCCGACTCCGAGCGCCGCATGCAGAGTCATACGTGACAAGTGCAACGTGTTTGACAGACGCGCCCGTGATCATGAGACTAGAATGCTTATTTGCAGTCAGCTCCGATATATACGGTACGAGCCGAAAAGTCTGGTCGTTGATCTGGACCATCAGCTTTGCAAGGGTCTGGTCTCAATTCTGCGGACCCACACAAGTTTAGATACCGAGTCGAGACCCTCGAGACCTTCGAGACGCCTTGGAGCTTCATGCAATCAACCGAAATCTTGCAGTGCAGGTTTCTCTCGCCACGCAAACATAAAGAGTTCATATATGTTTGCTCAGGCTAAAGTGCAGACGCGGTCTTGAGATAGGCTTTCGCGATGATGATGGCTACACTGCCGGGCAAATAGCGTCATCAGGCAAGCAGAGCGGTCATGCACGCAGCCAACAGGCTAAGACAATGCAAGCTTCAGATTTACCCATGGACGCTGCAAAAGGAATTATTAATTCTCCAGGGGGTCGGGTGCGGTCTTAGCGGTGCTAGGCGGCTGTTCGGCACTCGCTCTTCACCGGGCCCGCAACCGGCATCGCCTGCCTCTCAGTGCCATCGTGCTTGCTTGATGGGCAGGGAAGTCTCCACTTTTGGGTGTAATCGACTCTTGCCTCAGTGATCAAATCAAGCCCTCATCCGCTTGCCGCTTCGGGAGATTTTCACCCAGGAGGACAACATTGTCACTTTGTTCGCTTTGCTCTCATTCTCGTTCTGCAGCATGCTACTACTCTCTACTGTCATCGTCAATATTCTATAGCTGACATCCAAGAGTCTTGCTCTACTCACCACACACTTACACAAACAGGCTTTACCGACACCTCGGCAACCTCCGCTCCGCACTTACTCAGGGCTCGGCGATCTCGAGCTTAAGCTTAACTCTGTCTTGACGGCAGCACGCCTGTACAGAAGGTCGCATACAGGCTGTCTGAGGACAGTGGCACATCGTTGCTATGCCTGTTAGCCCAGCTATCGGCGGCGATGCAATCGACGACGAGAAGGTACACAATACCTCGGGGAGCAGTGTGTCCACCACCACGGTGAGCTCCACAAGTCTCCACAACCTCGATGCGGTAGCTGTGACAGACAACAACAAAGGCGCAAGTCAGACCCAAGGAAATGGAATCGCCAGGCCACACTCAAATCACACTGCAGACAATGTCGACGCAGCTGCGGCACAGGTCGCGACACCCAGCGCCGATGCGCCACCAGCTTCGGAACAGAGTGCCAGTGGCGCAAGATCGCCCGAGGACCAGCGCACAGCCCTTCAGACGGCGCTCATCATGATCTCACTCTGCTCAGGAGTTTTCCTGGCCGCCCTGGATGTGACGATCGTCACCGTAGCCGTCCCGAGGATATCTTCTGACTTCCACTCCACCGCGGGCTACACATGGATTGGATCAGCTTACTTGCTCGCGAACGCCGCCGCGGCGCCCAGCTGGGGCAAGATATCTGATATCTGGGGTCGCAAACCTGTGCTGTTAACCGCCGTGGGTGTCTTCTGGGTCGGTTCGCTGCTGGCAGGTGTTAGTGTCAACATGGGAATGCTCATAGTCGGTCGGGCGGTGCAAGGTGTCGGCGGCGGCGGCATCCTCATCTTGGTCAATATCTGCATCAGCGACTTGTTTTCTATGAGAAGAAGAGGGCTGTACTTGGGAATCATCAGCTTAGTATGGGCTCTGGCTGGTGGCTTCGGGCCGGGTAAGTTGCTGTGCATACCCGTTATTTGGCTGAGACATGGCTGATACTGACCTCATCGCAGTGCTTGGCGGCGTCTTCACGCAGAAGACCACCTGGCGGTGGTGCTTCTACATCAACCTGCCGATCTCAGGGTGTGCCATGATCATCCTGTTCTTCAGCCTGCACCTGCATAACCCGCGCACGGGCGTAAGGGAGGGTCTCGCGGCTATCGACTGGCTTGGATCGCTCGCTATTGTCGGTGGCACTCTCATGATTCTCCTCGGCCTCGAGTTTGGTGGCGTCACGTTCCCGTGGGACTCTCCAACCGTCATCTGCCTGATCGTGTTCGGCGCTGTACTCGTCGGCATATTCTTCGTCATTGAGCTCAAGATTGCCAAATTCCCAGTCATCCCGCTCCGCATCTTCAAGCACCCTTCGAACCTTGCCGTCGTCGGCCTCAGCGCCTGCCATGGCTTCGTTTTTATCTCAGCGAGTTACTACCTGCCGCTGTATTTCCAGGGTGTCCTCGGCGCAGACCCACTGTTGTCTGGTGTCTATGTGCTGCCCTTCACATTCGTCCTGGGTGTGGCAGCAGCAGTGACAGGTTTTCTTATTAAGAAAACCGGAAAGTATGTTCCCGCCATCATCTTTGGCTTCTTCTTCATGACGCTCGGTTACGGCCTGTTTATCAATCTCGACCCATATGAGAATTGGGCCAAGATTGTCATTTACCAGATCATCCTCGGTCTCGGCGTGGGCCCCAACTTCCAGTCCCCCCTCATCGCGCTGCAGACCACGGTCCAGCCGAGAGACATAGCAAGCGCAACGGCAACCTATGGATTCGTCCGACAGGTCTCGACATCAATGTCCGTGGTGATAGGAGGCGTCATCTTCCAGAACGAGATGCAGAAGCAGTACCCTACCCTGCTCAGCCAACTAGGACCAGACATTGCGGGCTTGCTCAGCGGATCCAATGCGGCGTCGAGCGTTGAGGCGGTAGCGGCCCTCCCACAGCCCCAGAAAGGCATCGCCCAGAAGGCCTACTTCAACGCCATCCGGATAATGTTCATCTTCTACGTAGCCTTTGCGGGGCTGGGCCTGGTCATCAGCTTCTTTGTGGGGAGCCGCAAGTTGACTAATGAGCACACCGAGCATAAGACCGGGCTACACTCGCTGCAGCCTGTGCGGAACCAAGTCGGGGACGAGGAGAAGAGAGCCGGTGAACCTGGAGCTGCAGGCGGCGTGACAAGGGAGACCAGGGCGGGCGAGAACGGAACCCAGGAGGCTGCTGGCGATTCCCGAGAGACACGGTCATGACTGTGAAATGTCGAATTAGGACATGAGGGCGTATGGTTTTCGGTTCACGTGCATTTACGGCGTTGCTTAGCATCTGTCCCCTTCAGCGAGCATTTGCATCGGGCTTGGGAAACGGGGCCGAGCAAATCCGTGGCATATTGGCCATGGAATATACATACCGGCCGACCATAGAATGTAAAAAGACAGCCGAAATAGTTATTTATGTTTAATGGTATTGACTCAAGGTCATCAACGAAGATGCTGTCGCTCGCGGCTGTACTGGAGAGGAATTTTCTGTGACTAGCGGTGGGAAGTGAACCATATATGTGCCCCACGACGCCGTCGACGGCTAGAACGGGAGCATAACGGCCAAAGTCTATCTATCTGTGCGTAAGCTGACATACAGCTGGGCGTTGCACGGCTTGAACCTTATTTAATTGTCCCTTATGCTCTAGTCCCAAGCCATGTGCAACTTGGACAATCTCTTTTGACGTTACAAAATTGACGACCGTCATATGGCCCACGGTATCATGGGGGAAAGCAAGCCATAGAACACATGTGGATGTTGACTATTTCTCCTCCCCAGTGTTTTTTCACCGCTGCCCATCCGGGGCCCCGGATTCCCAACATGCTTACAGTAGGCAACTCCGCATGCGGAGCCCCTCGCCGTGCGGTGGGGAGTAGTTTGCGGGGGAAATGTCAGCGAACGACACTCCTCCTGCGGGGGATTAAACCGAACTTGGAAATAGATGGAGACCAGCCTCTCAGGACTAAAGCCTACAGGTTGGCGTGGATTGGATGGTACCCCAGACGAGCCCATGTGCTCCCCTGTATTCACCACGACAAGAGCGACCGAACAGACTGCCGGTTGTCTGCTTTTCGGCAGCTAAAAGTTGACACCAAGCGGTGATCACCTAAACCTGTCACGTTCCCTGACCGACAGAGTCGCACCTCCGTAGCACAACCGATCTGAAGCTTCGTACTTGCGCGTCTTTCTTGTGGCCAAAATAGTACCTATGGACGCTTCACAGACAAAAGCCGCCGAGGCTCAACCGGATGGCCAGATGGACGCCATAGAGGATGTCGAATACGGAGTCAAAGAAGTGGGTAGCACCAACTTCCACTTCCCACATGGACTTCATCTTTGGCTTTGGCTTGTACTAGCCGACTGATCTGACTTTTGCACAGGCATACATCACGGATGAGACGCCCATCTCACCCGCGGCGGAGAAGGCCCTGCTGTGGAAGCAGGACAAGCGCATCGTGCCGCTCTCAGCCGCCATCTACTTCCTGTGTTACCTGGACCGGTCCAACATCGGCAATGCAAAGATCCTCAACTCGTCAACGCACCACGACCTCATGTCCGAGACGGGCATGACGAACTACCAGTATACGATTGCTCTTATGATTTTCTTGGTGGCATACGGGCTGTTTGAGGTGCCCTCGAATGGTGCGTATATCCACTGCTAAGCACCGAGAGCTTCTCTTGTGCTAGCCTCCAATGAAGTGCTGACAATCCTGTGACAGTACTGCTCAAGAAGCTCCGCCCATCACGATGGATCGCCATCCTAATGTTTGGCTGGGGCGCCTGTTCCATGGGTCTAGCTGGTGCTCATAATTATGGCACCGTCACTGGCGTCCGCTTCCTCCTCGGGGTCTTCGAAGCCGGTTTATTTGTAAGCAAATTTTTTATCTCCTACGCTTCACGGGAGGAAGGCCTTCTGAGCCCTTGGTGATTATGTTCGCAACGAGTGGTTAACATATCGCAGCCGGGCTTGGTTTATTACCTCACCTTCTGGTACAAGACAGACGAGCGAAGCATACGTGTTGCCTTCATTCTCGCCAGTGCCACACTTGCAGGCGCCTTTGGGGGTGCGATCGCATATGGAGTTGGCCATATGAATCAAGTTCATGATATGTCTGGATGGCGCTGGCTGTTCATAATTGAAGGGGCACCTTCCTGCGTATCCGCGTTCTTGGTACTGTTCCTTTTGCCAGATTTCCCTGAGACTGTCAATTGGCTCTCTGGAGAGGAGAGGGCGCTTGCTCTCCGCCGGCTCCATGTTGAAGGCAGCAAGGGACTGCACGAGTCTGACTGGTGGCAAGACACGAAAGCCACACTCCTGGACTGGAGGCTCTGGGGCCACTATGCCGTATATTTCGGAATCTCAACGCCGTTTAGCAGCCTCTCTCTGTTCACGCCTTCGATCACGGCTGGTCTTGGCTACAAGGATCTGCAGGCCCAGCTTATGAGTGTTCCACCCTATGCTGTCGCGTACGTGGTCCAGATACTGGTGTCCTGGTCCGCCGACCGGTCCAACTCAAGAGGCCTCCACTCAGCTGTGAGTGCCACAGTTGGCGCGTGCGGTTTTTTGGCATCCGCAGTCCTACCAGCAGATGCATATTCTCATCGCTACGGGTGTCTGATAGTCGCAGCTGCCGGGGCATTCGCATGTATACCTCCGCTGCTGGGATGGCTGTCATCAAACATCTTCAGCACAGCGTCCGTGGGCCTTGCCATTGCTCTGAACATCGGTCTTGGAGGTGCACCAGGGCAGATCGCAGGCGTGTGGATCTACAAGGCTGATGAGGCCAAAAAGGGATACCCGACTGGCCATTGGGTCAATGCCGGGTTGCTCTTCTTTGTGGCTGCTGGATGTGCGCTTTTGAGGCTCTACTACGGCTTGCAGAACCGGAAACTCTTCAGGGAGTCTGGAGGACGAGATGATGTTCGATTTTACAAATATTGAGAATAGCCTCTTGATTACGCTGGAGAGTCCAGGAGCAATGCAACCAGCCAGGGCCAACCCAGAGGGAGAAAACCCAGGTGCGGAGGAGGCCCGAGCTCTTGAGGCAGGCAACCTAGAAATAATGGACTCATCACGTAGATGATCAACCAACATGTCATGTCTGACGAAACATGTTTGTTGAGGTGGAGTCATTGTCCTACGGCGGATGGCTGCCTGGTCGCCTTCTCTGCCCTCTCATTGGGTGGCCAAAAGTACCACACTAGGTGGTAAAGTGCCAAGGTGGGCTGAGGCTCAACATAAGAGACATATAAATTTGACGTGACCCAATGCTGCCCTGGGATAGAGAATCGTGTTCCGTCTCATCAGGAACAGAACATAACTCGCGCTGCCAAATCGATCTCACAAACTTCAGCCTATCATATCTAGACATCATGAGCGGCAGCGTCTTCTCTGAGACCCTGCAGCAGATCACGGACACCAAGCTCTATGAGCTCTCCAAGAAGCGTGCCGTCTTCGAAGCAAAGAAGGCTTCAACGCTCTCCTCCATAGACTCCCAGGCAGATCCTATCGAGAGATTAGTCGATCTCAGTAATGGCGTCAAGGAGTCTTTCGGCATTAGGCTGGACAAAGACGGCAAGGTGCTCACAAACCTAACGAAGCACCCCCACCTCGAGGTACAGTTGAAGAATCTCGATCGCTTCCTTGCACAGGCGCGTTCAGATCCCTCAGTCTCGATCAAGACTCTCGCAGATTGGGAGGAGGACCTGCTGCGTCACCTTGAGATACAGTCCCTGAAGTTCCAGTATGCCACCCTCTACGGGCAACTGGTGACTGAGTGGCTTTCTGGCGATCAGAAGAAAGGGGGCGAAAAAGAAGAGGACACAGAGATGGGCGAGGCATTTGAAGATGTCGGTAGCACAGCGAAGCTGAAGTCTAAGGAGGAGTGGGAAACAAAGGCCTTCGAACCAGCACATGTCGACGTCAACTCACTTGGTAGCTACCTCGAGGTTTTGTTCGGGCTTGCCGAGTCTGATCAGGATCAATTCAGTAAGAAAAGGCGGCAGGCTCTACAAAAGCTTCGAGAGGAAGTCAAAGACTTCGAGGTTGACATCTCCCGCCCTGATCAGCTGAACAGTGGCAATCTTCGGTGGACAATCCAGGGGCTCATGTCCTCCGAATTGTTGACGAACGAGAAACGGGAGGTCCTCAAAGACTTCTTGGGGAATCCTGTCATCTTATCCGAGATCGCCGATGTCCTCAATTTGCGTCTGGCTGCGCTCGAGTCTTGGGGCTGGGGCCCGAATGGTGTCTCCGTTGAGCAACGCCGCAAAATCAGCGGGGTATTCTCCATTCACATGCACGAAGACGTTCTCCAAGCCATATTTCTTCAATACATCGGTGTCAAATGGTCTGTGTTCTTCAAAAAAGCGCTCACCTCATTTCGGAAGACGGAAGGCGCATGGACTTCTCTGCACAAAGACATACCCGAGCATGAGAAGAGACGTCTCGAGTACTATCTTGGACCGGTGCACCGCCGTCGAAGCCTTCAAAAAGAACGTCAAAAGCTTTACAACAATGAGTACTTCGTCGCAAGACTCCTATCGCGAGTCAACGAGGTCATCGAGACTGTGGATGGAGAGGTGGAAGCTAATTTTGACAGCTGTGTCGAATCTCTAGCTGTTGGGGTACGGAACAGGAAGCGAAAGAAGCTATTCGCTTTAAGAAGCTTGGCTTCCAAAACTGACGCGGTGGATTCTTATTCTCCTTCCGAGCCCGAATTCTGCTCGGATGAAGAGGAAGATGATGAAGTGAATACTTCTAAGCCGGCGAAGACACCAATGCAGCTTAAGCAACAGGTAGTTCATCTCCTCTCTACCGAGATTGCCATCAACAAAAAGCTACACGGTGGACTCACTGCTTTCCATGCTGTATTCGAGGAATGGGAGTCTCTTCTACCTCATGAGACCATCTGCACTATCCTACGTTTCCTTGGAGTCTCCCAGGTTTGGATTGGTTTCTTCGTCCAATACCTCCAGGCCCCGCTTCGATTCATGGGCGAGGGTCATGAGTCGTCCAAGATTCGCCGCCGCGGTATTCCTACATCACACGCACTCAGCGACGTCCTAGGAGAGACTGTCCTGTTCTGTCTGGACTTGACGGTTAATCAAGCTGCATCTGGGCAACCTCTGTGGAGGTACAACGATGATCTGTGGTTTTGGTCCCCCGATCATGATACTGCAGTCGCAGCATGGAAGGCTGTTGAAGGCTTTGCTAGCGTTACAGGTACCTCCATCAATCCTCGGAAGACCGGCTCTGTCCGCATCTCAGAGAAGCAGGAATCGCAGCTCGAGATCAATGAACTTCTCCCTCAAGAAGGCATTCGATGGGGCTTCCTTTTCCTTTCGCCGCAGACAGGACGCTTCGAGATCGACCAAAAGATGGTAGACAAGCATATTGACGAGCTCAGGAAGCAGCTGAACGACAAATACAGCGTTTTCAGTTTCATCCAGACTTGGAATGCATTCGCAGCCAAATTCTTCTCTTCGAACTTTGGCAAGTCTGCAAACTGCTTCGGGCGCCAGCATGTCGATGATATGCTGGCGACGCACAAGCGTATCCAGCAGCAGATTTTCTCCTCTGATAGTGGGAACGGACGTATGGGTACATCCTCCAGCATAATTGGTTATCTTAGGGAGACAATCGAGCAGCGCTTTGATATCAAGAACGTCCCGGATGGCTACTTCTATTTCCCTGTGGACCTCGGCGGGCTGGACCTTCAGTCACCATTCATCTCACTGCTCCAGATCCGAGACTCTGTTCTCGAGTCTCACGACAGTCTCATCAAGGACATGTTTGAGACCGAGCATGAGGCCTACACTCGCTTCAAAAACCGATTCATCAGCGGCACCGTCAATCGCAAACAAACAAGCAACCCCCAGTGGCGGCCTGAAGCACAGCACGATCGCGATAATTTCCTTGACATTGCCGAGTTTGTCTCACACCGCGAGGATCTGGGAATCATCACCGACGAGTCCGCGCCGCACGACATCCTCTGGGTGTTCCAGCAGCTCATGGCGCAACCCGTGGAAGAGAGCATCGACGAGGTCCCGGAACCCCGGACCGGGCTGGCGCAGCTCAAACCCGGCGGCCAGGCGATCAAGCAGCAGTGGCACGACATGGATGCCACGTGGCGCTGGATCACGGCAATGTACGGGCCGGAGATTGTGGAGCGGTTTGGGGGACTGAGTATTGTTGATTCAGGCCTTTTGCCTATGGGTATGGTCGGACTTTTGAGGGAAAAGAGGGTTACTTGGCAGGGATGAAATGTTTGGATGGTTGGCGGGGAGTTCACGCATAAATTGTCCAGTCATTTTGCATCAGTCTGTAAAGTATCTGTATCAAGTGCTTATTTTACGCATTCCACTCTAGCATCCCTAGTGTGTTGTGAGCAAAATGGGAGTGCTGGCGATGAAGGCAGGGTGGTCCGAATTATGCTGCTTCTGTATAATGAAAGGGGTGTAGAAATGAGACGTTGTCTGAAGTCTCGTGAAAGCAATAAGCGACGAGATATTAGTGTTGACAAAGAACCACATGCATCTTTTGACGTAAAATTTCATGAGGACTTGAATGACTATCTCAAATGGCCCGATTGCGTCTTCGGTCCATTTTCGAATGAACAACAATGTGGGTGAAGAAGTGGAATTTGAGCAGATGCAAGCGGTGCAGTCATGGCTAACACAGCTGAGCCTGTCGGCTTTCCGAATAGAACTATAGTTAGCCTTCCTGGTTGCGATTGCAATCATATCTAGGGCGAAAACAAATAGCGGTTTCACACTGCGCCGTCGTATCAAATAAACGAACCCATCTCTGCCGAGTCGTAGAATTAGCTTCTGATGCGGAAACTTATTATCAATGGAAGTTAGGTAGGCAGACACATCTGTCTATCTCGTGGTTCTGTTCTGACGCATAGAAGCACTTCTCTGGCTCCAAGCCTGGACATCAACTGGCGGGTCTTGTTTCAGGGTAAGGCTTTATATCACGTTCCAGGTGGCTGAGAGATGCCCAAGGAACTGATCACAACAGAATTAATGATTATCTGCTTTACGCGAATGCGCGACCTGCAGCGCTCTATATACGGCAAGAGGCCTAGTCTACCCAATCAGAATACGTTGGGAACAGCCCAAAGCAGTTCGCGTAGTACGTGGCCGTGGCAGACCAGTCAGAGAAGACAGCCAACACTCCGACCTCCCGCGCCAGGACGTCCAGCAGATTATATACATCGCCATCATTGTTAGTCACGTTCGCGATCGAGGTGTAGTAATAATCATCATCCTCCTCGACCTGGCTCAGCGGCCCCGACCGGTCAAAGGACCAGGTGACGAGCTTCAGCCCCAGCCGCTTGGCCTCGGCCGCGTACTCGGACGGCACGATGGACTTGCCGTCCTCACCGACCGTGACCAGGAACGGCAAGGGGGGTGCCATGATCTTAACGCCAGCGGCAGCGTACTCGGTAAGGTTGGCGATGTCACCCTCCGTCTCTGTCAAGAAGATGACCTGGCTGGCGATCTCCGGCACCGCCTCGATCCAGTACAGGATGTCGTCGTACAGGAAGCTCTGCGGCCACAGCCGCTTCAGGTCGACCCCGGCGGCCCGGTACTCGTCGACCATCTGCTGCGCGTACACCTGTTGCGTGTAGTTGGAGCCGTTGCCGCCGAAGGGCATCGGCACCTGGGGCGTCTTAAGCTCGGGGGTGAACTGCACCTCGGACCCGCCGAACTCATCAACCAGCTCGATGAACTCGCGGTGGGTGAGCACTGTCCCGCAAGTGGCGTAAAGGTCTGTCCGCCAGCTGGGCGTGCCGTGCAGGAAATCACCGGGCGTCTCGGCGGTGGCATTGAAGCCATCCATCTTGCCGCAGAGGCTTTTAAACTCGTCAAGGGTGATATCGCTGGTGCAGCACTTGGCACTGGCGGCGGCGCCGGTGGCCGGGTCGGCAGGCGAGAAGGGCTGCGTGCACTTCGCGTTGAGCTCCGGGATGTCGACGATGTTGGTGGTCGAGTGCAGGTCGCACTGGTCGTGGCGGCAGACGAGCTGGCGGTCCGAGGTGAAGACGACGTCGCACTCGAGGACCTCGGCGCCCATGCGGAGCCCTGCCAGCTCGGACTCGCGCGTCTCCTCCGGGATGAGCAGGGTTCCACCGCCGCGGTGGCCGATGGAGAAGCGTGAGGGTCGGATGTCCATCTCCGAGCAGGCCTCGAGCTCATCCTTGAGCGGGGACGGGTCCATGTCGTTGACGAGGAAATATGGCCGCGGCCCCAATTGCACTTGCTTGATCAACTGGTGCTGGTTCGTCCGCGATTGAGGCACAATGGGAGTCGCCAGGCCAATGCAGGCCAGGAGACTGGCGACGGCGATATGTCCGAACGTCATCGTACCGGCTGACAGCAGAACTGTTTCCGAGGCTGTCCCAATTGCTCTGGGGAATGCACAAAGACGCTTAGTTCCGCTGGCTTCCAGTGTGAACACCTCGGTAGACCCGGAGATGGAAGGTTGCTGGGGGACTGGAGTGCTTCTCAAAAAGAGAAGAAAGGAGACTCAATTCGCTCGAACACCTCTCCTATTTGGTTTATATATCAAGTCTACCCCCGTTCCCCGGCCTCTCATCGTATCGGTAGCCTGGCCAAGTTCCAAGCTCCATCGATAGCTAGCGAGGCACGTGTGCCCAAGCGAGGATGCTATCTGGCTCTAAACCGGCAGACCGATCAATCCATCGGCGAAAGCCAAGCCAACGCCAAGTCCTGGCGGTGGTTCGTCGGATGTCGCCCTGCAGGGAAACCTTATGCAGAGAACCAAAGGTAATTGACTGCCTGAGTCGCGAGGTTGGGATTGGAAATTGCAAGATGAAAATAGAAGCGGATCGTCGCTGCACTTCTTTGTGGATTTACCTGAGTGAGGGCACAGCAATTGGCGAGACTTGCGACGTCTATTTTATGGAGTGGGATATTGTTTAAAGCTCATAAAGGCGAATTGTGGACGTGCCTATTCAACTAATTTGGAAAGTCAAGGTGACATTGGTAAGAAGAGTGATATGAAATAGATATATGTGTGGTATCTTCAGGGTATAAATAATGACTGGAAGTTGAAGCTCCGCTAGATCTCCCATAAAACGCCTCGACTAAAATAGTCCCCTTTCCAAGTTAAATTCCTCCCATTCCAACAAGCACGCAGGGATAGACAGCGCGAGGACTGTAAATTATCAGGGACAATTTAAATCCCTTTCAAATTAAGTGGAAAACGCGACAGCGGCTAAAGGGACGTTTTTAAGCGCCCGCGTAGGGTTTGGTGTGGTTGTGGGTTTTGGTGGAGTGGCGGCGGGACCGCATGGCCTCGATGGTGTCAAGAACCATGAGGAAGAGGAAGATGGCCCTATTTCGATCAGAATTTGGTTCATGGAGCATTTTACAGATATAGCAGGACCAAACTTACCACAGGAAGAAACCAAACGCGACAGCGGCCTGCAGCGATCCACACCAGCTGTTTCCGTGACACCTGGGCACACCAATAAAGACAGCCAGGGCGACGGAGCCGGCGAACCAGAAGATCATCGTGATAGCCTCCAGAGCCAGAGCAGCGAGCTTGTGGAAGATGCTGGTGAGGTAGAGGGGTGTGATGCCGATGTATGCTAGGACGAGCAGTGACCAGATTGAGTTGAACAGCATGAAGTTGACGCGATCAGGCGACCAGCTTCCAGTCCAGTAATAGCCATTGTTGTAGGTGCCGTCGTAAAGGCTGACAACGTAGCCTGTCAGACCGAGTTCTATTATGCTGAAGACAACAGCCACGATGTGGGCGATGGGGACGAAGCCGAGAGCCATCTTGGAGGAGTCGAGTTGGTTGTGGTGAGAGAGGGTGGTGATGATTAAGAGTGGGTCTGTAGGTCAATAAGACGACTAGACTTCGACTGGGGGGGAGGGCTGATGTTGATGGTTGGATGAACTTGGAGAGTTCAGGACTGTTTGACTGTGTGCCACGATAATTACTATGATCAGAAAGAGAGGAACAGCTTTCGCCAGGAGGGACAGTATGTGCTCATATAATAAGTGAAAAAAAAGAATAGAGCGCCTCCAGCCAGTCCAGTCAAGCGCCAGGGTGGGCTCAGCAAGAATGACGTGGTGTGGCAGCAATCCAGTAGGTGAGCGGCAGCTACTCGCCAAGTGAGACCGGGCTGGGCTCGCTGGACTGGACTAGACCTGCAGCAAGGACTGGCATGGCCGTTTGCCGTCATCGTGTTCGCCTTTTCCACCCCCAGCACATAGACCTAGTAGTGCCACCCCAGCAGCCCAGCCGTGGCGTCCTATTCTGGTAGGCTCGATGGCTCGATGCCGGAGGGATTTGATGGGCAGGTGGCCTTGATTCTGGTGTGGGTGTGGCTTAACGAATCCGTCTTAACCACCATGACTTCATCCCCTCCCAAAAGTCGGGTGCTTGCTCTGTGAGTGTCGAGGCCTGAGGACCAGAGGACCCAGCAGGGCACACGTCATTTGGCATGGCTGGGGCTATTGTGATTGGTCAGAGACGGGGGGTCAGAGGCCCCACCAGTGCCACCACAGGCAGAGATGCAGGGATGGCAGCTGTGCAGAGCTCTGTCGGAATCTCTCCCTTCCATTCCACGACGCCATCGTCGTAGATCTCCCGCCTGGCACGGCACACTTCTGCCGGCGGCGTCCCAATCACCACCACACACCCTCGCGCACTTGTAGCACTTGTCACCAACAGCATTATTATTACTCCACATATGCAGCAGTATCGTGGCCTAGTTTCAGATCTCTGCTCCATCACATCGCGTTCCAACTGATTGGCATTCGACCCTTCACGCGTCGTTTCACTGTTAATGGAGCCACAATCACCACAAGCTGCGCCACTCATAGAATGGGCTGCTTCATCCTCTCATCCGAACTTCATCTGAAGGCATTCCTCCCCCCGCAGACCCCAATGCTGCTTTCAACATCCACTACGGAAGTTCCCGCTATACGCTCCCCGTGATCATGCCCATAAGCACCAGCACCCATGCCACTCGTTTCGTTTCGCATAACACGTCCTGCACGCGGTCGACTGGCCCGCCTAGCGCTCCGTTGCAACACGCGAGCATTGTTAGCCCAGTTGCCAACCAACCTGGCTGCCCGTTGCTCCCGCTCACTAGCGAGCGGCGGAGCTCTAACATAGGTGTACCAAAGTGCTCCACTTCTCCAGGCCCGGTGTCGACCAACGTGCTACAAGGCAAGCTGTGATAGTAATGGCCTCTGGCAGAATGCGTTAGAGATGGAAAACAATTCTGTATCTCACCACGTTGCACTGCAGCGACTCACGTTGGCTGTTGTTCAATTTCCAGGGACAACCCTCCCTCAGTCAAGCACCTCATCAGACTCGCGCTGCCAATGCGACTAGGAATGCATTCAACTGACTAGTCTACCGACTCTACTTGCCATTTATTATTTACCTAGAAGCCCTCTCTCGCCGAGCACGTAAGCAAATGACTCATCCAGAATCCTCAAGCCCTCCTCAATCTCATCCGCCGACACAGTGACAGGAGGTGCCAGCCTGAAGACGCCTCCCATGCCAGGCAGTTGCACCACGTTGCAGGACAGCCCGTTCACCATCGCTCTGTCGCTGACAGCCTGTCCTATCTCAGTTCCTGGCGTCTTTGCCTCCTTGTCTGAGATGATCTCAATTCCCTGCATCAGTCCTATACCCCGAACGTCACCAATGCACCAATACTTTTGTTGCAGCTTCAGCAGCCCCGAATGAAGCTGCTCTCCCCTCTTGGCCGCGCGCTCCGCAATGCCGTCCCTCTCCACAATCTCAAGAACCTTAGATCCCACTGCCGCAGTCAGCGGGTCGTTAAGGTGGGTGGTCAGCCAGAGGAATCCTGACTCTCTAACGCCTCTCTCGATCTCAGGAGTCGTGCTCACAGCGGCCAGCGGCAACCCGCAGCCTAAAGTCTTTGATAGACACAGGATATCCGGCACCACACCCTCCTCATGCTCAAAGCAAAACATCTTCCCTGTCCGGCCGACACCGGTCTGCGCTTCGTCCATGATGAGCAGCATCCCGCGTTTCCGGCACTCAGCGGCCATACGTGCGAGATAACCCTTGGGCAACACCAAGATTCCACCGGTGGACAAGATCGGCTCCAAGATGAAGGCCGCCAGGGATCCCACGGATTGTCGGTCAATCATCGCCCAGCCGAAGTCCAGTTCCTTCTCCCAGTCATAAGTCCCGTCCGCCTTGCGAAATATTGACCGGTAAGCATACGGCGCTGGGAAAGCAAGCTGGCCTGGCATCGCAGGGCCGGCGTTCTTTCTACCAGTGGAATATGTCGCGCTTCCAGCACCAGAGGTTAAGCCGTGGTAAGATGCGCTGAACGCCACAATCTCAAATTTGCCCGTGTACAGCTTTGCCATCTTGATAGCAGCCTCGGTCGTCTCAGACCCCGTGTTCAGGAAGAATGATTTCTCCAGCGGCCGGGGTAGGAACTTCGCAAGGCGCTCGGCGAGGTCGACCACTGGCTGAGTGACCATGTTTGAGAGGAGGTGGTCTAGCTCGCCGACGGATTGCCTAAGGCTCTGTCAGTAAAGTTACATTTACTTTCATCAATGACAAAGCGACAGTTGACAGCCGAATTTCTACATATTGCACACATCTCACAAAGCTATCCTCGAAATCTCCCAGGGAGGAAAAGAAATCTGTCAAAGATTACTGACCGTACCACCTCGACGATCTCCGGATGAGAGTGGCCTAGCAGCGAGCTCATCTGGCCCGAGGTGAAGTCTAGGATGGATCGGCCGGACGCATCGTATAAGCGTGTCCCCTTGGCGCTCGTGATTACGACGGGGCAAGGAGGCACACCTGTCGACATTAGATACTTGTCGTGCTTGGCCCAGAAGGCATCGTTCGGACTGACGGAACCCATGTTGAATGTTGGAGAAATGGATGATCAATTGTCCAAGATTGAAAATGCGATCCGACAAGACAGCAAGTATCCAGGCTTTTGAACCAAGTGCGTGATGAGGGGAAGGTCGCAGAAGTTGGCTCGATGTCGCATTCTATGTATTAGACTGCTCCACGCAGAGGATACTCGATTTATACTTCCCTCTATCCCCACATGACGGACGTTATCAGCTTGTAGACTGGTCGGCCGCCTAGTTGTAGAGTTGATAGCGCTCCGGCCATCATTATTGGCTAAGGGGTTTTCCGCGGGATTGTGTTGACTCGTTGCGGTTCCCCGCGGGAAACGGACGGTGGTGTCTTACCATGAGCATTTCCGACTTATACCAAGGTTTCCGGTGGCCCGTTTGAACTCAATCTAGATTTGTGTTTTGAGTACTTAATAATTACGCGAGTCCACCCCTATTGGACATCTAGCGCTGGGTTGTTGCTCGGCTTGGCCGTTCGGGAAGCTGAATATTGAGCCTGGATTCCTGCTGTCACGCCAATACGTTATGTTTGTGGGAACGTGAGGAGGGCATTTGGCGTCCCGAATTTCTCATAATCGCTTTTGAATTAGTGAAATACCGTTATGACCTTCTTGTCCATAATCAGACACGAGGATGTGGGCAGAAAAAGACCATAAATCTGGACAGAAGGCCCCGCAGGGTAGATAGGTAAGACGGGACCCATGTTATCCAGTGCAGCACAGCTGGGCAGCGACCTATCTGAGTACAGGTACAGCTCATTGTTCAACTTATCTTGCTGTTTCCATGGGCATTTGATGTCTATCACAATGCATCCCCAAATCCGCTGCTTGAGCTACACGCGTCGATCTTGTCCCTGCGCCGTATTCTCATCGGAACCTTGCCAGCAGGATACGACATGCCACTGTCGAAGCCCATGAGCGTGAAGTCCTCCTGCACATTCACACCAGCCTCTAGTATCTCGCAGTCAAGCAGGCTTACCATCAAGGCGCCGGTGAGTAACATCTGTCGCTTCGCAAAGTGACGGCCGAGATATTTCCGCGGCCCGCCGCCGTAGGGGATCGAGGACCCTTCGAGCCCTTTCGTAAAAAATACTAGATAAGAAGCAGGATTTTTGGATTGTGCGTTATCGTGCTCCAGTTTTGATGGTTGTCTGAGGAATCTTCCAATCCAAAATTGGTCAACCGAGTGCTCGTTATTCAAGACGGTGTCCCACACTTCAGAGTCCATGCGTGCAGCTGTCGTCGGCGTGACTACGACCTCCCGTCTTGGTAATACCCAGTCTCAAGTATTGATTTCAGTTCTGTCTGGCATCCTGATGATGTAGAAGTGCATTCTAAGACGCACAGTCTGGGCATAGACGGCTTGGAGGACCGGCAACTGGAGTAACCAGTCGACATCGAACGTAATGTGGCTGTCTTCGCGTTTGTGGTGCTCGATGGGAACATGATGTCCGTCCTGAATATATTGAGAAAATTTATCTTTCAATCGCGTTCATTAAATCTCCATTGCCTTGAATTAAGTGGGCAGTTTCGGTACCCATAAGAACAGCATAGGTGCTCATGCAGGTTGTCTTGGCCGTCAGCTTGAGGGAGCCTAAAGCCGATGAAGAGGTGTTTGTAAGGGCAAGGTCTTCAGAGTCCCAAGTCCACTTGCCTATTCTCTATTACAATGCCACCAAAAGTGACTGTTGATAATTAGCCCACATCTTCCCCACCCTTGACCCATTCCCCTTGTTAAGGGATAGCCCCCGGCATGAATCATAGTGAGCCATTCGCGCTAGAGCTCTAGCACGACTCAAAACATCTCTTAACCTGCAGGTGAAGCTCGCTCTGATGGCGTTGGAAGTTCATTTAAGGCCTACTTGAGGCACCACTGCTGGCATCAGATTCGTTTTGATCATTTTACTATCTTTCAATCAGCACTCAATCAACCGAGAACAAGCTGTAGCTGGCCGCAGTTTACGATACAATGGCTGAAAATCATGCTGTTGTCATAGGTGCATCCGGACTTATTGGCTGGGGCGTTGTGAATGAACTCCTCTCAAAAGATTCAATTTCAGCCGGCACTTTCAGTAGGGTCACGGCGCTCGTCAATCGCCCCATCAAGCGGGATGAAAGTTTCTGGCCGAAGAGCCACCCAAGCCAACCAGAGCTTCTCCTGGTCGATGGCGTTAACATGATGGACGAGCAAGAGAAAGTCACGACACTGCTCAGGGACAGGATACCGGATGCCCATACCATCACTCATGCTTTCTATTTCGGTGCGTAGAGACACCTAAGATATTGACCACTTTAACCAATGAACTTCAAGTCTTCAGAGCGAATGATGGCGATCAGGAAGCGGAAGTGCAGATGAATACCAACATGATGGCCTGCTTCATCAACGCGATCGAGTCGCTCACCACGAGTCTCAAATTCTTCGTCTTCCCAGGAGGAACACGAGGCTACGGCATCTACCGCCCAGGCGGCATGTTCACCGCGCCGCTCGACGAATCACTCATCGACACACTCCCCGACGACTACGCCAAGACAGTCACGTACCCATCGTTTCGGCGCCTGCTCGCCAAAGCAAGCGAGGGCAAGTCCTGGACGTGGTGCGAGATCTGCCCTGATGCAGTCATCGGCTTCGCGCCCAACGGCAGCGGGTGGTCCCTCGCCGCCCACTGGGCCACCTACCTCAGCGCGTGGCGGCTCAAGCACGGCGAGGGGAGCGAGGTGGCCTTCCCAGGCACGCTTTCTGGCTACGATTCCAAGTTCACCGAAGCGAGTACGAGGGCGCTAGCCCGCTTCGCCATCTACGCCTCTGTGCTGAGACCGGAGGCGTGCGGTGGCGGCAGGACCTTCAACGTGGCGGACGCCGAGGGGCCTGCCACCATGCGGGAGAGGTGGCCGCAAATCGCGGCATGGTTCGGGTGTGGGTGACAATTTCGATCAAGCCTCTAATGTTCTGCTCTTTTGATTTCTTCCCCCTCATGCTTTCTCCCGTTCCCGTTCTCTTCCGAGGGTCTGTTCCTGGGACTTGGGCTGCATTTGGATTCCATTCGCCTGACCGCTGCGTTACCTTGTGCTACTTAAATGGGGGATAATGTTTCAGGGCAACGTGCATGTTTGTGCGAGCCCAAAAGACTACACAAGTGTTCGGCTGGAGATACCATGTACCCGCGCGTGAGGGAGTACTCCGTTGTTTTCTTCCCGAGACATGTACCTGCGAATATCTATCACGCTTGCGGTGTCTCTCAATCGGATAGTTTCGACAGCCAGAGACGCACCTCACATTCCTACTCCACTGCGCAAGAGACATCACTAACCTTTCCATTTGGCGCACAGTAAAAGGGGTGGCTCCACCGTCCGATGGCTATCGGGGAAGTAAGCCAAGCGAGTTCATTCACGAAAACAGGAAGCTGCTCGAATCGGCAGGAGTAAGAGGTGTCAGTGTTTGGCATTCGGATCAGCTAGACAGCTATGGTTATTGGCTTACGTTCGATCGCCACCTTAGCCTTCGTCGCCTCCGGCAAGAGGCAGGATTTTCTGAGCAAAGTAGACCGGAGGAGGGATGGTGGAAAGCGTTCGAGCTGTTCAGGGAAGCTGGCATGATTCCGTAGTATGCTCGTCATGGTGTCAATGCAATGGTTGCATAGTAGCTGAGTCTTTGAGCTGAGACAGAGCCGGAATTTTTTTAAAAGGACGAGTATGTAGCTATTATCCAGAACCTTGCATTTGGACCTGTCATTGCTCGAAAACGTCCCACGAAGATTTGTGTCTCATGTTCCCTACTCTGCTTGCTATATGATGTTAACTTGCGTAACTCTTGATCAGACACATCGATGTATTAATCTACTCATGTAAGCTTTTTCTGGTCGGTCATCAAATCATTGAGTTCTCCAGACAAAATTTGATGAGAAGACCATGTTACTATGGAGAACTAAGAATGGAGACTTAATTGATTTGAAAGACAAGTTTGCAGAGTTTTATCTGATCGCGACGTCCATGCACATTTGAAACGACAAGAGTATGCAAGACTTCGGTGAAGTTTTTCTTGTTTTCTCAGGGAGAAAGTCTGCATGCATGAGATTCGATATGAAGTCTAAATTCAAGCCAGGTAACGTCTGAAAAGGCGCAACGAGGTGCTGATGTCAGGCGTTCTCGAATTCGAGATTGATATTGCATGAATTTTCAATACACTCGTCACCGGACGAAATCGAATATTTATATCTTCTTTTTCCTTTTTGGAATGAGCTGTAGATAGGTGATCTATTTAGAGGTCATTTTATGCACGATTAGCGACTGGCTGAGTATATCCAAATCTCTGTGCTGCGCGAGATTCCCCCACGTTCTCCGTCCGAGCTGACATCTTAAGTCTCCGAGTCCGAAGCAGACGTATCCTATCGTACATAAAGGCAGTCAGCACAGCATTCAGAGGCCAGTTGAGATGTCTGATCAGCTGAAACATTAATTCAACACAATCCATTAAAGATGGCTACGCGACGTTTTGCTTTCTCATTGCATCCTCCACGAATACCCACAGCTCACCTCCGGCGTTGCGTAATAGACAATCCGCCAAGAAAATTCGTACTGCAAGGTAGCCGAACGAAGTTTACAGTCACAAAGAACCAAACGACCGGGGCGAACCTTATCTGTCATGGCAAACAGGGAAATGAAACAACAAAAGGGGGGCCAAATCTAAGATGGTCAGGGGAGACTAATCTAGTGGCACGTAGTTTCCAGGCTTATGAAAACGCGAGCAAACAGAGACCGTACATAGTTCAATTCTGCACCTCGTTGGCAATCTGGCTCAGCGCCGACATTCTAGCCCAGCAGATTGGAGCAGAAGAGTACGACGCGACACAGACTGCGCGGATGCTGCTCATCGGCGGTGCGGCATCAGTACCCATGTACAGATGGTAAATACCTCGACTGAATATGTGAAGTGCCCTTGTATACGAGAAACTTATGCTGACTCGTCCCCAGGTTCATTTTTGTGTCCACACGAGTTCAGTTCAGGTCTGGACTCCCCAAGATTATCAACGCCACCCTTACTGTTGCGACTCGCACAGCCATCACATGCTGTATTATGACACCAGTGATGAGCACCTACTTCTTCAGCATGCAGTCTTTTCTATCTGGCCACGGTATAGCAAGCACCTGGGAACATCTGCAACGAACTTTGCCACAGAGCTGGGAATCTGCATTCCGCTTTTGGCCTGTTGTCAACGCTGTCAACTTCTCTGTCGTGCCGGCGCATTTAAGAGGGATCTTCCAAGCTTTTGCAGGGCTGGCCTGGCAGACATATCTGGCGTGGCTGAATAGGCAGAAGATGGATCTGAAGTCGGCTGGGGCAGGGACATGCCGAATTGCAGAAGAGTCCATCGTGATGAGGAGCAAGTCATCGAAGCAGAGTCAGTGTTGACGAAGGGAGCCTTGCATATTGAGTTATATGCTTTTCTGTATGAATCGTGCCATTAGACGGCTGGACCTTCCGCTTTCGAATGTTAGACACATGGGCTCGGGCCCACTATATTTAGAAGGGATGAGATATTCAAAGGAGTTGCAATACTATAAGCTACAAACATCGACATGGAGCTACATGTGCAGTCTATTCTGATATAGGCGCGTTACTTGCCCAGACACTTCCACGTTGCAAATTCAGCTCGCGTGTCTGTGATCGTTTTAAATATGAAATGCAATTGTTGTTTGTTAGGCAGAATATCTCGACTCGGACGTTCTTGAATCAGAGGCGTCATGTCTGATACTTGACGGTTTTATTATATTTCTCTTCCGCCGCGCTTTCAATGTCGTGATCATGTGTATATAGGGAACTACCGGCTCTACTTCGAGTCAGTACGACACAGGAAATGCATGTAGGTGGCCCCCTCGTGCAGGCGATCTTGCGTCTGGGTCGCACCAGATTGGCGAGGGCCGTTGTATAGAGGACCGGTCCATGCAAACATGTGTAGATCTGGGCGTTGGAAAAGCGAGATTGACAGGGCGCCGTGGCTCTGGCGCTCACGACAATGTCACCTCAGACCACATGTGTGTCTCAGCCATGTCTGTCTCCGTTCTATAGCACCCACACACCACACAGCTGCATATAATATTGTTCTCGCGCAAGATGAATTGAAACCTTTTCTGTTCTCCCTTCAGGTCCCTTGTCTGGTCGGGGAAAAGGAGAAGTCTTCCCGGTGGTGATGACTCGGGGCGGATGGGACCGAGTCTGGTGTTCGGCCGTACCCGGCTAGTCGGTCACCTCCACCTGGGCGTAACTATGGTGCTCCACAGATTCCGGGCCAGATGTCGGGATGGCCACGGTTCCCAGGTTCGTAAGTTAGTCACCGTGGATCCGTGGCCCGGTCCACTCGAGCAGAGAATTTTTGCCTGCCGCGAATTTCACAATGGTAAAGAAATGAAAGCGGTTTAGCATCAGGGTGGAATCACGCCGCCATGGCGCGCCCTCAGCTGCCCATCTCCTGGACCCCTGGCGCCAGAACGCCTGTTCTGGACTATTCCAGCGTGGATATTACGAGTGACGGTGAAATCATAGTGGAGACAAATCGCGGTTTGGCCTCCCCCTGCCTGCCTTTTCAACGCCATAAGATGGTCTTGCTCCTGTTGTATCGCTGGCTGCGCCTCGCCAAAGTCGGTCGTCCATTGTCTCTCGAATGACTTCTGTCTTGCGCCTTCCCGAGACATCATCTGCATCACCCATTCACCCCAGCACCTGTCACCAGCTACCGACGTATTCACGCAGCGCTTCGTCACTCGAGCCTGGGGTCGCTACCTCAGTTTTTGTCGCGTAGTCCCCAGCCCTGTCAGCTCCCAGTTGTCGGACATTGAAAAGAAGAGCTCGTCCCACCAGCTTGAATCACTCGCGGAAGGAGGGAGCAGGACTGGAACAACCCCGTGGGCAAACAGGACAGACCAGTGAGGCTCCACAAGCACGCTTTTAGGCGGCTTCGTTGGACCAGACCTTCCTGACTGCTCCTATTCGTTGCTTCTCCTTCTCATTTCCCTTCGTCTCACAGAGTATGACCTTCGACTCCCCCGATGCAGAGGACACCTGCTTAAAAAACCACCCTTATAGACACACCTTCTCGTCGGCCACCACCGATGAGTGCACACCGACCGCTTCTGGTGACTTGGAGAAGCTCGACTCCCGTCACGATGGGGATGACGACCACATCGACGTCAACAAGGAGCAACGTCGCGGCGGTGACTCAGTTGGGCACAGCGATGGCGCACACGAACATGATCTGAGCTCGCAGTCCACGTCAACGACGACTGTGCACGCAGGTCGGGCTCCCTCGACGCTGCCCGAGCGCGTCGCATCGCGGATGTCAAACTCGTCGGCGTTGACGTTCCCGGAGGGAGGTCTCCATGGATGGCTGGCTGTCACGGGCTCGTTCTGCGCCATGCTATCGGTCTTTGGTCTCATCAACTCGTCGGCCGTTTTTGAGTCCTACTTCTCAACGCATCAGCTCAGGCAATATAGCGCGTCTCAGATCGGCTGGATCTTTAGCATCTATCTGTTTTGCGTCTTCTTCGTCGGCATACAAGTTGGGCCCATTTTCGATCGCTATGGGGCTAGATGGCTGGTAGCTTTTGGGAGTCTACTTATAGTGTTGAGCCTCATGCTGCTTGGGCTGTGTACAGGTGAGCATGGCCTGCCAGAGGGTGACGAGACAGAAAGCAGGTCTAGACTAACATCACGCATAGAATACTATCAAATCCTACTCACATACTCCGTCATGGGTGGTCTCGGTGGTGCGCTGCTCAACTCGCCAGCATACGGCACCATAGCTCACTTCTTCAACGAACGACGTGGCTTCGCAACGGGAATCGCCACCACAGCTGGAGGCATTGGCGGTATCGTCTTCCCCATAATGCTGCAGAAATTACTTCCGCGACTCGGGTTCGCCTGGAGCACCCGAATCCTTGGATTCATCCTCTTGGGGTGTGCAGTACCTTCGAATCTCTGGATCAGGACCCGGCTCCCTCCACGGAAACACAGCAACGCCTCACTTGAGCACCACGGTTGGCGGCACAAGATTGCGAGCGTCCTGCCTGATTTCCGAGTCTTCCGCGACAAGAGATTCGCACTCGCCGCCACGGGCATCTTTTTCATGGAATGGGGCCTGTTCATTCCCATTACGTTCATAGTGTCTTATGCCGCGGCCCACGGGAAGAACGCAACAGCCTCATACACCCTGCTGTCCCTCCTCAACGCAGGATCAGTTGCTGGTCGATTCCTCCCAGGGCTAATGGCAGACCGGTTCGGCCGGTTCAACGTCATCATCGTAACTATATCCCTATGTTGTGTTAGTGTGTTGGGGCTCTGGCTGCCCGCGGGCGACTCGCAAGCCATCATCATTGCCTTTGCCGTCATCTTTGGCTTTGCGAGCGGGAGCAATTTGGGGCTTGTGCCTGTGTGCCTGGGCCAGCTGTGTGACTCGAGGGACTATGCGCGGTACATATCTACAGCGAACTTCCTGGCGAGTTTCGGTACATTGAGCAGTGTTCCCGTCGGTGGCGCATTGCTTGGAGACGGTGGAAAGGACGGCTGGCAGGCTCTCATCCTCTTCTCGGGCCTTTCTTACTCAGTAGCACTTGTGTGCTATGGTTCGGCCCGAGTTCTGGCCGTCGGATGGAACATCAAGACTGTCTTCTGAGTGAGGCAGGCTGGCCATCGCCAGTGGATCTTCTTAGCAAAGGTGGGATCATTGTGTAGCATATTAATTCCGCAGGTTAGCCTCACGGCACACCCTCTAATACTATAAGAAATGTACATTAAGATGCTTCTCAGCCTCTTCATGCATACTACTGCGTTGTGAGAAGCCGCATTAGCTGCGTTGCCTTTCCAGCTTAGTTCTTTCAATTCCGAAATGTTGGAAGCCTTAAAACATGACATCATGACATATGAGGCAGTTCCTGGCCGGTTACGACGGAGGTTGACAAACTAATAAGCCGGAAATTGATAATACCAATCTTTAGCTGCCAACGATCGACACCTGATCCCTCCAGTAGTCCCCTGATACAATGCTGCTGTCATCGATATTCATTCCTGAAGGGAATTTGCACTCTCATCGATGGCTAGGCACAGCATGATTAGTCCTTGTTCGACCTGTTGGCGTGTCTCACTTGCCCACCGCATCGCGCATAGGCACGTTGCATGACCTGTGTGACGGCGTTTACTGTCATACTGTGACAGGACGGTCGTCCACATGGCTTTGTGCTATGATTTGGTGACAATTCCCGGCGAAACGGCCGTATGACTTCGCGGATGAGGGGAAAGGTGAGAGTCTCTTCGTTAGCAGGCAGGAAGACAGTCGAGCATGCCTCTAAAACCCAACCGCCATCACCAGTGAGGGTGCCTAGAAAGCGATTGAACCTGTCTAAAACATGGCTCTCGTTCGTCAGAAAAGATTGCTCGCTGGCCATTCAAAAGCGGAGCCCTTGTAAGAGATCTCAATTTGCATCATAGTGCATAATATTTTTCTTCGCGCTTGCGGGTAAGGGTATCGAGCTTTTGGTGCCGGCAGAGAAAATGGACTCAACTGGGAGGCGTGACCAAGCTGAGCCTGCATAGGAATTGAGCTGGTCACAGGATGGGGTTTCTGATTATGGCATGATCTCATTAACATCTCCAGCTGATCTCAAGGAGATGACTGTGCTACATGCATGTTGTCGCAGTCGAACGGGATATGCGGCACCGATCTCAATCTCAATGTTATATTTGGGTCGCATTATATATTAGGCTCCAGTGCCAACGCAGAAGCGATCATATGAAAACTTATTGGATGAGTAAGCTTATGAAGTATTGATATCATACCGAAAAGTCCAACACAGACAAATCTCTTTTGCCTCCACTGCCCTCCACATCTTGTGCGACAAGCACCGAAAGAACATTCTCTTTCTCCAGCCTGGGACCATCAATGAGTGGCTCTCCTGACAGACCATTGCCCACCCAGACGTCTTCATACTCAGCGTACCCGCTCGATCTCGCCGCCTTCAATATTCTTATTACTGGCGCAGCTGTATGCGGCAGAATGAACAGCAAGTCGCCAGTCTTCGTGACCGCCATCCGACCTCGCCTCGGCTTATCAATGGGGCGGACGGCCCTCGATGTCCAAGTGCCTGCGCGGCACGGTCAGTTGCTTTTTTCACAGAACAATTTGATTGGCCTTGTACACAGGGAAACATACCGCCAGGAGCACGGTAGTAGTGTCTCCACACGTTGATGCCATCCAGGGTGTCACGGTTCAAAACATGCACTCCGCCATCCTGATCAACGGCTTGCGCCTCCTGGTTCATCAAGCCGCTTCCTTTGGGAATGTCAAAAGCGACGATACCCTCAGAGGAGTTGTCGATCGTCTCTCCTTTCCTCAGGTCAGCAATCACCTTCCCGTTGCCATTTTTCCAAGAATAGCCCAGATCCTCGGAATAGGCATAACACATGTTATGGTTGTTTTCCGCCCCGTTGGGTCCAGCTTGCTGCTTATGCTTGGTATCCTCGAGGTCATCCCAGCCTTCATAGTGCACGAAGCCCCGGTAAACCCATGTCACATGCAGCTTGCCGTCCCTGAAGTCCCAGCCATGGACGTAAGGGTTGCTCTGCACGCCCGTCAACGGGGTGCCTACGAATTCCCAGAAGCCGGTGGAGGAGCGATACAGGTATAAGTGGTCAGAACCAAGGCCAGCTTTGCCGTCACGGAGGGACATAAACATGGTGTCCTCCCCTAGGGCACCGAGGCGTGGGTAGGTCACGTAGCTGAAGTGCTTGTGGGAGCTGGGGAGCCCCGGCAGATAGTCCAGGGTTGGAGTGAAAAGTGACGAGGACCAGGCGAAGGCAGCAGGGTCTTGAGCGATGCCGCGTATCGAGTATCGATACCTTAAGCTATGCGGTGGAAGTTAGTTTCTGAAAGGGAAGGAGTAGAGAAGGCATAGCTTACACATCGCAGTGATGATCGTAGGAGAGGTGAATAGTCCCATCTCCGGGGCAGATGCCCATCTGGACCGTATTGTGGCCATCATCTGTAGTTTGCGGGTAGTCTTGGAAGACGATTGTTTGCCATGGTCCTGATGGGAGCTGTCTCCTGGCAAGATGCACGTAAAGGGGCTCGGGGGCCGAGTCAGAGCTCAAGCCACTGTAAAAGACGACATACTGCCAGCCATTGAAAGATGTGATAGCGTCCTGCTGAAAGGCGTACCCATTTATGGAATGCTTCCGATGGGCTGGATCAGCGCCCAAGACTGTTACTTCTGGATCTGACAGCATGGTTCGAAACAACTGACAAGCTGATACCAACTACGCTGAGAAGTGGTGCCAAGCCAATGGTTTCCCACGAGGGACGAAACTTGATGTTCTGGAACAGGGATGCTTAGTTGGTCAGCAGGAGACAAGCGACTAGGAAACGACGGGACGGGAGCCAATTGTTTTCGTAGGCAGTGCTCCCGCGTTGGCACTTGGCGGCTCTTACTTAGACTTTCAGGGTTAAATACCCAAGCAGACGGCATTGATGGTAATTCGTGGAGAAATTATACGCCGTCGAGTCGACTACTCCTGGCTGCCTTGGCATATAAGACTCCCAGACTACTCTTTGGCCGGGCTCCGTTTGAAATCGAGAGTCAGGAATCGAAAAAAACTCCAAATGTGAAGACATGTGGGACACCACACGAGGAGGCTGTCGATATGGTTAAGGCGTTGGGACAGCATTCTTGCTCGCTTTACCGTAGCCCGAGAACCCCGATAAGCTCGGTAAGCGCTGGGACAGAAACGACCGAGGGCGACCATCCTCTGGGACCGAATACCAGGCCTAAGAGAGGACAGGACTGGGAACCGGGCCGAGACGGACCAGCATCGATTAAACCTTCATGGCAGCAATGTCGATAGCCAGAATCACCACGTCGCGTCTCTCCGAGATAAAACTTTTCTTATTACTACCATTCATTTGTCTTTTCACTTTTCCGTTCCCTTTTCCGAGGCAAACACAACTCGTGAAAACAAGAAGATCAATATGCGGAGTTGTCCCCGGGGATGATCCACTTCCCCAGATCTGCCCCGGATTGGCGAGTGAGATGTGTGGAGGCCAGGGGTCCATGTCTGCCAAGTCTCTAGACCCCTTCAACGCTTACAGACAACCTTCCGGCTAAAGTCGCCTGATTGGCAAGCCAGTCGGGTCTATGGCCCTTTTGATACTGAGCTGGCGTCCTGTCCCACCGCTGCCAAGCGTCGACCGCTGAGGCAGACAGCAGAACCAGCATTGCTGATCACCGCGACCCCGGGACATCATGCCATCTGATCACAGAGGCGCGCTCAGTTGGGCCACGCGTGGTTTCTGGTTGGATCTAGTTCCTAGGAACGCTTCCTTTGGATCTTTCGCGCCCCCCGATCCTCCTCGTGCTCCTCGTCCTCCTCGAGGACCGCGTGGCACTGGCCGAACACACAGCTGTCTCTCCAACAGCGCCAAGGTGGCTTGCACTTGCCCCGATCTGGGGATCTCACCTTGGGTAGCACTCAACCTCCTTGGTGGGAAATCAGCCAGCCGTCTTGGAACACGATCAAGCTTTTGGGGAATGAGCGTGAGGATGAGGCCCCTACCTTCCAACGGTCTTGGTTGGCAGCGTGCTGGGTGTGGGGAAGCTGGGCCGCCCCCCAGGACCACCTTTAGCCCCCCCTAGTACCTAAGAACTGGGCGTCCAATTCACCCGGATGTATCGTGGGGTGGCCAGGTCGAGCGGGTACTGGGGTCGTATCTAGATGCCTTGCTCGCCGAAGCGAGCTAGGCACGCCCACCTGCATGCGTGGCTATATGAGCTGATGCTTCTCCGACTACATGCTCCTCGTCCTTTTAACCGCACCTTTTGAGATCCGACATTCATAATTTTATCCTCAAAATTTCTCGCGCCTGTGGCTGTGAGAGAGCTCAGGATCTAATCGTCGAAGACTTCTTCGAAGAACACTGTGTCGATCGCGGACGTGTGTTCAATCTCCTCAACTCGATAATACAGACACACTCCCCTTAGACCGACCAGCGGCAGCTTGCCGCACCAAACCGCCAAAATGTCTATCGGAGTCAAGATACTGCAGAAGATCGTCAAAAATGAGGCCATGGCCCATGACCCGCCGGAGATCTACGGCTGGCGTGTGTACCTACTGGCCTTCTCGGCCTGCTTCGGCGCCATGTCCTTCGGCTGGGACTCGTCCGTGATTGGCGGCGTCATCGTGATGACTCCCTTTATTGACGACTACAAACTAGGAGATCCCAAGAGTCCCGCCTCGGCCAACCTGTCCGCAAATATCGTCTCCACGCTTCAAGCCGGCTGTTTCGTTGGTGCCCTCGCCGCTAGCCCTATCACTGACAAGTACGGCCGCAAGTGGTGCCTCATCAGCCTGTCCTTCATCGTCCTTCTCGGAGTCATCATGCAAGCTGCTGCGAGCGGACACCTGGCGGTCATGTACGTCGGTCGATTCATTGCTGGCCTGGGTGTCGGTGCCGCCTCAGCCATCAACCCGCTGTACGTGAGCGAGAACGCGCCGCGTGCCATTCGGGGCCTGTTGACGGGAATGTACCAGCTGTTCATCGTGACGGGAGGCATGATCGCCTTCTGGATCAACTACTCGGTCAACATCCACATGCACGGCAAGGTCATGTACATCTTCCCGCTCGCGATCCAGGCGCTGCCCGCTCTGCTGCTTTGCTTCTGCATGCTTCTCTGCAACGAGTCACCCCGCTGGCTCGCCCGGCAAGACCGCTGGGAGGAGAGCAAGCATGTGCTGGCACGCCTGCGTAATCTGTCCACCACGCACCCCTACATCGAGGAGGAGTTCTCCGAGATCGTCGACCAGCTCGAGAACGAGCGCCGGCTCATGGGCGACGCCACGGCCGCGAACCTGCACAAGGAGATGTGGACCGTCAAGGGCAACCGGAACCGCGCGCTCATCAGCATCGGCCTCATGATCTGCCAGCAGATGACGGGCACCAACGCCATCAACACGTACGCCCCCACCATCTTCAAGAACCTGGGTATCACGGGCACGTCGACCAGTCTTTTCAGCACCGGAATATACGGCATCGTCAAGGTCTGCAGCTGTATCTGCTTCCTCCTGTTCCTTGCCGACTCCTTCGGTCGCAGGCGGTCGCTGTTGATGAGCTCCATCGTCCAGGGCGTCTGCATGTTCTACATCGGGCTGTACGTCCGGATCTCACCGCCAGCCGAGGGCCAAGCCGTGCCCCCTGCTGGTTACGTCGCCCTGGTCTGCATCTTCGTCTTTGCCATGTAAGTAGTCTGCCTCTACCGGTTTTAGCAGCAGCTCGTGATTGTAAAGAAGCATATACTGATATCAGCACCGCAGGTTCTTCCAATTCGGCTGGGGCCCAGCATGCTGGATCTACGCCTCCGAGATCCCAACTGCCCGTCTCCGATCCATGAACGTCTCATACGCCGCGGCGACCCAGTGGCTCTTCAACTTCGTCGTTGCCCGGGCTGTTCCAACAATGCTTGTGACCGTCGGCGCTCATGGCTATGGGTAAGTTGCGCCTCCATCTTCAGACCGACCCCATTCATGGCAAAAAGCCGTCTCTGACTGAATTGCAATTATAGCACGTATCTCATCTTCGGCAGCTTCTGTTTCTCCATGTTTTTCTTCGTCTGGTTCCTTGTGCCCGAGACCAAGGGTCTGTCACTGGAGGCCATGGACGAGCTTTTCGGCGTCACCGAGGCACACAAGGCTCCTTCTCTAGATGGTGCAGGCTCGTCTCGAGCGGATGAGAAGCCGCATGCCGTAGCTGAGCAGTCAGAGATCCAAAAGGAATGATGTGGACGAGGAATCAACAATGAATTTACCGACGCTCCTTGATAGTGAAGCAGTCGAAGTGTTATTCCAGGAATGTAGCTTTTGGGTATCCATATTCAAAGAAATGACTAGTGCAGTTCCACTCCAATGCTGCTGTTCGTTTGATGCCGATGACAGATGCGCTCTCATGAATCTCGCGCATCATCTTCTCTCGTCGTCCTGACCGACCGTATACCCTCTCGCCACGCCACTCCTCCCTTCTTCGATAGCAGCGCTCTTTTCTTCTTCGAAATCGGTGCCAAGACCCTGCCATGTCCTTTGCGACCGTAGATACTCCGCGCCTGGGCTGAACACACCGTTGATGGTTGCGAGTTCCGCTTTTGGACGCATAGTCAGCGCATCTGACTGCTTGCTGGTAGCTGAATCCGTTGCTTCCTCTCTCTTGGCGTCGCGAGCCGCGCGAGCCGCCACACGCATAGGTCGAGCGTTCGACACAAGTTTGCCAGTCCGAAGGTCGAACACCGGTACATCGTCCTCGTCCTCGTCCACGTCAACCCCACTGTCTGCAGTGACATTGTCGTCTGACCTTCCCATTCCAGAAGCCTCAGGCTTTTCCTCAACAGCCTTTACGCTTTCAATTCCTCCCCACCAACTCAGTCCCCAGACTCTCTCCTCGTCCGGCATCAGTGCAACCTCCAGCTCGAATGGCGTCAGAACGGGTCTGTAGAACCCTGCGTCTTCTTCCACGAGACTGCTCTCCCAGCAACCGACGACCACCCAGCCGTCCATTTCGGCAAAATTAGCCAGCTTGGCCGAATTGAGCTTACCCACGACGACGGTGTAGCTCTTCTTCCCTGCGGCCGCGATCTGTTTTCTTATCGCGTCGATGGACGACAGGTAGTTGGCCACGGAGAGCGTGTTCACCAGGATGCCTATTATTCCGGCGGTGGTCAAGTTGAGCAGCTTTGCGTATCGGCGGCCTAGCAGGGCGCGGGTTGTCCGGGCGGGAGAGTAGTAGGAGGACGGAGAGCCCGGCGTTGAGAAGATATGGAGGGAGGACACGCGTGAGGAGAGGGCCAATAGCAGGGCGGTTGGTGGTGTTGAGATGTGGAATATTGAGTATTGTTTCAGGTCGATGCCGTCTGTCTCGCCAACCTTGACTTGGTTGTCGTCTGGATCTACTATGATTCGGTTTGGTATGCTTCCTAATGGGTCATGTTGTATCCTGGTAGAGAGTAGCTCCGTGTAACCGCGATCCCTGGCACGTCGGTATAATTCGGGCACATGGTCCTGGTATGTTACGTCTGCCATGAGGACAAGCTTGGATTCCTTGTCCGGGAATTCGGACTCGAAGGATTGCAGAGCGTCGTCTAGGTTGAGGGTATGCTTGGTGAAAACGTAGATGACTGGCAGCCTCGATGTGGGAGAGAGACAAGAGCGGCCAAAGTGGACGACGACGTGTGCATCGATATGCTCGGCGGCTATCTCGTCGACGCAGCAGGAGCTGTACGACGTGTCTGCAAGTATGTAGATCTTTTCCTGCTGCTTCCTGTCCTGTGGAATATCCTTCTGGTCGTCCTTCTCTTCGCCTTGTGGTATACTGTCCAGCTCGTCCTGCAGTAGGGTCACTACCTTCGGGGCATCACCTAACATGTGATCTGGGAATTGAAGGGCGATCCGCCTGTGGGCGCCATGCCGTATTTCTCGAGCGACTCTCGCAACCTCGTAGGTTTCTCGAAGCTCATCGTCTGATCTTGGGCTCTGGGCGTCGGCTACTGGTTCCTGGTACTCGAACAGATGGTCGTCTGGGGTGGAAAGCACCGGTGCTGCGGTGAGTTCGTTCGTCATGTTGCTTGAGGACCGCAGGACGGTGTTGTCTTGTCCCTCAGCTGGTCGACGTGCCCTTGATGAACCTCTTGGTTGCGATGCTGCGTCAGTGATGGTGGGGGCGGGGTTGGAAAAATTTCAGAGTAATCGTTAGTGGCGTTATTGGTGGAGGGGAGAGGCCTTGGCAGCATGAGCGAGAAGATCCCAGGGGTCTGCCTACCTGAATGGAGGGGTGGTCTAGGCCTCCCGAACTCCCGCAAAGCTTGGCTCTCAGCCCTACTACCACCTGGCGGCTGCCTCTCGAAGTAGCATCTGGGAAGCCAGAGGATAGCCATCGATTCTTCTTGATCCGCTGAAACTGTGGGATTACATCTATTTTTGGCCTCCCTCTGAGGAGGAGACTCTTGCCGTCTCACTCAGTATGTATGAAAAGACGCAGTTGCTTGATGCAAAGATGCCGTCAGAACTTACCAGTTAGATATTCCTCGCCCCTCTCATTCCCTGCCGATTCGTGATATAACTTATCGTGACCCTGGTCCATCCTCTCATTTCTTCAATCCAACTTTTCTTCTCCGCCTTGTTTAATGTAGTTCCCAGTCACAGACTTTGCTGCTTCAACCCCAGCCAGCCAGTAAGAGCATCACCTGTATCGCTTCTCTAACGCAGCCTCGATTTTCCACGTCTCTAGATGGGTTCAACAAGCACTTCTCGGCCAGATGTGCCTCACTACCAAACCTCTCAAGGACTCTCAACAGCAGGAGGTACCATGCCTTCATCGAGCTCTACTTCCCAGCTTGGGGTGCCCGACGCCCCTCAACGGCAATCATCAGCGCCACCCGGCCGTCAAGATAGCAACACGTCCATTCCGGGATCGCCGCTTCAGCAACCTTCCGAGCCCATGGGGAACATGAGTTTAGAAGGTGTCTCATCGAACCAGTTGTCATCTCCCGAGCTGAACCAAGACCACCTCAACCAAGATGAGAAGACGAGCAGCTTTGCCTCTCGTTTCTTCGGAAACATGATGATTGCGAGGATCGGCCGCGCCTCCTGGCAGTCGATGGAATCTACAGCCCGGCTCCCCTTCTACCTCTCCCCATGGGGTGACAATACGCCCTTTACCCTCCCAAATGTCCGGAAGCGTGACCTTGCTCTCGCTGGCGTTGCACACTTCGGACTCGATGCTCTAGGGGCCTCGGCTGTCACCGTCATGGAAAAGGCGGTCGAGACTACTGTCGAGCAGGGCGTCGACGAAAGCCTGGCCAAAGTCACGGGTAAATACAGCAAGGGCCACGAAGTCATACGCAAGATTGGCGTCAACAGCATCACACTCCGCATCAGGCACAAACTCATTGGCGAGGGCGCCGAGTTGGTATTCCAAGGAGTGAAGAGTACAGATGACTGGATGGGTTGCGCCAAAGGCTGGTTCTGTCCGTACTTGTATGCCAGTGGGAGGGAACCCGAGATCCCAAGAAGCAAGGATTTCGCCATGGCGCGGCTGTTACGACCACGATTAGCGGCTGATGCGAGCATTGCGCCTATACTGCTGAACTCGTTCACTGATGCAGATACGCCAATACTGTCGCCTTTTGGTTGCCCTTGGGAGGACCGGAGTTTTATGCCGACAGCGCCTGCCTATCCAAAATTCAGGCGAATGGCCATCTTTATCGCAGGGATCTCACCATACCGGTATATCACTTCTCAGTCGGCGTGGTCACACTCAAGGATCCCGAATGAAGCACGCCTGACATTTCATTTATTCACACACTGCCCCGCCATCGTGCTTCCTGTTAGAGACCAGTCGCCTATTGTGGCTTGGAGCCCTTGGACGATCGCACGAATGTTTGAGAAGAAGACAAAGTACGACGTCACAGTGCATGTCAAGGAACTCTTGGATTTCATCGATACTATCATTGACGAGACAACGGCCAAGGAACATCAAGAGTGGCGCCATATCACGGAGGCCGCCCTGAGGTCGATGCTCAGCACAATCCTCAATGTGCCTGATGCTATTCGTGAGACATCTAAGCAGAGCTGTGAGCTCGAGAGGGCCGGGGTTGTGTGCTTCAGGTATTGAGGATGGCTCATCAAGTCATGTTCTCTCGAGCACAATTGGTTCCCATTGGAAGATTCGTGTCATGTAACAGGTAGCAAACATTGATCACAAAGCACGGCACGTTTGCCGAACGTGGCTTGACTCGGTTCAACTGATTCGTGGACGAAGGACTAGACAAGACCAGCTGTTCCAAGATTCATCAGAGATCACGCGGTCACCTCTGGCTTGGGCGACGTTATTTTTCTTAGCGCGAAGAGGTCTCCGTCAAATTGCCTGATATGGACGAGAAGATCTGACTTGGGTCGTCGTCGACACCCACAAATTCTTTGCAGCAGGTTGCCTCCCTTCACGATCACTATTGCCCGAGTCTATCCAGGCCTTGCAAGGCCTTCTAGCCATGATTCCAGGCGTATCGCCCTCTGGGTGAACATTGAACATAGCACGGCTTGGCCGTCGTGGCACCCTTGGCCTGCAGGTTGATGATTTGCCGTTGCGGTCTCGCAGCTTCAGCAAGCGAGGACACAGCCACCTTACTATACACACTTGGCACGGCTTCCTGCAGATAGAGACCCTTGACCCACTTCAGAGTGAGACGCAACGCAACGTGTTTGCTTGTGATCCACATGTTGACTAACAGAGACCGTTCTCGAAACCACTCAATCGTCTCCACAAAGCATCACCAGCCCTTGGCGCCCCATGTCGAGGCGGCTGAGCCGCAGCTTATTCGGTGGGGACCACAGGGTCACCGCCCAGGCATTGACGTCAAAACCCCCCCCCTTCGCGAGGGAATCCCCCCTGAATGTCAGTGGATCGCGCGGGGCAGCTCTGCGATCCGGAAGTCGGTGAGAAGTTGATACGTGACAGCACGGCAGAAACGGCATATAAAGAAGAAGACCTCCCCTCCGGAAACCAGGAAATCCTGTGCTGAAACAACATCGCAGCAAACGAAACTTCCTCAAGTCAAGTTACCTCCTCACCACATTCATCATGTCTAACTTCCACCACACCTGCGAGATCCCCAGCATCCGCATTGACGATGGTCACATCCTCCGATGCCGAGTCGCCCGTGAGGACGGCGAGTACGTCGATGCTGAGATCAACCTGAACTCCTGCATCGGTAATGACAACGGTAAGCTAAACATACCTGCTAGTATATGTTGTCAAAGCATTAGGCTAACCAAAGACAGGCCACTTCTTCTGGGGAGGCGAGAGTAAGAGTGTTCCCTGGGACCATTAGGCTGCCCACACCCCTCCAGAATTAGAAATATGCTGACAAGCTGCACCAGACTTCCTTGAGACTGCCGAGGACGTCCGCTTCCACATTGAGGGCGACAACCAGCCCATCCTGCGGGCTAGACTCCGATCCATCGAGGGCGAGTACGAGGACAGAGACCTCAACCTCACGGAGAGGATCATGAACCGGGATGGTCGACTGTGCTTCGAGAACTAAAGAGTATTAGCATGTAACGTCGCTCTTCGGCTCTATCGTCACAAATCAAAGAAAACTGTTAAAAGCAAGAGCTTGGTCAAAGTCGTGATACGGTCCAACATAAAATTGGCCTCTGAAGGAAGTCCCGCTTTCACTGTATTAAGTGCCTGCGTCTTGCCCTGCCCTGTCCAATTCTTTGCGACACAAATTGACACCAATGCCTCAAATTTTGGTCACACAGCCGTGTAGTCTCGTCATCACTTGCCCAGACCTCTCAGTGATGGTGTTAGGGTTCAAGAGACCTGAAGTGATGTTTTCTCTCTTCAGGATTGATCTCTTAAGAAGCGAGCTCAAGCATGAGAACGTAGCACTAGAATTGAGACTGATTCATTGTATTTTCCGCCACTATATGATTCGTTTTTCAAAATATTGTCGATTACATACAGCCTTGTTAGCACAGTTGCAGGCATATCTGGCCAGGGTAAAGCTTAGTGTCGTTGCACCAATCAGAATATGCGAGAGACTGGTCTGCGATAGCTCACCTCGGTAGCCGTGAAGGGCAAATTATCCGCGAAAGGCAACCAAATTATAGCATAGACAGGGTAAACTAAAGCGGAGACTTTCAGAGCTGTCCCTGCCACCCAACATTCCGCAGCCTGAATTTGATCCTCTTGTTAGGGCGAGCATAGAGAGCGATGGCGAGAATTATTCTAAGCCTCAACCACAGAGGGTATCGTGATCCTGTAAGGACCCTCTGATATCTAAATAGGAGACTTGATCTCAATATAAATTTATCCCGAGCAGGGAGAATCCTGGAATCAGTCGGTAAACACTGTTACAACACCGGCCTTATAATCATTGCAGTTGCTAGACTGGTTGCTAGCTAAATGTGAGATGGTGTTGCTAGCTCTTTTCAAGTGCATGTAGGCATATGCTGGCTTTGGAGCCGTTTGGGAGTAAGGACGGCATTGGTGGAGCTCAGGAGACCAGAGTCCTTTAAAAGAGAGCGCTCTACTCGACATGCTTAAGCACAGGTGCTGCTTCAATTATTCACTTGTTTCCGAGTGGCTCTTCTTCCTCTGGGTCAAAATATTGAACGCTAGGATCGTCTGTCGTCAAGACACCGAGCATTGAAAGGTGAATGTTGTCGATGAAGCGACAGCAGCACGGCCAATTTTCTTCGGACTACGTTCGCATGGAAATTTTCGGCAAGACCTCTTGTCTGGTAGAAGCTCCTATTTATTCATCCGATCTACACTCATTTAACAGTGCTGGGTTTTGCTAGAAGGCTCCCTCGGAATGAATTGTATATGCAGCTTGCCGCAGCTGAGTTATGTAGTTTTTTATCAAACGAACGAAGAAAAAATTGCTGCCCCCCGCATGTAATCAAAACTTCAAACAACTCTACACCTGCTAGTGACAATTTAACAACGTGGAAAGGTCAGCTGATCACCAGGTTGTGTTGAACTGACAAGGAGCTAACTGCGTGGAACGTGGGCAAGGTCAGTCACTAATACGTGTCTGTCACAGCACATCCAGGCCCTTAAAACCTCCCACCGATATTGACTGCTCTCCTAGAAGAGTTGACCTTTTCCTCTACACCTCAAACGACAATGCATCCTTGCACGCCACCAGTACAAGATGACGGATCCGCTAATCGCGCAGTCAGATCACCACAAACACCCAAACATCTCAGTTCGAGATCATCAGCAAAGATGGCATTGGACATCAATCACCACTGGTAGGTGTTATTATCACTTGGTACTTGATACTGTACCAATACTGACCTCTAAAGCCCTGTGTGTTCCAAGAAGGGCAACAGAAGATGCCTGAAGCTGGGACACCTCATCGAATGTGAGATTCACAGAGGCAGATACCACAGCCGAATCCATGGTTGTGTCTCATGCGCTGAAGCTCGCGCCCGTGAGGAGAAGGTCGCCAAGAAAGACCACAACTCTAGCAACGTGGAGCACGAGGACAAACAGCAGCAGAAAAATGCGAAAAGGGCAAAGGTCAAAAGCGCCCACGAGAAAACCATGAAGCAGCTGAGGAAGGAAATGCGACAGGAGAAGAGGGCATCGTCGAGCGATTAGGTCTGAAGGAGCCTTTGCGATGAAGGGCAACCGCGATGAGACGAACGATTCCACGACGAATGGATGCTCGACTGGGTGTACTGCATGGCTTATAAAATAGACGACTATAGTACTTGTCGCTAGAAGAATGTTGTAGATTGGAGCCAGGCCAAGGGCTGGAGACCGTTCTTACATGAAACTGCAAGGCTGAACATTAGGCGTGGTCGCACCTCAATCGTCCATGAAGTTGCACATGCCTCCATAATTACGCTGAGACAAGAACTTTCAATGCAAACCAGTCGTCGACTCTGCGGCCGAAATGCAGGCTTGAAACTGATAAATCGGCGTTTCGGTCGAGTTCTAGCCCACCAGGGGCGAGGCGGCCGCATTTGTGGCCGCCCATTCCTCGGCTGAACATCCGATAGATTGAGCTGAGCCGCACGATCTCACTTGCATTCGAAATTATTGGTTGAGCTTGAACGATTCTGGTCAATTTGGTCTTTGAACTGCAATGATGTGATAAAATCTTATGCCATGTCGGCCAAGTGTCAATGATCCAATCCAGGCACGAACTCTATCCACTTTCTGGCCCCGAGATGACCTATTCGCAGCACGACTTGCATGACCAATGGCCGCACCTGTTCCTGACGCTAGGGTGGCCATTATTGGTCCCGTGTTTGGCATTCTTCGTTTCAGACCACGGTTTAACCAGCTGTGACTGTGAATTGTTGTTGTATGAAGAGAGTGATCGATGCGTGGCCAACTATATAGAGGCGCCGATCTCTCCCTTTCAAACCTCTCTTTCAATTCTTCACCACCACCGACACTCACTCATTAGTCACTCATTACCTGTTGCTCATCTTCAAGTCTCTCGCTATGTATTTGCTCCCAACTACAGTCAATCGCTTGGCTTAGGCCGCTCCCCCGCCACTCCATAAATCCTCATCATTCCTTCCCTGCCATTCGTTTCTCCTCGGGAGCCTAAAATCACCCTCTTTATTCATACAAAAATAAAGCTTATCGACCTCACTCGTTGTCACGAAATTGCAAGATGTCCGAAACACCTTAGCGCCGCTCACTAAGATACACATTCCTTTCAAACTGCCCTGTCAACTATTATCAATCGTTAATTCCCACACCCTCAAAATGTGTCGTCCAAATACGAAATCTTCAAAAGTCTTCTACATTGCATCCCTTCGGCGTATGATATTTTTGGGAAGCATAGCGGCGTTCTCTTAGAGAGTTGTTTGGACCATTAGGAACGTGAGTTTTTCTCCGGGAAAAGAAAGTATGCTGGGCTCAAGAACTTTCTGACAGATTTCTACACAACAGTTTTCCTTTTTGCGAATAGAGCATGTCTTCTCTCTCTGTCTGCTCACTCGACACTCCTTAACTGCCCTCAAAAAATTTAACGACTATGGATGCCGGTGGTTGTTCACAAGCTGCACAGTGTGGGTTCAGCTGTACACTCAGTCCCGGTCGTCAGCCTTTGCTAACTTTGATTTGCTCAGAATGATTTAATGACTTCATGTTCCAACATAGGAATCTTGCATCTGTATCTCTGCGTCTGCATTCAAAATCTTCCCTTATTTGTGATTTTTGCACTTGTTTCAGACCCTCTATTCATATCTAGGGATCTCACGCCGCTTATTCTTGAGACTAGCATTATGGGCACGCATTTTCTGATCATCTTTCCTTTCTTTACTAGTGTGGTTGGCCGGTGGTAATGATTTCGCTGCTGATAGACTTTGCTTTGTTTTGGTTTTCGGTTTGTTATTAACCGTAAATATACACACTCGCTTGTACATAGTCACTCCTTACGTACCTAGGTATATACTCATGATTCGGAGCCTTGATTGAATGCATTCATATCTAAATTCAATGAAAAACAGAGCAAAGTGCTAAGTACATCCTGAGGTCATGACTCTTAGGCACCTATTTGGGGATTGAGGCCTCATTGGCTTTGTACATGCTCCAGTTAGCGAATCACCTCTGGCCAAGACGTGCGACGGCGCTTTCGCCGTCCGAGAGACACCGCCGCAGGGATTAACTTCCCCGCGCCCCAACAACGAACGACGATCCGACCTCCGGACATGGTCACCCTCGCCGAGCCCCTTCATACCTGTGCCGTGGTTTAACATAGAGGCATTAACGTTTATAAAATAAGGTCTTTTTGCAGTTGGTAATTTTCGCTCTTTTGCAGTTTTGTATGACCCATCATTACTCTGATTCGACTTAGATACTCGCTGCTCTCTTCCAACGTCCTTACACGGCTTATATCAAGAAAAGATTCGACAAATAGAGGTCAGACTTGTAGTACGCCGACATCATGACTACCGAACGCTCTCAGCTCACCTCAAGGGTTATTCCCGCAATCACCCTCGGCGACGGTGCGCCTGGCACTCTGTCAGGGCCGCCTCCACCCCTCGCGCAGAAAGATGCCCGGGCTAGGGCCCTGGAGCGATTCTCGGTCGCCGATAATGCTATCGTGACAGGAGGCACTGGCGATCTCGGGTTCGCGGCATGCCGCGCTCTTCTTGAGCACGGCGCCAGCGGGCTTGCGATGTTCGATCTCGACGAGGCGGAGGGGCTATCTAAAGTCCGTCTCCTCCAGGAGAGCTTTCCTGAAGCCAAAATTGAATTCATGAAAGTCAACGTCACTGACGCGGCGAGGGTCAATGAGGCCGTTCAGGAGACGGCCAAAAAGCTCGGCTCTGTCGACGTGCTCGTGTGCTTTGCGGGAGTTGTCAGCACTGTGCACGCGATAGACATGACGCCTGAACAGTTCCGGGTCATCGTGGACATCAATTTGACAGGTTCATTCCTATGTGCCCAGGCGGCTGCACGAGTGATGATTGAACAAAAGAAGAGAGGGAGTATTATAATGACTGCCTCAATTTCCGCTCATCGGCCAAATTATCCCCAGCCGCAGGTCAGCTACAATGTCTCGAAAGCTGGAGTTCTAGCCTTGAAGGATTCGTTGGCTGCTGAGTGGGGAGTCCACGGGATCAGAGTGAACACAATCTCCCCAGGGTATATGAACACCATCCTCAATGAGGGATCGATGCTGGACTGGCATAAGACGGAATGGTTCCATAAACATCCGATGGGACGCATGGGTGAGCCTGAAGAACTCATGGGAGCGGTGGTTATGCTGGCCAGTAGATCTAGCACATACATAACTGGAGAAGATATTAGAATTGACGGAGGACAGAATCTTATGATGTAAGCTTAAGTAGGTCACATATGACCCTGTCTCTAGCCGCCAGGGCGACTTATTTCGGTGGTGGGCACATTGGAGCAGCTGCATTAGGTAGTCGTTATATTTATGGTCTTGTTCACTAAAGCGTTTACCTGAGTGACTCTTCGATGCAATGAGTCAGGTGCAGAGTTCTGAAACTTTTTCAATGAGAATCGGAATCTTTGGCTGCGGGACAGAGACGTGGTTGTCGAAGTAATGATAGAACAGGACGGTGGGTTTCCAAATAAATCGTACTGGGCGCTAATAATACTAAGACATTCAGGTAGAAGACGACACCCAGTCGATGAAAATTTCGACGGCTGTCTCATTATATGATTCGACAACTCGTTAGAGCGCCCCTATCTGAGCCAAGTAGTGCAGTGTCTACTTTGCTCTCAGTCTGTCCTCCTTCAGGATGTCGGCCGCTCTTTCAGCTACAGCATAGACCGTTGACTGAATGTTTCCTGAAGGTTCAAGCGGAAAAACACTCGCGTCCACAACGCGCAAATTCCTAACACCATAAACCCTAAGTCGCGTATCGACTACGCCGCCGGCCTCCTGAGGACGCATGGAAGCACTGCCACTTAGATGGAATACGGAAATTTGGCGACTCCTTACAACTTCTTTCGCCGCCTCCAGATCTGTTGCATAGCTCTGGAGTCGCTTCCCGTTCGGTTTCAGGATGTTCGAAAATGGTTCGGTACCGACCAACTTTTCAACGAATTGAACTCCTCTCGCAAGGAGCTCCATGTCGATGTTCTCGGAGTTGTATTGCGGGTTCCAGACAGGCTTGTCTTTCACATTGGGAGACGAAATGTGACACGTGCCTCGCGAAAATGGGTGGTTGAGAAACAACATAACGGTGATATAGTTTTCGGGCTCAGTTGGTGTGATGTAGTCCGAAACGCTTCTGGGTGTCTCTGGAATGATCAGTTGCGTAGGGAACAGCATCAGTTGATACGTTGGCTCATTGGTCGTCTCCAGAACATTTCTGATTACCTGTCGGTCCGCTTTAGAACAGCGACCTGACCCTTCGTCTGTGAGAGTTTCTGTCATCGTTTCGAAGAACTTGCTGCGAGCCTCCAATGAAAGAACGCCGGATGAATCAGCCACTATCCAAAATCCAGGGTTAGCAAATAAACGTGTATCTCCTGATCAAGATGTGGACGCGTACTTGGCACGAATGCAGAACTGATGATGCTCTGCCCCAGTGGCCCATCTTGGCTGCTTTGGTACTGAGACACGATCGCTTTGAGTAGATCAGGGTCGCGGAGCACGTCTCCTGACATAACACCATCTGTGACCTCAAAGCTCTCACAGACGATGGGATGATCCTGCAAATTGGATCCAACATGTGCATTGTCGACGAACACTGGAATTCCATGCTTCGTTAAGATCTCCTTGTCTCCTACTCCCGACAGCTCGAGGATCTGCGGAGTTTGCAAAGCGCCAGCGGCCAGAACGATCTCCTCCTTGGCGCGAATGATTCGTTTGGGCCCATTGCTTGAGCAGACTTCCACTCCTTGAGCAACGACTTGACCGGTGGAATTATCTGTGTTGCTCAGGATGACCCGGTGAACTGTGGTATCTGTAAGTATCGACAAATTTGAACGATTCCTGACTTCTTCCGTCAGGTATGCGGATACTGATGTGACTCTCGTCTTCGTGATCGGGTCAATGGTCGCGGCTTGTTGGAAAGCACCGACAGCGGATCCGTTTCTGGGGTCGCCAGTCATTTTCAGGCTCAGCTGCTCAAAAGCATCCATCCATGCAGTGTTACTAGGTCCGAAACCCTCACCGAACGAGAGAGCCATAGGACCCGATTCTAAAGCAGAGACCGAGATGTCGTGGTGGCCGTCCATTTTACATGTTTCGATTGCAAGCTGAGACGGCTTATGGGTCTTTGCAAATTTTCGAAAATAAGGAGCTAAGGTCTCAAAGTTCCAGCCTTCGTTTCCCATTGTTTCCCAGGCATCGAGGATGTCCTTGCCAGGATACACCATCATCAAAAAGTTCAGAGCAGAGCAGCCTCCAAGCATTCTACCTCTGGCCTGGCTAATGGTACGGTTATTGAGATTTGGCTTGTTTGGAAAATGTGTTAGCCACAGTCTGGAGAAGAGGCTACGATGCGTAGGTTACCAACCTGTGGAACTGAGGTGAAGTTCCAGTCATATTCATCTTTGCCGTACAAGGCCCCCATAAGCCCTGGTGTCAAGACAAAAGGGTCTTTGCTCTTGTCTCCACCAGCCTCTATTACCAGTACGGAGACATCAGAATCCTCACTCAAGCGTGAAGCGACCACGAGGCCGGCGGTACCACCGCCAACTACGATGTAATCATACTCGTTCTCTTCACGAAGTTGTACCGTCATCTTGTCAAGTCAACACAAGACGACTGATGAGAGGAGCCAATTTCGAAACGAGCAAGGACGATGAAGACGTAAGACAAGCTGAGGGATAAACGTGCAGGCCGACACCTACTTATCAGTCACATCAAGTGGGGCTTATTGAGACAAGGTCCCGGCCATGGCTGTCCATTTTCGCGTGCGCGTTATGTGCGGATGCCGCATCACGCGTTGCTTCGGCAGGTACGCATGCAGTAGCCTGTGATCCTTCGGAAAGGGTTATCGTGAGTGTTGGCACTGAGAGCTCCACTCGGACAGAAATTGCGGAGCACAATACCCTAGTGTTGACGTTGGACCTGTACGGTGCTAGAGACGTGGATCCGTTCGTTGCAAAGCGCATAAGCAGACCACCAACACGAGTTTCGATTGCCGAAGGCACATGTGGAACAAGAAAGCATAGCAGGTAGCCTCTAGCCTCCAAGCACCCAAACAATGGAACATGACCCGGTCGCTCTGGAATGGCTTTCTGAACTATTCATAATTGCGCTGACGAGCCAATCGCCCCAAATTACGACAGAAAATGGAGTCTCCAGCCTCAGGGTCTCATCATGCTTGTCATGCACGGCATGTACAATCAACTAGGTGTGGGCTACCATCTCACGGGAGTTTCTGAAAATCTGCCTGATTTTGCGAGTACTTGATCAGACATTCCTTTGCACAATAAGTTGGTCTTCAATAGAGATTGACTGTGTGGGCTAGATACTGGTCGCGTACATGTTCTTCCTCATTGCATCTCCGACGGTCAAATCCTTTGTCCTCTTCTATTATCACAAGTTCTTTTTTTTTGTCAAACTCACCATACGTCCCGTCGCTAAAGTCGCCATGGTCTGATTCACCCTGTGAAGTATAAGCAACATCTTGCAAATCTTCCTCATTTACTGGCCATTTTCAGCGACATGCTGTACATCAGCACATAGTACCTGTGGCGACCAGGAGGCCAGCTTCCTTGCAATCACTTTGAATTTACTTGAGAGGCAGCCAGAGCCGACAAAAGAGGACCAAAAAGAATTGTCGTTGTGTCCTGAGCGATGGCCTGATTACGGCAGAGGTGGTATAAACGGCTGGAACAACCAGCGTATAATGCGTAGAATGTGCTTGTATAGCGGCGGAAGCATGCTGCCTAGAACTGTTTAGAACTCAGAGAATGAGGCTGCAAAGCCAGAGTGATCGGAGGTTACTGTTATGTGTGATGAGAGTTTGGGAGGGTATGCCATTGACATGGCATGCAATAATATCTGCATTGTACTTTATGTCTCATCGCTTGTGAGCAAATGATGGGATTCCTGTGGAATGCCTGGCTCTATGGTAATTTACTAGTCTAGATGAACAACGCAGCTTGACAAGGCCATATATAGATACTTGAGGAGACATGGGAACCATCGCTTTAGGAGGATGACCACTGGTGAGCCTCCCGCCATGGCCCGTGCGTCCACCAGCTCCAAGCGGGTCACTGCAACACTGGGGGACTCGGACGAGTACCCAGCACGCCTAGGTAGGCTATGGTGGGTTGCACTCACCTCATCCGCCGCTAGCACATGCCAGCTGCCTCGAGCTTGTGACCGCACTTTTCGAGAGTGTGGCAGCTTCTCCAACCCAACAACACAACCTCCCTGCTCACTCGCTCTACTGAATCACTCTGGCTCCCAACGTTGCTGGACATAGGCTGTGAATGCCTGTGTAGTGTTCCTCTACTCTGATCTCTCAGCTCATCGACTGGGTTATCAAGTTGCCATCAATGTGTCCATAGAAAGCAGCCAAGCGCGCAGCCTCCGACCAGCTCTCAGAAGCAGAAGCAAGACTGACAGCAAATCGATGATTACACCTTAACTTGTCTTGTCCACGAAACTACGCAAAGATGGCATCTAAATCTTCCTTTCTCCCACGTCTCTCCCTTTCCCGCCCCGACAACTCCTCCATCCTGCCCTTCCACAACAGCACATCTCGATATCCCGCCCTTCGAAATCAGCGCAGCGAATACGATCTAGACGAGTTATCACCACAAGCCGAACGAGATGGTCTCATTTCGCCCGCATTCGACGGACCTGCCCCATCCATTCTGCCCTCGAACCGCAAACCCACAGGTGCTTTAAACCGCCGGCCATCCAACTCCTCCACCGGCTCAACAGATGCGAAGATCAGAAAAGAGCGAGGTCCCGGCAGGATTATGTTCGCTGGCCCACCACCTCCTATCGCCATGTCGACGGTCTTGTACCGTGATGCTGAGGCGCGCTATGACGACGGCGAGGAGGCGGAGGAGGCCGGGACTGCTTCATGGCTCCCTGGCACCGCGCGGAAGGCCATCAGGAGCGTCATGTGGGATCGATCATCCGTCGATCCCGCTCGCCGTCCTGATGAGGCCCCAGTCGTATATGATCGGAATTCCATATGGAGAAGCTTACAGCGGCGTGAGCGCGCCATCGTGCAAGATGTGCAGCAGTACTTGCAAATCCAGGAGGGCATTCTGACACGCGCGCGGCCGAGTGATGATGGTGATGAGCACAGTAGTGGTAGTGCCACCCCCACAAGTGCAAGCGTGTCTTCGTCGCGGCGATTACACCGGTCAATAATAGAGCCTGTGACTAGATCGGGCCCGGGTGGAGAGATCATCCCTGTGCGCCAGCCCAAGCAAAAGAAGGCCGGGATCAGTGATGCGAGAAAAGGCATTGCGGGAAGCATGGCACAGCTAGCCAATCTCAAAGTGGAGGAAGACGCATCGATCCTCAGCGCACTTTCGATAAGGAAACAAGCCCTTGTGAAGCTGCGCAACCTGTCGACAAAACACGATGACATCGCCGGGGAGCTGACCGCCCTGGAGACGGACGAGGCCGAGCCGCTTGCCAGAGAGCTCGAGGAGCTGGGCAGTGAACACCGGGGCGTGTGCTCTGAGATTGAGGAGCTACAGAAGAGGCTGACTGAATTACGAACAAGACGTCGTTACTTGGAGCGTAGAATGGATGGTGTACAAAACCGCCGAGAGGCAGGCCTGAGTGGCTACAAGAATGCGTTGAAGGAAATCGAAGACGCGACCAACACCTTCCTCACGCGACCGCCAGTGAAGCCTTTAGACGTCGAGGCACTCACTGTGAGCACGAACAAGGAAGAGCCGAGGTCGACACCCGGCGGCGTCGAGTTTATGCACCTTCGTCCGGAGCGTCGCACAATCGACATGGCCCGCGAATGGTGGGAAGGTGAAGTTAGTATTCTGGAGCAACGCAAGGCACAGGTGGAAGTAGAGCGCGCGGCCCTCGAAGAAGGCGGTCAAATATGGGACGAGGTCGTCAGTCTTGTCCTAGACTTCGAAACCCAGCTCCGGAAGCTCATGGCCGGAGTGATGGCATCGTCAGTCCATGGCGGCAAGGGTAAAGAGCGTGAAATCCCACCCAAGGAGACGATCCTGAAGTTACAGTATGAAAAGATCAACACTGTAGTGATGGGCTTGGAACAACGGCTGCGCGTCGCAGAAGAGAAGGGATGGAATTTGCTCATCGCGGCCATCGGCGCGGAGCTTGAAGCCTTCAAGCAGGCTCAGAAGATCAACAGGGATATGCTCAAGGAGGCAGGGATCGTGCCTGATGATCAATCCTCGAATGACTTGTCGCGGGAGAATTCAGGCATGACCGGGAGCACCAACAACTCTTTTCATACTGTCAACGGCGGCAGCACTAACCTGAAGGATATCCAGGAGCAGCTTCTAGATATACCGAACAACCACGAGGATGAGAGAACCGATGAAAGCGATAACGAGGTCCCTGCCGATTTGTTGGTCGCGCAACCGGACAGTCCCGGGGGAGGACACCGTGATGACGGAGGAAATGTAGACGGGGCAAACGAGGGCCCTTCAATGGACCGTGAGAACAGTGACAACGAGGTGCCGCTCGAGTTCCTCGTCGAGCATCATGATAGCAGGGAGTGATGAGTACGATGACCTGACGATATTTGGTGTTTGGCATGGACAGGCGTTTAATGGCGCACTTAGGCCCCTCGGATATACCCATATCATTTAGTTCGTTATGAATAGCACCTAGATTTAGCACACGGAGTACTCAATCAAATGATCTTTGGTACAGCCATAAAGCGGAGATGATCTCCTGTCAAAATATTTCCAAGTGGTGAATTACCAATCAATCAATCAATCGCCATACAAGCAACCAAGACCGGACGCCAACCCTCAGTCATAATCCCCCCCAGACTACCCAAGATCAAATGTGATCTCAACTCGCTGGCCCTGACGGTTCAGCATGCCATTTTAACATCCTAAGCCGGTGGCATTCCCCATAGCCGCAGTCTTCCTGTGGTGGTCTACCTGTTCCGCTCAAACCAGCCGCTCTGGCCAGCAGTCACAACAGCCCAGTCCATGGCCGTCTCGCCAACAGCCAGGTACCGGCCAACCCACTTCTGAGTCTCGTTGCTGTCACCTGCAATCTTCTCCGACTTGAAACTGGGCCTAGGAGTCCCCAGGAGGGGCCGGAGTTAGTCTTGGTGTCCTCCCTTCTGATATTCTTGTTTTCGTCCCGAATCCTTGGGCGTCTGTGCTTTCGCCTTGGGATCGTAGTATAGGATGGTAGTCTTCACTCACGTCAGGCCCGTCGAGCGTCGGATTCCGGCGAGGATGGTCGAGACTGTGGAGAAGGCAGGAAGGTCAGTCGGGAATTGCGCGAACGACGAGAGGAGTGTTGTCGCAAGTGGGAGACCTACTGAGGATGGCATCGACGCCGTAGTGGACAAGTCTTCCCAGCTTTGACCACAACCCCAAAGTCAGCAAATCGAGGAGCTGGAGAGACGATGATGTTTAGCCCCCATGGCGCATGTGACGATGCATGGATGGCAGACCATTGGAGGGGAGAGAGGTGGGAGGAGATCCATCGATGGAGAGGGGTTCTGGGGCGCAAGGGGAGGGGAGGTGACCCACCACCATCTTGACGTGTCTCTCTGTCTTGACTCTTGTCTCTGGTGCTGTTCGGCGGGACAGGGTGAGGCAGAGGAGTAGCTTCTTGGGATGATACGCCGCGGGGAACGGAGGGTGAGAGAGGGTGGGCTGTCTGGTCTGGGCTCTGGCTCGGTGTTTCTGCCGGTGTTATCGTTACTCAGGACGAATGGATACTCTCGTGTCAGGTCAGATTGGCTCTGTCCATCTGCCGCCGTGGTCGAGTCGTCGGTTTTGCCAAGGGCAAGAGAGGCAGGCGGGCAAGGAGGCACGAGACCCTTGCAGCAGGCAGGCTGCAAGCAGGAACCCCCGGCACCTTCCGAAACCGCGGCAGAGCATCCGCGCGCACAGCTGGCGGGCAGATCGGTGCAGGTGCGCGGATGCGCTGGGCGTGCAGGTCTGCAGTACGTACCCACGTACCGTTTGGGCGGCGGTACGAGACTAGCAGTACAAACGGTTATTATGTAATGGCAGCTGGCCGGGTCCATGCGCTGTAGCTAAGGCACGCTAGGTAGCTAGGTACCGTATCCCGTTTCCCACACTATCCCAGCTTATCACCGACGGGCGTGGGTTATCGGGACCTGGTGATTGGCGTCCTTGAGCTTCGTCCGCCATTCCCGATTATTTTGGGAGGAGGGGTTGCAGCAGCTGGACAGCCCAGCTGGACTCTGGCAGCTGCGGGATCTCAGTTTTTCTTGGGGGGAGGGCCCTGGATGGGGGACCATGAGTCTGACACTTGGTACTGGCACTGGCATGGTATGTTGAGATGGACGCCGCTCCAGGCCCGTAACGGAAGCAACGTTGAGGGACTTTTTTTTTCTCTGTGCATTTTTTTCCAACAGCTGCCCCAGCTCCAGCCGAGACAAGCCAAGCAATCGCAGGATTTCTAAACTCGGCCGCCCAATCTGTTAATAACTCGCAGTCGCCTTCGCCTCTTCCTTCTGAGACTCAGTTTCTTGTCATTCTCAAACCCTACATCGACAAACCGTGTGTTGTAGTCAGGAAAAGGTGAGCTGATTCTCCATTTATTGCCCCTTGGACCTGGGTATGCCGAATCAGTCGTGGATGACGTTGGCCCGGGACTGTTGAGGCTCGCGGACTGTGTTTTGCAGGCCTGGACCCCGCCAAAACGCCCCTACAGCTTGCCTTGCGTGGTGTGACGGTGGCAGCATCCCCGAGACAGCTTTTTTCTTCGCCGATATAGAGCCTGCCCATAACCCACCCAATCCTCCCTGCCTTCTCTGCTTCCGGGTCGCCATCTCCTTTTCTACCACTCGGACCATCACCGAGCACAATATAACAAGACAGACACAAGGCTGACATTTAAGAGCCTCGCTGCACCAGACAAGCAACTACATCGGACCTCCGTCTCGCCCCTCCTCGATTCAGCTCCTGACCGAGAAAACCAATATCCCGCAACCCGAGCCGACCTCAGAAAAAGTCAGCATCAATACCTACTCCTACTGTCTTGTACCTAGTTTTGCACCTCTGCCTAGAGATTCCTCAATCCTAACTCAAGCGAATTCTTCAGCCCTACTCACAAGATGGCCACTGCTCTCGACCACCTCGCCCTTGGTGGCAGAATCGACTGGCTCGCCTCGCTCGACACTGCCTACAAGCCCACCCAGAACTACCGCCGCACATCCATTGTAAGAATCCACGATTTGGGCAGAGTTCGCCGTCTAATGGCCATTGAAACTTATCATCGACTCGCGTGATTAGATCTGCACGATTGGCCCCAAGAGCAACTCCGTCGAGGTCCTGAACAAGCTCCGAAATGCGGGTCTTAACGTGGTCCGAATGTAAGCTTGCTCCAGCTCCCGCCCCAGCCCAAATAGCCTTCCTGAGTGCTGACCCAATATTTCAGGAACTTCTCACACGTATGTACACGGCACTTGCCCGCACACACAGTCCTAGGAGCTGATAATATTGTAGGGCGAATACGAGTACCACCAGTCTGTCATCGACAATGCCCGCGCTGCCGAGAAGGCTCAGCCTGGCCGTCAAGTCGCCATCGCTCTTGACACCAAGGGACCTGTACGTGAACTGCCATCCTGATCATGTGAAGACAAGAAGCTTACCCTGCCATGAATAGGAAATCCGAACTGGTAACACAACAGGCGATGTTGACCTCCCCATCTCGGCTGGTACAGAGATGAACATCACAACCGACGAGGCGTACAAGACTGCTTGTGACACCCAGAACATGTACGTTGACTACAAGAACATCACCAAGGTCATCCAGAAGGGCCGTACCATCTACGTCGACGACGGTATCCTGGCATTCGAGGTCCTGGACATTGTTGACGACAAGACCCTCCGCGTCCGATGCAAGAACAACGGCTTCATCTCCTCAAGAAAGGGTGTCAACCTGCCCAACACCGATGTCGATCTCCCTGCCCTGTCCGAGAAGGACAAGAACGACCTGCGCTTTGGTGTCAAGAACAATGTCGACATGGTCTTCGCCTCATTCATCCGACGGGGCGAGGACATCAAGTCCATCCGAGAGGTTCTCGGAGAGGAGGGCAAGCACATCCAGATCATCGCCAAGATCGAGAACCGACAAGGTCTGAACAACTTCGCCGAGATTCTCCAGGAGACCGACGGTGTCATGGTTGCCCGTGGTGATCTGGGTATCGAGATCCCCGCCGCTGAGGTGTTCGCCGCCCAGAAGAAGATGATTGCCATGTGCAACATCGCTGGCAAGCCAGTCATCTGTGCCACTCAGATGCTCGAGAGCATGATCAAGAACCCCCGGCCAACTCGTGCTGAGATTAGCGACGTCGGCAATGCCGTCACTGACGGCGCAGACTGCGTGATGTTGTCTGGCGAGACCGCCAAGGGCTCTTACCCATGCGAGGCCGTGCATGAGATGAGCGAGGGTATGTTGCTGTCCCCGTGCCATGATGTCGACCCGAACTTGATACTAACAACCTGTAACAGCTTGTCTCACGGCCGAGAACACCATCCCATACGTCTCCCACTTCGAGGAGCTGTGCTCGCAGATCAAACGCCCCATCAGCGTCGTCGAGTCATGCGCCATGTCCGCTGTGCGCGCATCGCTGGACCTGAACGCCGGTGGTATCATTGTCCTCTCCACCTCCGGCGAGTCCGCTCGTCTGCTCTCCAAGTACCGCCCCGTGTGCCCCATCTTCATGGTCACCCGTAACGCCAGCGCCTCCCGGTATAGTCACCTGTACCGTGGCGTGTACCCTTTCCACTTCCCCGAAGACAAGCCCGACTTCTCCAAGGTTAACTGGCAGGAGGACGTCGACCGCCGTATCAAGTGGGCTGTGGCGAGGGCTAAGGAGCTCAACGTGCTGTCCAAGAACGACACTGTTGTCGTGGTTCAGGGATGGAAGGGTGGCATGGGTAACACCAACACCCTGCGGATCGTCAAGGCTGATACCGAGGACCTTGGTATCGGCAAGCTGGAGGGTTAATGCTCAAAAGTTGTCCGGAATGGGTTCTCAGGCGGTGATGTCCTTGGAATAGGGAGCCGTCCGCGCATAGGCAGCGCGACACACATGGTATGAGGCTGTATGCTTTTCTTGTGAGGGATACATCGGATAGACTTGGGCAGTACGAAATTGAATGAAAAAAAAGTAGTACTCATGACCACCTCTTCAGACGGTTTCTTGGTTACAGCATTCGTCGGCTGCTCGCCCCATGTGACTGTCGGTCGTACATCACGTTAGATGCGGTTTTCGCATGTGTAGGCGAATTCAAGCTGGATTGAATGGAAGAGAAAGGGTTCTCTGGCTCATGATTCACCCAAGGTTAAAGAGGATAACTAGGAGCATGAAAGCATGATGGGCACTCCCCTCTCAATATATTCATGGCGCCGGGCCAGTGGGAGCGAGTTTTGACCTCGGCACTTCCCTCCGTTCCTGCCCGAAAGGTCTCCATATTAGCTTTTACGTGACTCCTGCCGTCGCATCGATGCACCTTTTTGAATCGGTGGGTGGGAATTTCCCCATGCTTATTCTGGGTCTCTTCTGGAAGGATCAACATGGGAATTTGTAAAATTTCCCATGATTGTTTCGTACGGAGATTTTCTTTTCCCTGTATGTGCGTGGATGGTCGGCGAGAACTTCTCGAGGGTGTCCCCACACCCCATGTCCTTATGGAGAACGAATTTTGAGAGCTCAGGGTTCAACCCTCAGCATTCACACTGCACATTGGTAAGGTTTGAAGACGAATCTACACGCTGGTATCTGCGTACTGCCCTGACTCTGCACATGCACCCATCTCATGCAAGATGGAAGTGTATTTCCCTGTTTGACTACAACAAACGCCATCATGGTGACTGGGCACACGGCGATGGCAGAGGAGCGCGAACGATTGCTTGATCGCCTATTGTCCTCAGGGTGCCTGGTCCGAGGGTGCGTGTGCCCACAGACAACATGCTTTCCTTCCATCTTCCTACCTAAGCTCGAGTTGCACAAGATCTGAGGACTTCAGAATGACTCTTCAGAATGGACATCTGACGCCTTTCAAGTACGTGCCACGGAGTTCATGATGTCGACTCACAGGATGTTGTGGGCACTTCCGATTGCAAATTGTTCTTCTCGGCATTGTGGGCCCTTTGCAAGTTTGCAGCAACATTGAATGGGACCACTGCCGCCTTTGTCCTTGGCTAGGTCTGGGAAAATCTGGTTCAATATCATCACTCCACTCAGACAGTCCAATCTCTGAAATTTTTCAATGGTTCCGTGACCAAGACTCTGGTGCTCTGCGCAACGGCAGGTTCATACACCTCGGTTGAAGGCATGTTGTGTTGATATGTGATTTTCGTTGGTGCCTTATTGCTACATCTGCGAAAATATTCCTGAATGTACTAGCATTGTATTGCTAATGGCATCACTCCACTTGCCTGTCAGATACCAATCATCTCGGCGGTTTCTCAGTCGCTCGTTCCGTTTTACGCCCCCTCTACGCGTCTTCATATTTCTTTGGCTTTGCCTAACTCTGATAGTTTGGGCTACATCGTCATGACAGTTTCAGCTTGGCCTGTACCGGGGCAGGTTCGTGTTGTCATGTTGATGCGAGCGAAATCAGTGGAGCTATTTGAAACTTGGACATCGATATTCACGTCCATAGCATTTGACAGGTGGCCTTGAGTTGACAGTAAGCCACGAGGATGAGACTATCAAATTTCACCATGACACGACGTGTCTTCAACCACCCGTTACGTTGTATCATCTCAGCGAGTGCTGGCTATTCAAGAAACCCATGATACTCTCAGGGCTAGATACCCATGCAAATCAGCCACAACTCACCGTTCCAACAGTTGTACATCTCGGACATAAGACCTGCATGACACCTAAATCCTACACGGGTTCTTGATGTTCAGCGGTCCGTCTCTAACATCCTATCGACCCTTTCCGAATACGTGGCGTATGTGATTGACCCGAGGTTGGTTGTCATAAGGTAATGTTGGCCAGTCACTAGCCGTGAATCTTGTCAGATGGCCCAGAATATGCTAACCTAGGTAGCACTGAGGCATACACCTGCATAGGTATATGCCGGGATGAGGAGCGTACGACGAATAATTCCCTGTATACGATTCCGAGCATGTGGGGTTCTTCCCCCTTGCTCCGATCTAGGCTGGTGGCCACACCCGCACACAAACATGCCTGGATTCACGAACGAGACATCGGGGCCGAGGATGAGGGACTCGCCGGTACGACCAACATTGAATGCCGGCCCGGAGTCCATAATTATGCAGCGAATTATGCATAGTGGCTTGAACGGGATTCGGCACGGGTGCACGCCGCAACTAGTTTGTGCAAGAAATGGCTGCGCGAGGAAGGGCGACAGGCATGGGTGATCTCCCTTGTGGTGTGAGGTGGGAACGGGGTTCCGTATTCGCATTCTCTACTCGGTCTCGGTCGTACCGAGCACTTCCTGCTGCATTCCCCATTTAGTCGACGCATTCTCCTGCCTGTATTGGCCTACGAATTCCGTCCTGTTATGAAATTTGGCATACAAGTTTGTTTCTTGTCAAAGTTGACGTGACATCTGATCTATCGCTGTCAAACCTCAATCGCGCATCCATTAACTTTCTGCAGTGGGATTGGACGTGCTGAGCAATTCTAGGCGCTACCTAGTCCCAGTCATAAACAGACGCGCACTGCTACTCCGCTAGAATAAGGTGTCGGAAGCGCCCGAAAAAGCTGGGGTACAACCTGGAGAGAGGGGACCAACATTCTGGTAAGCACTCTGTGGAGCTGAGCTTCTTGGTTGAAAATGTCAACATTTCGTGAGCCTTCGAAATTTTGAATTCGAATTATCCGACTCAATTCATCTTTGAGTAGCAACATAATACCGCTGCAAGTATGACTGACCAACTGAAGGGTGATAGAAGGGGTTGTTGCTGCCGATGGCTGGTGCAGAGCATAGCGACTCCGGCTCGCACGATGGCGCCGTGACAGACCACCACACCATATCGAGCACCACGGAGACCGACAACGAGAAACACCTCGATTTAGAACAAGATGATCCGGACCGGGAAAAGAAGATCAAAGAAGCACTAGCAGAAGGTCATGACGCAGACACACCATCTGGGATTGGCTATGTCCTCGACGAACGAGGCGAGCTGAAGAGGAAACGCTCCATCGCAGAGCAGACGAACCTGGCACTGGCCAAAAGCAGGAGCAACGCTTCTCACCATAACGGTGCCAGCGACCTTGAGAAGGGCATCACTCCTGAGGACGACGGCAAAGACGCCCAGGCAGTCACCGGGAACGAGAGCGATCCGAACATCGTCTGGTGGGACGGTCCCGACGACCCAGAGAACCCAATGAACTGGCCCAGCTGGCGCAAAGTCCTTACATGTTGCATTATCTCATTCCTGACTTTCGTCACGCCGCTCGCTTCTTCCATATTCGCGCCCGGCGTCCCTGCCCTCATGGCCGATTTCCGCTCCGACAGCAACCTGCTGGCCTCTTTCGTCGTGTCCGTCTACGTCCTGGGCTTCGCCTTTGGACCATTGGTAATGGGTTAGTATTCTCGGTCCTCTTCCTTCCCAATCCGTCTATTATAGCAATTGTTTGGAAACTATCAGATGTCGTTTGAGTGGGTTTGCTCACGAGACATGTGACTTGCGCTGTGTGCAGCGCTGAAACCTATGTCCCGAGCAGAAGTTTTAAATGATATATCACGAGCACAATAAAAGAAGTACATTTATACTGACCAAGGTTGCAGCCCCTATGAGTGAGCTTTACGGGAGATCAATCGTCTACCACGTCAGCAACGTGGGCTTCTTCGCATTCCTTATCGGCTGCGCACTTGCCCCGAATCTGAACACCTTGGTCGTTTTTCGGTTTTTCTGCGGTTGCTTCGGCGCCAGCCCACTCACAAACGGCGGTGGCTCCATAGCGGACATAATCCGACAAGAAAAGCGAGGCAGTGCCATGGCGGCCTTCAGTGTCGGCCCTCTTCTTGGTCCAATCATCGGTCCCGTTGCGGGCGGGTTCCTAACTCAGGCAAAAGGTTGGCGCTGGGTCTTCTGGGTCCTCGCCATTGTGGCTGGTGTGGTGACGGTCCTGATGCTCGTGTTGATGCGCGAGACATACGCCCCCGTCATCCTGGAACGGAAGGCCGCCAGGCTGCGCAAAGAAACGGGCAATGAGATGCTGCGGTCCAAACTTGACATTGGCCTGTCTCCGAGAGACCATTTCTACCGCGGCATCATCAGGCCGCTGAAAATGCTCATCAGGTCGCCCATTGTTGCCCTCTTTGCGGTGTACATCGCTGTGGTGTACGGATACCTTTACCTTATGTTCACGTCCATGTCACAGGTTTTCCAAGAAACCTATCATTTTAGCACCAGTGTCACCGGCCTGGTCTTTCTTGGGATGGGGGTTGGTTCTATGGCCGGACTGGCCTATTTCTCGTTGACTTCTGACCGCTACATCCAAAAGATGGCGAAGCTAGAGGGCAAGGGCATGAAGCCAGAATATCGTCTGCGGCAATTACCAGTGGGCGCATTTCTGCTCCCGGGAGGCTTTTTTCTTTACGGATGGACGGCCCAGTATCATGTCCATTATATCGTCCCAATTATAGGGACTGGAATCATCGGTATGGGCAACATAATTATCTTCATGAGCCTTCAGCTGTAAGATTTACCCTTACCCCCTTTACTTGGATTGCTGGTACTGCATTCAGAGGTCGGAGCTAATGTTTCATACAACAGATATCTAGTTGATGCATTCACCATTTTTGCCGCTAGCAGTCTTGCCGCCAATACCGTGGTACGGTCGGTCGCAGGTGCCGTTCTGCCGTTGGCGGGACTGTCTATGTATGAGGCCCTTGGTTTGGGCTGGGGCAACAGCTTACTGGGTTTTATTGCCCTGGCGCTGGCTCCACTGCCATTCTGGATTATGGCAAAGGGAGAGTGGATGAGGACAAAATATGACCTCAAGGATTTGTAGATAATGGGCATTTTCCTATCATTGCATCTTTGCATATCGGCACCGGCACATATCATATAGCCTCTGGCATGAAGGCGTTACATATAACAGATCTACCATTGCATAATGACATTTTCATTTGGAAATACTGCCCTCTTCTTTACCAATCTCTAACTACCAAGTCTCGAATACCATCAGTGCAATCCTATCAAGTTTTCGGGGCCTCAAGCTGAACTGTGAAACCGTAAAGGTGAATGTGAGCATCCGGTCAGAGACCACTCTGCGAAATGCAAACCATTGGAGCTTATCCTCCCCTCGCTGTCACGATCACAGGTTTCGGGAGCCGCCGGCGCAGCGCACCACCGCGTCTGCATCCGAATGATGGACTTTGTTTCTGCCAGCACGGAATATTTGCCGCGGACTCGGCAAAATAACCATTGTCTCGTCTCAACCATCGGTCAGCCAATCTACCTTGGTGGATAAAATACTCAGTGTTGGAGCCGAGACTCGTCACCCCTGTGACACGATCCCCCAGATGTTTCTGTAGTGTTTCTCCCATCTGCACAATGTTTCCAGCCAATTAGATCAAATTCCCGCATGGCGCTTATTGTAGGATTTGCGAACAGCTCTGGAGAACGTCTGCGCTGTGTGGGGGAAGAAGTTTCACAGGTACCTTCGTTCTGTTTCAAGATCGCCCCTATCGGCGGCCAGATATCAAAGATGTGCCAGGGATCCCGGGGCTACCCCGGCACCCGAGGAGCCGCGTCCTCGGACGGCCCCATCCAAAAAGTGAAAGGGTTGTGTCTGCTACTCGACCAAACCAAACATCGCAACAGGGCACTCTTCTGCACGTTGCCCGTCTCCCCGCCACCAAGAGCCGGGAAGCATCCAGACTCATGTAGGCGCCGTGCCAAGTTGTAAACGTCTCAGGGTCCTATTTTGTCTGACCCGTGTGACCGTCCGATACTTATCCTGTCTGATGTAGAAATTTTGACTTGTGAATATGGAGCTGGTCTGATGTGCGTGATTTTAGGTTGAAGGCTTCATAAGATGGCAGCAGAGCCTCTGACCTTCCAGACTTGGTGAGGTTCATCCAACCCTCTGTTGAACTCTCATTCTGAGGCCAGGAGCCATATCTTCTCTTCTAGATTGGTCTTGACGACCTTTTTTTTCATCGCAGTTTATAATACACCGCGGCAGGACTGCATTCTCTTCTTGTAGCTTTTTTCGTCCGGCTGTATTTCTCAAATATCCACATTCAAGCAACATGAAGTTCTTCATCTCCATCCTCCTCCTCATCACTTCCACCTCAGTCCTGGCCGTGCCCACGGGTATGCCACTAGTCAGGACTCAAGGAAGCTCTTCAGCTTCCACATGCACAGGAGGTGGCACAACAAACAACGCTGCCCAAGGCTCATCAAACCAAGGGTCATCAAATTCCACAACAGGCGGCGGCGGCGCAACTGGAAACATCAACCCAAATCTGGTACCAGACTTCGGAGTGGCACAGAACGTAAACGCAAACGCGCGGCAGCAAGGCTCATGCGACGGCTTCAACGCGGCCAGCAACTCCGTTGTCAACATTCCCTGCTCTTGCCCGCCATCACGGGCGTCGTTCCTCGCCGCGCTGAGCAAGAACGTGGCCGCGGGGAGCGTGCAAGGCGAGAAGGTCCAGTTCAACAACGATGCCAGCGACCAGAGCGCCGCCACCAACAAGCAGCGGGCGACTACCATGCTGGTCACGTTGCAGAATCTGAATGGAGCGGGTGTCGGCTGTCCTGCAGTATCTGCTCCCAATTTCGCCGTCATGCAGAAGACGGGGGTTCTTTCTTCGAAGGCTTTTGTGCAGTAGACTAGGAGAATTTTGATATCACATACCGGGCATGAGGGTTGGAAGAGGCTCTTTGGAGTTATAAGTCCGGATCAAATAGGTTGAAATTTCAGGAGGTCAATCTTTCAAGAATAGGCTTGCGCATCCAAGCTGGAAGCTCCCGCGGATATATTGGAGCAGACCCGAGATTCATTGTTTATATACCAAAATCAATAAGATACGATTGTTCATGAGACATTTATGATCCTTTCACTTGTTCAATTATCAATTGGAAACAAATCTCGCTCTTCTAGAGGACTACCGTATCCCGAATCCCGTATCCCGTTTCTTTTGTAATTGATCACATCTGCCATGAATCACCGCCAATATCAACTGCACTCAGTCTAAGAAGTATTTTGCTCAAAATTTATACCTCGCGAAGAATCGTCACTACAGCAATCTGAGTGCTGTTTCTAATCGCTCCATCAGTCTTCAAAAGTTAGCAATTAGATTCGAGAACCGTGCAATGCTATAGCCGAACTAAGCCGAAAAGTCTCATCCGGCCTGGACAAGGTCAGATGACTGCTGCATTGATAGCATAATTGCTTGAAGTTTTTGATCGGTAGCCCATTGTCCAAATCTAAGTAAGGAACGCGTGGTCGTTCAAGATAAGCAGAAGATCAGGCATCAGGACTGCAAAGCCGCCAAATGCCCCACACCGGTAGGCCTCCCGCATAGCCAACAACTTCGATTGGCGATTGTAAGGCTGTTCAGGTCTTCATGCAGGCCGCCTGCATCAGAAAGGTGTCTTCGTTGCCAACTTGTACCAATCTACATTTGAGGGCTCCAATGTTGGGAACAGAAGCCTATTTTGACAGCCTCCGTTTGTAAATGTTCTGACCCCACCTTATGTCTCGCTATCACTGATATCTGCTTCAATCTCACCCACCTTTTCATGACCTTTTACCTTGCTTCTATCTTGCCTCAAGACGAGGGAAGCATCGGTCTTTTCGAACGTCACTTTTTGCATTACGCAAAGCTTAGCTGAGGAAGTTTAAGAACTCTGAATGCGCATTTAGGCCCGTCAACTCCCCATCACAAGAACATCATCAGTGCCATGTCTTCAGCAGCGAAGGCTGTAGCATGTGGCTGTGGGCGACGCTTCCACAGTCAACCCGCTCTGGAGCAGCATCAACGGGACAAAATGAAATTAAGATTGGATTCAGTATGTCATAACTCTTGTACCGAAATCAAGAAGGGTTCGCATGTGCCCAAGTCGGGCCCTCAACATAAATCCAAGATCAGGATCCTAATTCACCTCTTTTTGCATTCTTAAACCTCAGGTCGTGGGTCAACTGCTCGCGTGCCGTTTCTTCATTGTTAACTGAGATCCAAAAGGGCCCTAAGATCATCAACCCCAAAGACCGATGGCTGGCCAAGGGAGCGGGAGATGCTGTTGATACGGTCACCATGGCATCACTCGAACCATCCGACTCAGAGACGATCATCTTGAGCAGCGACCAATATTATCTCATTTGCAGCTATAATTGGGTAAATAAGACTCAGCCAGCTGTCTATGTTCCAGGTAATATCTACAAACTATTCACGTCCTCTCCAAGGTTGTACTGATGAGCCGATGCAGGAGGTGCTCCAATTTTTGAAGAAGTTTCCCTTCCCGCAACAGTCAAGCCAGACTCAGGTCGCCAGTTCGTCGATCAAAATGCGGCAAGGATCCCTGATTATCCTTTCGAAGTCGTATTCCAGGCTGCAGAGATGATGAATCCGACTGTCCGCTTCGACGACATCGACGTGCTTACCAATCGAAACAGCTTGCGCAAATTCTTCGAATTCTGCAAGGGCCGCGCCCAGGACAGCTTTCGTGTCAATTTGTATCTCGTCAACAACACTTTGATCATCGAAAGATGTGTAAGATCGACAACAGAGTTTTTATACGGGTCTGGAGGTTCAGGCTTCGGCCACAATTTTGAAAAAGCCGCGACACGACTGCCTCCAGGCCTCGAGAACAGCTTGGGTCATCACCGCGTGCTCCAATATGACTTTGGAGGACTGAAGTGTGCTGTTCGTTTCGAAGTGGATGCTTCTTATGAGGATCCTGAAATCGCAGGGCCAACTCAGCGCCAAAGTCCGAAAGTTGAGGCACTTGGCGAGGAAATTGAGTCTCTCGCGACGGGGTTGTCTACGATGGTAATGAGCGAAGATGGTGGAGGGCCTACCATTGGATCAGCTAACACAATTCGCTGTGGCAAAGGCACGGCACAAACGAGTGTGGCGGAGCTGAAGAGCATACAAAATCACCGTACGAAGCCAAAGCAGGCATGGCTCCCGCAGCTCTGGTTTGGACGGACGCGATACTTGATCATTGGCCACCATGAAAAGGGCATATTCGACAGAGTTCGTGTACAAGATCTGAAGGAAGAACTTGAGGTCTGGGAGAGAGATGGCGTGAACCAAAAGGCTCTGCAAAAGATGGCTGTATTGCTTTCGCGCCTTCGGGACATCGTCCGCACAAATGACACTAAGGCTTGTGTGCTCATCTACGAGAAGGCTGTCAAACCTCCTACTTTGCGGATTCATACATCCACCACTGGAAGAGGGGTACTGCCGGGCTCTGTGGTAAGGAAATTCTGGGATACAGCAGCGCACTAAATTTATTGCCTGAGTCTATTGTGGTAACTATTAGGACGTGGTGCAGAACTAGATGCCCCCTCATGACACGTGGTGCATAAGCTTGACTGTTTGATGGGAATGCGATGAGACTTCATTCTTGGGCTAAAATTTGTTTTGGCGGGCAGACATGTCAGTAATGATAACAGGGAGATGATACGTTCGGGAAAGGGATGTGATCATAAATGTCGAGAGCCACCGCGCGTAATGTTTCACCCCTGTCTCTTTGGGCCTTTGTTGCCATGAAGTCGCTGTCGATAATTTGGGTCACCTGAGATGAGATGAGTTCTTTGACAGACGATCTCCCTCACATTTCAAGCTCTTGACATGTGGGCTGTGTGTGTAAGCTCAGGTATCCTCAATTTCCATGAAAGTCTCGTGTCTTCAAAGCGGGCGTTGAAATATTATGTGGTCCAGAATCAATTGCGCTCTTCGATGTTCATTTCTTTCTCTGCAATCAATGTCTCTGCAGCTGGTCTGCGTTCTCTAGTACATACCTTTATGCACGACTCAGGCCTGGGAACGTTCAAGCTGCCACGTTCTGCTCCCGTTTCCCCACCAATCCACCCACATACGTACATCAACTTATGGTATCGTGAAGATGAAATCACACGCAGAATTCAAGGTTCCCGGGCTTCGGGCATTTGATTGGCCCCCTCGGGGGTCCATCGAGTACATGCGGAAATGGACTCTCAGTAAAGGCATCACGACCTTCGATGCGCGAACGTCTATGGAAGACCGGTCTTCCGAGTCGCCTCCCTTTTCTCCCAAAAGCAGACCGCCACAAAGGGATTCTTGTGCTTTGTCTCCTCCCACAGCAAGAACGGCGACCTCGCAGACTGTTCATTCGGAAAGCTTCTCTGATAGCGCATATCTAGGTCACCAGCTGCCAACTCACTGGCTATCGGAGGTTGAAAGCTAACAGATTCGTAGGAGATAAAACTGCCCCTGACTGCGCCTCAGGCAGTTATTCCAGAAAGGATACTCACCCGCCCAGCGAGTGCTTTCATTGCGGTCTGCCCTGGCTGCATGCGCGTCAGCTCTCCCCAGCGGGAGACAGCTCCCACTGGTTTATCGACATACACGACGGAGTCAACAGGAAGATGGCCTACCTATTCTGCTGGAGATGCGTGGATGTAGTGCAGAGGCAGATACAGCCGCGTCATATAGGATGTGGACACTATTTCTCGCCGCCATTCCTTTCGACGGCTGACAAGCTTGACCGAGAGGACTTGATGCTATGTGCCGGGTGCCGGGAGTCTTTGAAAAGTGGTCTCAAGGAATTTCTGCATACGTAGGTAGAGAGGGCTGTTCGTTCGTGATCGAGCCGTGGTAGAATAGAGAGAAGATCGAAGACCACATCTGATGTTCAAGGAGAAGCGGAAAGTGCACGTAGCGTCTGACATTCATCGACTATAACAAACCCAGTGCAGGGCTATCGCGGCTGCTGGCGGTTTATTTTTTGTGGAGTAGCCGCGCCTTAAAGTTTATGGTGAGATTTCTTTCTCACCCTGGTCCCTGGATAAATGGTTGAACCCCTAAGATGTGACTACCTGCGGATGTAAGGATGCGTTATCAAGGTGGGATGATTCCAATGCGGAGCACAATGGCGAGAGCATAGCAGAGCAGAGTTGTAACCTTCGTCGCCATCCACGGCGAAAATGGTGAGATCAAGCCCGCTCTGAGGAAAGGGGTGACTGAGCCACATTTACCTCCTAAAAACCAGCCACAACAGCAACCGCTTGTGTTCTCCGAAGGGCGTCTCGGTCAGTTACTCCGCAGTGCGGCGTTTAGCCTGCACGATATCGGCCGGATCTGGCTGGGTTCGGCTAGAACTGGACCCTTGCAGGAAATTCCCGTAGTTCGAGTCAGATTTTGACTCGGGTTTTGATTTGTTATCACTTCAGTCGCAACCCTCTTTCACTTAGCCTACCCGGGATCGCGGTTCTAATGCGCTTTGAATTTTCTCTCTAGTTACAACAAACATTTCACCCTAACACGTCCACAAAGTCTCACGTCATTGTTACTATCGTGGTTTACCGCGATGGATGAGACCACTCCGCTGCTGCCGGACGCCGCAACCGCTCCCATTCCGAGAGATGACCAATTACACCGAGTACCGAGCAAGGACTTCGTTGATTTTGATCCCAACGGAGACGATGAGAATCCCATAGACTGGCCGCAGGGTTACAAATGGGGGATTGTGACATTGCTATCCTTCATGGCATTCACGGTGTAAGAGAGCAAGATTTTACTACTTAGGGTCGCCACATGCTTCTGGAGTTTCAGGGGCGACAAACTTAGGCTGACAAGAGTCTCACAGGACCTTTACGTGTATCTCGGTCGTGCCAATTGCAAATACTATCGTGGACGATCTGGACCATGGCAAAGCCGCCAGCTCTTCAAGTGTACTACTTGTAACCATTTGGGAACTCGGCGAAGCGGCGGGTCCTCTACTTATCGCACCTCTTTCCGAGCTGTATGGACGGTACCCAGTTATCAATATCGCCAACACGCTTTTTACAGCATTCACGATTCTCGCCGCCCTGAGTCCATCCACGGGTGTGCTTATTGTTGCGCGCGCGCTCACCGGTGTCGCAACCGCCACTAATGTACTTAGTCCGGCTATCGTTGGCGATATATTTATTTCTGAGAATCGCGGCACGGCTATGAGTCTGATCTCGCTTGCCCCGCTGATAGGGGGAGCCGCTGGCCCAGCAATCGCTGGCGCTGTAGCTCAGACTTTGGGATGGAGGAAGACGCTCTGGATGAGTGCTGTCCTTGCCGGTGCCTGCGAGGTGGCGTTCTTGATCTTCTTCCGGGAAACGTACAAGGTGGAGATTCTCAAACGAAAAGCTGCCCGGCTCAGGAGAGAGACTGGCAACTTGGCACTCAAATCTGAGTTTGATGTCGATGAAGGCGGGCACAGCTGGCAGCTCATCGGAGAGTCCGTGTTGCGCCCCTTGATTGTGCTCAAGAGCAGCTTTGTGCTACAGATCCTGGCATTGTTCGGCGCTTTCACTTTCACCTACTTTTACATCATGTCAACAAGCCTACCGCCAATTTTACAGCAGTACTATGATTTCACGCCAGCTGCTACAGGCTTTGCATTTCTTGCCTTCAGTAAGTCGTCTCCCAACACTTCCGGTCATCTCAAACAGCAATGTTGCTAACATTAGGATCACAAGGCATCGGATCGACCGTATCTGTGTTTATGTGCAACATGTACCTCGACAAAGTCTACATTAAACTGCGCAATGCACACAAAGGGATTGGACAGCCAGAGTACCGATTGCCATTCATCATCATTGGCAGTATACTCTTTCCCATCCCTGTCCTGCTCTACGGCTGGGCGACGCAGTGGCACCTGCATGTGTCCGTTCTACTCTTCGCCGTGGTATTGCTAGGGATTTTCCTCATGTTCTCGTTCCTCCCATTGATGGCGTATGTTGTGGACGCGTTCGGACTGTACTCGGCCTCTGCAGTGAGTGCTGTCATTGTGACACGCTGTTTGATGGGAACATTTGTGCCTCTGGCTACAGAACCTCTTGTGTCCAAGTTCGGATATGGCTGGGGCTTTACGGTATTTGCAGCAATAAGCGTCGCCACGATACCGATTCCGATATTGATTTTCAGATATGGATATAAGTGGCGGCAACTATCCAAGTACACGAGGGACTGATGCCAGGTTGCGCATGGTTGCAACACAAGGAAGTATGCGGCGGAACCGCGACGTGCATGAAGAACTTTGCGTCACGAAAGACCATGATGATGACGACGGGACAATAGAGGGGGAAAACAGCATATTGCTTGTGGATGCATAGCCAACTCACGATGTTTCAAAGAGGGCCTTTTGTCCAAGAGAACAGCTAAAGAAAACTTATTATTTAGAAATAATCGATGCCATGCCACTCAAGATCTGCAACGGGCAGTCTTTGAGACTGAACAATGTAGATTCCATTCTTCTAACAATCCTAACATTCTACAGGTCTGATATCACAAAATCTATTCACCCAGATCGAGATCCCCTCAAGCATCCCTGATGAAATGAGAGGCAAGTACCAGAACTTCGCGGGGCGAACTTTTCCGGTAGCCTCACATTGAACTCGTATACTTACCATCCGTTCGTAAAAGCCTAGAATTCATGACTTGAGAAGTTCATGCCTCTCCAAAATTTGGATGAACAAGTTAATCTTCTTCGTTTTCGTCTCTGGTCTCTTGATGTTCATGAGCCTGAACAAGAAGGGGAACTTTTTCGTTCTCCCCAACGTGCCCCAGAACGCTTTCGCGCGCGAATTTGCATCAAGAGCCGCCTGGAACTCTCTGTCAGGCTCCGCCGTCTTCATACGGTACGCAGCATCCCACCTCCCATCCTCTTTCGCTCGGTCGACTTCCGCTTGACCACTTAGGCGCATCCTGCCCTCGGCTATCAGCCTCTCGACCACCTCCCGATTCACCTGTGACCAGCGGCTGCGGGCGCGACGCGGTGTGAAGCACCTTTCTTGATAGTCATCATCGTGGCCGCGTGCTGTACTATCGACCCAGCCGAAAGATAGGGCCATGTCCCGCGCATCAGTATACTCGATTCCAGGGGCTGTGGACTTGGATTTGCGCAAGAGAAGGCGGACGCCGTCGTTGGGTGGATCCTTGCTGAGGAAAGCTTCCCATTCATTGAGTGTGAAAGATCCCACCAAGGGTTTGTCCGCGACGGACACCATGCCGTGAGGTTGGAAGATGTGGGGCGCGGGAAGACGTCTCTCCCCGATCTGCGCTGGGAAAGGTTGTAAGCTAATGCTCGAAGGATGCCGTTTGAAAATGGGCCCGGGGATCGCTTTGAAGCGCCAAAATGGATATGTGTATCTCGTTTAGGAGTGAACTTGATGAAAAATACGCGAAATTGCACAGTAAGCAGCGGCAGGATTTGAGAGGTGAGACGCTTTAACAAAGGCCTTCTCGGACAAATCGTGTTGTAAGACTACCGAGTAGTGCCGTGTTGTTTGCGGCGGGGTTCAACCCTAGGCTGGGCTCAAGGATGAATTCAAAAATCGCCGACAACACGCTGACAGAACCGAGATAGCCTTGCCCTTAACCCACCCACCCCACCTCTATACCCTTCTGTCCATTAATGCTGATTCCGAGGAACAAGCGACTGATCGGCGATGATGGCCATGCGGGGGCCGATTAGGCCAGAAAATGAGCCTTGACCAGGTGGAGAGATATCTGGAGATTCTCTTAGATAGTACCTAGGTATACATTGTGCAGTATGTATACAGGCAGCTAATTCTATCCAAGTAGTGGTGCTGTTCATGAATCCAAAGCAAAGAGTGAAAATGGTGGAAGCGTTGTTACAATGTTCCTGCCCAGTTCTTGATGATCGCAGCGGCCGCAGGAACCTCCTGGTTGCACCTAGATGCGCCGATCGCTCAAAATTGATGCTGCTATACATAGTAAGGAATTTGATCTCTGGATGATCTCGATGCCATACTCTCAGCGTCAATATGCATTGTTCTCTCTTCCATTATGCCTTCCTGGCTGGACGCATCGTCAGTGAAGTGGTTTCGCCTTGCCTTGCCGGTTGAGATATGTGCAGTACTATAGCCCTTGGACTTGAGAGTGAATGAGTCCATCGGCGTTCCCCCAATTGTCTCGGGTGCTTCTACCCGGCCGGTTGTTCTTGAGTTGCTCAGTGATCCATAGAAAGTACTATAAAGCTTGTAAATCGAGGGCATGGATCCTGCTATCATTCCCACCCCCTCTTCAAGCATTGTGAACAAGCACATGTGTCCGTAATGGTCTGATAGGTACGTTAATACACAGGGAGATCTCTGGCCGTGGCAGAAATCGGAAAGAGAACTCACACAGCTGATCTTCAGGTATCAGATAATATTTTAGGTAGGGCACTCGAGCGATGGTAAAAATGCATGCGCATATACCGATGCTAAGCACACAAATCACTCCCCACTTTTTTCTTCGATTCATATTCATTTTTGCGATCAGAAAAAAAGGTATGATGGCACAAATGCAGTCCGACATAATTGCTACTGCCGTGAACGCGCAGCTGAGCTTCATCAAGGGCTCGAGCGAGCCACACTCTCCTAGCTTCGGGTTCCAGGTCGCTGCGATTGGCTTGCAGTGAAAGATAACACTTATTAATCCCCCAATCGCGTTGGTCGTAGAGGTAAAGATTACCTTGTCCACCTGGTTAATCGTGATAGCAGTGGAAATTGGACAGAGCGCTTCACTCACAATCCACAATAGGTAGCGATAGCGCCGCTGGAAAGTTAGACGCATGATTTGAACAGCAATTGCACTTTTGACAAATGGAATCGTAACCACGACTGTGATTTGCCACTTTGTCAGGTACTCAGCAGCTTTCAGCTGCATGAAATAGCCTCCAGAGTCTAGAGGTGGCAGTTCGGAATCCTTGGTTCCGATTCCGTTGAACGCCCCAAAGACGGCATAGGTAGAAGCTGGAATCCATGGTACCTGAATGCGGTCAGTAGAGAATTCGACGTCGGTTCATACGAGGCAGGCTCACGAATCCTAGCACTGCGAGCGTGTCGTCCAACCCCCATACTTTATTCTTCCGAAGCAGCCATGCCTTGCAATAGACGCGCAATCCGATCGCAATAGTGTCAAGAAATAGTAAAATGACAAGGATGACGATAAGACTGAGAGCAAAACCTCTTGGTTTGATGGGGGGCTGGGCTTGCATGCCAGCCGTCAATTCCTGAGCTGAAAGTCCTGTCAAGTCCATGACGAGACAAGTGTGGAAAATAATTGTCCCAAGTAGCCGAAGAGAAGCTTTGACCCCATTCATTGAGGCAGACCGGAGACGTCAATAAACTCTTGGGTACCCCAATAAGAAGTTTCATCATCTTGCATTGGACTTCTCCCAGGGGCCCAACATGGGCCCGTTTTGCAACCTACAAGCTGTTCCATGAACTGCAAAGCAATCAATCAAAAGAATGAATGCGCTGCGTGGCATCGATGGGACACAGACGGGCAGATACGAAGACGCACATGTCAGCAAGGGTGTTGATCCTTTTGCATGACTTGACGGCTATCACTGCGGTCATTTCTCATATTGGCTAGCAGCCACAGCAGCGCCACGTTCTGTGATAAACTGCACCATTGCAGCTCTGCTTCGAGATGAGAGACTTGTCATCTGGACCTGATCATATTGAAAGATCTACTATAATATCCGTGATCATCAAGACTTGGAATACCAGCCATTCAGCCTTGAATAAGTGACGCAGCACTTTTTCCTTTACTTGGGAAAGCTCATTTCTGGAAATAAAATCTGCGCGAGGTAGTCAACACCAAGGCTCACAGCTGGCTAATGTACCTTTAGCATGCTCCAAATTTAAGGCGCACATATTCAACAGTACTCTTGCTCTGCGAGTCGGGATGCTGGCCGTGGCATGGCCTGCAGGGTTAGTGCGAGTGACAACATATAGGGCTCTTTTGCTCGCCATGACCCAAAAACATTATGGAACCATTCGAATCCTCTTCAGGTTACATAATTCCCATTATTTCAGCCATGACACATCTCTAATTCAATCCCCCAAGTTGAGATTTTGCCCTGTGTGCGAGCTGTTTAGCGCCGAGCTTCGATGTTGCGCTTTGACACTCAGGATGGACTTGTGCAACCATCGCTTGCTTCTTCCCGACTTGAGACAAAATGAATTTCCTTTTCCTTCTCAGGTCTCGAAATAAGAAGAGCACGAACAAAAATGCATGCTTGTTCTGGATCCCTACACTCTTCAATGATTGGGGCTTAACCTGTATCATGTGTTTGCCTAACCGTCCTACGTCTTCCCCTTCACACCGGGTTCCAGGCCCAGCGAGCACACCAACCAGCCACGAAAAATCACAATCGCTGACCCTGATTTCCACTACCCTGGACGAGCACTTGTTCATTGGACAGTTCATCAATTCATTCCATAGCCGAGCCCCCAGTCTCTACATATGACGCATGGAAAGACAAATCCCTGGATGCGACTGTCAATCGCTACCTGGCTCTGGCGAATAAGAAATACTCGTGCCTCTTATTGCTGAAGCACAAAGGCCCATTGTGAAGATAAGGTGTCGCAGCTACCACAAGTCCCTGAAGTGGCAAAGCATGGTCCAAGAGTTAGCTGGACACAACATAGTAACCCCGGAGAGAAGAGGATGCAACGATGCAGATACGTAGCATTTCAGAGCTAACGTAACGCCCAGGAAGAACGCAAGCTGTCCCGCAAGACGCTGTCAAGCCCATTTGTGATAAGCAATATCCGCAAGCTCCAGTATGCCGTCCAGAAACAGGCTCAGCAGATGTGCATGCTCCTTGCCGAGGCAATTATTTCCAGCGAAAGGGAACGGAGTCGATAACGCTACCGATTTTCAACACCGCGCGCTTCTGAACCTTATAAGAATGACAATACTTTAGGTGGAGCTCTTGATTCTGCGAGACACACAAGGGCGGAAACAAGGAGATTTCAATTTTCGTGAGGCTTTGCTGTGCACGAGACGATTTCTTGCTAGGGTTGGCTTAGCAGATTAATGCAGCCGAGTCCCGTTAGATGATACATTTGCGTCAGTTCATATTGCTAGATGCCATGCGGCTTCCGGTCCAGCGAAGTTGATTTGTATTTGAATGGGATCACGTGAGCATCATAAAGACCTTCGTAGGATGACCTCGCTCTCTTGGATACGATGCGCTACATGACACAATAGACCATGAACAGCTATACAGACAAGAGCCAAGGCACTAAAGAGACATGCCTCCGCTTACGGTCTCCATCGGAAGCCGGGATGTTTCCAGTCCAGATCCGAGGTCTCTTCCGGAGAGTAACCAGCCAGCTCTTCCTCGATGCTACGGTTCTCCCGCTTGTGGTTGTCACGCTTCATCCAGAGTAGCGTCAACGTAGCTGTGATCAGGATGGTACTCCCGGTAGCGAGGTTGAGCCCGTTTCCGATGTGATAATTAGGTGCGTCCCAGCTGAAGAAGCTCCAAGTGGCGATTAGTCCACCAATGTTGCCGAACATGACTGAAGTGAGATGTTAGCGCATCTGGTCTTCCATGCAGACAGCCGGCCTCGAACTGTCGGTCGAGATGTGGATGACTCACCATTTGTGCCAATTGCCGCGCTACGTGCTGTGTCACTCACAACATTCGCACTCACTTGCGCGTTCGTGAGAGCGCCGAGCATGAAGGCGGATGCAGTGATGATGAACGTAGCGCCGTAGCGGACCTGAGGATTCTCACTGGCCAGGAACATGATGTAACCAACCATAATAGCAGGAGCGGCACCAATGATGAAGACTTGTCGCCGGTCGATTTTCGAGCTAATGAGTGGAAACAGGAGGGTGAAGAACGCGCCGACGATGTAAGGAGGTACGGTGTAGAGCTGCTGCTTAATCACGGTCTCTTTGGGGTAGATCGTCTTGACTATCGTGGGCAGGAAGAAGGCCAAGCCTTGGACCGTGACATTGTTGAGCAAGAAGATGAAGGCGGTAGACAGTGTTATGGGGTTGAAGATGCCGCGAAAGATCTTCTTCTTGTCTATGTGGTCGAGGACTTGAGTCTGCCCGACACGCTCGGACTTGACGCGGGCGATTGCAAGGTCTTTCTCTTCCTGGCTGAGCCAGCGAGCGGTCTCGGGCCTGTCGGTGAGGGTGAAAAAAGAGATGAGCGCGAGCCCAACTGTGATGATACCCTCAATACCGAAAATCATCCGCCATGTGTGCAAGCTGCCGAAGCCCGGCAGCTTCAGGATTGCCGACGCAAGCAGACCACCAAATGCACCTGCTAGAGGCGCCATGACAATATCTAAATAGTTTGAAAGTTAGCAGAGTCCGCAAACTAAATGCTGTTGCAACCAATTTCTGGCCTCAAGGTGATGGAAAGTTGCATACACATCGCGAGGCGGAAAGCAAGTTCGCTGCGGCGGTACCATCGGGACATGTAATAGGCGATACCCGGAAGCATTCCGGCTTCAAAGATTCCAAGGACAAAGCGAACGCCAGAAGCCTGAGCCTCTGTGTGCACAAAAGCGGTGCCGATCGATGAAATACCGAAGCCCAGGGAGGTGAGCGGTATGAACCAGCCTGGACCCATCCACTTGCAGAGAATGTTTGCTGGGATCTCGAACAGGATGTAACTGATGTAGAAGATGGAGAGAAGTGCGTTGTAGCCGTTGTTCACAAGTTTCAGGTCTTTTTCGAGTCCCGCAAGACGAGCATTACCTGGTTACTTCTCAGTATCCTGAACACTTCTGAGGCCTTCGAACGGTGTATGATGGCTTACCGATATTGGCACGGTCGATGAAGCAGAAAAGATATAGCAGGGCCACGGTCGGAACGATCATCAGGTCAATCTTCCGTCGAAGTTTGGCCTCTGCTGCTGGGTCCAGTTGCACCAGGGATTGGCCATATCTGTAAAAGAGATAATCAGCACAGACGCGTACTTGTTGTCAGTAGACACTGGTAGCTCACTTGTCTGTCGCATATTGACCCTGCCCAGCAGCGGTTTCCAGCCCTGTACCGGTGTCCTGATGGACATAAGACACGCCGTCGTCCTTGTCAGAGCTTGCCATGTTATGGTCGGGAGTGCTGCCGGAGTTTGCAAGTGTGAGTCTGGCCTAGGAGGGTGCCCGGGGATAGAGGGCTAACGAGACACTTGGAAGACAGATAACCTTTATGGATATCGTGCTCGGATGCAATCCTCAAGCATGGAGGAACGGCGCAGGGGCCAGAAACCTAGATAGATGGAAAGACGTGGGGCAAACGGCCCTTTTCTGCATCACAAGCCAAGCTGGGAGTCGACCTGGTGCATGGACTTCGACAAGAGATCCATCGGATGTCGCACCGCTGCCACCCATCCACCCATCCACCCATCCACCCATCCACCCATCCACCCATCTCACTCGATGGGCTATCCAGCGACAGGGCAGCTAAGTTTCTGCCACGCGTTGTCTAGCCCCTTTTGCGTTTGCTCTGGCCTATCAGTTCCTTCCTTGGCTTCACCGTCCGTGACAATGTGGAAGAAAGAGCGCTGCCCCACAGGCGACTGTGCCCACAGCTTTAGGATGGCCCCTGGTCCAATTTGGGCTCTCTTGCCTATTGCGTTGGCGGCATTTGATTGCGGACATCCACCGTCGACGCCAATAGTTCCTTGTTTTCAAGGTTTCCCCGCATCCTCCCCGGATTTCCCGCCCAGGATTTGGGGAATCCTCGGACAAGCCAAGATCTTAGATGCCCACTACTGTCTCCAGTTCAGTATGAGAGCCACGCAAATATGATGTTGACGATGCCAGCATGTTTATCTAGGAAGGTGAGAGGTGTCCGCGTGCTGTTGTGTTTACATATGTCGCATATGCGAGATAGTGCATTGTTCGGTTGTCAACCAGACTAATTGGAGAACGGGAACTGCACACAGCACAAGGGTGACATCCAAAACTTACCCTGCATGTACATACATATTACACATCACAAGGAGGAAGATTCTTTACCCACACGTCATGGGTCCTCAAATGATTCACCCCGGCAGGACTCTTCAATGCAGTGTAGGCCCGGACTGGATAAGAAATTCAGTCTTCAAGAGAAACGATGCCATCGAGGAATTGAGGATAATCACTTAGCGCAGGCCTTGTGTCTGTACAGCCGAGACCACTACCGAGATGTAACTCCCAAGACATGCTACCCAATGCCACACCCAGCATTGGTCCGTTCGCCTATCTTGGCATGCAACCGCCACGATCTGCTAAAACGCGGACCCCTGGAGTAGCCCGGCAAACCCGAGGTTTTACCACTCTGTGTGAGTTCCTTGCCATGGGGTCGATGTCCCATTCAACTTCATGCTCAGATACCGGCGCTCGAGTCCCCAGACACAAATTTCCAGCTTCCTGGATGCTGTTGGTATAATTCGTTGAACTGCCAACGCGCTACATTCCTGGTGTCGAAATACGCGTATTAACACGTCTTTAAGTATAGAATCCATTTGCGTAGCCCACCCCAGATACTTGGAATACAATGACGAGGTTGATTCGCCACGGCTGATGGGTGTGGAAGCCACTTTATGGAACGCTGACACAGAAGTTTTCCAATCGAACGCCGCACGAAGACAACTCGATCTAACAACAATTCAAACTTCTACTTGGAAAGTCCTTTTGACTGGGACATAATATGATAGGCTTGTCAAGCTGATACGGTGCCATATTGATATCTCGACCGAGACTGCGGCACAGCGAGCAACAAAGGATCGTCTTTTTCACTGCATATTGCGCAAGGAGCTATTTCGAGTTTGGCAGGAAGCATGGTCTATACATTTACCCAAGCCGATACCCCGGCCGTAGCCGGACCCGAGGCTATTCGGCAATATCGGCTAGTATCTCGCTTGACCGGTCTCTCATCCACAATCCTGGTAATCTTGCTTCTCCCCAGTATAGAAAATGGTAGGCGATCAAGTATCTGACAGGACAGATTGTTCCACAGCTGTTTTGGGATGTTAAGAGGCTCAGCTGAACGTGTAAAAACTAACTAAACAACCCCAATTTGCTGCCTGCAGGGGCCGTTTGACAAGGGAATGGCGTATCTATTAGGTGTCGGCAAAGCTATAGGCTTTGTCGATGTGAACACAGGTAACTTCCTGCTTCCCAATTAGGAGGTAGCGTCTGCGATCCAGGCTCTGTCTTTTTTTGGGGGGAGGGGGGCAGGCAAGTCTAGCCCCCCTGCAGACACTTGTCATTGCATTGCACTGCTTCTTCGACTCCACCGTGTATCTAGCCGGTATGGTAGACGAGCACGATTGGACTTACAGATGATGGCCACTTTAGGTGGTTCAGTCTGTCAGCACCATCTGCATACGTTCAGCACCGAATTCACGCGGACTTGGCTGGGAACAACTGCATGCCTAACCCAAGCTTAATATTCATCCTAGGGAATAACTCTTTGTTATTTTGTAACAACTGTAATTCAAAGTGGGAGTATGCTAGAGTTATAAAGTATATATATTTATAAATAGTATAAAATTAAGTAAGACGTATATAATTTCTTTCTCTGAACATAAAGTTTTATAATAATGAAAGATTTCTAAAACAAAATTCTGTGATATACAACTTTTTGAAATAATTATTCTATCCATTCCCACTTTTACCATTTTTGGAAAGTCCATTACATCCCACTCGCAATTAAAGCGTTCGAATTAACCACGGAAGTGGGACCTAACCCGGGGGATTAGGAACGCACAGCAGGATGTCGGCTATTTTTAGTTCATAACGAAAATTGTTGTTCCAGCGGCAACTGGACTACCCATATAAAGAAACGTACCGATGACTGTTCTCAGTGGCCGACGGACTCTCATCCTTCATGATTCGAGATCTCAAGTATTATGACCATTGTTAGTTACGAGACGCCGCCATTATGGAATCCTATCAGACTCAACCCAGGCCAACGGTCCTAATTACCGGAATAAATGGCTTCATCGCAGCTCAGGTCGCAGCTGCATTCCTGCGTGCTGGCTATTCCGTCCGAGGATCGTATTGGTCCCAGAACCCCTTGCCTAGCCAACTTCTGGATGCATTGCATAAGGAGACTGCTGGCGGCAATGATCATGAAAACTCCTTCGTTGAGGTGGTCGAGGTGGAGGATATTACCCGTCCAGGTTCATTCAACCAAGCAGTAAAGGGTCAGTTAACATCCACGGACTGGCTGTACCTCCCTTCCTCCCACCACCCGGTCGGACCTCTGAGTGATGCACAAAATAGAAGCTGATTTCTTTGTCAAAAAAACATCAGGAGTTGTTGCCGTATGCCACCTTGCTTCACCCATATCACTTGAATTTACCGACCCTGAGCCCGTCATGCGTGCAGCCGTCGAGGGAACACTTTCACTGCTTCACTCTGCCCTGGAGCATGCTGGTCCTCAACTCAAAGCCTTTGTTCTTGCCGGTTCATCAGCGGCTATGGGGCTTCGCTCCCCCGATGACAAGACTTCTTCATTTACAGAAGAGAATTGGAACGATGCTGCTGTGAAAACGGCTCAAGAGTTGGGGAAAGACACTCCAGGCCGTCTTATCTATGCCGCCAGCAAGACTGCCGCGGAACGGGCATTTTGGAGCTTCCATCAGAAGACCCAAGGTCAAAGGCTTTTTTCCATGACCGCCGTCAACCCCGCCACCGTGTTTGGCCCACCTCTTTACATGCCTCCACGGCCGGATCTGCTGAGTCCTTCAATCCGAATTCTATATGACACTGTGGTCGAGGGTAAGGGCGTCTTAACTGTTCGGGGCGGAGGCACCGTCATGTCCTCTGTTGATGTCCGCGATGTGGCTCGCTTGATGCTTTGGGCAGCCGCACATTCCCATGAGGCAGATGGGCAGCGTTACCTCGCCTGCGCTTGGGATGCAGCCCCCGGGCTTATCAGCAAAATCCTGTCAAAGAATTTCCCGCAACTCTCGCTCCCTTTGGACGAAATCAATGGGCCTACCTCTATTTCCGATGGTGGCAATCCTCTCTACAATGGCGACAAGGCTCTAAAGGCTACTGGGCAGGACTGGATTGGGCTTGACAAAAGTATTCTGGATACTGCGTTTTACTTTCTGTCCTCGCAGTCATCCACCATCGTCGCATAAATAGAAGCATGAGTTGAAAGTATTGATTCTACTGCACCGTGGTTCCATCACTGGGCCTAAAGCCTCCCCGGCAGTATCCGTGCACCACCTGCTAGAGCACTAAGATTGAAGCTTTTGTTTTAATTCTTTCAACACAGACTGTACCGAGATCCACGACTGGAGAAGAAAATTTCAGTATTCTACTCTCCCTTCGGATGGGTGCACCGGTCGGCAATCCTGCCAGCTCAACCTCTCGTGTGATCCAATCAAGTCAGGTTGACAGAACAATGCATTCCCATGCTTATGACCTCGAATAGAGTGAAGGATGAATGAGAATTAAGAGAGATCCCACCCATACGAGTAGGTGTAGTAGTTTGCCTAGTCACTTGGGGCGCTCAATGCTGAGCTTCCTTAAGACGAACCCACAGAGGTGGCTTCATCCAAGTCAGATAACCCTTGATGTGCTTCATTCCATCACCCCATGCCTTTTCTGTCTGCTTGCCCAAGAATCCGCACTCCAATTCCAAGTCAAAGTTCCACAGCATGTGGACCAGAATCAGACGCAATTCGAAGTATGCGAGGTTCTTGCCAATGCACACTCGCGGTCCAACACTACATTGAGGAGCAGGAAGTTAGGGCCGAGTGACGTGCTTGTTATATGGGAGTGTAGACATTATTGTCTTACCTGAAAGGTTGGGAAGCATCCAGCCTGTCATCTGCGTACTTGGGGTCGGATAGCCATCGCTCCGGATGGAACTCGTCGGGGTCCTTGAAGTTACATGGCAACCGTGTACAGCCATACGGCGGGATGGCGACACAGACTCCTTCTGGCAGGTAGTTGCCGTCAACAATAGCGCCGCCTTTGGGTACAACCCGTTGCTGGCTTGCCGCAGCTGGCGAGAACAGGCGCAGCGCCTCGTTGATCGTGGCGTCGAGGTATGGCAGCTTGTCCGGGCCGACGTTGTCCCAGATGATATCCGCTTCGGACTTGAACAAACCAGACTCCCGCACCTCCTGGATAAGACGCCGCCGAGCCTTGGCCTGCGTGCAGTAGAAGTATGTCCATGCGGTCAGGGTACCCGCCGTGGTCTCACTGCCTGCACTGATGAAGAGAACCATGTTGATTATGATCTCGGTGTCAGTGAGGCTGTTGCGGGATTCTTTGTTCTTGATGATCTGATAGATTACATCAGGGTGATTGCGCAAAGCCCCGTCTGCTAAGCGCGCGACCGTCGTCTCTCTCGACTTCAAGAAGTGCAGCTGTCTCCACCGGGCAGCCTCCTTGGGTACGAGAAGCTGTGTCAATCTCAGTGATAGCCAATTCCCTACGCCGGCGATCCGACGTATGGCTTGCTCCCAGGCACCCGAGATGAACACATTTATGATAGCTGTGGACCAATCCGTTGCGGCTCCTTGGTCCAGGCAGCCAAAGGGCTTGCCAAATGTGAGGTCTCCCATGAGATCAAATGTCGTGTATGTGTCTCGAGATTTGTAATTCGTAAGCATCAGCCAATCCTAATGACGTTAAATCACAATTAGAAGTCTCATACGTACACCAACTGGACATGTCGACCGCCTCTCCCTGACGCGTCATTTTCTTGAGCTGAGAAATGAGTTTATCAATGTGTACTTTCATGAGTGACTGTTGTTGCAGCAGAGCTTGGTTAGTAAAGCAGTAAGCCATTGCACCGCGCTGCCTCGCATGGTCCTTGGTGGCGAGAGGCGCCATGCTGATGCCCATTGAGCCATCTGGCGCTTTCGCTACGGCGCCGATGAAAACTGGGCTTTTCTCCATGTTGGGAGCCGGCCTCTGGAAACGCATGAGTGAAAAGCTGCTTCACAATCTGAGGCTTAGCTTACTCGAAACCCGTAAATATCATCCCAGGCCTGTGCATTGATGAAGCTGAGTTCATTGGGGGCAACTCTTACAACAGGGCCTACAGCGAACGAGGGAATTGTGATGTTAGTCCATGCAGGACACTGGAAGTTATCGACAATTGCTCACCGTATTTCTCGTGGAGGGCTTTATAATAAAATTGCTGAGTGCCCCGAGCCAAGTGGAAGGCAGCTGGTACATCCGTGAGACTGTTGATCAGGGGCCCAGGATACTTGCTCAAGGTGTGGAAGAATCTTCGTCGAATCACAAAGATGGCCAAGGACAGCACAACCTGAGTCAACAGTCAGTGACCGCAGCCACTAATTTGTCGCACTTCAACGCACCAGAATTGGGATCAGTTCACGGGTTAATTGTGTGGGAGCCATTTTCAGTGCTGGTGCGCCACTATGCCCGTGTTTTCTGGGTGATTATGCACTGGCAGTTGTGACACGATTTGGCGGAGAGAATTGCGACTGCAAATAGTGAAAAGGGACAGCAGTCCGCCTCGCATATATAAAGATTCACAGAACAACTCCTGCTTCTAGCTTCCTCGCATTCCGCTATCAATAGATCCTTGTCTTTCGGTCGCGGGACACCCTTGGGGGGAGGCTAGTTCCTGAGAATTCGAAAGTAACCCTGGAAAGCTGGATCTTGCACAGGGTACTCTTGAATAATTACATCTCAAGAAATAATTAGCTCAAAATTTTATAGATTTATTACATTAATTACCTATTCCAAATTTACCGGTATATTGTAGGTATATTTTCTATGGTGCTGAAATCGTTCTCTTCTCAGAATTCTCTCGAAATTTAGTTGATAATTAGCCAGATTTTGAAGTAATTAACAACTAAGTTTAACAAGCTGGATAACGCGGCTCCTGCTTGCTGGGATTGGCAGACCGTCATCTAGCACTGCAGCATCTGACACAAGGACCTTGCGTTACGGTCTGTGTATACATTATTGCCTACCGATACGATGCAGTGACTTGAGTCAGTGTATAATAAGTATCTCGGGGATCTGAGACTACCCCGTATCATCACGGTTCAGCCCGCACCGGCGAGCAAGCCCCGAAACCTTGTATTGTGGGCGGACGACACCCATTGCCAGCTTTGGGTCTTGGCAAGACTCGCTTGGTCCTTCAGGGTCCTGAGTGAACTCATGGCTCGTGCCGAGCCCAACGACAATCGTCGAAGCTGATGCTCTCACTTCGTTGTGGTGCCATCGTCTATACGACTACTCACTTCGTCTGGTAAATTGTAAGCCATGCGCTTTGTTTGCGATCAAAAACACTTCCGTTATGGAACCAGCACATTTACAGAAGGTCAATTTGGGCAAATCTGAAGCCGGGTATAAGTCCGTTCCCTCAGATGAATACCCACTCAAGCATACAGTGGCATCATGTGTTATCAGAGTTACGCGGTCTACATTTTGCAAGGGTTTGTGGGCGTGTGGATACGATTTCACGGGACCATTTCACTATACCATCCGCTGGAGGCGGTGACCAATCTCGGCACTGGCAAAGTAACTGAACAATACCCACCATTGAGACAACTCACAGGGGTACCAAAGACTTTTCTGTCTTATCGCCGGCGATTAATTGGCGTCTGACCAGTGTCTTCTTCTCAAGAAGGTCATCCCGGAGAACGTTCTAGAGACCAGCAGAGCACTCACGAATCACCACCCAGGCGTTCTCTCCCCTGAAAGGGGCATGGCCGACGCATAATTCGGCACCGTGTCTCGTATTCCAGTGAACTCTAATTCTTCTGATGACCTGCTATTGCATGCTGGAAACTATGCTTCCGGCATTTTTATGTGGCAGAAGAGTGGAAATCGAACAACTTGCTGGAAGCTCAGGTAGCAGCAATGCGCGAACAGTACCCAAATTAGCACATGGGGAGGGCAAAGTCGGCCAGGGCTTTTAAATCAGTATTATGGACCTGTTGCATGTGGTTCTCTAAACAGAGTCATGGACTGACAGTCGGAAAATCGGCAAGAACTCATTGACGTTCATGACGAGGCAAGAAACCCCAAGCAAACTTGACGAAACGGAACTTCATTGATTATCCATGCATATCACTCTTCAATAACTTCATCCACGGCATAAAGAAGCAACTGCACACTACCCTGAGTCGCTCCAATCAAAGTCCCGTCTCAATCAGCTTCTTAGATGCTGAGGAGGGGTCAGCACTCTTGTACACTCTGACTAACATGTCCCATTCAAGGAAAACTCCATAACCAAAATGATCCTTGGGATTGGATAGTGTTGGAGAAACCAGCTGGAGATCAAAGTTTCGGTAAAGCTGTCCGGAAACACAGTGTCAGTGTCTTGGATTCACCGGGGATTCGCCTCGCTGAAAGCGAAGTCGGTCTCAAGATTGGAATCCGACGGGGTTTGACAAAAGTTATAGCGCTTCCTTACCTCGAAAACAACCTTGTAAATTTCCATCAATGCAAGGGGCTTCCCAACGCACTGGTTGGCCCCGTATCCAAAGGCCAGCTCCACGTTGCGTTCCATCTCGTTCCGTCTCGGTGAGCCTACGTCGCCCAGCTCCAGGAACCGTTCAGGCCTGAAGACTTCTGTGTGTGGCCCGAACATATCTTGACGTCTGAGAAGCGCTGAACTGTTCATACATACACCAGTGCCTGCAGGTATGTAACTTCCGCAGAACTCAGCTCCTCCCGCGGGCACAACCTTTGGGAAGAGACCCAGCAGAGGTGGACGCATGCGAATGCCCTCGTAGATGACAGCACGGAGATAAGACAAAGACGCAGCATCCTCATTTCGAATCACACCAGTACCGGTCTTGGTCAAGCGGCCATCGTTGATAGCACGGGAAATCTCGGCTTTGAGCGCCTGATACACGCATGGGGACGTCATGGTGTGGATCAAGATTGACCGAATAGCTGACGCGGTACTCTCAGTGCCCCCAACAATGAGGAAGAGACCCTCAGACTCACACTCTTCCTGAGTCAGGCCTTTCTTGATAAGCGAGCCCTGCAATAAAGCTGCTTTAGCATGGATCTTCGTATGCAGTGTGGATTAGAACGAGGTCTTACCAGGGAGTCGTCAAGCTCCTTGGCACCCTGCTTGAATCGTTGAGAAACATATTGCTCGGCGACCCTCATCAAGGCACCGAAACCATCTTTATCGGTAGTTGATGGACCGAAGAGAAGAAGGAAGAATTTAGAGAACAAGATGCGTCGGATCCAAGGCACGTCAGCCGAAGTGGACATACGCGGCCAGAGATCCCGGACGTGCTGCATGAAATGGTAAAGGTCTGTCTCCTCACGGAGGTAACCAAACTCCTGGCCGAAGGCTACTTTGGTAATAACGTCGAGTGTAAAGTAGTTGGACGTAGGTCCTAGGTCAAGAAGAGGCCGTGACAGATCTTCAGACGATACGGCATACTTGCGGTGAAGCAACCTAATGAGATTCTGGACCTGTTCATCCACATTAGGCTCGAGATTGTTTGTCTCACGGCCGTTGTACGACCCAGAAAGACGCAGCTTGGCCTTGGAGTGCACAGAAGGTTCCAATTTCGTGAAAAGGTTATCTCTGTAAGGATTGAAACGACCGGTGGAGTACCAACCGTCGCGATGATAGGCACTGCGCGCGGACGAGATACTCTTTATGACATCAGGCTCGTCAGTGATGATATAGTTGGGCCCAATGCGGACCAACGGTCCGTACTTCTTGTGTAGCTCCCGGTGGACATAATACTGCTTTCCGCTGTGCGTTGTCCGACCGAGCCAGAGGTAGGAAAATTTGGCCACGAAGGGCCCCGGGATGTGTCGTAGGCGCCACCATGTGAAAAAAGTGCTGACAAAATACCAGGTGACAAGTGCGGCAATGCCCAAGACCCCGATTTGGAGCACGCCTAAATGCCGGCTGATTCCGAAAAATTGAACTTCAGTCATTGAGACGACAATTTCGGTGGAAAACAAGACACGAAAACTGTGGTAACAAGTAATAGAGCTTTGGAAAAAGAGATAGCATGTAGTCGAAAGTGATTCCGATTTACTGTGATGGGGGGAAGTGTGGCATTGAAGTTTCACACGAACGAATCTTTCTTATGAATGCGAGAATAGCGGCGGAAATTTGATAGGTTACCGCAACAAAGAATCACACAGTACATTGCGATGTCTCAAAGCTTCACAGATACACGAATCAAGCCAGCTTGACTGGCCTAATGTGTCCATCAGCATCCTGACTCCATAGCTCATCCCTGATCGAAGGCCTCTCAACACATCGGGATGTCTTCAAGTCCGGCAACAGCGTAGCTACCACATGTGCTGAGCTTTGGATCAACGCTGATCACGATCTTGAGTCCACAATATTGAGTTCGACCTGGGGCCTTCTCTCAAGCAACGATTCAACTTAGCCTCGGTAGTGAGTTAGACGGGCATTAAAAGTTCCCGCCACGGAGGCGGTCTGTACATGAGTCCGTATCTCGAGGCAGGAAAAGGGCGGCAGGAGGGTATCACTCCCAGCCCTTTTCGTAACTTACCACGTAACCGAAGTTTAGCCGCGTGGAATATGCCTTTGCACGGGGAAGATGCGACAGCCCCTGCAGGCGTGTAACACATACTATAGTATCCACAGTTCAGTAAAAAGCCGAGTAATACCACATTTATAGGTCCGTTCTAGCTTATAGATGGTAAATCGGACAAGAGATGCTTACAATGTGGCCTACTTCCCTGACTCTTATAAAGATACTCTTTGAATTCTGATAACAAGTAATGCATCTGCAGTAACTACACCTGAAAATTTAAACCATTGCTAGGAAGTTTCATAGGTGGAACGTACATAATATTTCCTTCTGAAAAAGACGTACATTGATCATCTGCTATACGGGCGTCTAATCTCTTGATACTCTGAGAGCCTTGAGGGTAAACTCCCCCTTTCCTCCCCAGTCATACACCTAGTCTCTCGTCAAGAACCACCGCAACTCTGATCCACTACCCTGCAACGTGTGGCCCAGAGTGCCGTCACAGCGGTCATGCGTTGTAACACCACATAGCAGTCGTATATGCATTGTCCTGACTCACGTGGGAAAATCGTTGTGAATAGAGCGGCAACGACGCGCCGGTCTGAAGTGGGACTGCTGAAACTCTGGACAGGGCCTTGTCGCACGCAAACCGTTCCTTATCCAGAGCGTAATACTCCAACAAATGAGAGAGGACTTTGCGGAGAATAGAACCAAGTAAGGCAAAGACGATAGAAATCAGCCCTGGTTACTCAACTACTGAAAGTTAATATTCATGATACTCCACAGGAAGTGCCGTGGATATACCATACCGGCTGAGGCTTCATTTGCAACTAAGTCATGAAGATAATGTCACCGGTCGATCGTGTCGATAGGCTGTGGCATGGCCTTTAGAACGACTTTCCTGAAATCGGTATCCACCCCTGGATGATGAATCATTGGGGGACGTAGACGGACTTCATGCAAAGATTTTGGAGACAAGACCCAAATTCATCTTAGGAAGGACTGCCTCCGTGCACCTCTTGTGCTGTTGGACGGGTATAAAGCACCGCTATTCCGAGATTAAGATCCAGCTCTAGTGTACTCAAGTTTTCATTCTTATTACATGCAAACACATACATTACACAAGCTCATAGACCCATCATTGATATTTTGTGTTAACCGTATCTCACTCTGTGCAAAAAATGGGTGCAGTTACACCACCACATGAATACCCACAAATCAACAGCAAACCGACCACTCCAGCATTGGAGTTGGGTCAGAAACCACAGGACATCTACTACTATCCTCCAGAAATTGCAAATGACCTCAAAGGGGTACCTCTGTCAGATGAGATCAAAGCAGAGTGTTTTGCCTGTGCTTGGGAATACACAAGATGCGTCATTCCTCAATATACCAACTGGAACCGCTATTTGGCGTTCATGAGAACCATTATTATCGGCATCATTGCTGAATTCAAGGGCCATATGGTGGATGTGTCGGCCGGAGACGACATTCTGGGTTTCAACCTCCAGGAAGTATTAGACGGATTGTTCAAGGGAACAGTTGGCCACGAACTAATGTGTCGCGAATACCGGACTTTCCTCCTGATCACGTCTAAGAAGACAAGCGAGAAACGCAACGGCGAACTGTTTCGTCGATACGTCAACTCTCTCGCAAACTCTCCAAAGGGGTGGTTCCGCATGCGAGTAAGTAGCCGAGAAATCTTGACTGGACTCCTCCAGCAACGTTTAGCAATAGAAAAGATACAAATACTGACTTTATAACATTAGGACTGTGATGCGCTGGCCCGGTTCACCATTGCCTCTGCACTTGCATGCAATGACTTGGATGACGCTTGGTTCACAGAGGATCAATTTCAGGTCTTGACAGAGATGGGCGACGTGCTCTATGACGCCGTGGCCTTCTACAAACATAGATCAGAGGGCGAAACTAACACTACCTTTGCCTACATGCCTCCTGACCTCCGCCTCAAGGCATTCCATACTGCACGTGAAATACTTTGGGCGCTTGACGTGGCTTGGCGCTGCAAGGACTACCACGCCAGTGTCACCAACTTCACTCGCTTCTTCGGTGGTCCAATCCACATGATGATGCGCCGCTACCGCTTTGTCGAGGAGAATCTGACTATCGGTTCTCCTGAGGATGAGGGCGTCGTCGACCAAACCCGTCACAACTTCAAGCTTTGGAATCGTCTCGATGCCCAGGCTCAAGCACGTTCCAGGATTAATGATAAGGAAATCGCTCGCTACAAGGCGATTCTTGCTCAAAGCGAAAGGCTTATGTTCCCTGGGCTGGCAGAGTTCCTCGAGTCGGCGGGTGATGGCGCATGTGATAGGTGCCTGTACCGGGACTCGTACGGCGCCGAGAAGACCCATCAATTTGGAGGTGTTCAGCTGTGTAATGGCTGTCAGGGCACCTGGAGAGCCTGGTGCGAATCCTTCCCAGCCAGGGTAGCAAAAGCATTCCCTGAGGTCCTCGAAGTTCCAGGCCATCTGGGCCGAGGCCAAAAGACTGAACAGAAATGCCTCACAACATCAGGATATAAATATGATTATATAGGAACAGAGACAGTTTAACTGTGTGGTCCTTGCCACACTAGCTATCTACTACATTTCCTCAAAATACCGTGACTTGATCATCTTCCCTCGATCGTGAAGGTTGAAATTCTGTTTGAAAATCCCGTGCCGAAATCGTGCACCCAGATACTAGCGGTTGACTCGACTTAAATCATGGCCATAACTTCCAGTACCAGTCGAGTAGTGGCCCTTGACAACAATGAGTAATTCTTCAAGTTTGAGGCCTCTGGAGAACTGACATAAGTGTGAACGAATGAAGAGTGAAATGTGTATTCTAAAGGCTGGTAGTACTTAATCTCGACAGCTGCAGTCATTGACGCTTTTCCCCTGAAAGTGGTTTGGCTGAGACATTACCGCACAGATAGGTTGAGGTCTGGCATCTTCTGAGTCTGGATCTGGCAACTGCAGTAGCATCTTCTTGTTTTTAGTCTCATGTCGGCTCGAGGCAGTAACTTTGGTGAGAATGCGCCTCCGAACCCGCTGGCAGCTCATGATGGCGAATCCAGGAAGATTCCTGTTCACATGAAAGGTCTCCCACGTGGATGTTCTATCCATAATCCCCTATAATGCATCGGGTTGAAATTGGTCCGTTTTTCTTTTCTACTCCTCCCGAGAATATAATGAATGTTTTCTTCGGCAATCTGGTTGATGTTCACATGTTGCGTCGCGTCCACGGGGGGAAGGGAGCGAGGGAAAGGGGAAGAGAGAGAGAGAATAAGGGCCAAATTGATAGTTGACTCAGTGACGATAGGCGAACAGCCGGTGTGATATATTCATTTCTCTTGTTTCTGGTCCGCAGCTCTCAGTCGCGCTTGACACCAAGTCTTCCTATACTCCTCAAACCCCAAAGACTTACAAACACAGATACAAAACTCAATCCACAATTGTACCACCACCCAGCATGGTATCCTCGAAGCATTGCTTCTTTTGAATCGGAGTTTAACATGAGTGGTGAAGATACCTGCTGCGCTATGATTGCCGTTGTCGCGATACCAACACTCTTACCGATCTGAGCAACCATGTTGAAGACACCACCAGCCAAGGCTTGCGTCTTCTGAGGGAACGCATCGGTAACAACAAGCATCGCAATGGTATACATGAGATCCGCACCCAATGGATTGATAGCCATCGCCTGGAAGACAGCTTGCCAGTAACTGGGGCCGTGTGCTTGACATAATGCTGCCAGCAGGAGTGGCGCGAGGCCACTGACAAAACAAGCCACGGGCACAGCAAAGGAGGCCTTTAGATAAGGGAGTAAGAGTGCAACAGCAATATTCGTGAGAATGCCACAGACTGGTGCTGGAAGGAAGTATAAAGATGATGTCAAAGTCGAGAAACCACGGACGTCCTGTAGGTATAATGCCGTGAGCTGCTCGCTAGCGTTCAGGGCGCCCCAGACCAGGAATACCGTAACACAGACCGATGTAAATGGTTGATTCTTCCAGAGTTCGTTGGGTATCAGAGCTGGTCGCCCGCGATCTGTTTGATGGTGCATCCAGAAGACGTATACAGGCATGAGAGCTACGCCCGTGACAAGAAGCACGATGTTCAGGGGGACTCGCATGTGGCTGGTCGCATCAGAGTCCGTAACGACAGCCAACACATAGGACAAGAATGCCAGGCTCGTGCTGATGAGCAAAGCCCCGATCCAATCCAGCTCTTTCTGCAGACGGGTGATGGTGGCTCGACCCAGGGGTGCATCATCGTCGACGCTAACTGGCAGTGACCACAGCGCGATGACCAGAACGACGATATTGAGAATGGACGTGGCATGGAAGCCCGATCGCCAACCAACGCTATCACTGAAAATGCCACCCAAAGCAAGACCCAACCCGAAGCCAACAGCTTGGCCGCCTCCCATAGCGGAAAAAGCAGCGGTGCGACTGCGTGGCCGACTATCGTTCGGAAACGTGCGTGAAACGATCCCAGCAGCGCTCGGCAGGCACAATGATGCTGCCACACCTGCGAAAGCTCGGAGGGCGATGAGTTGGGTTGGTGTTCTGGAGAGCCCGGCACCCAGTGCGCTACCAGCTTGAAGCAAGGCGCCTAGAAGACAAACTCGCCGACACCCAAGCAGGTCAGCCGCCGTGGCGCAGAGAAGCAGCGTACAGCCGCATGCTAAGGCGAAGGCCGAAGCCGGCCACAGCTGAAGACCAGATTTTATGCCCAAATCCGCAGAAATCACCGGTATGCATACTGTCAACAATCCAGCCAGTAGATTACTAATCCCAGTAATACATGTAATGGAGAAGATAATTGCGATGGTTCGGCTTATCGATGGTGTTGTTTCAGAAGATTCTGCAACTGTTGTTGACGGGACACACAAGGCTTGAAGTTGTACATTGGAGTCCAAGTCAGGGGGCGAACGCGATGGTGTATTGGAACCAATATTGGGCAATTTGGGAACGACAGGTGCGATTTCCATTATGCGGTCATGGGCGTCGGTGGCTAGTATACAGTTTGGCTTGAATATTAAGAAAAGACAACACGCAGCTGGTGCAATACTCAGCAGCAAGACACTAATACCATGTGACAAGAAGAGGCCACAGTGTCTGCTGGACCTTCGTGCAGACTTATATTTGGCAATTGAACGAGCCGAACCGGATGGAGCGTTGCACTACGTGGATCGGGAAGTCTACCTGTCACTTACACTATCCGAACAACACCGCCACACTCCCAAAACTCGCAACACGTCATTGCGGAGCCCTGTGTGGCTCACTGACCTCCCATTCTCCAAACACCTCCTCCCAACCCTCCAAAGAGAAAAACGGAGGGGAAAAGATTAAGAAGGTAAAATTACCATAATAGATCAAATTCAAACTTTCATACAAGGCTTTACTTCACCCCCCATGCCCTTTCCATGTTTTTTCCATCCTCTGCTTTCTTCAAATTATTCATCACATAGATGCTGTAGCCGCGAAGTGCACACCCGAGCTTGAGCTCATGTCATCCCAAAATTACCTACGCCTTCCAACCTTGGAACACCTTCCATGATACTAGGCGGTATCTACCGACATCGAATTTTAAATTAAGTAAGATTTTCTGTTTGATAATTAAATTACAAGTCTAGCTTCACCTTAAACCCGTCTCATGATAGTCATTCAAGGACATACGAAGAATGATACTAGCGAAGACACTGCTAAAGCAAGGCAAACATAGTTTCTATACAAACTGGCTTTCAAATCACTTAGCACATACAGCTACAGATACAGGAAAATACAGGATCCCATCCGCTCTCCTATAGTTAAGCCTGTGATTACTGGATTACTTATTATTGCTATATTAGCCTGCCTCTCAGTAGCTACAAAGAATAACCAGCTGCACTAGACTCAACCTTTAAAGCCTGCTCACTATTTTCCCTACCATTTATAAAAATAATGACTAACCCTAGCTAAATAAGTAATTATAATTTTAATTCTGTTTGTATTTATAAATGTTGCTAATACTCTACCAAAAAAAAGCGGTCATGTGACGAGATTTTGGCCGTGGCGCGTTTTTGGCGCCCACTACGCCGGAAGACGTAGGGGGCAACCGAAGGGAAGACCCACAAGTATTAGACTACCTATATGCCGCTTTTGCTAGCACTCTTACTACTCGGCTGCGTGGCGGTCAAGGAGCGCACCCTCGCTACGTGCTACGCCCTCGCTGCCGCCGTTGTGGCCTTCTCGGCCGCCTCCCTCGTCGATTCGCTCTTCTGGCTTTGAGGTGTCGCGCTGTCGTAATTTGGCATAGCCGCCCTCGGCCTGCTCGTCTACCTCTTGTACGGCTGCGTCGCACGGCCGACGCAGATATCGAGGGGCAGACTCGCTGCTTCAGCAGCACCGGGCCAACCGCCCGCGATGCGCACCGCTAGAGAAGGCAAGCCCGGTTTACTGCATCCCAGTCTCGTTCCCGGATTAACTAGAGAGTATTTAATACTCGAGAGCTCTGACAGACGGTATTTTCACTACTCTGAGAGTATAACATCAATTCCACCTCCACTGGACGCCTGGAAGTGTGTATCGAGTCCTCATATCAGTAAGGTCAACCTGGTCAAGTCAGTTCTGACATACGGCCCTTGTAGGAGCCCACTTTTGAGTGCAATCTATTAGAGACGCTACCTTAAATATTACCTCGAGATGATGGTTTTACCAACGGAATGTCACCCATTGTCTTTCCGCCGTGGGTACATTGGCTTTAACAGGAAGAAGTTTCAGCTGTCGACCAGCATCCGCTTTCATTTTCGCAATTGTGGCGTCGTCAAAATCATCCGCGGTCCAGAAGCACATCACCGGAGCGGTAGGAACGTCATTCTGGTCTTCGCCCGGACGACAGCTTCGTGGCAGCCTGAGACCCCAGACTCCATCCTCCTCGATAACATTGTCACTTTCCACGCCGTCCGTCCGAGGAACCGGTGGTAAGGCAAGCATAAGTATAATCTCTCCTCCACGTGCAATCTCGTTGCCCATGGCCTCCCGCTCTTTGAGCCGTCTGTCCACGAGGTCAACCAGATTCACATTGGGACTGAGTTCGACGGGCGGCGAAAAGGAAGATGCCCATATGGCTACCTGCTGGCGAATGGCGCATAGCTGTATCTGCCCAAAGAATCTGTACCCTCCCGGCATGGGACTAGGAGGACGATCAGTGGGGTCAGAATCGCGCAGACGCAGGCCCATGCAACGAATATGCGGCACGCCCTCGTCGGCTGGAGTCCACGTCATGATGTCCAAGTTAGCAACCCAATAGGGCGGCCATACGCCCTCGCGGGGACTCCACGGGAACATTATTCCACAAGCAGGGTAGTTTAGCACCGCCGCGCTCTGGTCCGGGTCGTGCAGGTACGGCTCGAAAATGCCTGGATGCATGCGATAGGGCACCCGCCTGAAGTTGAGCGCGAGGTATCTCAGCGGATTTGTGGTGTGGCTCAGGCTGGAAGCCGGATGGTAGATTGCCTCGAAGTGGTGCTGGTCAACATGTTCGTCCTTGGATTGGCCGGCTTCTTTCATGCACGGAGAGCATAAGTCAAAGTCCAGGCACTGCAGACAGCGCTGTCTCATGGCCACGATGGGCTTTTCGCAATGATCGCAGGTTGAATGGTGAGGTTTGGGAATGGCGTCTTCGTAAGAGACCGTCCAGCCATCGCTGCCGTCTGTCTTTCGGCGTATGTGCATCGCGGCTGTGTAGCTCCCGTGCGGACTTTCGACCATCCAGTACATGTCGCCGTCCCCCTTTCCCGATCCGTGTAGAACAGGCATTGCTTATATTTGGTTGGGTCGCTCGTCTCTGTGGGTGCTTCTGGTCGTAAACCAAGATTCTGGATGCTGCGAAGTGAGGTGCGACCGCTCCATTGGCCGTATTCGAAGCCTTGGTAGTTCAATGGTCCGCCGCCTGAGGATGTACCTCGAATATGGATGGCCAAAGAAAGGTTTGAAACAGGGTCTTGTGAGTTCCCAGACTCTTCATCCGTCTTGACGGATGAAGATGAACTATCCGGGGCTTGTATCAGCCCGGTCAAGAGACAATGGGGTTGACTGCTATTAGGTGCATGGTTGGACCGACAGGCCTTCGCGCGCCTGTATCGGAGACCTGTCTCATCCTCAAGGAGGCGGGCTTCCATGAGATCAGATTGGATGTTCTCATGGATATAAGGTGCTGCCAGGACGGCTGCTCTGACATCACAGATGTCCACTTCTCGAAGACCGAACGCTTCGTGCAAGTGTGCCGCCAGGATGCCGAAGGCTTCTAGCCGCATCTTCAACGAATCCCGCAAATGCGCCTTAATGGAGCGGAAGCCAGCGGCAAGAGCAACTGTGTAGACCTCGTGGACCCCAAGACGATAATCCGGGACTATATCTTTACGGATGTCTTCCTCCACAATGCTGAGCATGGCGTAGAATTTATCTCATGGATCCGAACAAGCATGCTCTGCAAATGTCCCGAAGGCCACATAGCAGGGCACGAGATAAGTTTTCCTTTTCCCTTCGTCTGGATTCAATGCGACCTGAGAGTCCCACTCAGTCTTTCGTTCAAGTAGGCCGAGCATCGCAGACCTTTGACCAAAGCGCATCTGGCCCTCGACGAATGTCATGTTCATCAAGGGAAGCCCATGGGAATCCTGGTGCCATAACGACGACTGAATCGATTACGGGCCCAACTTGGCGACCCGTGACCATGGAAATGTGTAGTTGCCCACAATTATGTTGATATCCGAAGCAAGCATAATCTCCTGTATAATCCATGTTCGACTCCAGTATGGTTGCGAGCTTCTGCTTGTCAGCAGCGTCAATGCTATTGCCTCCTATTCCTACTCCTGCTCCTGCTGTCATGGCTCGCTTTTCCGCCCAGACCCAGTCACCATGATCCTGCAAACTCTGCAGGTTCGAATCGTCTTCAGCATTAACTATGGATGATCCAAGCCAGATGATGACTTCGAGAGCCTGAGAGTAGACAGACTGCATGAGCTGGATCTGGTGACCTTTTTCATCATTGTCCAACTGGTTTATGCATATAGCATCGATGTAGATGGGATGGCCGCTAAGTTTCTTCCGCACAACACCGCTGGTCAACAACTCCCAAACATTCCGCCGAACGCAAAATGGCACTCGTTGCTTTGAGTCGTTGAGGATGAATATGTCGTGAACGTCATCAGCCCCTGTGGCGCTCCCCCATGTATATGACAAGGCGAAGTAGCTGTTGGAGGACGCGCCATCGAAGTCGACAATGTCATATTCACACACTAAATCCTTTGTCGTAGCTTCGGGGGGAATCTTCAGAACTCGAATTTGCCTCCGAGAATCAATGGCTGGGTGAAGGAAACCTCTTTTCTTGTTTCGCACAATGTCGAAATTAGGCACCTCTTCCCACCAACGACCGTCGTTTGGGCGAAGTTGATGAGCCTGGCGATCATGAACCAGCCGCGCTTGATCCACATAGCTGGACTGCCATGGCATGAGTTTCACATTGGTTTCTGCTTCGTATAATGCCATAGCTTGAGAGATAGAATGACGATAGTCGTTGGACTCTTTACAGCCCCTAGGCGTTGCAAGTACAGTCGGAGTGGTGTAATTGTAGGCAACCAGCTGGAGTGAGGCGGTGCGCCTCCACAGCTATGTCAGCTGAAATTCTTTCTGCTCTTTTCTCCTCGTTGGTTGTGGACTATCGCAGCCCGTGATTAACAACCGGTGCTGCCCGCGCAAACGGATCAAAAGAAGGCAAAAGAAACATTATGAGACATAAGGCGATAGAATGTTGCTTGTATAATGTATGGAGATTGTAAGGTGAAGGTATTGAGAGACGTTCCTGTGGAAGGCAGAAGAAGAGTGGGGTACGACTGGTGGCTTACCAAGTTGCCAGCTCAGCCACATAATGTCAGCGGACGGCGGAGTGAGGTCATAATGTATCGAAAGCTGCTTCCATCTAATAGTGTGGCAATTGGAGTAGAGAAGCCAGTATGCAAGGTCATATATTACTATGTTATTCGTTGCCTCATGGGCTTCCTGCGCCTGTTGTATTATGGATTCGGGCGAGCTGTGTGAAGCAGACAAGGTGAATGACGGTAAGGCGGTTTTGCAAAAGGCCTGTTTAATGCTCCAATCTTGCGAGTGTCAGGTCCAAGGGTGCGACAGCTAAGGAAACCAAAGGGGCATTACAAGAGCTGCCCACCAGCGTGTCACCAAATCTCAGCATACAACAACCTCACATCTCGTATACAGCGGGAGCACCTGGTAACTCATATCTGGGGGTTTCTGCACCTGAGCGCCAAATGTCATGCCGCTCCCCATGTTCCATTGACGGAAGCTCAATCAATGACTCAGGCGCAAGTTCGGGCAACGGGTCTGGATATTCCGGGCTGAGAGGTGCAGCCTCGTACTTGGTAGAGCGACGATAAGTCGAAGGAGCCAAACCGTTCGCGACGCCATCATGGTCAAACTCAGCCACCTGCGGTTCCTTCTTTGCCTTCAATCTTCTCATTAAGAGACAGGCAGCGAGAGAAATGGTCGCGATCCCGACAACGCCACCGACAACGCCGCCAACAATAGGGCCCACTGGAGTAGAGGAATTTCCCGACGAGTCGAAGGATTTGGCAGTGTCCGTGCCCCTGTCACTGGGCTTTGCTCCGCCGGCCGTCACAGTGGCGTTCTTGTTTGATGAACAGAGGCTATCGAGCTCCGCACCTCTGGAGTCGACGGCGACAAGATCCTGGCTCGCAGTCCGATTGGCAGGCCATATGGTGAATTCGCTGGAATCGTAGTTGACCATGAGGTACGCTGCGGAGAAGAAGTTGCGTCCTATCTTAATGACATCATTTGAATTAGAGCCCTGCAGCGAAATCATTGCAACAACGTCGGGCTCGGTGCTGTTTACTTCAAGGACCCCGGTGTTCTTGTTGATTGTCACATCTGGTCTTACATACTCGGAGTTGGGAACTCGAACAATCAGACCAGACGCAAACTCCATACTGATATCACCCGTGAATCTGGTCAGAGGGTATATCAGTCGTGTGTACGGGGGAAGGTCACGCTAGCGACCACGTCCATGAAGCAAGCGTAAGGTGATTGAAAACTTACGGAGTCTGACCATCATCATAGCGCATGTTGTACCACTGCAATCCTTGTGAACGACCAGATATCGAGGCATTGGTGATGGTTTGAAAGTTGTACCAGTATGGACTGTACGGTATTGTCGTAAGCGAAGGGTATGATGGGTCTATACAAGCTGCTAAAAGTGCTTGGTTGTCGTCGGTGAAGATGCTCACAGAGGTACCGTCCACCATGTGGACAAGGACATCTGACAACGTCACAAACAGACCAGTAGCGCAGCGATCTGAACCCGTTGTGATAGGCGACGTATAACCTGTTCCGCTGACTTTGGCTTTATCGTATCCACCAAGGACAAGGCTTCCATCGAGTTGCTCTGAGACATTGGGCCCATCCAATCCCCAAAACCAGGACCAAGTCCGCGATGAAATGGTACCAGAATCAACCAATGTTGATAACAATGTCGATTTGGGCCCAAGTCCTAGCCCTGCTTGTGGATAATAGCCTTGTCCGCCCCAGTCACCCTGTGCGATGCCGACGGGGAAGTTCTCCAGGGTGAAATTCGATCCGAGGACGACGGTGTCCGACAACTTTTCGAGGTCGGGATAAGTTCCGGTCGCATCTGACGCGAAGAGGGACGCAGCACCATCGCTTTGCATTGTTGATGAGTTTGTAGGGTCGTAGGCTCCCCCACGAAATGTCGTACAACCATCGACCGACCAACCGGATGTGACGCTGTTGCAGTAGCCGCTCGTACCGTAAACAAATGAGTTGTTCAAAGGCCTACATATAGATCTTAGAAAAAGTCTTAAGGAAAATCTCATCGTGTGAAGTGCAAGCGTGTACGTACATTAGTGGCAAGAATGCTAATGACTGTGGCGGGGTGCCTACCTCCATCACGACCCCTTTTGCTGTCTGCCCATTGGAAAGTGTAACATTGCCGACATCCAGAGACAGTGCTTGAAAACAGTCAGAATCGCCAAGAACCTTGGTCACTGAAGCTGCCAAATGCAACAGGACCAAGGACTCGGGTTTCATCGTGGTAGGACACGCAGCTGCCTCGCAAACAGGAGTTGGATCCAGCTGGGCGAATCATTAGCAGTGAAATATTGCCAAAGCCCTGCCAGAAGAAGGAAGGACGATAGAAATGGAAATGGAAAAAAGGTCGAGTCCCGTTGTCTGGAGGAATACAAGCCAATGTTCGCGACTGGCATCGATACGAGTTTGCCTATTCGATGAATTGACACCAGAACCACGCTTCAAATCTCAGTTGCCGTGTCTCCAGCTCATTCCAATCCTTCTTCCCATTTTGCGGCTCTTTTTGATACTCGGCAGGACCAGCGCTTCTGTTGGGGACTTGCAGTTCTCCATCATTGGCAGGAATGGCCCGCAAGTTCCCATAGGCCGGTTTCTCCATTATTTGACCACCAACGTCCAAATCCTCCGTTTCAGTTCATTAAAATTACAAATCCTTGCAAAAAGCGTCGGAATTTGCCTTCGCTTGTAGCCAACAGCGTTTTTACAGAAGAACATTGTCTAATCCTTGCTGTCACCGGGCAGGATCCCATCCGCGGTGAGTGTATCCGCTGCCATCCTTGCATCTCATGACCTTGCTTAGCGATGTCTTTGAATCTCCACCACGGCGACTCAGCACTGCTTGGGCAGCTGTGGACCTGTCCGGAGCTGTGGAAGATGACCCGAGGGTCAGACGAGGCTTTAGCGATGCCAGCCTGAGCAGTCCTGCTGACACATTATCACCAACACACGGCGTGCTTTGTTTGATCTATGTGTTTCCAATATATATGAAAGATACAAGCTAGCTTGTGGTCATTGCACAGTCTATGTCTTGAGTGTGTTGGCTCAGACAACTGGGTCGATCGGCCAGACGAGCACGCAGAGGTTGGTCCGCAGCCTCCAGGAGACCAGTGAAGGCCTAGGGAGCAATACTGGCATTGGTTACTCTATTGAAAAGTGGCTCGGGAAGCTCGATGATAAGAGCAACATATCTTATTGGTCCCGGCAGTCTGGTAAATGAAGTGGAATTGAAAAGCCCCTGCATAAGCTTATTGGTGTACTTGACCTGGAAGCTAACTGAGTTTAAACATCACGAGCTGATTATAGGCTGGGCAGGTTCCAGCAGGTGGATATTGTAAGTGGGTCTAAGTGAACAAGCTAAAATCCCTCACAGCAACCTGAGAATAGCTTCTTCCGCAGCTGGGACAAATACTGCGAGGCTCAGTCAGCTCTACTTTTTCGACAAGTAACTGTTTCAGTGTTCTCACCCGCTAAAATAATGTCAAGCAAGCGGTGACACTAGCCTTCACTGTCTCTTTTTCATCCTCAAGCAGACACATATCAATATAGGTCGAATTCTCTAGCCAGCCTTAGCTCTCTCCTCCATGATCGCGAAGCTCAGTCATGTACGTCAGGCGCCAAAGCTTACTGCGCCGTGTGTACCAGTACAATACTATGCACTTCCGGAAATTCAGCCAGGGGTTTAGGCGCCAGAGATACGCACTTGTTGGACAAGAGGATGATGAGCAAATACTGTTGGTTCATGCTTGCGCATTAATTGGCTACAGAGTGGCCCAGTGGAGTGGACTGTTGGCTGTTTACCGAGAATACGTAATTTTGTCCTGAATTCTGCCTTCGGCAGATATAAGGTTAAGATATTTGTGGAGGCAGCTGGAAAGGGCGTCAAAGTATCGGTCACTTCGTACAAGAACAGTAGGGGTTCCTGAAGGATGCTCCTCACGGGGCTTGCTACTACAGCAGATAGGAGCTCGCCAGATACCACTGTTTGCGCGGGATTCTGCCGTGTCTTCTTTGAACCATTCCTCTCGCATCAAAGTGCTCTGAAGGTCCTCCTTCTTCACAACACTGCCTCTGACTTACAGCTGGGCTCCAGGCGTACTAGCAAGACGATCAGCTTCAAGCAATGATTCCCCAAGCCTTACGCAAAGGCCATGGATTTATTGCCATAGTCATTGTATTTTTTCTCATAGTGACGGTATCCATACGAAAATATGACCTGTTGCCTTACGAAGGTTACTTTGACCAATATCCAGCAGACACAGCCTCGGGTCCGGATCTGACGAAAAGCGCACCTTTGCCTCGCAAAATATGGCAAATCTTTTCGACCCCAGCGGATGCTAAAGAAAAGCCCCCAAACTCAATCGATCCTAAGGCGCTCGGCGATACAACCTCTTGGATAGGACTGAACCCAGGGTATCAATACAAGCTTCTCGGCGCCGGGACTACTTCCTCCGATGACTTCGTGATCAAGCACTTCTCCCACGACAAGTCAATCATGGATACTTACTTCTCTTTGCGAAGTCCGGGACTGAAGACAGATCTGCTGCGTTACCTCATTCTTTGGATTGAGGGCGGGGTGTATGCAGACCGTAAGTAGCTTTCGGATACAGTTTTCAATTCTTCAGGGAGAAGCGTCCGCCATATCCGTTACCTTTTTGCTGCTTGAATTCAAAGCCCTTCTTCGGCGTTAGTTATCGAGACAGACACTGGGCACATGATTGCCTGTTTCGACCCATGTTTCAAGAGAACTTCTCTCTTAGTACTTTGATAGCTAACTGGACATTCTACAGTGGATACATGGGCAATAAAGCCGATCGACTCCTGGGTGCCAGAACATGTGAAAGCTGGAGGCAGCGTTCGAGCGGTCGTCGGGCTCGAGTGGGACCAACTGGATAACGAGCCTTGGCCTGGCTTTGGAGACGAGCCTTCATACATGACACATGTTGTTCAGTTCTGTCAATGGACTCTCGCGGCGGCACCTGGGCATCCCCTATTCGAGAATGCAATTAAAACATCGGTGAAGAGGATCGCGGACCTATCAGCTGCAAAGAAGGTATCAATATCGGATCTTGACCCTATTGGATATGTGCGTACTCATTTTCCCAGTACCCAAGATGTCGGTCTTTCCAGGTAGCGTAACTAGTATCTGACATTTAGCAGGAAGTTGTCACAACCACAGGGCCGTCTGCCTGGACAGATGTTGTGTTCGAGCAGCTGCAGAAGGGAGATCCCAAGCTCCGGAGCCTGAAAGAGTTATCTGGAATGAAGGAACCAAGGCTGATTGGAGATATATTAGTGTTGACTATAGATGGTTTTGGAATGGGCCAGCCTCATTCACACTCAACGGCAGACGGGTCAATTCCAGATGCAGCACTGGCAAAGCACGGTTTTCGACACTCTTGGTTACCTAAAATATCTTGATTCATAAGACAATAAATCCGCTGGGAGCTCTATCGCTTGCCATAATGTCAGTTTCAGGCCGTTCAGCAATCTACAATCAGCTACTTCACATATACGTAATATTCCGCTTTCACTTATAGAAACTCTCTTGCTTTTATAAAGGCTTGCATGACAAAAGAAAAGACCTTGCTATCCACAGATATTATTTTCGAATCGCACTTATAAGCGTGAGCCTCAACGTTAATATATGAGTAGACTTAAGCCCATTAGCGCAATGTATTAGGTCTTCATTTTTACATTGTTTTACTTTTTCCATTTTTTTGTAGAATTCCAGCGTGATACACATGGCCGTCATGAAATTGACATTGTTATTGAATATCATGAATTATTATATGACATACCCCGTCTTCTTTAGCTTCTGTATAGGCTGTGTAGCAAATTCATGGGGACACTTACATGGTAAGCTTCACAAATTTGACAGCTTCAACGGGGACTCAACGCGTATTACTGCTCGTAACCTTGCCCAGAGGAGCATTGGTCTGCTTTTTTCTAGAAATAGAGGCATTCCGCGGAGCTGGAAAATACTGATGCCTGGCATTTGGACAGTACACTATCCCTGGGACGAAAAAGTCCAGACGCTGAGCAACGTTTATGACAAGGGAGTCCGGCATTCTTAAATGTAGATGTCATTTAGGCCTCGTGAAATTTGTTTTTCCTTTAAGGGCGAAAATTTTAATGTTTTCTGTGATTCTATTGTAATAGTGCAACTCTTTGAAAACACTGCGTACAAGTCTACATCCTGAGGGTAGGGTGGAGTCGAAGGTGTGCGATCCTGACCCCGTCAGGGCATCTAAAGAAACACAGCAAGTAAAGGGTGAACCTTTGGAGGCCCTCATGCAATATTGCACAACTTCTGTTTGGGCTATAAATTTGCTACCGCAGGTCTTCTGGCTCAATCCGGCGTCGCTTTGCTTGTTGGGCATCATTAGAATATGGAGCCTTACTTTTGTAACCACATTCTGGCATGGAGGCTAGTGACAAGACCCCAATAGCTCCGTCAAAATCGCCCTCCTTTAATAATGCTGACGCGACAATGACCTTGTTCCTTGACGTAGTATCCTCGCGCAGCCTCGTTGAGTGATTCAGACACCAAAGAAGGACACCTGCCAGTGCAACGGCATCATTTTCATAGTCTGGCGCCGTGTCACCCATGTCTATCAAGAGCAGCCTCGGCGCAACCGATAAGTACGGCGGTGCAGACTCCTGCAGAATGATGTTCCAGTAACAGATATCGCCGTGGGTAGTCCCGCACCTTGACAACTCGCCTACACCTTTGACTAGGTCCAGGAGCTGCTCCTTAGTGATTGGCATATCAACTGTAGTCGTGAGGGTTCCGAGAGCTGGTAGAGAAGGAAGATGGGTTTTGGGCGACTCTACACCCATGCTGGGGCGAGCTGCTCCGAACAGCTCAAGGCTTCGGCCCATATACGGTGTAATGAAGCCCGCAACGATATGACCCGGCTGCATAGCGTCCTCGGGTGCTATTACGGAGACTTCTTGGGGCCCGTCATCTTCTTCAATGTTTTCTTCATCCTCGTCGACGGCAAATTCTTGCCTCGTTCGTATCATCCACTGGCTCGTCTCGTCATGGAGCACAACACCAAGGATGGGGACGACGTTGAACCGTCTCAGCATTTCGTTGTTGACGTCGATGGGCGTGGCACCCGATTCTTGATCGATCTGTTGGATCAAGTGCTCTCTAGCACGAATCTCGTTCTCGTGCGACTCATTATCGCAGTCGAATTCTATGCGCTTGAAGACACATTTGTCTCCCTTCCAATCACAGTAATCGGCTCCTCGACTAAGATACATTTTATTTCTCAGATCCCGGAAATCGATCGTCGGCAACTGGTCCAAAGATTTATGTCCGTAGGAAAAGCTTTCAAGAATTGGCATGCCCACATAATAGTCATTCTTGGCTTGCTCAAATGCAACCGGCTGGCCAGTCGAGGTCGTGTTGATTATATTCCAGGTCGGTGGTGAACCTGTGGACTTAAAGTAGTCGCTGACGTGTTTTGCTACCGTTGAGCTCAACCAATCGTCTTCTGGTACCTGGAATGTCCTTATAGCGGATCGTTCATTGTCTTCGTCGTTCGTACCGCCCTCGGATGACGATAGCGCATCGCTAACGTTGAGCTCGTACCACCGTCGATTGGCGAGATCATAGGCTCGGGCTGAGCAGGAAACGCCCGGCGAGATGGCATTTGCGTAGATCTCCACCACAGGCTCATGCCACAGCCTGTTTTGTTCCATGTTCGAGCCAGAGTATGCCCTACAGAGGACTCTTCGGCGACTTGATAAGGAGATTAAGAATTGAGGGCCCCTGCCAATGGCTGTCAGGCCGAACCCACTGGATGAAGAACTGGATGAATCAACAACACCCAAATAACTTCAGAACGTCAGCATCAATTTGTCTTGGGTATTTTGGAACACTTCAAGTCGCATCAAGCGACGGACGCACATCTTTTGATAATATGTTAAGTTGCCAAGTTCGAGATTTTGGTATGCATCATGAGTGCTCAATTTTGGGGAGGCGCAACGGACCGATGATACCCCGCCTCCGTGCTAGGCGGCTAAAGGTACCGGTCATATATATACATATATAAGAAACGTGTGGTATGTCTGACTTGATGTTCAAAATTTAATAGCAATTTCGTTGTATTTGAATATTAATTCAAGTGGAGGGAAACATACCACTGGAAGAAGTGTGATAAGGGTACGTAGGGGCAACTGGGTAGGAGAAACAGCGCGCTGCAATGGCCATGTTGGAGGAGAAAGTGCTGCAAGCTTCAATGAGAGCTTTTGGAAAGACTGATTTGAAAAAGAGGCAACAAGACCCATATTGCTTTCTTGCGGGTTGGTGCCGAGGAGATCTCTTGTTTGTGTTCATGAAAGCTTGGGAAACACCACTCTCATAGAGGTCAATCCCAACAATGCCGTACAAGGAAGACCTAGGCTCGCATTGAGCTGAGAAATGACCTATCTTGCGGAATTCTTCACATTTGGAAAGCGATCCTTCATGAATGTGCCTGTTTGGACTTCATGATTAACTTCGAGACAAAGCCTAGTTACGCATTCGTAGCTATTCGTGGCGTCCCGTCTTGTGAGTGATACCTAGCCGCAGTTAAGGCTAAAGTTCGGGCATCTCAGATAATTCAATGTGGATTGCTGTTAAAATTCATCAGACTAAGTGCTGGTAGGGTATGGCGCTAGGAACCGTGCAATTGACATTTAGGAAAGAAAATAAGAAACCCCGGGAGTGCCGCTCATTTGGGTGACAATGATGTTGTTCAGAATATTGTATGACTTATCATCATCTGAGATGAAATTTTGAAGGTGTTAGGGATGGATTCGCAGGGTGATTCATGGACACCGGCGACCTGCCCGTTAAGGTTAGAAAATGTTTGGGAGGGAGGATCTTCGGCAATGGCACGCCTTAATCGGCACCGATCTCGTGCTTATCAAATGGCCCACCGCTCGGTGGACAAGCTCGACGTCAACTGTGTTTCTTCTTCCCCAAAATTCTCTAAGGGTCAGTAGAACAGCTCAACAGGCATTGGGCATTGGCTGCGGACTTGGGAAGATCAATCGACGGAAGGGAACATGGACGCAGAGAAGAACGGGTTGCCCCCGTACAGCGCTATCGCCGGCCCACCGGCACAGCCATGGCACCAGGCTGGCCGAAGGCATGTGAGACGGTCTCGGGCGGTTCGCCTGATGGCGCTTTCATTCTTGGCCTTCATCGTCTACGCGCAATGGCGACAGATACCAACCCCTTCTCCTACTGCAAGCGACAGCGACGGGGCGGTGTCGGCCAATGGCCTGTCCGTAGCCAAGCTTCAGGCCGACCATGCCATCTGCTCGAAGCTGCGAGCAACCCCCAGTGACCCAATTGGCTTGGGTCGTGAGCGCAACGCCAGGTACATTGATGGCCACAAGCCTACACTCATTCGGAATGCCACTGTCTGGGTTGGTGAGCCTGTTGAGGGGACGTCTGCTGAGGCTGCACGCGCTGGAGAGGGCTGGGAGTGGATCAGTGCCGATGTCTTCTTGGAGTATGGCCTCATTAAGGAAGTCGGCAAGGATATCTCCATCACCAACCTGCCCAAGGATACCATCATCTGGGATGCTAAGGGACGTCAACTCACTGCCGGTGTCATCGACATGCATAGCCACTCTGGAGTCGATTCCCTGCCGGAATTGAGGGGCAACAGCGATGTGAACGAGATGTCATCGGACACGACACCGTATGTCCGCTCCATCGATGGCATCCAGCCTACGGACCATCAGATTCAAGTAATCAAGTCCGGCGGTGTCACTACCAGCTTGGTCCTCCCTGGATCCGGCAACAACATCGGCGGCGAGGCATACGTTATCAAGCATGCCGTAGGCAAGCCTGACGGTCGTGACGAGATCAGTGCCGAGGATATGCTCGCGGACCCAGACAAAACCTGGAGGTATATGAAGATGGCATGCGGCGAGAATGCCAAACGTGTATATGGCAAGGTTGGCGAGAGGGGTCCTGTCAGTCGTTTGGGAGAGTCATGGGAGTTTCGCCATGCCTTTGAGCAGGCGGCCAAGGTCAACCGCGAGCAAGATGACTGGTGCAACGCTGCGGACGCGGTAGGTGTGGAGAACATGAGCTCTTACCTTCCACAGGATCTGAAGTGGGAGTCCCTGGCCGCCGCCTTGAGAGGACAGGTGCATATCAACACCCACTGCTACACCATCCCAGACCTGGAGGCTATGGTGGACCACACGAATGAGTTCCAGTTCCCTGTGCGAGCATTCCACCACGCACATCAGACATTCCTTGTGCCTGAAGTGAGCTTATCAACTGGTCTCGATTATCGCTAGAGCTATTTGCTGACATGCATAACAGATTCTCAAGCGCACATGGGGAGGCCGGCCTCCTGCATCTGCCATTTTTGCCACGAACATGTATTACAAAGCTGAAGCTTACATTGGATCAGAGTATGCTGGAAAGATTCTTTACGAGCAAGGCCTGACTACGGTCTATGTCAGTGACAACCCAGTGTTGAATGCTCAGCACGTCATCTTCGAGGCTGCCAAGGGCTACAAATTCGGCCTGCCATACCACGCCGCCCTGGCTGGTGTAACCAGTGAGCCCGCCGATCTTCTTGGCCTCGGAAAAAGGCTCGGAAAGATTAAGCCTGGCTTCGACGCAGATGTGGTCGTCTGGGACAGCGACCCATTGAGTGTTGGTGCGACTCCTGTCCAGGTTTGGATCGACGGCACCAGCCAGTGGGAGGACCCAGTCGAGCTGAACAAGCCTGTTGCTGCACCACTCGTGCCGGACCTAGCCCTGAACTCTACGAATGAGGAGACTGCACAGCTGAAGGACGTCTTGTTCACGGGCGTCTCCAAGGTCCTGATCTCTGAGCATGACAAGGCCGACGTGGCTGAAGCATCCTTCAATGTTGCCATATCCGGAGGAAAACTTACCTGTATCGGAGCCTGTGAGGCGGAAATGCATGCCGCTAGCACCACAGGAACCAAAGTGATTCACCTCAAGAACGGATACTTGACTGATAGTTTTACCGCTTACGGATCGACAATCGGCCTCAATGAGATCGACGCCGAGGCTAGTACCGACGACGGCGACAGCTCGGACGTATTCAGCCGCGCAGCTGACGGCCTGGCCCTCGACAACAAGAAGCTCAAGGTCGCGCACGAATTCGGCGTCACGCGGGCCATCACTGCCCCCAAGTTTGCGGGCGGCTCCAACGTCGCGCGCCAGGGTGTCAGCGTAGGCTTCTCAACCGGGGCCAAGACGGCCCTGGACACCGGCGCCGTGTGGGCCGACGACGTCGCGGTACACTACACGCTTAGCCTCGCGGCGAAGAGAGACAAGACTCCCTCCTTGTCGAGCGCCATCGGCGCGTTCCGTCACAAGCTGCTGACTGCTCTGACGTCCACCGACAAAGTCAAGGACCCGTACTCGGAGGAGGCATACCTGAAAAAGGTCGTCGCGGGTGAACTTCCCCTCGCCATCACTGTCCACAGTGCAGACGCCATCGCGTCTATCCTGAAGGTCAAGAAGGTGGTCGAGAAGGAGGGCGGCAAGCTCCGGCTCTCCATCATCGGCGGCGCCGAGTCTTATATCCTCGCCGATGAGCTGGCTGCCGCGGGCGTCGGCGTCGTCCTCGCCCCGGCAGAGAGTTATGCCACCGACTGGGACCAGCGCCGCGCGCTCTCTGGCGCACCGCTGACTAACGGAACGGCCATCGACAAGCTTGTCGACGCTGGCGTAGTTGCTGCAATTGGGCTCGAGGAGGACTGGCTAATCCGGGACCTTGCTCTGTTGGCGGGGCGGGCCTACAAGAATGGCGAAGGGCGGTTGAACGAGAAGGACGCGCTGGCGCTCATCTCAGCCAATGTTTATAAGATCCTGGGCATTGAGTTGCCCAAGGCCAAGGATGGACATTTTGTTGTGTCTGAGGGGAGTCCGCTTGAGATTGGATCGAGAGTCAAGGCTGTTGGTGGCGGCCTTGGAAAAGTCTCTGTGTTTGAGTAGTGTAAATGTTGTTATGCGTGGAGAGGATGCACCTCTGTGACTATTGGGGAGAGCTTCAGCCCCAGGGCTAACAAGTTGATAGCTTGTCATATGCGAAATTCAACCACGTACATTCACATTCACATTCACATTCACGTTCACGACGCATGCTGACCGCACCTGACAGATATGCCATATGGTCTACCAGTTCATTCTTTGATAAGCAGTACCAAGACTATTTAAATCTATACTATGCTAATTTTTGGACGCTAACTCTACCCTTGAAACATGATATCTGCTTTCAATGCGGTCTCTAGAAAGTGTTCCATCTTGCGGTACTATGAGCATTATTGCACATTGGGGTGAGCATCAACAGTCTATCAAAGAAGCGAACCGCGGCGCTATCAAGGGACTGGACGTGATCACGTTGGTTCAAGCAATGCACGACAAATTCTGTGTCCCAGACTCTGAGACAAACGAACATTCTTGACAATATTCAGGGCATTCGCGCATGTCAGTCATTTATAGCAGTATTCGACAAAGCAGATTGACCAGCATCTCTAAGACTAGAAATCTCGTCCCTTTTCTCGCATTGTTTGTATTGCCAGTGACGAGTGTTAAAATGACATGTGAACCATAGTCAGGTGGGCATCATCCACGTCCAAGACCAGCATCGAGAACACTTCACATCGGCTGACCATTAAATCTGTGAGTAGTAGTGACACCATACCTTATCCTGAGCGAGCTTGACTGACTGTTCATAAATTTCGGGATACAGTACGTTCTGGTTGTGCCCTTAGATCATCCACCAACTCAGGGAGATCACTCTGGTAGCAAGATGTGGTGGCGGTGCGGAACAATCGGGCCCGTTAGAATTATACCTTGCGGACAGAGCTGCATTTGCTAGTCTCAAATGCTTATTAAGCGGGTGCTTCCGCTAGAGGAGGACCATCTCGGGCCCTTGGACTTGTCCGAGGCCGTCACATCCAGCCGCTCCGACTCGGTCGGACATTTTCGAGTCGGTCCCGAATGAGCGAGCTGGGCTACAAGTCAATGCAAAACCCAATCAGAATCACTGATACGGGGCTTTGTCCGTCCGTCTGAGAGCGACGCCCCCAAGGCATAACTGACACCTCAAACATCTGGCGTGCATGCTTCATAATCCAGCTGTCTACACATAAATGGACCCGCCCCGCGAGATGACCAGCGCTGCATATCTTGCTCAGCATAGCCAGAACGACTGTCATTATTTCACATATCTTGAAAGAGATTGAGCTTTTACCGAACCCTGCATCTTGATCACTTAACAAACATGGCTTCAGTGTGCCCTATGCAAAACGGTGGTGGCTTCCGCGGCCCGCCAATTCCTCTGGTCGTCGTCCCTGTGATCTACCACCTGATGCGATCGAATCCTGATATGAAACTCACAAAGTACGTAAAAGACTTATTGAATAAAGGTGGCCCGATGAGCGTTGCCGAGAACGCTCATTACATCGCTCAATGTAAGTGTTCTTCTCTTCTTGATACTGAATCAGAGACTGGCTTTTTCGGTGTCGTCCGGAAGTATATGATGACCAACACGTTCTAGATATATTATCCAAGGTGCCAAGCAATGTTTTGTACTGGCTTGGAACCAAGGTTCTCCAGCTGCAGCCAGAGGTCGCGATGCAGACGACAGAGTTTCTGAAATCAAGGACACAATTAGAGCTTCCGCCTCAGCCAAGCGATGTAGGAAACGATGTCGCAAGACTTGCATCTGCGGATGCCATCACCATCCCGTCGGATATTGAACGACGCCTTGAGAAGTTGGAGATGGATTATCAGATGCTTCAGGAGAAGCACACCGAATCACTCAAACTATTGACATACAAGGCGGACGGCACCGTGGAGATTCCACGAGAGCTCTCCCTGCCGACGCCGCCCGAATCACCAGAGATTCGTGCACATAGCTCGACCGAGCCGGGCCAGCTAGAGATAACCACTGGATTGCCATGGTCTTCTCGGTCGGCTGCAAGCGACATAGAGACCCAGGCTCTGCTGCAGGAGATTGGTCTTCGCCTTGGAAAAGTGGTCTTGGAATGGGCCGGTGACATGATGAAGCAGAGCCTGATGTCCACTGCTTCTGCCAAATCTCCGAGCGAATCCAAGTTCGGCGCAGCAGGTCTAGATCTCACCGGCCGGCTGGCGAATTCACTCACGACCTGAGCAAGTCTGGGTTTGATGTTGAAAGAGCAAGAGCTTTTGCAAAAACATCGATGCGGACAATTGCGGGCCGGCAGCAGCTGCCTCTGAGAGTTCCCGCCAGTATGCTCGACAACGTCAAGTGCAGCCGGGAACTTCCATGGGCAATCTCCTCTGGTTATTTCAGGCAACCAAGCACAAGTCAACAATCGCTAGCCACACCAGTGAGGATGAAACTACAGCTGATCGGGCCATGAACAGCGTCGGTCCCGTTTTCAAGACAACGAGAACAAAGGGTACTATGTATCTGTCAACTAATGCACGAGGGGATCTGCAAATATCAACTTGGCCGACATACGACCGGGGATAGGACGCTGAATAAACAGCTGCCGTCCGCGTGTGGTGGAACAGGTCGCACACCTGATAACACTGCACAAACCCATTGGCACAAACCCTTAGGACCCATTGGCGGCCAATATAACTTAAACCCTGAGCCGAATGGCTCCCGCCCGTGCAACCTGCAAGCGGGTGGGATCGGCCAAGTACAGCCCAGTCATTCTAAGGATCCGAGAGGACAGGGAAGTGTTCTAAAAATAGATGGACCTGGGCATCCTTCAGTTCGGACCGAGCCTACATCGCCGGCCCGCCCGGAGAAGGTAGATATGAAAACAGTGAAAGAGCGAGGTGAATAGCTGGGTGTTGATAGAACAGCAGCTGGGAGTTAGATCAAAATTTAGTCTATATACCAGCTTATATTCTAGAGTTCTCGCCGCGTTTGTCCCAAGTATTGACGGCCGTCTGTCGAGTGGATGGGATTGATAGGATCGAGTGGGATTGTTGGGTCTAGACGTAATATGTGCCGGGGTGACGACATGTCAGTGGTTCAAATGTAACCCTATACATGCACACTTCTCCATTCGGGTGTTTTGCCGACGGATCGTATGCTGCAATCTCTCAAGCGCACTCAAATCCTGGATGGCCAAAGCCAGATTATTGGGTACGCTGGGCCGTCGAATCCGCCGTTGGAGCTATCCGTTGATAGTCTACCGTAACAAGTCTGGCAGGAGAATTAAAGGAGGATGGCAGGCGATCCTCTTTGCACGATACCCGCCTGTTTCACAGCAGCTGTAGGGAAGCAGGAAGCAGAGTACCGAAAATAGGGTGGCAACCACTGGGCGACCGGCCTACTGCGAGACTACTGCATGCATACTTTAGCACATGGCCACTCTCAGTGCCAGTTCTCAGAGTGTTGAGGAGACGAGCAAAAGCACGCTCGCTCAGCTGAGAGGCAGCAGGGAAGCAGGGGTCGACAGCTCCATCGGCCCCCAAAATGGTGCTTACATGTCATGCCCCCCGTCTGCATTTCCCGCCTGCAGGCCCGTCACATAAGATGGACATGTCATGTTCACTGTCCCCCCCCTGGCGCGAAGATGACGATGTCTCGGCCTCGATCCTCTCGCGACGCCAGAACGACACAAACCCACACAGAGCAGCCGGCCACGCTGTGTGTGTCGGAGTGCCGCGATGCCGCCAGACGTGACCATGTCCTCACCAGTTCCCTCTGCACTTCCAGGATTTCAGCCTACCCGCAAAATGGAATCCTTCGCGTCCCCCTGGCCTACCCCACCAATGAGGCGCTGCTTGCGGGCCCAGCGTAGGCTCGAGGGATGCCATGGCCATGTGCCCCAGTCATCACAAAACTCTCGCCGGTCGGGCGACCTGCGCTTCGTCCTCTATGCCCCGGACTCCCCGTCGCGCCTGTCCTTCACGAGTAGCCGGACAGCTGACGACGATCAACGCCGCCATGGTGATGGTGATGCAGAGGGAGACGCAGACTGCCACCGACCCCGATCCCGACAAGGACAAGGACACCGACACCGACATCGCCTGACCATGGAGTCCAGGCCCAAGTCCATCATCGGGTCTGCGTGCTTGGCGCTCGAGTCTACGGTTGGCAAGACCGTCGCCGATGTGACAAACTTCATCCGCCACTGCCGCCCCGCGAGGGCGGACCTCACCCCTATCACGAGAGAGCTGTCCGAGCTGCAGATGGTCTTGGAGCTGCTCAACGACTTTGGGCAGTATGGCCAGTACGGAGAGAACCGCCAACAGGACGTCATCCCAGCCGAGCTGCAGGCTCACCTCCGGCCCATCCTCAGTAATTGTATCACAGTAGTGCTCCGCATCGACGGGGTGCTTCGACGCCATAGCCAGAGCGAGGCGGATGGATCAGTCAAGTGGACTGCACAGGGCAAGACGGAGATGGGCGAGCTGCGGCCCTCGCTGGAGGTACACCGAGGCGCATTGGGCCATATCTCTGATCTCATCTCCATATCAATCTCAAGGGCGTCCAGGAATAGCGACTCCACTAACACCCAAGATACCGAGCTGCAAGTCCAAGATGTGATCGAAGACCTCCAGGAGGTGAGGTCATCCATTCTCGTCAGCGACAGCAACGCCACTCTAGCGCGCCAGCATTTTGCGCTGCAGGTTCACCTCGGTCAGATTATCGCCTATGCAGAGACGCTTGACAAACCAGACGCATGGGACGAAGCGGTGAAAACCATTGATGCCACGCAGGAAGATGGGCAGACTGGGCCCTCAGAACCAGTATCCGAGCCGGTCTCTCCAATCACGTCAATAAGAGAAAGTCCACCACAGGATCGCGCCCTCAACGGTGTCGAGGGTGCACGCGGAAGACCCAAATCATATTCACCAGCAGTGTCCAGCACAACCATCGGCGCAGCGAGGTCAACCAATCACACAACCACTCTAAGCATCCCGAACAAGAAGACAGACATAGTGTCGCCACTGACAACAGGAGGACTGTCTATCAATACCTTTGGGGGCTCACGTCGAGAACCCGGATCGATCTCGCCAATAACATACGGAAGGCCGGCGGGAGAAGAGGAACCAACAAGCGCTTCGGACCTTGTGGGGATGCAGTCAGAACCGATCTCGCCAATGAGTTTTGGAAAGTCTGGGTCGGCAGAGGAAGCAGAAGAGGCACTCGCCCCCGTAGAGACACCACCAACCGATCCAGGAGTGTTCGACGCAAAAGGCGAGGTCCTTCCCGCTGCATTAATTGTGTCAGGGGAGGATGCGCAGAGTATAGGAGTCGCAGCAAGCAGGGTGAGCACGGCAGCCTCCAGCTACAGGGAGGAAGAGATCACAGAGGAGGCGTTGGCATTTGCCCAGGTCCCCGTTCATATCATGGGGCGGCTATCATTAAATCTGGTCGGGCACGTCTACACCAGCAACTCAGGCCGGAGCGGCTCTGACGGGACGAGCTTTAATAGGTCGATTTCGACATTTGAGACCGATGGCGAGATCGAGGAGGCCGAGGCGGAGGGATACGCAGCGTCAACGGGGACCAGCGATACGGGCAGCCTTCGTGACGGAAACCTGCAATTCTCCCAGATCGACGTGACACAGGTGACACCGCAGGCTGCACACGAGCCCCACCCGGGCGAGCAGCTATTACCACAGCAGGCGGCCGGGCACCAAGTACTGCAGGCAGCGCAGCCACCGCCGTCGCGCGAGATACGCGAACAGGCCTCCATGTCGACGATGAATACCATGAACACACAGACCTTCCTTCAAGGGAAGCCTTTGCCGAGGACGCCGCTCGTGTACGTGCCGCATTACCCAGGGCCGTTCATCAAGAAGAAGGTCGTGGTGGTTGGCAACTTCAGCTGTGGCAAGACGTGCCTGATAACGCGCATGGCCAAGGGCCACTATCCCAAGGGCAACAACGACCACAGCGGCGTCACAGAGACGGTCAAGGTCTCGGTCGACGAGGAGCCTGTCGAGCTGTCACTGTGGGATATTCGGGGCATCGATTACGACCCGTCGTGGCTGAACAATGCGCAGGTTGCTCTGATCTGCTTCAGCGTGAACATCGGGTCGACCGATGCAAAGGGAAAGCATCTCGGCAGGGTGAGTTCATACGTAACCCCAGGACGGCACGAAGACACAAAGACAATGCTAACCTGTGAAATTTCCCAGTGGGTGACAGAAGTCAACCGGAACTGCCCCGGCGCCGCCATCATCCTCATCGGGCTCAAGAGCGACATCCGCTGGCACGCCAAGACGATCGAGAAGCTGCGCAAGCACGGCAAGACGCTGGTGACTCCCGAGCAGGGCGAGCAGCTGCGCGACAGCATCGGCGCCATCAGCTACCTTGAATGCTCCGCCCGAACGGGCGAGGGCGTGCTGGAGGTGCTGGAGGAGGCGACGAGGGTCTCGCTGCTCGTCAACAACGAGGGTCTCAAGAAGGGCCACCGCAGGCCTCTATCCAGGATTGGCAAGTTCCTCGGCCTCGGCAGCCGCTCGAATTAATGGCCACGGTGAAAGATAGTTGATGGGTCGAGATGAAGGACGGTGGTAATAGTGTGCAGGAGGCGAGGAGCTTCCTCTTACTCTATTTAATATCTGGGCCTCTTGGAATGCTTCCAGGAGCTCGTGGTAGTGCTGTAAACGGCCAAAACGAGCCGTCACTGCGAACTTAGGGAACTTGACCATATTCTTGGCGTTTATCCTCACGGAGTCAGGTCCATACTGGGTTGTATGTAACATGGGAGGGTTGATGATGTGTGTCCATATATTGTTTGCTTTGCGGCAGCGTGTCTCAGTTTGATCATCATGGTCGGACTTTTGCTTCGGATCTCGGAGTTGCGATAAGCTGGCCTTTGTTTCAAAATCAACTGGCATTGGCAAGGATGCCCAAAGGGTATCATCCATCTACCGCGCAGTACCGTTTCAAGCATGTGAATGCCTGTCTCATTCAAACCTGTCGTCTAATTGTCCCAGAAGGTGCAGAGCCCATGAGATCTTCTACAGTGCCTCATACAAAGTAATCATCAAACGCAGAATTCTCCATCTTCGAAGACCAAGCTCAAATTTACCACCACATTCCGTAACATCTCAGCTGGCTCTTTGGGAGACCACTCTTACTCAGGAAGCAAGCACAGGCACCACCTGCAATTGAAATCTGAATGCAGGCTACTCGCCTCCGATAGCCAGCAGGCAAGTTTGTCAACATGTGAGGCTAGTGAATACGACAAGGACTATTCTTATTTCCTCCAATGCGGTATGATGTTCGAGTCAAACAAGAACGCGTCAATGATATATGCTATGGCAGGCCATTCCAAGTAGACCTTTCTTTTCTTGCAATACAGAGTCCCAGCCTTTTTTCGTAAATGCGGTCTGAAAGTATCATGACGAAAGGTGGAACTCAAGGGTTGCACTGTCTACATCCCGGTGCCTCTTTAGGCTTGTGAGATTGACCTTTTTGTCCCACAAGAGAACTTTATTCCTCTCAATATGATAATCATCATAAGAGACTGCTTTCGCCAGCAGAAGTGGGGAAAGGGAGGGAGGCAGGACTGCGAGTATCGAAATGTCTGGACGTGTCTTGGGTCGGTTTGAATACTTCCTGCCAATCATGCCATATCTAGGGCTTAGTGTTTGGAAGCCCTGAGACTACTTGAGTCTGAAGACAAATCAAAATCATTACGTTCTGTAGAAAAAGATTTATAAAAATCAGTAGACACAGCGAAATTGCTTCCTGGATCATTCGGTAAACCGCCATGCTCTCAAGCCCCTCTTTCGAGTATGTGCAATGCGCTGTGCTTATGTGAAAATGCTGAGCTAGCCTCAAGTTAGCAAGGTGTACTGAGGTTATCTATTTATCTGTAAAGTTAGACAGACGCTGTGGTCTACGACAGGCTTTGTCGCTTGCAGTTCGTGTGTAATCTCATTTCACTCAATGGACAGTTGAGAGGATATCACGACAGAATCTCAGCCCTGCCATTCTGTAATGGTCTACGTGCAAAGGATCTCATCTTGACCCTGTCCTTGCTTTCACACAGTGGTTTTAAGAGTTCTCAAAGATTCAGCTCACATCATTCTTCAAGTGATTATCATTGGAAGGCAGCAGGTCCCGACAATTCCTACCCTCCATAAGCTCTGATAGAACCAAGGATGTCTGGCATCCAGCCAACGTCATATGGCATTGATGACTGGCCTCCAGGCGAGGTATGGAAAAGAAACGACGCGCGGTCGCCTCTGGGTCCTGGAAGCAGGCGAGGACAAGAGGAACCATCTCCAGCTTACCACAGATGTTATACTTGTGTGGGGTATGCGACTTTCTTTAAAGCGTACACGCTCCGCTTGCGAGAAATCGCGTTTTCGTGATAACAGTCTTACGTACTGATTGAATTGACTCAGGATAAATGTCTACTGCAATGTGGCGGTTCTTGTTGGAGAAGATATCGATACAAGCTTGAATGGACCAAGTAACCCGCGCAACATCCATCATCACATTCTGTTGTCTGCCCCCTGGGTTCAGCTTCGGTGAAAGACCCGTAATATGAAGGCCACTACTGGACGTATGAGGAGCCTAGAGTTGTTGTTAAGAGGCCAAGGTACGTTCCTGTGGTTAGGAAGAAAAGTTCTTGTACGCCATGATAGATCAACTGCCATTATGTCCACAAACGTGCAGCTTTCAGTCGATAAAGACCCCAATGCCTTTCCCTGCGACTCGATTATCATTGGCTAGTCTGTTTCTCAAGCCTCGCTTGGATCGAACCTGTGAGTGGAAGAGCATCTCAAACTTAGACCTCATCCTTACATTACTCCGAGTTTCTTGCAGATCCGTACATTTCCTAATCAAGTCACATTAAGCATTTGCCTACTCCTAAAAGTCGAGAGGCCACGATGTGGAAGCAAGGAAAGCTTTAAGATCCTCCCGAGCTGTGTATAGCGCTCCGCTGATCCGGAAGAGAGAACCTAAGCAGCCCAAGCATGATTAGTCCGTACTGCACAACACGCCAAGACAGAGACGCTACCCCAGAATTTGATCTAGAGGTCCCGGCATCGAGATTGCGGGGTCTGGGGAAAGGATCTGATCCCGAGTCGTCATTACTGTGCACTATGCATGCACGTATGTGTGGACGGTGTAGAGGAGAGCAGGCTTGGGACTAACGGCCCGAAGTGATGGTTGAGTACATATGTAGATAGTTTCCGATCTTGACTAAAATCGGCAGTTTTCCCCGTCCCAGCGGGTCCCCACTTTACGCGCCAGTTTCGTCCTCCTCGCCCATATCGGCCAGATTTCAGGTTTGGCCCGAGCTTTTCCCGTCAACCTTTTCGGCATATTATTCCGTGGGCCCCATCACTGGTCAGCCTGCTCCCCATGCGCAGGACATGTGTCGGACAGTGTTTCTGTGACTATGTCACAGTCTCAGCCACAGCCACAGGCACGGGCAAGCCCGTTGATTCCGCGGCCAGTTCCAGCACGACCAAGAACCAAGAGCTTCTCATTACCGAACGCACTGACACGTATCAGCTCACCGGCGGCCAAAGGAAGTTGGATCTTGGATCGTGGAGACCAGTCTGAGGGCAATGGGTACGTTCAAACCATAAGCCAGACTCGTGCTCATTGGAGCCCATGGCGAACGACCAGCTGATGGACTGGCACAGCGACACCGCGACGCCGAGCGACTCCAACCGTTTCTTGGTGGCCGGCATCGACATCTTAGCGAACCCACATCTTGATCTGCCAGTTGTGCACGAGTCTCCGCTGAAGAACCGCAGAGAGGCTGTCTTTTTCATGCGCTATGTGCACACGCTGTCATGTTGGGCACGTCACAGCTCGCCTACTAGCTGAGGGCCGCTGCTAACGGCGACACAGATCGACACGTGCGACAAGAGAGCCCACTTCGGGACAGAGGTGCCCAAACGGGCACTGCGGTATCCGCTCCTAGCCTATGGCATCCTGGCGTTCGCGTGCCAGCATTCAGAGATCACCACAGGCACGCAGGACACCGAGTCTGCATCGTATTACAACCAGGCACTCCGGCTACTCATCCCCGAGCTGGATCGGTCCGCCGACCACTTTGACGAGAATGTCCTCGCCGGTATCGTACTTTTACGTCTCTATGAAGAGAGATCGGGCCGGCCGAGCGGCAAAGACATCACTGAGGGCCTAGTAGCTGAGGAACTGGACATGGGTACGCATCTGCTCGGGAGCTCTCGCGTGCTCAAGAACTTTACCCCGACGGAATCGGGCGGCCTGGCGGAAGCATGCTTCTGGATTGTTTTGAGACAAGACATGTTCATTTCCCTCACCAGATCCCAACCTCCAAGTGCGCCATTAGAGAACATCATGGGTTCAAGCGCCTTCAGTGAATGGGACCCCGAATCCATCGCCAACAGGATGGTGTTTCTCTGCAGCAAAATACTTTCCTTCGCCCTTGACCCCAACAAGAACACCCAGACCGCGTGGTGGGATCAGCTCAATTCAGAGGTCGACGCGTGGAACAAGTCTAAACCGTGGCATTTCCAGGCTCTGTGGCTCGAGGAGCCATCACAGAGCCAGAACGCCACCACTGCGTTCCCAAGGGTGCGGCTGGTGCGACATGGCTATGTCGCGGGATACCAGCATTATCACATGGCCAAGATGCTTCTCGCCATCTTCGACCCTCGGCTGTGCTCAAATGGGTTTGAGACCTTCCGCCGGAGGCAGAGGGCCGATAGGCTAGCACTCGCTCACCTGCGCACCCTCATAGGAATCTCAATAAGTAATCCGGAGGTCATCAATTCCAGGTTTACAGCGACTCATTGTATCCAGGCTTGTGGGTCTTGCTTGAGGGATCCGCGTGAGCGGGAGGAGGTAGTCGTATTTCTGGAGGAGATGGAACAGGTTTCCGGTTGGCGGTGTCAATACGTGATCAAGAAGCTGAGGGAGGAGTGGTCACAAGACTATATTAATCATTGACTCGAGCATTAATTATACCCACTAGCCATGCATGAGGTAGCAAGTGAGAGGCATAGCATCTGATAGAAAGAAGAGAAGCGGCTAGCCGACACAAGTGACTTATCGTACAGACCCATAGTCGCCAAGTAAGCGAGCGAGAAGTCAGCCGCCGCCCCCACTCCATGCCTGGCATTCGGCATATCCACCAGCGGCTCTCTAGTCTATTTTGACAGCCGCAGCAACCTGTCCGGGGTTCCCATGGGGTAAACGGGCAAAGTTGCCGTCATGAACTCCGCATGCGGTTGCTTGACGCCAGACATGCCCAGTCCGCTGAGAGCGGCAATTCTCCCCGGGGGCCCTCCTTCTCCGCACTTTTGGAAACTTCTCACGACGCACATCTGCCTTCTAGCGTATAGGCAGTACGTCCTGTTCAAGGAACTGGAGGCAGGGAGGTGTGCATGACATTTTTCCCAAGCGCAGTGATATTAGCTGAAATTCGCCGATATTGTACTGCTTTAGTGTAGACTTTGATAATGTTCACGCCTCCCAGTCGTATCCCATGGGTGACTGCCAACCTTAGCATGGCGTCTGAGAAGGGACGACCTTGAACATAAAAGATCGTCTAAAAGTTGGACTCCATGAAGCACTTCTTTATCACTGTAGTAGAGATTGATGCCAAATTATTTCCGTTTCACACTCAACTCTCAGCGAAATGGCCGATCCAGTGCTCCAGTTTAATGCAAGCTCCTTCGCAAATACATTCTTTCAAAGAGATGCTCTACCTGTCGAGGTGGCTGAAGTACTGAAGCAACTCGCCCCGTCATCGTTCGCAGATACAGCCGCCCTTGCGACAGTCGGTCTGGTATCATCAGCATATCTGCTCCGCCGGTACACATGGGACAAGCCAGACCCATATGGACACATCTTCTATGAGCGGCCTCAGGCCCAGGAGGGATTCTTGAGCAAGACTAAAACGACCAGAAATATTGCGGAAAGATTAGAGGAGCTTGTAAGTCGAAAACACAGAGCGGACAGTGTGTGTTCGATCACTAAATGGGTACCTCACAGAATAAAGATGCAGTCGTCTTTTGGGGTTCCCAATCCGGCACGGCCGAGGGCTTCGCCAACCGCCTCGCAAGAGAATTGCATCAGAGACTTGGTCTAGACGCCCTATCAGCAGACTTGTCAGACTTCGACTCAAAAACAATCGCGCTCATCCCGCAGAGCAAGATTGCCATCTTTATTCTCTCCACGTACGGTGAGGGAGATCCGAGTGACAATGCCGGGCCCTTCTGGGACTGGCTTAACAAGCTCGCGGATAGCAGCGCCTTGTCTTCTCTTCGCTATGCTGCCTTTGGACTGGGAAACACCCAGTACAGATATTACAACCGGGTTGTGGACGTGGTCGACGAGGGTCTTCAGAAGGCCGGCGCCGAGAGATTACTTGATGTTGGCAGGGCCGATGATGCCGCCGGTGCGACCGAGGAGGACTTTCTGGCTTGGAAGGACGACCTCTTCACCTTTTTCGTGAAGAAGCTTGGCATGCAGCAGCATGAAGTCAAGTACGAGCCTCAGCTGTCTGTTGTACAAGATGACTCCCTCGACTTGTCTGATTTGCACCTGGGTGAGCCGCTCCGTTCGACAGACAAGGGCAGCAGTGAGGTCCGGCCGTTGAAGATCCGAAGCTCTCGAGAACTGTTCAGCAACACCTCGCGAAATTGTCTACATCTCGACCTTGATCTTACAGAGCACCCTCAGATTACCTACAAGACAGGTGATCATCTTGCAGTCTGGGCTATGAACCCGGACGAGGAGGTTGAGCGCCTTCTCACGGTGCTGGGCCTCACGGAACGCCGCAGCGCTCCCCTCTTGGTACAGGCACTCGACAAATCAGTCAAGGTGCCAGTACCCTCACCCACATCCATCGAGTCCGTCCTACGGCATTATCTTGAAATTTGTGCCCCGATCTCACGAGATGCCGTCAAGGCGCTCGCCCAATTCGCGCCGACAGAAGTAGCCAAGACCTTCCTCATCGCCCTCAGCGAAGACCGGACCAGCTTCGCCCAGTTCATCGCCGACAAGCACCTCAACCTCGGCCGGCTCCTCGAGATGTCGGCCCAGCAGGAGCCAGGGCCCCCTAGTTCCTGGACATCCCTGCCGCTCTCGTTCCTGATCGAGACACTCCCCAAGATGCAGCCGCGGTACTACTCCATCTCTTCGTCGAGCGTGATCTCGCCCCGCGCCCCGAGCATCACCGCACTCGTCTCATCCACACCTGTAGCTACCTCCAAGTCCCAAGGCACATCAGCAGCAGCAGCCTCCATCCCAGGCCTAGCAACAAATTATCTCCTCGGCCTCTCACACTCCCTTGCCGCAACAACAACTACAGCCCCTGCCCCAGCCCACCCAGCAGGCCTGAGCTACGCCCTTTCCGGGCCAGACAACGCCCTCGCGGGCGGCAAGCTATACGCCCACATGCGGCGGTCCAAGTTCAAGCTGCCGGCGCAGCCGTCGCACCCGCTGGTGATGGTGGCGGCGGGGACTGGAGTGGCGCCGTTCCGGGCGTTCGTGGCGGAGCGGGCGCGCATGCGGCAGATCGGCAAGGAGGTCGGCGAGATGGTTCTGTTCTTCGGGTGCCGGCGTGCCAGCGAGGACTACATCTACCGTGAGGAGCTGGAGGGCTTCGAGCGCGAGCTCGGCGGGCAGCTGCGGATCGTCACTGCGTTCTCGCGCGAGGAGGGCTCGCCAAAGATGTATGTGCAGGACCGGGTGCGGGAGCTGGGCGCGGATGTCGTGAGGCTTGTGCTGGAGGGGGGCGCGTCGGTGTATATGTGTGGCCGGGCGAGCATGGCGAGGGAGGTTGGTGGAGTGTTGGGTGAGCTGGTCGGGGAGGAGAAGGGATGGGGCCGAGAGCAGGTCAAGGAGTGGACTGAGAGGATGAAGAGGAACAGGACGTGGCAGGAAGATGTTTGGGGTTGAGGATGTCTCAATCTGTGGTTTCATTTCCTATCGGTAGAAGCGATCATCGAATTATATAGACAAACGCTTTCCAATGACAAGCTTGGCGAGGTTGTACAGATCTTGAAAATACATGGCCTGGAAGCTGCACTCGGATAGAACCTCACAAATAATCTCCAATGGCACTGGGTCCCATAACTCCGCACATGCGCAACGAAAATGCTAGACTCCAAGCGTCATGAAACTCAATTGGCCACACCAAAGTCCGCGTTTAAATCTAGAGAAGAGGCAGCTGCCTTTTACCGTCATGCCAACTCCTCAAGATTGTCCGAGAGCTTCTCGTCTACAAAAAAGTCAGCATGAAATCTCTTGCTCGCCTGTTTTGAACTTACGCTGGCAGCGTCGACCAATTCAAACCCTTCTCCGTTCTGACCAAAACATCCATTAAAGCCTGCTGCTCATCAGGGTCGTCGAAGCGGTCCCCGGCCAGCGCGATGGCCATGCTCGCAGCCAGGTGAGCATTGTTGACATCGCTGATGGCGTCGGCAATCCCGCACACGATCCTGACATCCTCCCGGAGCGTGTCATCCATCGATCGCACCGCGGCCTTCTGCTCGAGCCCGAGCCTTGGTATACCGGGGTCGTAAGCGATGAGGAGGATCCGTACGAGGTGGTAGTACTGCAGACCGAGGACGACGTTCTCGTTAAGGAGGAAGATCTCGGGGAACGGCCTATCGTCCTCCTTGCAGACGAATACCGGACTGAACGTTTCAGGCCTATTCTTCATCCACTCCTCCGCGTACTCAACCAGCGTGGTGTGCTCGGCCAGGCTCTTGTCCTCTCCGAAACAGTAGCAGATCACGTCCACGAGTAGTAGGGTAATTCTGGCAGCCCATTTTCGATCATCGCCGGGGCTCGTGGCGGTCGGGTCGATATTGAGGCACTCTCTGTACAGGACAGGCGGTTTCTGGTGCATGATGGCCATGTAGATGCTCTGCCGAACACTAGCCCAGAGGACTGGCTGTCCCACAAAGTCTACCAATTCCAGCACCAATTTGGATTGGATTAGTCGCATGTCTAGCGAGTCTGACTCAGCAATGGGTTTCTCCCTCGGTGTCTGGACGACCATATGATGCTGCAGAAGGACAGCGGCGGCCAGGAGACCTGTGCTCTCATCCACCATGCCAACCACGCAGCCGCTCAGTATGGGCGCCAATTCTTGGAAAGCATCGCGAAGGTAGGTCTCCTCTTCGGGTGATGGGGATCCACCACGGTTGATCCGGGTACTCTTTGCTGTGACGGCAAGAATGGCCTTGGACAATAGTGGGCATATGGAGGACTTGTTGGGCAGGACGGAGGCAAAGGTCTTTTCGTGGTCGCCAGTGTCGAATTGAGGTGCTATTTGTACGCTGAATTGGTAGATGAGCTCTGCCTCGTGAGCATTTTTCAGGGGCAGGAGGGAGGCATCGACCTTTGGATACAATGGATGCGGGTTATTGGAGTGGGCGGTCTCGGGTGATGGGAAGGATGAGGGTGTGGGAAAGACGTTCAAGGCCGGCGTCCGAGGCCCTGGGTAGTCTGGCAGGCTCTGTCTCGGGCCAACTTCTTGCTCATAGTAAGCCCGGCTCGTTGAAGAAGCAATGGCACTACCGGTGTCATTGAAAAATGCAGACCTCAACGGCGCCGGCCTGGCAGTAGGGGTAGGACTGAGTGCTGTCGAGGCGTCAGGGGAGGGAAGGTCCTGGAATAGCGTGCCACCCTGGAAGCCATCGTCATCGTCGTCACTAACGTCTCCCTCGTAGAACGAGGCCACCTCCTCCGTCTCGTCGACGAATCTGATCCTTTTGTTGGTGGTCTTGCACCATGTCTGATCCGAGTCGAAGTTGTACTGGCTCTGGTCCAGTCTGTATCACAGCATAGCACATGGCCACCCAATCAGCACACTGGGTTTGAGACCCTGCTAAGGTTGCCATGAATGGGACAATTTGGGCGGATGAGGCTGCTTACCCCGGATTATAGGTGTGACGGAATCGGACCCTGATTCCTCGCACGCAGGGCTGGCCTCTCTTGACACATTGTGAGCACTGCTCCTTGGTGTCGCCTGTGGCGCCGTTGGCCTGTTAGTAAATCTGGCGCTGTGATTGGGGTGAGACAAGAGATGGTACCCACATTTCAGATGTCTACAGAGGTAAGATGCATCGTCACATTAGCAAGAGGGTGAGAGAATTGGTCGTACAATCTCGATGTGCTTTGCTTGTGTGTGCGAGCGTGCGCACATCCGGGCTGACGGGCCCGACACCTCATCAAAAGACTCGGACGTATCGCAGTCCCACAGTTACAGCCGAGACACACGGGCGGTAGTAGGCTTACCTTGATCGACAGCCCTGAGGAAGTACAGTACCTGGGTCAATCTTACGCTCACGGGGATTTCTTTCTCGATTGGGAGGCACTCACATCGCACCCTGGCCTCCTCTTCTTTGTCTCCGACTGAGGCCGAGGCGGAGGCATCTTGCGGCAGACGCGCAGCCGAATCCCAACCTCGTAGAGGACACAGGGGAAGTTACGCGCACCGTGGCCGAAATCAGAAACATGGGGTAAGGGAAAAGTCAAAGGGGCAGGGTGGGTGGACGGTGGCCTCGGTGGTTTATAGCTGTGTTGGGCAGAGGGGGAAAGAATCCCGCGCGGCTGGACAGCTCTGAATTGCCGGGCCGCTTGTCAAGTCACAGGTCTTGGGCCGCGTTTTGGGGGTCTGAAGAGCGTGTGGAGAAGGGACCGATTTTTCTCCTTGCTCGCTGTTCATTTCCCTGTTGAGGATCGGATTGACATGTGTGTGGGGGTGGGGGACCGCCCCCTGCTACGCCTTTTCGACGTGCTCTTTTCTGGGGTAATCTATCTACAATGGTCTATGGACGATAGATTACCTACTCCATGCCCTGCCCTGACATCACATGCTGGCATTGACGTCGCATTACTGCACGTAGTCTGCTGCCAGTTCGATCCGGTCCTCCACCAATGTGAGTGGATACGCGGAAGCTTGCACGCCCGCCAAGGCTGATCCAGTCTGGACTAGCCAGCATCATCGTGAAGGGGTCGCCGCGCACCTTGAGAGGGGAACGCTTTCCTGTGTCAAGCACTTGCGTCAGTAGCCTACATGTGGATGGACAAATAGCAGTGGTCTAGGCCTGATCAGGCTTCGTTCGCCGATGGGACTCCCATATGGTAATTCCTGATTTATACCCAAGGCTCCAAAGAAGGGCACTATTCCCCCAGATTATACCTCAAGCGCCCAAGAAGGACACTATCTCCATGAAACCGCTGCGAGCCTCGTGTCCATCCGTATCCGCCAGGGTGACTGCCTACCCACCCAGCCAGCATCAACCGCTTATATCGCCAGCTCGGGCCGTGGGCCTCATGGAGGGTAGGCAGAGTTGGCGAATATTTAGGCGGTGCCCTTGCTGCTTAGTAGTACCGTCCTAGATGTCCCTGACAGTATTCATTTTTAGTTCCTCGTAAACTATCTATCATACTATCGTCAGGAGTCCCATCACTCTCAAGTACTTTGCTCAGATTGGACTTCTTTAGTTGTAAACCTCACATCTCATTAATCACATCACTAGTCGACCTCATTTTACCAGAAAGTTTGGCCGTTCTCTTGTGCCGCCATGGGCACTCCGCTGGTAACATGGGCATCAGCCCCTTATGCCGCAGCATTGCTTCTATTCCTCATCTCCTACTTCATCATATACCCCTTCGTAGAATACATCCGAGATCCTAAAGGTGAGGAACCTCGCCGTCAAAAGGAAATATAGCATACCAAGCTAACAAATCTGTCAAGGTCTGCGAAGATTCCCCAACTTCAGCCCCCTCTCTGGCATGTCCAACGTTCCCTTCATGATACTGGCCCACTCGGGCGACCGGTCAAGGACCCTGGCCAAGCTGCACAAGGACCGGCCCATCTTGCGCACCGGGCCCAACACACTCTCCTTCGGCACGGTGCGTGCCATTAAGGACATTTACGGCCACGGCACACCCTGCACCAAGGACTACTCGTACGAGCTCTTGGCGGGGACGCACAAACACCTGGCCGATGTTATAGACAAGCCCGACCACGCGCGCAAGCGCAAGGTGCTATCGTCGGCGTACGCGCTCAAGAACCTCGAGAGCTGGGAGTTCAAGGTCGCCGACAAGGTGCAGCGCATGCTCGGGCAGTTCGACCAGCGGTGCGCCCCGGCGCCGCCCAAGGAGGGCGTGCCTCCAGCGCCGGAGGAGCTCAACATCGACTACCGCATGTGGACCAACTTCTTCGCGCTCGACGCCATCGCCGACATCGGGCTGAGCGAGCGCCTCGGGTTCCTGGACCAGGGCACCGACCGCGTCGTCGCGCAGCGCAAGGACGGCTCCACGTACGAGACCGACCTGCGCCAGTGCCTCTACCCCACCGCGCGCAAGCAGTCGCTGCTCGTCTGGACGTACGACTGGTACAGGCTCGTGGACAGGCTGGCTGACGTGGTGCCCTTCTACCGGCGCATGACCGAGTCGTCGCGCGGGTGGGACGACATCATCCTGGCGCGCGGCAACCGGCGGCTGGAGCGGTACCGCGCGGGCGAGAAGCTGGACGACTTCTTCCAGGCGCTGATGGAGGACAAGGCCGGGTCGCCGAACCTGCTGGAGTGGGGCGAGATCCTGGCCGAGGTCAACATCATGATGAACGCCGGCAGCGTCACCACCGCTATCGCCATCGCTAACGCCACCTACCAGCTGCTCAAGCACCCGGAGTGCCTGCGCCGCCTGCGTGAGGAGCTCGACGCCGTCCTCGACCCGGACGAGGTCGTCGCCCCCTACGACAAGGTCAAGCACCTCCCCTACCTGCGCGCCTGCCTGGACGAGTCCCTACGCCTCTTCCCGCCTACACCCCACGGACTGCCTCGAGCCACCCCGCCCGAGGGCTCCATGATCATGGGTGAGTGGATCGCCGGCAACACTACCGTCAGCATCTCCGCCATGGTCGCCCACCGCGACGAGAGTGTCTTCTATGAGCCTGAGAAGTACATCCCCGAACGGTGGTTGGGAGAGAAGGGCAAGGAGTTACAGCCTTCCTTCATAACCTTTTCCGCGGGAGCTAGAGGTTGTATAGGGCGCAACATCTCGTATCTGGAGCAGGCAGTCTGTGTCGCGAGTGTTCTGCACAGATATGACATGGCACTGGCGCCTGGATTCGAGATGAAGAGGCTGGAGACGATGAACCATATCCTAGGGCCTATGCCTGTGAAGATGTGGAGGAGGCAACTGGATGTCGAGCACGAGTGACGGACTAGCATTAGGCGCTTAAGGAGTTGGATTTGTCAGAATGGGTTGAATTATCATGATTTTGATAGAATTGAGTCATTACCTAAACATGTCCTTGCCCAGTGCCGTGAGAAGAATCATCAGACGGGTGCCAATATAACACCAAGGCTTTGCAATGCTCTCTAGTCCCAGTACCGAATAACTCCATCTGCCCCAGCTGATACCAGCTTGGAGGTCTCCTGCGGATGCCACTTGACGCACGTAACGGGGTCCTTCGTCTCGATCTTGTGATACATCTTGCATGTCTTCCAGTCCCAGAAGACAAGGTATCCCGCGGTGTCGCCACTGGCAATGAACTGCCCGTCGGGGCTGATATCAATGTCAATAGCCGTTCCGGCATTGTTGTGTCCGCGGTAACTCTTCTTTCGGTTCTGGCGGAACTTGTCGTTGGCATTGTATACCACAATCTGGTTGTCAGAAGATTGGTACGCAACGTATTTGCCGGAAGGATGCAAGGCGGATCGTGTCATCGGGTACATATAAGTCTCAGCGATGTACTTGATGGGGACGGGTATGTTGTAGTCCCATGCACGCAGTGACTTGTCATCCGACGTGGTCATGAATCGTTCGCCGTCCTGTGTGAAGGTGATGGTGTTGATGGCCGCGAGATGGTGATCATACTCCTGAACGGTCTCGTTGCCAGCGCGAGTGTCGAATTGCACAATCTTCTTGTCAGACATGCCAGCCAAGAACTCGTGACCATGTTCAGCCGTTGGGTTGAAGACCAAGCAGTGTGGTGTTTTGCCGGTGCTAAACTTGCTGATGCACTTTCCGGTCTCGGTGTCCCAGAGCTTCATCTGCCTGTCATACGACCCGGACAGGAACCTCGTGCCATCGTTGTTGAAAGAGAGATCTGATATCGCCTTGGAGTGCCCAGAGTACGTCCGCAGGAGCTCTTTTTGGTGGTAGACGTCCCAAATCTTGATGGTCGTGTCCGCAGAGCCCGATAGTAACAAGTGACCACTGTGAGGGAAGAAGCGTAGCGAAGTGACAGCCTTGGTGTGATTCTTCCATGTGTGCACCATCTTCTTGGGTATATAGTTGGTGACGCTGCCTGGTTCCTTTCGCAGATCGATGTCCAAGTCCTGTGGGACATGCATGTATGTCCGGCCCTGGTAGTCGTATTCGCTTTCGCCGTGGAATGTCGTGGTCTCGTCGCCCGCCTCCTCGACTGCTTTTCGCCTTGCCAACGCTTCACTTGGTGCAGTGACCACGGCGCCGCTCTCGATCACGTCGTCTGCGTCTTCATCCTCGTAGACGATCTCGTATTCCTCGTCGCTGCCCAGTTGCGCCTCTTCGTCAACCTCTTCGTACTCAGTCCTCCTGTACTTTGCCCATGGTCCCTTGTACTCGCCATCGCCCTCTGCGATCAGCGCGCTGCCTCTGTCCTCTCTCTTAGCCCGAATGGCGGCAGCCTCTTCCTTGATCTGCCTGCCGCTCTTGTCCTCCCTCTCTGGACCTTCGCCACGTTCTACCGCGCGGTGTTTGGCTCGAAAGGCGTGTTCGCTTAAGTATGTCTCGGTGGCGTATCCGGTGAGAACGTTCTTGCGCTTGAGAGATGTGTGGGAGACCTCGTCACGAAATGGATTGGCAGGCCCGACCTTTGGTCGTGCGAGGTCTTCACCAGTGTAGGGAACAACTGCGTGGTCCGGCCCGGCCTCCTGTCGGACGATGAGGGCGTCCTGAGGCGCCATATTCGGCGGGTAGGCGCCAAAATCGGCCATTGTGGGCGTGGTGGACTTAAAAGGAAAACGGCTCTGTAAGGTGTGACGAAAAAGAGGAGGAATCGAATATTTCAGATTGGGTGATGGACCATCAGGGTCCATGTCCTCTAATTATTGGAGGCGCCAGCTGCGGCAGGCAGGGGCTGTGCTGGAAGGCAAAGCATATTGAAAGCTAAGCAAAACCGAACCCCCCAAAAAGGCAGCTCGCAGGCCCATAATCACATACACTGTTAGAACAACAACGTCACATGTTAAAGAAGGAAAATACGAAAACATCGCTAGGAGTCCCCTGTGCCTTACGTCCTCACACAGTTTTATCCTATAGGATATCATCCTACAGCTAGTTATTCTACAAGAGGAGGAAGTTATCCACAGGAGGTTAACCAACAGGAGGTCAACCCACAGAAGATTACCTTATAAAAGGTTACCCCATAACAGATTATCCTATACGGTGTAGTCATCTAATCTTCCCCCTCCTCCTTGTTCTTTCCTGGATTCACTTATTCATCCCAGACATAGTGTGGCCGCGAAACGGACACCCGAGCTAAAGCCCGTAGATTTGCATAGCTGGAGTCCACGCCCGACAACATAGAGAGGGACCAGGAAATGCATATAGAGGCATGATGGCTTCTATGACAACTTGTCAATCATCTCAGAGGATCGATTTCAAAGAGAGGCACACTGTCACGCTCACGCCAATGTTTTGAATCAATACGAACTAATGTGCTGATATCCGCGCCTCTGCTTTGGGACACCGAGGAGTCAAAAATCAAAGACAGGTTTATCTCATGTTCCGCTCAACAGACTGACGAACAGTCCAGCTTAAATTGAAACCCAAGTCCCCAACAAATGCTTCTGAATAAGGAGATAGCACAGCCAGTATGAATATCAGGAACAATTGCAGAGGTGTTTTGTCTCGTGATAATCATCCATAACTGCATTTGCTTCCGTGACCCTTTGACTCCTTTCCGCCACGCCGTTCATTGTACGCCCGTACACGAATGATCATCGCGACATTGTGAGACATTGTATCGTATCCTATCATGCTTCAAGCAAATCGGCCAGCTAACAGCGGCTCCGTCAGCTGTGAGCGCTGCGCTGCCACCTCCTCCACTCCAAATTCCGTAACCCTCCCACCTAACCATAGCTGCTTCGTCACCACTACTCCCCTTGTCTGGTTGTCCGCTTCTCCATTCGCACCGGAAGTCCAGCCACCGTGAAGTCGCCTGGTAGCGGTTGTGTGGCGTGTCCTCTCTCTCTCTCTCTCCGGGATGGTTTTGTAGCCCCACCCTCTTCGTCAGGCCTTGTCCAAGAGCCTGGGAGAGGCCGGCTTGTAGAGCACGGCCGCGCATGAGAGATTTCTCGCTCAGGAGCTCGCCTCCTAGTTGGCCTCGTCCTTAATGAGGGCCACGATCATCTTGTAGAGGTAGAAGAAGAACATCAGCAGGTGGAAGCCGAGCTTGATGAAGGACTCCTTCTTATGAACGTTCAGCTTCCTGAAGATCTCGGTTGCGTCCAGCAGGTGCGTGTTCTCAACAATTCTGCAGTAGGTTCAGTCAGCCATCTCGCCCTCGCTTAGTCCATCCCCAAGGAGTCGGGCGCATGAGCTGCCCCAGGTGGCTATCAACGTACTTCTTGACATTCCAAGCCAGCAGAGGAAGGTTGAGGATCAGAGGAATCCAGTATCCGTTAATGAGGAACAGAAACGTCAAGAATCCATGTACGGCAGCTTCAGGGATAATGTAGGTGTTGAGGCGGTTGCAAAGGTCAATGGGGTTGATGTAGTCACTGCAAGCGCATCGCGTTAGCATCTGCACGGCACGCAAGGGCATCGATGGCCGCTTGCTAAGAAGAGGGGTTGCAAAGGGTAGAGCTCGTACCATTCGAGATCGCTGTACATGATGGTGAAGAAGACCTGCAGGAACAAGTTGACGGCGTTTATGAGCACCGAAAACAGGAAGAGCCACGCCTCGCCAGACATCTTGATGGTTGGTTTGGAGCTATATGCTAATTGGCTGGTGTAGTTGCGACCCGAGTCTTTGAATTGCGACTGCTTGGAGCTTGGGCTCGAAGCGACGCGATGCGATGATTTGTATGTATGGGTACGGGAGTACGGATCTGGAGATCCCAGCGGTGGCAGGTAGGTGGAGAACCGGCCGAGGGCGAGCTTATCAAGGACGGGCAGACAGAGCACGCGCGCAGGATTTTCTCCGGTGTCAACAACGGTGTTTTGCAGCCTCGATGGGAGGAGAATCGACACGACAGCTCAGTGTGGGAGGGGAGTATTGGTGGCGACGGAACAGAGGGGAAAATCTGTCCTCGAGGATTGGATTTTGCAGCAGTCCGAAGCGGCGGTGGCAGGTCGAGGAAGGGTAGGGCGAGGTGAGTCGAGGTCGGTAAGGCGCGCAGCGGCGGGATGATGTCGCTCGCTCTCCACACTAGACTACACTGGGACTGTCTACGCAAAAAAACGCTGCCTTTCCAAGGTTCAGAGCTTTTGCCCGCCGCCCCGTTGTTGGGGGGCGCACTCGGGCGAATCCTCTGCTCGACAGCCAATGGCAGAGCTCCAGAGGTGGGCAGCTCGGGGGCTGCTGGGGGACCAGCTGGGCAGCATGTGGCGCGAGCTTTGCTCCCCTCCTAAACAAGCAGACAAGCTACAAGGGTCGCTCTGCCCAGACTGCCAGATAAGGCGCGGACCCATTCACAAGAGCAGATCATTTATGCGGGCGATGGAGGGGAAGAACTATGGCACTCGGCACTCATATACTTTTCTTTCAAGATGGCACGCGTGGAAATATGAGTTAGAGTAGAAACACTGTACAGGCATACTCAAGCTTCACAAGGAACAATAGCTGATAAATTTCTAGCCTGGGCAACCACGCCATGTAGACCGGGCAGTTGTACAGACATAATGGGCCAGGGCTTATAGAATTCACCGTGGATTGCTCATATTGCTACAGCTACACGCTGTGCACATCAATCAACGCTCATGGCCTGCCTAGATCTTATGAACACCATCGTACCACCGTCGACAACTCAAATCGTCTACTCAAGCTCCGTTTGCCTCCTTTTCAGGCACGGGTATAGGGCCACCAGGGGAATCCGGGAGACGTGCTGTCAGGACCTCAACACCATCCTCAGTCACAAGCAAGGTGTGCTCTGGAAACACGGGTCAGCTCAATTTTCCCACGGACTTCTTCGAAGACCCCGAGGTTTAAAACAACTCACCGAACTGAGCCGTCTTCTTGCCGTCAATTGTCGTGCTGGTCCAGTTGTCGGGCCAGGTAATATCGCGATACTTGCCCAGGGCAATCATCGGCTCAATGGTAAACGTCTGTCCGGGCTTACACTCGCCAACTGCCTTGTTCTTGGCATAATGAGGGATATTTGGTGGGCAGTGGAAAATCGTGTTGATACCATGACCAACATATGTGCGGATGACGCTGGTGTTCTTCGTCTTGGCGTGCTTCTCGATCGCGTTGCCGAAGTCGCGGTACAGCGTCCCTGGCTTGACCAGCTTGATCGCCTCGTCCAGACACTCCCTGGCTGCCTCAACAACACGCACAGTGTCAGGGTCCGCCTTAGCTCGGTCGCCAACATAGTATGTCTCGTTCAGGTCACCGTGATAGCCTTCGTGGTAGAGCGTAACATCCAAGTTGACAATGTCGCCGTCCATGAGAATGCGCTGGTCGGGAATACCGTGGCAGATGACCTCGTTAATCGAAGTGCAGACAGACTTGGGGAAATGGTTGTAGTTCAAAGGCGATGGGTAGGACTAAAGCCACGGTCAATCTCTGCCCTCTGCGTCTCCTCGCAATACCTCTTCCCGTAGCCTCCCGGGCAGAACTCACGTTGCGCTTGATACATTCCTCGTGCACAATCTTGTCAATCGCATCGGTAGAAATGCCGGGTCGGATCGCAGCAGCAGCAATGTCGAGAACCTCTCTTGCTAGCCGGCAGACCTTGCGCATCGCATCCTGGCCCTTCTTGTCCAGGATCTCGACCTTGTTCCGGCTGACGAGGGACCGCCCTGCCTTGGGTATGCCATCGGCAGCGTAATCGGGGTGGGGGATCGTCTTTGGGATTTCCCGGCGCGGCGAGAGAGGGTAGACGGGTCGGAGAGGGCCGGTGAAGGAGAAATTCGGGAACGGGTTGTAGTAGCCAGTCTCTGGATCAGGTTTAGATACTACTTTGGGCGGAATGTTTAAGGCATTTTGGAGTATACTGTTTTCTTGCTTGTGCATTGACTTATGGGTGCCCTGGACAGAGATGCTGGTCAGCTACCAGTACCACACGCTGTCGCGCCGCCCAAGCCGCCCACCACGCGACTGGCGATGTTGCAAAGGTGGGGCAGGGAGGGCAATGCTTCTCAGCCTCAAGGTAGACTAACCCAGTTCTTCTTGAAACAGTCCTGGGAGCAGAAGAAGCTGTCCTTGATCCCCAGCTTTAGGCATGTCGGGCACTGGAGCGATCCAGCATCGTTCTCGCAGTCGACGCTGAGGCACTTGCGCTTAGAGGGAGGCTCGTCGGTCATGGTGGACGGGGAATCGGGTGCCAGTCGCAAAGATTGGTAATGGGTAGGAACAGCGTCGGATTCCGGGGATTAGAGGGCTCGTCTTTTATTGCTGCTGCAACGAGACAATCGAGAGCTGGAAAAGAAGCCAAATAGTCACAGAGGCTCCAGTCGCAAGAAATATGGGTTCAACCAAGTAGAGACACCTTTTTTTCCGTCGTGTCTACCCACAGTCAGGCAGTCGCTGGAGCCGTCTACTGAAAATGTAAGTGGGCGAGGATCTGAGCATGTTGGGGGCAGGGATTGGGCAGTGACTGCACCTCAGCCCACCAGCCCACCTAGGCGCGCCTTTGCATCAACCCGAGGGTCCTATTGCCTGCCAGCCTGTCCAGGGCCTGCCCACTGGGCCATCCCCCCCCCTGGAGCCCCCCTCTCATTCTTCGGGGGGAGGGGTATCTCAAACCGTTGTCAAGGGTTTGGGTACTGGCCCGGCAATAACCGTGCTTCGATCGCCGAGAACATTACGGCATCATCAAGAGAACGATGCTATCGGCCGGCCTTTTTGTGCATCGACTGGAGTTCATGTATGGGTTGGTGAACATTAGGTGGTCGACAACTGGTAGAAATATCATCAGCACATCTCTGCTTCCGCTTCCGGCCCCACAAAGACCTGTTGAAGTCGATTTGAAGATCTGCTGAGGTTATTCGCAGGGAAAAAGCTGCTTCTGTTGCTGCTGCTGCTGCTGCTTAGTCTTAGTCGTTCCGCGCCTTGAAGTTCCGCTCTTCCGACTTCCGAAAATCTCCTGATCATAAGAGCTTCATAGACTTTCACTGAGCAGTGTGCTGAGGCAACTATATGTAATCTATCATTACGCCTCTTCATTTTCTCTTTGTCAAGGTGGAAGCCATAGTGCATCATGTCGTCAACCAAGGTCGTTGTTGTCGGAGCCGGACCTGTCGGCTCACTAGCAGCCCTGTATGCAGCACAAAGAGGCTACGAGGTTGAGATCTACGAGCTCAGAAATGGTATGAAAGTCCCCAGGCAGATCAAGGCATACAATCTATTCCCATACATGGCCAACATCAGATTCCGAAGGCCGTGATATGCAGTCTTGGAAGCCTGAGGTAGAAGCCGCCGTTCGGCCGTACTGAGCTGCACTTACGAACGCCCTTGCTCCTGACTCACTGCTGACGGCGCGCAGATTTGAGAGATCCTTCAACGGTACCATTGAACTTCACCAAATCCATCAACCTGGCACTTTCAGTACGTGGCATAACTGCTATGCAAAATGCAGAGCCAAATACCCCTGAAGGAGAACGCAAACTCTTGGACCATGTCCTGGCCGCCACCATTCCGATGAGAGGCCGCATGATCCACGGCAGGAAAGCAAATGGAGAGTTGTACGAGGAGGCACAAGATTATGACGTCCACGGACGTGTGAGTACCATAAATTCATAAGTTTGCTATGACACGAAGCTGACAGTGCTGCCAGACAATTTTCGCTGTAGACCGCGGCGGCCTGAACAAGCGCCTCCTCGACGTGCTCGAGAGCATGCCAAACGTCAAATTCTTCTTCAACCACAAGCTCACAGGCGCAGACTTCCGCAAGCGCAAGGCCTGGTTCGAGCACAAAGACGGCTCCTCCGAGAGCCGGCCAAGGGAGACCGAGATCGAGTTCGACTTTATGATCGGCGCCGACGGCGCTCACTCCTCCGTCCGGTATCACATGATGAAGTTCACGCGCCTGGACTACGAGCAGCGGTACATCGATGCACAGTGGTGCGAGTTCCAGATCCAGCCCAGGGAGCACTTCGACGCCGCCAACCCGATGAGCCAGTTCCGCATCAGCCCGAACCACCTGCACATCTGGCCCGGAAAGGAGTTCATGTTCATCGCGATCCCGTCCGAGGACGGCACCTTCACGTGCACGCTATTTGCACCGGGGGACAAGTACGCGCACCTCGAGGCCAACCCGGCCAACGTTCCGGCCTTCTTCGACAAATACTTCCCCGGCGTGACCGACCTCATCTCCCCAGCAGAACTGGTCGACAGCTTCCAGCAGAACCCCCACCTGCCGCTTATCACCATCAAATGCAAACCGCACCACTTCTCGTCCTCCGTCGTACTGGTCGGTGATGCCGCACACGCCATGGTGCCATTCTACGGCCAGGGCATGAACGCTGGCTTGGAAGATGTGCAGACCCTCTTCTCATTCCTGGACAAGCACGCTGGCGGGGACCGGGCCGCGGCTCTGGATGAGTACACCGCCCACAGAGTACCCGACGCACACAGTATAAACGACCTCGCGCTGCAGAATTACGTTGAGATGCGTGCCAGCGTATTGAGCCCCACGTATAGGTTGAGGAAGTTCCTGGAGGAGAGTCTAAGCAAGTATCTGCCCAGTCTGGGCTGGCAGACCAAGTACAGCCGAGTGTCATTCAGCAACGAGAGGTACTCGGAGGTCATCGCAAGGAGTGACTACCAGGGCAAGATTTTGATGAGAGTCTTTGGTGCCACGGTCGGAATACCCTTGGTGGCTGGTGGTGCAATGCTGTGGTTCAGATATCGCAGGGTAATCGAGACTGGGGTGAAGGTGGCGATCGAGTGGGTGGTAAACACTGTCGGCCGATAATTCACAAATTGACGTTGGTCCCTGGCAGAGATAAATTGTAGAGAAGGCTTGTACAAATTAGATCATTTAAAAGCGTAATCTGCCAAACCAGAAGCCATCTCGTGATGTGAACAAATAGATGCTAGGCTTTATGTCAATGGCTCCGAGCAAAACAATTCGTCCTACACAATCAGTTCTACATACCATCAATATTCATTTACATCTTCTCGAACCCCGTCAAGACAGATTCGCTTCGGTAACACCATCGACCTGGCTTTCGCGAGTATCGCCAGAGCTCCGATCGCGTGCCCTCACGCGTCGTCTCCTGAAGAGACTTGCTATTATCCTGTACAGAATATACCCAAGCACTCCGATTACAACACCCACAATGAATCCCCCGCCAAACTGAACTCCGAAAGATTGGTTCCCAATAAGCTGTATCGCACCCATTCCCGAGCGGTCATTGTTACTGTCGTCGGTTGGGTCTGTAGCATCAGGACTGCCGGCAACGCTGCCGACTCTCGCATCGTTATTGATGATGACATCCTGAGGGTAGCCGAACGTGGTCTGAAGATTTGCAAGTATCGCTAGGATGATGTGGAGGAGGATGCTTGATGGTGCAGGCGCCATCATCCGACTGCGGTAAAGCATCAGTATCCACAGCTCGGTTCGCCGGTCTCGACAACCTCGGCCCAAAATCCCTGATGCTCTGGAGTTTCGTTCACGGGATTGCTGAGAATAATCTGCTCCGGGGAGCGTTCGTGGGTTTGGAGACTCGAGTCGAGCACCCGAATTTCATGACGTCTCGAGTTGCCTGTCGTCCGCGACGATGCGTACGACGCAAAATCCCGTGATCTGTGCCCGTGGTACAAATAATGTCGGTTGGTTTTAAAAAGCTTGTGATATTGCAGATCGGGATTTGTGTTCGCAATTCTTGAGGTCACTTGCAGTGGGCGTTGAGAAAGTCGGCCGTCTGTGCGTGTGATCGTGATCGAGACGGCCCATTACTCCTGCAACAAGTCACTGATATCAATTGCTAATACGTAGTAATTGAGAATGGACGAAGAGCCCAAATTGATCGGAGAGCAGGCGAAGCGAACGTCGGGTTTTGTTGAAATGCACAAGAATTTTCTGTTACACAGCCGGGAAAAGAATGCCTGATGTACACAGCAGGCAGCATCTATTCGTCTCAGCCCGAGCACAAGTATCTGACTGTGCTTAGGGGCTAGAAATACAAAACTACTTCCCGGCAATTCGAGCATAAGCGTGTTATGCGCCCTTCAGGCGCCGGCGTATGTCAGACGAACCTTATGAAACGCGTCGGCGTGACTCAACCTCCGTCTGACTTCGAGGAACCATACATGCAGGCCGCGTCACAAGATACGGTGGCAACTCAGAATGCTCACTCTACTATGAAAGACAGCCGCATCGTTTGACAAGATGCACATTGGTTTGTTCCTCTTGTCGCAGATGCGTGCAATCGCAGAGGAGACTGTAATTAGCTGCCGCCCTGCAATCGCTAGCAGCAAAATACACGTAGTATGTATCTGATACCCGATTTTGCGTGCTATTCTATAAAGGATCATCGGATTTGGAGAAGATGATACGAACAACCCGATTCGGGGCTCAGGCCACCACTAGATCGGTGTGCCCTGGGATCCGTGTTGGAGCTGTCGGGCATGTCCTTCGCTGATCCTGCCTACCAAGGGTAGCTCGACCCTTTTGCCTTCGGCGTCCGGGGTATCTATTCTGCTATCGATCTGGTAGCCTGGTCGGTGGTACAATCTCTCTCACCACTAGAATGGTCAAAGAAATCGCACTTGGGCTTGTGATCTGACAGAGAATTATTGTCGCGAGCTTGGTACACGGAGAAGTAGATGTTCATAACTGTCGATCTGAATATCAGAATACGCAATCCTCCATGCGTGCCAGTCTGGTTTGTGAGAAGTCCGTTCTGTACTCACTGCCAAAAAGCTCGAAAGTAGCTTAGACAACCATTATGATTCTGCACTGCGTAAAGTGGATGTCAGCTGTGACTAGTGCAACACATCACTCCACATAGCCCATGGACAGATCCTGTTCATGTCCCTCTTTCTCTGAATCACTCTAGGAGTTGGGACCCATATTGAACAGCTCACAAGATGGCGCTGATATAAATCGCCAGATCAGCATCCAATCAAATCAAATTTCTTATTGCCAACAACGCGCAACGAGCAGAACAATTTTCACATGAGTTGAATCCTCATGAGCAGCATATGTGGCATTGATAACTGAAAGGGCCAGGATACAGGATCACTTCGTCTTTTCCAACACCTTTACACAAATCTAAATTGCATGATTTTGGATCAGAGAATGCCTTTAGAAATTGGTCAGAGGAAAGAAGGCGTTCTTGCAAAGGTTGCAGGTTGATTGACCTGTGCAGCTTCGTTTCACGCGAGACTTTTCTCAATTAACAACAACGTACAGTGCCATGAACAATATGCTGTATCTATCGAGAATCACAATGAAATACCGGTCACACGTCTGCTAAAATTAGGCCCAAGAAAGGATCCCTCGTCCGGGACTGGCTACGTATATGCCGACAAGTAATTCTGGTGGCTCGAGGCAGCGATTCTGCTCAAAGTAAATACTCAAACCGAACTTTTACGACCGATTTCTGCCCTCATGCAAGTGGACAACTCAATCTTCAAAGCTTATGTTGCATCAGCTAGCAAGGTTTCTGTCATTCTCCAATTCTTGTTTTCTGCATCTAAGTCCAATCATGTGCAAATCGACAATCTAGCACTGTTGCGTCGATTTGCCTCCGTAATTTGGCTCGCTCTTCATCCATCCACGATGGTTTTATCAACGTCACGCTTCAGGATGTGTATGTCGTCTTCATCATTTCTCAAAGTGTGCTGAACTGCCCATCTTTTGAAACAGTCACTTTTGGTTTCTGCGTAATACTTCTGGAGCCCGTCGGTCAGAACGAGCTTTAGCTCGGGTGTCCGCTCTGCGGCCACAGTATCTACATAGTATGAATAGAATAAAAGGTACAGGCTATACAGAAATATCTCAAAGGTAACCAGTTTAAGATATACCCTTATACAACAGCTTCTTGCAAGATAACGTCTTATAGGATAACCTTTTGTTGGGTAAAGTTTCTGTAGGGTATCCTCCTGTAGGATAACTTCTTGTCAGGCAAGCATTTGTGGGAAAATCTCCTGCGGGAGACGTTCCGACTTGACAACACTCTATACTGGGAAGTAAATAAGGCACAGGGGATTCCGTAATGGGCTATTGCGGTTTTTGAGAGTGCGGCGGTGTGTTACCAATACTGTATGTGATATTCATAGAAATTTGTCACCTGGGATCTGCTCTCGAATGTCATATCAGCAAAATTTGCGTCGCTGAAAATTGTATCTCTTGTCTATGATAGAGTTTCGATATCAAGTGTAAAATTGGTGGCCCAGGAGTATTTGGTAGCGAAATGAAATGTCAAAAAGCGTTGTTGAGAAGCGCGAGAAAAGCAGCATGTTCCAGGCTGTTGGCAGCCGATCAGTTGGTAGATAATTGTGTGATGTAGCTGGCTTGTGCACTTTCTTCTACCATGCAGTTGGTGCGATTCTCAAACTTCTTGCTTCTCTCTTGGGTAGAGCCAGGTCATCCGCATCTATAGGCCTATTTGTTATTTTCCATTCAGTTCTGACGCAATTTGAGCCACGACTTAAGGTGAGTTCATACTTATCGGATTACGTCTGTTTGCTCTTATTCGGTCTGTTGTCTGGAAGCGCAATCAATATGCATTGAAGGGGAGGCTAGTACGATTCGAGATGGGATCGAAATTGCTGACCACCTGGCATTTTCCCCTCATACTCATGTTTGTGGGTGGCAAAAGCAAACCCCCTAGCTACACAGTTCAGTGCCGAAACTTCTCTCCTACATTTGGACACCAATGACCTTTATTGTATACTTTATGACATGTTCTTCGAGTGTGAACGTGCTATCCCATGACTGAGACCCTATCATGCCCAAATATCCAGACCTCCCACCCCAACACGCGGTCGCCGTCAAAACCGACCGCATCTATCTCCGTCCAGTCACACCCGAAGACTTGTCAGCCCTCCATGTAATGAGAATGAACCCGAGAGTAATGCAGTACATGTGAGATGAAACTCAACCCGACCCGCCTGAGCCCCACTGATAATTGTCCTCTCCTGCTAGGCCTGGGGTCGAAACCGAACAAGACGCCCTCAAGTCATATAGCGTCACACGCATTGAGCTAATGATGAAGCAAGACGGATTCTCATTCGCCATGGTCCTCCCAGACGAACGGCACAAGTCCAGCATCACAGAGAGCCTCGCAAACGGCGCGGTGATCGGGTTCATCGGTATTACAGCACCGCCCGAGGTCTTCTACATCATTGATGAGAAATACTGGGGTAGCGGGTACGCAACTGAGGCGCTGCAGGCGTTCCTAGACACGTACTGGAACGCCTTCCCAGAGGGCCTGAAAGGAATGGATGAGTGGACATGCAACTTTCTCGAGACTCATGTCATTGTTGGAAACGACGGCAGTGAGCGGGTTGCTGCTAAATGTGGCTTTGTGCATGTCGCCGACAGATCTACACCGTCCCATGGTGAGGAGAAAGAGAAGAAAATCTTTCGACTGCAGCGTCCGTGAAGAACTCTGATTAAATAAAGTGTGCTCAGTTATGGCGTGGTTCTCTCGTAAGAGCCATAATCCTTGACACCAGCATAAAGATTAAATAATGTTTACAGGACTGTTGCGGTAGATCAGGGAATAACCAGAATTTGAAGAAACGACTTGCTGAAGATGATGATTATAGATTTCCTGATTATCATTAACACATTTATTCAATCTGACCTATAATGCCGGTGTTGCTCAGAATGTTTTGGCTGAAGTCACCTCGAGACAACTGCTTCCATACGAGCCCACTTCTCATTCAAAATGCCAGCGCTTACTGTGCCCGCATGCTCGATAGATGAATTCATTGAGATACAATGACGTGGCGGCTTAAACTATACTTGATGACTTGGCGAATACCTGCCCTACTTGAAATACTGTAACCCATGCTCTCGAAAAGTCTTCACTCAATTTATGCACAGGTGGGGGACGATATCGAAACCGAGTATCAAGCATTGGGCAAAACTTTATAATTTGGTATATACCAGTGAGGAGTATCTACCTCTCCCGTTCTCTACCACAGATTATATAATATTAATACTAGTACTTATACAACCCCGAGACATCAACTTTAACCGGCCTGGTACAGAGCCAGTGCATAGACGTGAGGGTTGACTTGGCTTAAGTTGAACGGTGTGACGGGAATTTCTTCGTCGGTGAGCGCGAGGAACATGGTGCCATTGATAGCTGGATCACCTTCGTAGGTAGAGACGTTGGGCTGAATGGTATACGCTGAATTGCCGCTGATGTTCAACAAGGGGGAGTAAGTCACGTTCAGCTGCGACGCCCAGAGAGCGAACTTGGGCGCGCCAGCAGAGGTAGATGTGACGTAACTGTTGTTGGGACCGACGGCCTGGCCGGGCTTCTCCCACTGCAGGAAGACCTCACGACCAGGGTATGACAGCGGTTGGGTACGATTGTGGGTGATGGCCGGTGAGCAGTCCTCGCCAACGACAGTCGAGTTGACGCAAGCATCCTTGTGCTTGATACCCTCGGTGCTCAGAGTGTTGGCATAGTCGCCCAGGGTCTCATTCCACACATCAGCACCATTAATGCGGGCTGCGTTAGGCTGGTTGAGGATATGAAGCGCAGGGAAGTTCTGCCAGATGAGTTGCTGCGTACCCGCGGGGCAGGACGAGATGTAAGGGGCGAGCAGAGTCCATGCCCACGACTGGGGAATGCCGCACTCGAACCACACGGGCATGGGGAACTGGCCGTTGAACTGGCGGAAGATCATCTGCTGACGAGCTTCGGTGGAAATCGACTGCAGAAGAAGCTGCCCGACCTCGCGAGCGTCAAGATGGTTCAGGAAACCGTAGACACCAGACTCACCCCATCGAGTTAGCTTCTGAGAGAAGTCAACGTACTCGCGCACGTTCATCGATGGGTAGTTGTAGGTGCATTGCTTGGGGGCGTTGGGGCCAAGCATGTTGGTCAAGAGAGTCGCATGTCCGACCTCCTGGTCAGCCATGAACTCCAGCAAGAACCGGTCCTCGGCGGTCAAGCCGGCAGCCTCGAAATCCTTAGCAGAATAAGTGGCGAGACCGTAGTGGAAGAGGTCCAACTCGATCCATTCTTGGTACAGACCGAGGGCGATGGACTGGTAATCGAAATCGGATTGTACACGATACACGGGCTCAGAGCCATTGGTGCCCTGTCCACCAGCCGGTGTGTAGGGTGCAGGCTGGTTGGCGTGAAGCTTTCCATCAGCAGGGTAGTCAAACTTTGCTGGGTTTGGCGGCAGTGCAGGGACGGAAGCGGCGAGGACGCTCGTGGACTGCGCTCCGGTGGTTGTGGGCGAGGGACCAGTGTAAGGACCGTGACTTGTGACATCGGTCACAGGCACCACAGGTGCTGTATGGGCAGCAGCCGATGTGATTGTGGTTGCTGGGGTTGAGACGAACCGCTCTTCGATGACGGGCGCGGCAAAAGCCGGCTGTGCGAGCGCGAGAATACCACCGACTACTAGATATCCAGCCATGGTTGTGTTGTTTGGGATGGGTGAAGAACTGCGTACCAAAATATTGTCGAACAGCAGGCAGATGGTGCATTATATACATCAAAGCATCTAGCCGGATCCTCAACATCTTTGACCTCTATGACGGAGAACCATCGGGATGTCGGCACTCTGTCGTGTTGAGCACAGCATGGCAAAATTGTCCGTGGTCTTCATCGACGTATGCTTGGAAATCAGGTACAACATCAGGGAAACAAAGGCATACTCTATTTTGCAAGGATGTTGTCAAGGTGTGATCGCCGGACAAGGAGTGGAGGAGTACATGCGCACATGGCCTTTGAAGTGGAGATGTCAGTGCTTGTTGATGCCGTAGCACTTACGTCGTTGACTTCGAGGCCATTGAGAAATTACCTAACCCCTGCAGCCTCTTGTAATGACATTTTGAGCGATTATGTAACTCGACAGTGTTTCCGCACTTTTCAAAAAGTGGCGACAAGTGCTCGGGAATTGTGTCAGCACTTTGCTGGCCGGAAGGAAGTGAAATGCTGGATAGGGCGTGAGTTGTCGCTGCAGTAATATTTGCGAATAGCGAATGACCAAAGTGCCGTTTTCGGCGAGGATGTGAAGATTATGGGCGAGATGTGGAGTGGGTGACACAGCTCAATTCTGCCACTCAAGAATGACCGCAAGCCGGAATTCAGTCCGCGCGAGAAAAAGAAGCGTGGGGCGGTGTGCCAGTGACGTCTACTACTTCATCTGCGTCACGGTAGATCTGCTCGACAAAACTTCCATGCAGTTGAGGCTGTTAGACTGACTGTAGGGCAAGCAAGTCCCGGCGTTCTCGGAAATGCTCGTCACTTACTCGAATGAACGAGCAAATATCACATTCAATGACGGGTACATGTTGATCTCCCGAAGACTTCGGGCTGCCACAGAACACTACTGCACCTAGGTCAAGTGCTTGGTATATCACAACGACGCAAGCTCGGCAAGTAGGCCACATGGCGGCGCAGGTGCAGGGTTCCTAGTACATGATGCGAGATCTGACTTTACCCCTGGGAATACTCCCGCATTCATACAAATTGAGCCTCATGCCTGCTTGAAGCTTGTGAGGACTAGCTCGGGCGCCATGGATTTGAATTAATTCCCGCCATCCCAAATATCTTAGCCCCTGCGGCCCGGAAGCTTTGCTCCATAAATACATGCATACAAACGTACAGGAAACGAAACAAAATTCGGGCGCCAGGATGATCATCGGACGAACCGGCTAGACCACTTGATTATTAACACACTCTGACGTCTACCTGACAGTCGAGTGCTACTGTGCACTGTCAAAGTACGCGTCCACAGCCTAACTCGCGCCTGTCCGGCCCAGAATTGATAAAGTGAACCTGGCACGCTACCGATGCAGTCTGATTGAGCACGCCCTAATGATCGAGATGTGTATGACCACACGAGGTTGCATGTGCTCGATGCAAGGATGCAATTTGACTACCTGACTGTCCTGTCGCCTCCTTTTGGACGGGAACTACCGTAGGCTTGTAGGTTATTAGACGAGGAGTCAGAGCTGAGCTGAGCCGAGCCCACAACGCTATTTTCTACCACACCATCGCCCACCTCTCCGTCCCCGTAGTACAAGAAATACTTGAGCCATCCAGCCATCCGGACTTCTCCATCCTGTGCAGGCATCCGAAAATCGGACATGTCATCCACTCGTAACGTTCGCCACAGTCGACGAAAAGGCGTGTGCTGTCGATATTTGGGCGCGAATTCTTGATAATAGTCAATAGCACTTCGCATGTCCCAAGAGTGGTCTTTTCTGATCCCAGCTTTCAAAAGAACCCGAATAAGACCTCGTTTGCTTGTCATTGCTCCTCCATGGGCAGTCATCGAGATGGATGTGGTGACCAGGAAGCAATCAGCTTTGCTTTCCGTGTCTTCTCTAGTCCTTTCCTCTCGTCTAGTCCACTTCGGCCCCTTGAGTTTCTTCTCTACCAATCCTGATGTTTCAGTCTAACAGGTAGCAACGGCAATTTTGTAGTGCAGCTCAGTCGCCCTCTCCAGCGCCGTAGCCAGGACCACTCTCCTCACCCCCGCCGAAGTCTCCATGAGCCGAACGTTGAGGATCTTTAGTAGTGTAGTCTGAAGCTGAGGCAAGCGAAACCCTACGAACAGCCGAAGCGGCCGATGTCCGGAAACCTCCGTCAAAACCCCGGTACATGTAAAATGAGCCACTGCAGCTATCATCCCCAGTTCTAAAAACTGTGTCGGATGAGCTGAGTGGACGATCCGGTGGCTGAATCCCAAGCTCAGTGGGCGAGGTGTGCAATTCAGTGTCCTGAGAGGCTCTGATCTCACCAGTTGGGGGCAGGAAGAAACCGTTCGCCCACCAGTCAAGAATACTCTCGATAGTGACGGCAGACCTGGCACCGCCCTCACGCTGAACGTACGCGTTGAGATTGTCCTCGAAATATGGCACAAGCTGGCGGGTCCAGATTGTATGCAGCATTCGTGTTAATTGTACCAAATGGCCATGACTGACTGTCTTGGGGTTCCGGTTGACTAGGGATTTGATGTCCTGCAAGTCCCCAATCATGTTGTTCTCGAATATGAACGTCGTTCGCTGAAGATCTGAAAACTTCCTTGATTTCTCATCATCTTCAGTCCTTGCTGGTTTCGGCTCATCAGTATCGAAAGCAGGCCATGCTGCTTTCTCTGTCTCTAAATCGTCATTGAGATTGAAGCTTTTAGAGTCAGCCTCAATTTTAGTGGTGAAATCCCCAAGCTCGGTTGTTGAACTATTCTCAGGATCTAAACTCTGCTCATGTATGGGCTTGGTCCTCATGCCACCCCCGTTGACAGACACATTCTGGATATCTGACATACTGGATGAAAGCTGATGAAAGTTGATGGAGCGTTGTTGGATAGATCCCTGATGCCCTAGAGGTCGCCAGACGGTTTCAAGGTCATGTTGATGAGGGTTAAGAGTTGAGGAAAGCAACTACAGGAGTTGTAGACGAGCTGTCCGATTACTTTGTTTGATACTGCAGTGTGTCGACACCATTGAACGAAAAGTATTAAAAAGTCTGCGCGTGCTCTTCCTGTCATTTATACAAGTCGGCTGTCAGTCGTGTTCTTCAGCTGAAGACAGGGGGGGGGTTCACCTTAGATGTCACCGAGGCAAAGCAGCACGACTGCTCAGGAGTGCTCCAAGGCCTACTGTTTGGCCAACGTTCAATTTTCCTAAGAAGAAAAAGGTGTAAAAGAAAACTGTTCAGCTTTGTGCTCCAGTGCAAGGAGCTGTTGATGATTTCCTTTTTTTTTCTTTTTCTTCCATAGTGCGCCTCATTATTTTGAAACGTGCTGCAAAGAACCCAAGAAGACAGTATTCAAGTGGATCTAGACTAAGTATTCTCTTTAGACATTCCGTTCCAGCACATGAGGCAAAGGTCCTGTTAGTCTCGCTGCTCTCACTGGTTTCTCCTTGAAACTGCGCTACCTAATAGTTTCGGGCTGAGCACAAAGGATCAGCAGGTTTTCTTCCAAAGTCTTCTACATTACACCACACAAACCAATGTGATGCCCTCTTTGGGGTCCAAGTTCCGTGATCGCTCCGTTTCAGTCTTTCTGGTTCCCACCTAGCGGATAGATTCTCGAGCACCGTAACTACCTGTTTTGTTAGCCTAGGCAGATATTGTACTTGTCCTTGGGGCTTACCGCAGCATCTTTCATGCCTTCAGGTATGGTCGGGAACTACTGCTCATTTTTGGAAACAAACCGGTATGTTCTGCAATCTTTTGATTTGCATTTTGGAATTGGCATCGAGAACAAGACTGCCTGAACATTATACTTTCATACGGTATCAATTCATCAACTATAGTCTTGTGCCTGAACAGTCGATGTGAAGAGAGGTGTCCCACAACCGTATCTCCTCCGAAATGCAAGGGTCAATTGTTATCCGCCACATCAACTTGGGTTTTGCTCTAAATTTGCTGATATGCACAACAAAGGGCAGTGGAACCTCGATGTCTCAGAAAACTTCTTGGCATAAGGATCCCCTGACTTGGTTATACTGACAAGGACATCCACGCTATTTCCACCGACCTCCTGGAGCACCTCAAGGCACAGGCGCGGAGAATATGCCTCATGAAGACATTTCATCCTCGATTCCAGGGCTTTGCTGCATCCCTTTCACGTTCACAGACTTTACCGAGATGAATTCCAAGGAAACTAAATATGGACCTCACCACGTGAGTTTCTTGCGCGCCTGCATGAAATCCACGAGGCAAACATTGTGGCGATGCGCTTGATGTTCACATCCTCTACGGTCATTATGACGATGCTAAAGATCTCAAAAGGCTGTAAATTTACGGGTTGCCCATAAATGGGGTTGGCCCCCAAATCTTGTGGAAATAATATGGGACGAGATCTTGAGTCAGGGGGTTCTGTTTACAACGGCGCAGCCCTCTATTTGCAACCACATTTCATGCTGTTACGAGTCGAAACACTATACAGGGATCAGCTATGTAAAAGAAAGAGTAGAGCGGACTTCAGCGAGGCTTGGAACCTGGAAGACGAAATTTGCGCTCATAGCAAGGCGATTATCCACGCCACAGCCATGTGCTGGGAGTGGCCTTTATTCGGAGGCTCCGATCACAATCATAGCCTCAGCATTTTAGTTTGTCGGATATGAGAAGCAACATCTCAGCCTAGGTCTAACTTTTCCACGCAATCGGTATTCGGACTCAGTACACAGACTGTCGCTATGGCCACCACCGAGGCTGGGGTGCTCGCCACGATATGGGTCCTCTTCGTCTTCTCTACAAGCTTCCTCAGCCTACGCCTCTGGTGCCGCCATCACTACGCCGCGGGCTTCTGGTGGGACGACCACGTCCTGGTAGCCGGCTGGGGGTTCATAATCGCGGCTAACGTCTCCGCCTCCGTCTACCTCGCCGCAAAGCCTGACGATGGGAATTTCAGCATCCTCTTCGCCAAGGTTGCCGCCGCAATCGCGTGCGCCTTCACCAAGACCGCTTTCTGCGTTACGATCTTGAGGTTGCTGAATCCGGGACACCATCCGGCTTGGAAATGGCTGGTTTGGTATCTTATGGTATCATTCAATATGGCAACAATTATGTTGATCATTCGACAGTGGGCCAGGATGTGCGCATCAAATTATGAGGAGGGCGATGTGCGTTTGACGAATCCGCTGGGCAGAGGCCATTGTTGGCCAAATGAGGTTGTTCGCGGAATCGCAGACTTTTATATGGCCTACTCAGCGGTGACGGAGTGAGTCTACATTAACCCGGACGACTGATCTCCCTATTGATGCGTCATTTATTAACCATTGGCCATTCTCAGCTTCATTCTGTCTCTTGTCCCGTTACAGTTGATCTGTCGCCTTCGGCTCAGTCCCGCGGAGAAAGCTGGAGCCGCTACGGCCTTGGGTTGTGGAGTCTTGTGAGTGAACGAACTAATACATTGCTGTGCTAGACTGACGATGACCACCACAGGGTTTCCATTGTGCCGCTTTGCAAGCTTGTAGTTTCTCAGCGAATGCGAGGTACCACAGGTTTTTCGAGTAAGTTTTTCCCTGCCATCGCGGTCACGACAAAATTAGAGTCTAAAGTTGTTCAGCCTGGTTCACTGTCTCAATGGGTCTTGACATCATCGAGCCTCTCTTGACTATCGTTGCACAATCGATCCCCATTCTCCGCGTGCTCGTTCGGGATAAAGCCACGGGATACGAGAGCTCGAGATACGTGACGAATTTGAAGTCAAGAGCGGGGCGCTATACTCCGAGCCTCAGCAAATCCCGGTCTGGACTGCCCAAGCTGGACATTAGACCAGTGGGACTTGATGAGAACTGGGAGCAACTACCAAGCCCAGCTGGGCAGAGCTGTCGACGCCGCAGTGTTGTTGCATTGTATGAGATGGAGCCTGTCCGGCCACATCCGGCTGTGTCGAGTGTGCTGGGGACACAGTACGGTGATTTGAAAGAAGAGTGGGCGAGTTGAGAGGCTGAGCACCATATCAAAGTCTTCGAGTCTACAATGAAACATTTAACACCGTTCGTGAGGACCGCCGTTGTACCAAAATCCGATGATTCGCAGTTCTGCCTTCACCAAGCTTCTTGTCGGAAGGGACTATACGGCAGTGCCTTTTGATGTGTCTCTCTCAGGTATCAATGCAGTTGGATCACTAAGGCGTTTCTTCTGGTGACCAAAGTTTCATCCAAGAATTTCTGATCCTTTTTCAGCTTCATAGAGCTACCAAAACTTCAAGCCTTATCCCATAGGGAGGTGGAAACGTATCATCAACGGCTGCGTGAAGAGTGCCACCCTCTTCCGGGCTTGGAAAATAAGCCATGTCCGCGGATTCACCGAATGGAATAATAACTCTGACAATCTGCCCCCAGTGGAACTGATTTCGCTCCCTATCAACCATTCATCAATCCATCATTCATTCTGAACGAGGGATGGGCACGTATAAAATCAGTACCATTCCGCCAACAGTTCCCGTGCTGACGACGCCCGGCTGGAGGCCACGGCCGCAACGATCCTCTCGTCCTCTGTCTCTCGCAACTCACTGTAGAGTTCGTTTATGTCTTCTAAAAGCGAACCATGAAGTCGCATACTTGCCGACATGACATGACAGGCGCGGAAGCCAGATCGAGGAATTTTTCGAGGTACGGTAACGTGCGGACCGCTAGAGTCAGGAACATACTCGTTGACATTTTTGGCTTCAATCTATTTGTTAGTCGATCGAGATATTCGTAAGTGAAATAATCGCATTTTTTCAGGAGCCTCACACACCTTCGGCAATGTCTCCCAGTGCGGCGGGGTCTGTAACCTCCCGGCTCCCAAGGACTGAAATTGCAGCCATCACGAGATACATGTTGGCCATGCAATCAACATCTCCAAACTCCCACCAGCTTTCTTCGTCGTCCTCATGCAGGCTGATCGCAGTATCCAAATTTTGAATGCCCCAAGTCATCCATTCGCGTTTTGGAGAAGGTTCCCCGTCGTATTGTCGCCGTTGGGCGTAGGTGAGCCAATTCGGCCTCGCAAACGCGTAGATGCTGGGGCCGATTGATATTCCAGCCTCGACCTCCATGACTGCCGCGGCATACTTGCAGGCTTGTGCTACTGAGCCATGAGACATCCGAATGCGACAGTGCAATTTGTTTTTGCACATCACATCGTGTGGGGTTCCAGAGAATGCAGCACCTGGCACATCTTGTGAAGCATAGAAGAAGGATGGCCGCAATCCGTCCAAAGTTGCCAAGGACTGAAGTGCCCTTCTGGTTCGGTAGTAATTATCAACGGCTTCTAACACGTTGTCGCTCATGGCCAATTTCACCGTGACAACTCCATCATTGGCGATGTCACTGCTGCTGATGGAGAGACCTTTGGTGCTGTGAGCGTGGGTGCGCAGGCCTCTTGCCAGCTTCTGCAGTATGTTCTGAGCTGGACCATCGCCTTTGGTCAGATATATTCTTCCGTCGGAAAGATTTCGTAGGACGAATTGAAACTCAAGTGCGGCTCGGATCTTTTGTCCTTTTGCCGTACTTGGCACCTTCGAGACTTTCTTGAGGATTTCCCGTGGGTCAGCCAGGGGGTATCCTCCAGTATCAACTTTGGCGAATACGGTAGCGCGGCTTCTACTATCGATGCAGTGCTGTATTGTGGCGTAGTCTGGGATCAACTTGCAGGTCACGTAGGGTTTGTAGTATGAGTTGGCGGCCGACTTTCCATCTGGCAAAGTAGTCAGGGCCGCCGAGCTGACAGTCAGCGGACTGAGATTGTCGGAATTAGCAAGTTTGTACGCGTCTTTGCGATACATTCTGTTGTAACTGTCGGCAGGCACAAGCTGTTCATGAAGGATTCCGAAGTAGTCGGTCCAGATGACATGGACAAGCTCGCAGTCACTGTGATAATGCTTCCAGTACTCGTATCCATACGAGGGAGGATCCATGATGGGCTTCTCCCCCCGTTTTTGCTGTCAATATCTAGTCCAATATGCCGTCAGTGACATCGCAAGGATACTATGATGGTTCCCAAGAGACGAGAAGCAAAATGCAGTGTGACCAAAAAGGCTTACACTCAGTGATGGGAATCAAGAAATGATTATGCAAACCTCGATTCGGGAGTACTTGTGAAAGAATTGGAAAGAGGGAGAGACTTAAAGAGCAGTGGAGGTTTTGAAGAACTAACCTTGATTTTTGACGACGAGAATGGTCGAAAGCAGCAGTTGAAAATTCAGGTTTCGAAAACTTGTAGGATTTGTGCCAGCTAGTTGCCTTGAAACCACTGTTAGAAGTGCCCCAATGTGCGGTTGATGCAAAGAGAAAATTTCTTGCCGTGATATCTCCGTTAAAGATGTATTGATTGGAAACGTGGGGGCTCAATTAAGCCTCCAGGGAAGCAAGACCGTGAGAAGCTCTGTAACGGGAGCGCGAGTAGAAAGAAAAACCGAGATTCGGTTTAGAAATCCGGCCTAAAAACTCCAGAACAAGTTTTGGTCGACTGCTGAGCGTAGAAGGGCACCCAGAGAGTCAGAAGTTGGAAGATACGAATTCAAAAGACCACTTGAATTGTCAGGATCAGACGAAAACACCAGTGCGAGAATCTTGAAGCGAGGTGCTCCTGCAAAACCCTTTGTTTTTGACCTATCTAGCACGGAAGAGCGTGTCCCATTTGCTTTCGATAGCGCTGGACTGAGCACGTCTGAAGGTCTGGACTTAAACGTGCCTTGGACTCAAATTCGTGCCCTGGCCGGTTAGAAATGGCTTTAGTATTGGGCAAGGACCTATGACTTGATTTCCGAGCATTGTCAGACGCCGTTGAGCATGGTACGTGGAGAGTTTTTCTAGGCAACCAGTTCCGAAGATGGCATCGCCTTTATTTTTTCCAAAGCGCAAAAAGCTGGCAAATTGTCATCACGAAATGGCACAATTTTAGCATAAACGTATTATGAAGCAATAATGCATGGACATCATCAAGTGCTACGTGAAGTGTGATCTGGAAATCGAGCGATCAAGAAGAACCAGGCAGGTAGGCCGCTCGCCGCCAAAGCAAGTACAGGTTCGTGCTACGTGGGCTGAAGATGGGCTTCCCAGAGTACTGTACGACTCTGCTTGACCCGCACCATGTCAATCTCCATCTCTCCCTTGCCCGTCCTCTTCTATGGGCCTATGCACGTAGGGACGAAGCCCTGAGGAAATGTGCCTGGCGCAATCGGGACCTTGCTCCCAAGCAGCCAAAATATCAAGGTCATCGAGCCCCAGCAACTCCAAAACGTTGAGGGATTGTAATGCGGATTCACGAGGTGTTTGAGGTGTTTGATGTGGCCAGTGTGGAGATTGGGCTCGAAGAACTTAATTATCTTCAGGCGTGAGAGGCAGAAGAAGCGCAGGAGGAAGCTGCGGAGGTTGAGAGACGCAGAAGCCACGAGGCAGCCCAAGATGTCTGGTTGAGAGGTTGCTTAATGAAGCCATGACCTTTGACGGCATCAGTGGCTGGAAGCTGGGTGACATTTTCGTAAACGTTCACCAAGTTCAAAATGGCGATGGCATCCTCTCATATTTGCAACAGAGTTACTCGCTCGACAGACACAAGTGAAATAAAATATCTCGTCTGTTGGCTGCTGGCGTTGGCTGTCTGTACGGAGGAGCCAGGGTGGGGTAAAAGAGCCTCGGCAGGGGTGGGAGCTCTTGGGCTCACAGCAGGGTAGGTTTAAGGTTGCGGGCTGGCCCACCTGCGGGAAGAGGCCTTTGGGCGGTGGAGCTCACCTGGACATGCACGGAGGACTGAGTGCACATTGCACATTCATCCTGGGACGGTAAGCATCGAGCACTCGAGCTTACTGAGCATAATTGTTTCATCAAGCGAGTTGTGCCCATGCCAAGGTGAGCTAATACATCGATGATACGAGACTGTGCAGTCTAGATGGGCTGCAATGCCTCTCAGAGGCCGGCCAAGTCGCTGAGCTGACTGATCGAAGCCATCGCCAGAACAGTGACATCGATCAAGGCCAGCATCTCTCCATGACATATGCTTGCTTGCATGCACGCAGACTATCAGCGCTCAGAGCTAAGGACCAACTACCGGATGGAACACATCTGCATCCAGTGTGACCGCACAAGGTGTCACCTCTTCCCAGGGCTGGCTTGGGCGGCCAATGAAGCCGGCAAGCTAGACATAGCATTCTAGGGTCCATGCAACCTGTTCGACGCAATCAGCTTTGATGGGCGGATCCTACACCAATGTCATGATCTCCAGAGGTACTGTACAATATGCACTGATCTCTACTGTACGGAGTTCATGCAGTGATCTGCCAGCTCGGCGAACCTTCTTGTTCTTCAGCCTTATTTACTCCGCTACTGCATCTCAAAAGCTAATCTAACACTGTTGCATTCACGTGGCATTGTCACAGTGTTCCTGGAGCGAGTGGGTCGTCAGAAAGGCGCTGTAACGTGGGGAGCTCCTCTTCCAAGACTGATCGACTTCCAAGAAGCAACTTGCATCCACTCGTCAGCACCTGTCTGACTCTTCCTCTTGGCATCCTTCCTGGTCGGATCTTATCAGATCGATTGATAACCAGGCAGCCCTTGGCCGATTGAAACCTTGACCATTCCAAACACTCTGTACTTCTCATTCCAGCTGTCCCGGATTTCAGGGGTCTTTTGACTTCTTCACCACCCCCCCCCTCTTTTGAGTTCTGTTGGTCGTAGCTACCGTGGCTCTCCACCTTCGTCACCTGCCCAAGATGGGGGACCGTGTGGGCGATCCCGGAGCCCAGGAGCCGCTGCTTGCCAGTCGACAGAACGATGGCTTCGCGAACGGGTCCGACGCCGACGACGACGCAGCGTCACTCGCTGACACGGTTTCGACTAAGAGCTCCCTAGATTCTGAGGCACAGGAAGGCGTCCAGCAGGCCGATGCTGTCACCTTGGTCTGGACGAACTCAGCCCTGATACTCGCCTACATCTTCATCTTCCTCAATTTCTGCCTCACCTCCATGGAGCAGCAGACCACGTCCAATCTCTTGCCCTTCGTCGTCAGCGACTTCTCGGCGCACTCACTGATACCAGCCATCGGCATCGCGTCATTCATCCTGAGCGGCGTCTTGAGGCTACCCGTTGCCAAGGTCATCGACACTTGGGGTCGTCCCCAGGGCCTCGCTGCTATGATTATCATCGCCACCGTTGGGCTGGTAATGATGGCAGCATGCCATAGCGCTACCACCTACGCGGCAGCCCAGATTCTGCATACTGTTGGCTTCAGTGGATATGCCTATATCCTGGAAATCATTGTCGCAGACACATCATCGCTTAAGGATCGCGCCCTGGCCTTCGCTTTCACCGGGTCTCCTGCTATTGTCACTAACTTCTTGGGTCCGCCTGCAGCACAGTGGTTCCTTCGCTACAGCTCATGGCGGACGGCGTTCACGCTGTTCGCGATTCTTACACCGCTTGTCGCATTCCCTGTCTTTGCTATACTCCTTTTCAATGCAAATCGGGCGAAGAACCTCGGGATCCTCAAGCCCTCCAAGAGCGAACAGACTTGGTCGGAGGCTTTTTGGCACTATTCTGTCGAATTTGACGGTAGGCGTTAAATCTCATGTACCTCCAGATGCGTCACTAACAACCCTCAGCCGTTGGTGTTTTGCTCTTGGGCATTGGCTTGACCCTGTTCCTCCTGCCGTTCTCAATCGCTGGGTCAGCCGGCAGCAAATGGTCAGCATCAGTCATGTCCATGTTGGTACTGGGCGTAGTCTTGACGGCTGCTTTCGTCCTTTTCGAGCACCACTGGGCCACGAAACCCTTCGTTCCATTCCACTTGCTATGCTCGCGCAATGTCATGGGCTCCTTTATCCTGTCCGCCACCTTATTCATTGCCTACTTCTGCTGGGACGGCTACTACACGTCCTACCTTCAAGTAGTTCACCAGCTCTCCGTCTACCAGGCGGGCTATGTGAACAACACATACAATATCGTGGGCGGCTTGTGGGCCTTTGTCGCCGGCTGGCTGATCAGGTCCTCGGACCGCTTTAAGTGGCTTGCACTGATTGCTGTACCGGTACAGATCATGAGTGGCGTCTTGATGCTTTTCTTCAGGCAACCGTCTACGCCTATTGTCTTGGTTGTTCTGCCACAGGTGCTGCAGGCTCTAGGTGGTGGCACTCTCGTGATTACAATGCAGATGGCAGTCATGGCTGTTGCGAAACACGGCGAGGTTGCCTCACTCATCGCATTGCTAGGCCTCTCCAGTGCAGTGGGTTCTGGCATCGGCAGTTCTGTGTCCGGAGCTATATGGACAAATACTGTGTACGCCGAGTTGGTGAGGCTCCTACCAGACGAGACAAAAGACCAAGCCGGGGACATCTATGAGGATTTACAGCGGCAGCTCAGCTACCCCGTTGGAAGCCCTGTGCGAGAGGCTATTGTATATGCGTATACTACTGCTCAACGGCGGATGCTTCTTGTTGGGCTGGGCATTCTACTGATCGCGATACCCTCTGTGGTTGTTTGGAAGGATGTGAGGGTGTCACAATTTAAGCAAGTAAAGGGGCGTGTGGTCTGAGAGAGCACCCACACGACTCAAGCCCGGCGTGTTGCAAAGCTGGACTTGAAGCAGCCATGCAACATTATCTGCTAAACGAGTCCTTTCTGCAACCCACAAGTTCACGCTCAGCTAACGATGAATACCTCTGACCCCGTCATCTTCGTGCTTGAAAAGTCTCGATCGGACATTCTCAGGCCCTCGGCGTTACGAGAGTTTTCGGTCTTTCACACACAATTGCCAGTGTTTGTCGGAGCCTACGTAATGGCTGAGTAGCCGCAGAGCGACCGAAATTGAGACCTAACTCCTCGGCCCCATTACGTCCCAGTTCTTGTGGGTCACGCAGACACGATCGTAATTCGTGCCGAGATCGGCCTGGGAGGATGCCACATCAGGCGGAGGACAAGGGTCGACGAATCCACTGATGAAGATGTGCAAATCTTATCAGATCGTCTGATTAAGTGCTCTCACACGCGTACTATCACTTGGCGCTCCCGGGATCAACATGGTCACCCATGTCTCCGCATCACCTCGCTAACTGCATGTAGCAGCTTAGACGGGCCGGTGCTGACTGGCCTGTGGCCCGGAGCGTGATGGTCCTGTTCTTTTGTGTGTGTTGTGCCCTCGCAGGCGCAATAGAAGGGGGGCAATTGTGCCAGCCCTTAGCTTCTGTGGTGTTGGATAGTAGCTGGGTCTTGCGACTTGGCAAGCGGGACGCTTTTACCCTTTTCGTTCCGTGGTACATGACACAGAACGGTATTTTTGTTCTAGAGGATCCATTATACTTGCCTCCACAGCAATGGGGGACCCATATTTCCTCGGTGCCGTGGTCCGAGTCTCCAAGCAGCCCCCAGCATGATAGTGAAGAGCAGAGCACTAGATGCCCAAGTGTTCGGAACGCTGAAAAGGTGACGCTGAAGACATCGAAAACGCAAAGCGCGGCTAAGGCACAGATTCTTTTAAGGAAACGACGTCAAAATCAGCCAAAACGGATCGAAATCATCGGGACCTCGCTGAGATTCTTCGAAAGCTTGAAGAAGCTTTCTTCTCAAAATCTGCGATGGCAGCTCAAATTTTGCCCTCGGTCGTCGAAGAGCCCAACGCCAAGCAGCAGTCACCGTCGATCCTACACGGTCCAGTCGACCCTCCCCTGAGCGATTTGACACTTGGCGAACTCCTCGAACTGCAGTGCCAGCACAATGGAGAAGCAGATTGCATCAGTATCCCGTGGACGGGCGCTCGCTGGTCCTACGATGACCTCCGCCGGCAGTCCAGCCTCATCGCGCGGGCCCTCCTCGACGAAGGGATACGCCACGGCGACCGGGTGGCGATCATGGCTGGCAATTGCGAGCAGTATGCGGCCATCTTCTTCGCAGTGGTGAGGATCGGCGCCATCCTCGTTATTCTCAACAATACATACACGCCTTCCGAGGCCATGTACGGGCTCGAGTTCACGGCATGCAAGATATTCTTCACGACCAAGAAAATTGGAAGGACAAATAACGAGCCGCTGCTCGCACAACTTTCAGCCAAAGACGACGCGCCAAAGGTGGTTGTTCTGAGGGGAGACGGCGAGGGCTACAGGACATACGAGGACATGATTCTGCAAGGTAGCAAGCAGGACCCAGCCTGGATGTACAGAGAGGAAACCAAGGTCTCGACATATGACGTTTGCAATCTTCAATTCACGAGCGGCACAACAGGCCATCCCAAAGCAGCCATGCTCACCCACCATAATATCGTCAACAACTCCCGATTCATCGGCGACCGCATGCGCCTCACTACCGACGATGTTCTCTGTTGCCCGCCGCCGCTGTTCCATTGTTTCGGCCTCGTACTCGGCCTGCTGGCCGCTATTACCCATGGCGCGAAGATCGTCTACCCAGCTGAGGTCTTTGACGGTCCCGCAACCATCCGCGCAATCCAAGAGGAACAATGCACAGCCCTGCACGGCGTACCTGCCATGTTCGACACACTACTGGCTCTGCCAGAGGCGGCATCGCTAGAAGCATCCAATCTGAGGCTGCGAACGGGCATTATCGCGGGTGCACCAGTCCCGCGGTACCTGATGGAGCAGTTGGTGTCGAAGCTGGGCATGACGGAGTTCACGTCTTCGTACGGACTCACGGAAGCCAGCCCCACGTGTTTCAATGCGTTCACAGACGACCCGATCCACACGCGTCTGAGCACGGTGGGTACACTGATGCCGCACGCGCATGCCAAGATCGTCGATCGCGACGGCAACACCCTCCCTGTCGGCGAGAGGGGCGAGCTGCTGATGGGCGGGTACCAGCTGTGCGCTGGGTATTGGAACAACAGTGAAAAAACGGCTGAAGTGATGACGCACGACGAGAACGGCATGCTCTGGCTGCACACGGGCGACGAGGCCGTGTTTAATGAGGAAGGTTACTGCAGCATCACTGGGCGCTTCAAGGACATTATCATTCGAGGCAAGTTTCGGCTCCGCAGCCGACGATGCAACATGGCATCACTGGCACATTTCGGCATGATCTACAGCACGGCTAACACCACATTCTAGGTGGCGAAAATATCTACCCTCTCGAGATCGAGGAGCGCCTCATGGCACACCCGTCCATCTCGCTGGCTGTGGTCGTAGGCCTCAAGGACGAGCACTATGGCGAGGTCGTCGGCGCGTTCCTAGACGGCAAGCCTACGGACAAGGGCACCGAGTCGCACCTCACCAAGGCCGAGGTCCGCGACTGGGTCACGAAGAGGCTTGGCAAGCACAAGGCCCCCGCCCATGTGTTCTGGATGGGCGAGGGCGGCGTGCCGGCCACGGTCCCCCTGACGGGTAGCGGCAAGGTGCGAAAGTTCGAGCTGGCCAAGGTGGGCGAGGAGATCCTTTCCAAGCGAGTAGGCAAGGAGGCCAAGCTGTAGATCTGCCGTTCTTTTTTTTTTCTATTTGTGTCCGTGTATATCTTGGCTATCTTTGTTTCACTGAGATTTAGACGTGGCATGGCTTTCGGCGTTTGGGGAGGAGACATTCTTAGAGATAGATGATACACACGAAGACCTAAACTTCCTCAAATTTCGAGACGGCCTGCATCTTTCGACTTGACCTGGTGTTTCTTGACTACAAATCACGGACATGATCCAGCAACAGCCCTATAGATCATCTCAAGGGTCTCACAGGATCAACAGTTCTTCAGCCACGTTGAAGTGGAGGGCGGTTCAGTTGCAACAACTTGGCTTTTCGTTGCGACCCACACCAAGAAATTTTATCTGATCAATCCGGTGCTAAAGAACATGCGCACGCCCAGCGAGATCGGCAGCTGAGGCACGCTAATTTGATGAAATTTTTATCAGATCCGCAGGTTTCCTGCGAAGAGATGGGGCCGTCGTCCCACTAAAGTTATCAGATCCGGACTAATGCAAGCCTCCCTGGTCATGGCGCATCGGGGGTTGCCCACGCATGGTGCCCCTGGACTAGGTGTGATTGGGTGTGGACTTTTAACACCGAGTGCGATGGGATGGCAGCCCTGCATGATGGGGAGTACGTCGTATTTGCTTCTAGACGGAAAGAAGCAGGTCGTCCTTGGTCACAACGTCATTCGAGGGTGACGACCCCCTCTCCATCGCCGCCCCCTCTTCCCGAGGTCGTTTTGCTGTGTGTGGAGAGCCGATGGAGAGAAAAGCCAACACGGCTCGGCTCTAGCTGATGTAGGCTCGGAGGCGCGATCCTGGCCCAAAGACATGTGCGTGGTGGGAACCAAGTGGGTGTTGCATCCATACAAGCTGTAGGTATTCAACAATCGGGGACCTTTTCGGTGGGTGGCCATGAGGCATCTCCGGCAAGAAAAGGGCACTGCTTATGCGGTGAGACTCTTCTAGCAGCCTCCTCTTGCCCGGTTTCAGCTGTTTTATCAACACCCAACTTTCCAGCTGTTAGTGTCGTTGCTTTACGCGTAAAAACCTCAGATCGGCATCGTCTACGGGTCCAGAATGGCACGCCTCTCGCTCGCAGACTGGCCCTCGGCCGACCCAGTGATCCGGCTCCCGCACCCATATCTCACTCCATACTTCAGCACATCTTCAAGCAAGGCAACGTCATCATCCTCGACCAAGCTGTACCAGCTGAGCACACCTGAGCAGCCCGACTCCCAGACCCAGACCCCCCCAGAACCCCTTCACAGCGAGACTCTTCACTTCAGCGAGCCCGAGGACCTCAAGTCTAGCCAACTCCCTCCTCAGTCCAACAACACAGCATGGGCGCGCGCACGACGGTCGCCGTCGTCCAGCCTCGTCTGGGACGGTGATGCCGCGCCGACACTGGCCCGGGTGTGGCTCATTATCTACGTGCTGTTCACAATCCGACCAGATGAGGAATTCATCCGCCTCAGCCTGGAGGGTGAGGGCCACGAGGCGCTCGCCAACCAACTGCGCGCCACCATGCTGGCTGTGAACCACCCGTCTGACAACAGCCAGAAAGTCGGGACAACCGATGAGTTGGTGCTGCTACGCGCATCCTTCTGGCAGGGCGCAGGCTCGCCGTTCGGCGCGCGCGGCGCGTGGGTGCCGTCGGACGTGCCCGGGACGGCGTACGCCTCAGCGGCAGTGCCGGCGCTGACATACGTGATGACCTCGGACGCAGGCGCGACGCAGGTATGGCACCCGCGGCGGGCGCCCAAGCCGCGGCCGGGGAGCGTCATCTACTCGCGGTGGGTGCCGCACCTGCGCGAGAACTTCAGCATGGTGTCGCTGGACCACACGGACGCGGCGCACGTGGGGCTCTTCCACACGTGGCAGAACGACCCGCGCGTCAGCCAGGGGTGGAACGAGACGGGCACGCTGGACCAGCACCGCGAGTACCTGCGGCGCATGCACGAGGACCCGCACCAGCTGGCGGTGCTGGCGTTCTTCGACGGCGTGCCGTTCGCCTACTTCGAGATCTACTGGGCGCGCGAGGACAAGCTCGGCGCCTACTACCCCAGCCGCGACTTCGACCGCGGCCGCCACAGCCTCGTCGGCGACGTGCGCTACCGCGGTGCCCACCGCGTCGGCGCCTGGTGGAGCAGCCTCATGCATTACCTGTTCCTCGACGACCCGCGCACGACGCAGGTTGTCGGTGAGCCAAAGTTCACAAACTCGACTGTGCTGGCCTATGACCTCGTTCACGGCTTCAGCGTTGACAAGTTTGTCGATCTACCTCACAAGAGAAGCGCCCTGATGCGCTGCTCCCGCGAGCGATTCTTCCAGATCTGCCCGCTGGCCGAGGACGAGCGGGAGAGGAAGCAGAAGGTGGTCGGCGGGACCTCGGTTGGCTTGGTGCCGAAGCTGTGATACGTGTGCGCCCGAGTATGGGAGGATTCATTGTATATACAATACGACTAACTCGAGTACAAGGTCATGATTTACTGTAATTGGGACTGGGTCTATGTTAATAATCAACAATTTGATCGTGTCTTGTTCTAAGCTATGTAATCCCTACACGTGAACTCCAATATAAACGCCGTTTCCATGCAAACATCCACTGTCGGTCATCAGTCTATTGATATTCATCAGCCCTGGACGAGGCTGCCCTTGGGCAGACCATGTTCCTCGCCAAGCTTCATGTAGTTCCAGCAGATGGACCAACCCAGGTCATCTCCGAAGAACACCTTCATCACATCCTCGCCGGCACAAACCCCCTGGTCCGGGCCGTACGACATAGCCTTCTTGCCCACGGCCAGCCCAATCATGGGCGGCACCTCGTCCAGCTCCCGGAACTTTGGCGCAGCGCCGGTAAGCTTCTCCAGGACGAGCTCGTGGATGTTGTGGGCGGCGAAGAAGCCCATGTGCATAGCGCCGCCGCACCTCTTGATACCAGACCACTTGATGGCGTCGCCGATGGCGAAATGGACATCAGAATTAGGCACCTCAACCGGGAAGCGGAGGTCGGCCCGTGCCTTTACGAGCCCCTCCTCCTGCAGCGCTTCCTTGGGCAGGAACTCGGTCGACGGCACGGCCTTGCTGATGGCCATGATGACGACGCTGGCGTCCATCTTCTCGCCGTCGGTGAAGGTCACCTCGGTCACGGCCCCGGCGCCCTCGCGCGTCACCTCCTCGGTGCCCGCCAGCCGCTTGCCCAGCAGGACCTCGACGCCCGACTCGCGCACCAGATCCAGCGCCTTGTCCTTGCACTCGTCGGGCAGCGGCTCGGAGCTGAGCAGCTTGTCGCGCGAGTGCACGAGCGTGACGCGTGTCTCGGGCCGCACGGCCTTGAGCTCGGCGGCCATCTCGATGCCGACCGCGCCGCCGCCCACGACCACAACGCCCGCGGGCGAGTTGGTCACCGCGTTGATATGTGCCCCGGCCTCGAGCAGGTACTGCTTGCGCCACAGTGACTGCGGGACGACGGGCCAGGCGCGGCGGAGGCCGGTGGCCACGATGAGGTAGTCGTAGGTCAGGTCCTTGGGGTTTTGTGTGGCTGTCTCGAGGACGGTGGCGCGCTTGTTGGATGGGTCGACGTTGGTGGCTTTGGCCTGGATGAAAGTGATCTTGGGCGTCTTCAGGGCCGGCATGTCTTCGTACTTGACCCAGGCCTTGGCCGCGTAGTCTTCGTCTGCGAGGGCTAGGGGAGAGCCGATCAGGTGGTCTTTAGGATGGTAATTAGTATGAGTTCTGAGTGGATGATCGCTGGATCCAAGTGGTGAATTCCTTGGGCTGTACAAGAAATGTGTTGAATATGTACCGGCTGGCTCATCTCTCAACGAAGGCTGGATGAGATGAATGAATGCTCAGGGAGCTGGGGCTCATTGTAGTGGGACAAATATGGTGAGATATTCAAACATACAGTAACCATCTCGCTCATCAACAATTGTAATATCGATAGGGATTTTGCCATCGTGGCCGGGCAAAACTCCATTCCCTGTTCGCGCGGCACGTCCCTCAGACAGGTCAACCAGGTTGAGTGCAGCTGCCAAACCACCATAGCAACCACCGAGGATGAGGACTTTGAAAGGAGCCGACTCGGCATCAAATTGAGAACCCATGGCGAGATACGAATTACACCGTCAAGCAAGGTGAGTATATGACGTTCTGGCGTTCAAGATAGCGGGCTATAATGCAAAGGAGCGACTCGGAAAGGAAAAGGAGGGGAGCAGTGTGCTGTGGACAATAGACTGCCGAGGATCACATTGCGAAGGCCGGAGGGAGACAGCAGAGTGGTGTGAAGGGCGACACTCGTTTTATGCATATCTGGACAAGCGAGTCTGTCTTGTCTGAGGGAGTAGCTCCGGTGGGGAGAGGATTGACAGTGTTCGGCTACCAAGACCGAGAGTTCTACCTCGCCCCCTGCTCATGCAATGAGTCTTCTCCACAGCGATCCTTATCAGATGAGGGGAGCTCCCTGTACCACTGCATCCTGCATGTCTTGGCTCCCATATTAGGCCGCGGAGGATCTTATCAGATTGATCTGATAGCCAAACGATCATCTCGCTTCTCCGTCCGGGCCAGAGCTTAGGCCGCCCGGAACTCAGTTTTGTCCAGTGGCGCCATTTTTCTACTGGAACTTGCCTATGCTCTTACAAAACTTTTGTCATTGCGAGATCCGATTCGGCCGGCTCTTTCAATCCGATTCCACGTCGGTGTTCGTATATTAGCTCATAGGCCCTCATTTTCAGGCAGCAATATTTAATTTACATGTGTAAGTGATGTGTAAGTGAATACACCTAGACCAAGTTGTCTGTGTCACAAATATCCCTTGCAACTACTCAGACACAATCTACTCGTTCCAGACGAGACGTCAAGGGCCACTGCAAGCTTGATGCAGCCATTGTTGTCATGCACGATTGGCATTTGAATTCGTAAACTCGATACAACCAAAACATTTGCTTTTTTTTTTCTCTCTCAAGCTTGATGCCATGTATGAATCATGGCTGCCAAGAAGCAGCTGGTTACGACTTGGTTTCTTGCTTTGCTTGGCCCTTGCCAGCTTGAAGCCGCGGGGACACGTACATACATCACCGTTCATTGTTGCTTACGGTCTTCGCACACTGGCACTTCGCACACCTATAAAGGTAGACTTGTTATTATAAGCCCCTGTAATTAATGACACTAGAGTTCGTCCACTATTTTCTGTGTGAGGCTATAGACCATGTGCAACTGTACTAAGGCACTTCAGAGCCTATAATTAATGCCTTATTCTACCATCAACTCGTGCATTTCACTTCGCCCCGGAGCCCCGAACAAAGGTTTAACCTGCGTAAGAAGCTTACCTGCGTGCTTTCTGGTTTATGTAAGCAACCTTTTATTGATTGGACCACAATATCACCTGACACAGTGTATGGCAGACTTCTAGAGAGCGTCATCTCAAGCACAGTGGCGAACGAGAGGCATCAAGGCAAAAAATGATTCTCCGTGGCATTCCCGGCTGCAAAAGTTCATTGAAGCAGCACAATGAGTTCGTCTGCTCTATTTGTGGCACTCTTGGGGATATAAATACGCACAGGATTTGCAATCGAATAAGCTGACATGCATAGTCTCGGTCATTATACATTACGCTGTAGCGACTAACGCAGGAGCTCAGCTTCTCGTTGGTCGCTCAACAGTAGTGCCAAGCCATTCGTCCTTAACTTCCGGCACTGTATCACCAGCAGGTCAGCTTTTGGAAACGAGTGGATCCGTCTACAGAGGTCAGTTTTTGGTCGAAGGCACAAATGAGTGATGCCATTCGATGGAGCTACCCGTGCCTCAAACCGACTGGCTTTTGCGCCCGTCTATGTTTATATTCAACATGCCTCGTAAGCTGCGCTACGCGATATCGAGCAATGTTAAAAGGTCATCCAGGTCCTACAGTACGCATCTCGCTGTCCATAGCTCCGTGGTTTTCACATTCAGGCTTACGAAATACTTTATTTACTTTCCTGTTTTTGTATCAACATGCAGTTCGTTTCGTGTTTACTCGTCCTGATGGCTGTGGCAAGTCCATCCCTCACCACGGCCAAAACCGTCGTCATTAGATCCACCGCCGATGCGCCATTCTTTGATCCAACCAACACCACCGCCGATGTAGGAGATATTCTCGAATTCCACTTCAAGGCCCATAACCGAAGCATAGTCATGGGCGACTACGACAGACCATGCGAGCCAGCTGCCACCGGAGGCTTTTACTCAGGCTTCTTCGTAGAAGACGACTCCAACATAGAAAATGTGAGTGCAATTTGCCTACCTGCTGCCTCCGACTTGAGATTGAAGAACAACGGTTGACATCCAACCCTCATCACCACTCTGCAGTCCACAGTCTTCCGCGTCACCGTGAACGACACGAACCCGATCGTATACTACTGCTCGCAGAACGGCGCCGACTTCGGGAACCACTGCAAAGACCATGGCATGGCGGGTGTAATCAATGAGCCGGACCTATCCAAGCTTCAAGATTATAAGGATGCAGCCGCCTTGGTAGATACCAGTGTCACACCTGATTCCGAGCCTTTTGGGGGTGTGTTTGCCGAGAACCCAGATGCTGCTGCTACGAGCGGGACTGCATCGGGGGCTTCGCCGAGTTCAACGTCGACAAGTGCCGCGGGTGAGGGCTTGCCTCGCATAAATATGATGTCTTCTTGGCTGTTGTTTACGGTCATGGCTCTTGTTTTGGCTTTTTGAACAGATGCCATTGTCACGATACTCCACACATACTTTGAACAAGCGGGGTCGAAAGCATTCGGTCGTCTGGAATTAGGATGGATATGCTTCACTTTCACTGGTGTTTGTACGATGAGCGGAGTTGTTATACTCAGATTATCATGTAAAATATAGAACTGCTATATATCCATCACAAATTGACATTAGATGTCTGTGGACTCAGATTCCGGCTTGGCGTTGTTCACTCACAAGAGCGTATATCGGCACATTGAAGCGACAGCACTCGTATAATCTATTCTGGTCTCAATACGGTCAGAGTATCGGCCAAAGAGAGAGGGGGGGGGCAAAGAGAGAGGCGGGGGGGGGGGCAAGGAAAAGAAAGGACATGGTGAGGGGAGCAAGCGTTAATCACATGGTCTCTTCAATCTTGGACAAGGAATACACTCAAAGCGGCTAATACGAAACCGGAACTCGTGCCAGCTGTAATGTAGGTGGTGTGGTGCATCAGCTGCCTTACGTAGCGTCGGCCGCAGCAGGTTCAAGTCGCTATTCATCGCACCATATGATGAGCGCACAAGTTCCAAGGTTAACGAATATCATCTCATGAAAGAGTCAATCTGTTGTGGTACATAGAAAACTTTCGGTGCTACCTGACTGAAATCTAGACGCAACCAATGAGATAACTGAGCCTTCTCAAAAATAGGATATCCAGGCACTTTGAGATGAACTGGTGCCCACCCTGGATTTTCCACGCGTTCAAACCCCACTTCCATAAGCGTTTAAATGACGAATAAAAGTTACAATTCAACCGGGCGACGACAAATAAATACACCAACAGCATGAGATCAATGGAGAAAATCAGTGATGGCTGAACCTCCCTCGCTCTTGGATCATCTTAGGGTCCTTCAACCACATTATTATTAAAGGAATCCAGAAATTCTAGGCAATGGAGATGAAAGCATGTCTTCAAGTGCTTCCGCGGCTTTTCTCGCGGACTTCGAAGCTCTTGAAGGCCTAGAGTTCCGACTGGACCCGGACGTGCTGGAACCGGTATTGCTATTTGTGGTTGCCCTTGTTACGGGTGTTCGTGTTTCAGGTAGTGGTTGCGATTCCCGCCGCCGCCTTGTTCGAGGTGTCTTTGAAGGAGGAGGGGGCGGTGTCGTAGTCTGTGGCGGAAGAGATGGTGGTGTTGTTGTTGTCTGTGGCGGAGATGGTCGTGTCGGTGTTGTTGGTGGTCGTGTACCTGCTCGAGTTAAAAGGCTTGGCTGACGCAGTCGGAACAAGAACAACTAACCACACGCGGGCCCGCTGGCAGCCTCAGCTGGTGGAGGGTTCGGCTGCGACCCAGGAATCGGATTCTGTGACGGGTCGACTTGAGGCTCCACGTCATCAAGCGTTCCAGTAGCTGGGTCGTAGACAAAGCCGTGTATAATGATTTTCCTTTCTGGCTTCGAGGCATCATTTGCGCGGATCGCCGGGTGGTTTTGCACAAACCACCAGTCTGCGCGGACGGCAGCGTACGGACACGCAAATTCGTGGAATGGCATGTCCACGATCGAGGAGGCACCCGGGCATACGATATGATCGGGATACAACTGTTGAATGACCGGCTTGCCGGTCGAGTTCAGGAGCTTCATGCCGCAATCTTTGTGCTTGATGATGAACACCTCTTCCACGCCCAAGAAATGCGTAGAAATGATGATGTCACGAAGAGCAGCCTTCGCACTGCCCCCAGCATTGCGAATGACATGGGCGTCACCAAGATTGATCCCGAAGGCTTTCGCAGGATCGATGCGGGCGTCCATGCACGTAACTGGAAATGGAAAGATTCAAGATTAGCTATTGGTCAAGAAGACTGAGAGGTAGAGGATGAAATGGCTGGTAGAAGCGCACCGATGAGATACTTTTTCGAGGGGGCCAGCGGGAGCTGCCTTTGCGCCGCTGGAAGCGTGGCAGCATATGCTTGATTGGCTGCCAGCATGGCCCGGCGGTTCGCGGTGTTAACTCTGTTTGACATGATGGACAGAGGGCAGTCGTCGAGTTCTTCAAGAATTGTGATTTATTATTGGTGCGATAAGGAGTGGGAGCCTACTGAAAATATTGTTCCATAAACAGGCAGTGTCTCAGTGTAAATAGTCCGAATGACCAGCAGTGCTGAGTTGAGAAGCGCCCCTTGCCTTTGTCCAACGCTCATAGGAATGAATGCAAACGGCCAGCTTCCTAAAGAGCGACGATTTATACGAGCCGTACCGGGTCTTTAGGTCTGAAATACAATGTGGACTCATGTACATTACACGCTTTCGGGTCCATTTTGACGTTTGCGTACAATGTACAATTTGAACTTGCTCAGCCCGCCTACAGCGGCTCATCATTTTCAAGCCTGCGGTAGGAACTTGGTCAGTCACATGACTTTCTCGAAAATTGCATGTTGGATTTTATCACGGGGAAGGTATGTGATGTATGTAAGATCAAGAGTAATAGTCTTGCCTGACATTATAGAGAAAAGGTTATGGTCATCTGCCAAGGCTACATGGCGGTGCAAGCAACGGCCACTTCGGTTCATACTCTTCGGGTGGCGTAATTTCAATTCCCGTTCTTTAAAGCGGTTTCATAAAAGAAATGGAACTAACAAACCTTGCAAATATGGATGTCTTGCATTCTGAAGCAAGAGATGCAGCAGGAGGCACTGTGTTGTTGTTGCGCTTTGTATGCAGATGAGAAGCGCTGACGATAGAAAACGCTTTTTCTACATTTCTTTTTGGTAAAATTCAGCCAGAATTGGCCAAGTTCAGGAGACGCAGCTTCACCGTTGCTTGCGACAGTACATAGAAAAGCTCGAGTGGCATCAGCATCTGATGACCCCGGAACGGGAACGAACGCCACGTCAATACTCCACGTTTCAAATACACTTTGTAAGAGTGATCTTACGGTAAGGAGAGCGCTGTAGAGTTCAGATATTGTCTGTCAATGTAAAGTTTTTGTAGAATTGTGCCTGTTTATAGAGCGTATTCACAACGATTCATGCTCTCTGTATGAATACTTATCAACCTGAGGTCCCAAACAATGCCTCCGACCTAGATATGCTATCCGGGTCAAAGTATGGCGCCTCCCCAATACCAACGGTACGAATACCGACGCGTTCGCCAAGCGTCTTGTCATCGTCATAGTCATAAGTTGCGGTGTGGAACATGGAGCGGTTGTCCCTGCATCTGCCCGTCAGTATTCGCCCTCCAGATCAAGTCAGGGATGTAAGACTGAGATGAGAGTCGAGGAAGACACGAATAAAAGGAGGAGAAGAGTAAATAAACATATATGGGGGCCGGATCACGCGAGTAGCATGTGTAGGACAGTTGAGAAGTTCAGAGGGATGTCAGGCTCACCAGATCGCTGTTCAAAGTTAGTGCTTCATAAAACAATATACAATTCATACAATATGCACTGACCTATATCATTCTCATTCCTCCATTTAAACCGGACTTGCAAGTCGTGATTTTCAATAATCATTTGTCCCAATTTCTTTAACAGTTCATCAGACTCTTGTTTCTCTAGCTCATTGATTCTAGAAGTAAAGGGCCCGAATGCAAATATGCTCTTCCAGCCCGTTACCGGATTAGTGCGAACAAGAGGGTGAACTGCGCTAAGGCTAACGCCTTTATTTGCAGGGTTTCCCCTAGGTTTATCATAAATACTGCAAAGGTCGGGATACTCAGTTGCATACTTATGAAACCCGTCTCCAATACACAACGCAGTTAGTCCCTCAAAGAATTTCTGGTACGGCTTAGAGAACCTATCATATAATTCATAGCCAGATGCCCAAAGTGTATCGCCGCCGGTTTTGGGCAGTTGTGTAAGCCGAAGACATGTGTAGTCTGGGGGAACTGGCTCGTACTGAGAATCAGAATGCCACTGCGAGAGGTAATCAGAACGGCGTTTGGTAGGCGGCGGTGTGAGTTTAACGATTGTTTTGCGTATAATTGAATTAACGGGGTTGATTTCAAGGTCCCCAACACCAAATTCGGAAGTATTTAGCACAGGATGAATATGGAGAGTGGAATCCGCAGGCTTGCCGGTAAGCTGCCCCAAACGATGAACAAGTTCTTTTTGGAATTTGTCGGTAAGGTTATCTTGGGCACGAAAGAACACAACTCCGCGCGTTGAAACTGTGGTAATGTATTAAGCTCTGATCTCACAACACTTTTTTTCTTGTTTGGAAAAACAAACTTTCAATAGCAAGATCTCGAATTATCTCATCAGAATTGGTGGCATGTAAAACGTCATTTACAATGTTACATGCAAACTCACGTCCTGCGACAGGCGTGGTGTCCTCGACAAAAAACTTGGCGAGGGTGCCCGAGGACTTGAGCGGTTTTGGGAATGGATTTTGCCTTCCTAAGGGTAAGGGATACGAGAGAGAATTCGTGTTCGATATACTGGCCATAGCTATGATTTACTTGATACTTAGGGGACCTTTGTGTTCGCCTCCAGGATTCAGAGAGCTAGAAGCGAATTCTCTTTAAATACATTCCATTCGCAAATAATTTACTCCGCGTGCTTCAGATTGTCCGAACGAAACGTGCAAGCATATGGCTTTGGAAGAAAAAAAATAAGGTCACTTACGGAGTCTTGTTCCAGTTTTAACCGTCAATTAGAAATTTAGCAATGGCCATAATTCCTCTGACCCCAGTGTTTCATGCCGAGCGAAGTCACTTCTTTGCTAGGTTATGTTTATTGCGAGTTTTAATCATACGAGGGGCGGAACAGACGGAAGGATAGCCAGTGTGGGCTGAGATCGTGTGTGAAGGTTTTGTGCACGGATCCCACGAGCTTGTAAAGAGTTGCATCACTATCTGACTTGACTTTTTCCTGGCCATAGCGCAAAGAACCTTACTTCGGCATTGCTAGTATGTATCTGGCAGACCCGAAAACATATGCAGTGGTACCGCAATGAGAGGGACAAGTGCCGCGCATAAGCTGATACACTCGACTTGAGACGGAATCCCGCGTGTTTGTGCGTGCAACGCGCATCAGTTTACTTAGGGCCTAGTAGATTGGCACGAAATCCTGCAACAAGTTTGAGATGTCGTCCACCGTGATTACGTATGAGTCAGTGTAAGTAAGACTTCGAGCAGCAGACGTTCTTCCGTAGCCCGAGATTAGAAACAACCATCCCATCGAAGCCTAGAAGCCGTCTCAACCTAGATGGACATCCCAAATAATTGTTGAGATTTATCAAAGAATGCAGGACGGCTCTCGAGTCGCTGTGTCCGTTCCGTGCCCGGGATGAGATTTCTTCCAAGGAACTACAAAGCTGTGTAACTTGCGCGTATATTCAGTAGCAAGAAAAGAGCGGGGCCTCGGACGTGCGTCGAGGCTGCACGAAGCCACCAATCAGAGAAGAACCCCTTTACAACAACTGCAGTGAGTCTATCTACCTAGGTGTCCTGGAAAGTGAACGTATCGCTGGACAAAGGAGCAGAAATAGTGTTGCCTTTGGGGGGTAAAGAACTTGAAAGCAAGCAAGACATGGAAATTCACCATGACGTAGTTTACAAACATCACATCTGGTCATCGTCAGTTTATTGCAGGTCTGCGGTCTTGAAAAGATTAGACCCACAGGGAGAAAGCTCCTCCAAAACCAAACGTCCACTGGGCTTGAGCAGACTATGCACATTGCGAAGCGTCGTGTTCAGAAAGGGAGTAGCATGGAGAACCTGCAAGTCAAGAAGAAGCTTTATCGCTTCAGCCTACCCACCCCTCACTGTGGCAGGGAAGACTGGGTCTGGCAAATATGCGATTGTTTGTATTTGAAGTGGGCTTGGTTGTGGTTCTGAGGGCAGAAGGGCCACAGGGCACCCTATTTAAAGACGTAGTCTAACCCCTTATTCACTAACCCCCTATTCACTATCACAAGTGCCGGGCTTAAAGAGAAGATAGTAATATCCTCGTTGCTTTATTTTCCTAATCGTTTCCCCCTTGTCGTTTGTGATCTTTAAGACTAGATTAATAAAAATATCCTGCTTATTACTAAACTTACTAGCCTTACTATAACTTTTCAAGCAATCAATAAAATTTCCATTATTATCCTTACTTTAACTATTTAAAAGTAGTAGCAGTAAAGTTAATAATATTTATTTAGTATTACTAGCCCTACTATAACTTTTCAGGCGTAGCAGCGGCATATAAGCAGGTAGGCATCTTCTTGAATATCGCTAATCGCTGGTTAAAACGTTATTATAGCTACTAATTATAGCAGGGAAGACTGGGTCTAGCAAATATACAATTGTTTGTATTCGAAGTGGGCTTGGTTGTGGTTCTGAGGGCAGAAGGGCCCCAGGGCACCCTATTTAAAGACGTAATCTGACCCCTTATTCCCTAACCCCCTATTCACTACCACACTCACCATAAGACAAGCAGACCCGTCAGATTAAAGCTTTCTGTAGAGCGTGTGTATTCAGCTTACAGACAGACTAAGCTATCCAGAAGGACATGGGACATGAGATGTAATCTCACTCTCTTGAGTAATACTGTACAGACAAAGATCACATCTCATGAGTGAGAGGGTGAGACAGTAGTCTTTGAGTCTCAGAAACCAGCACAGATGGTGCCAATGCGTTCATAGTCCCCAGCGATATCGAAGACTCCATCCGCGGGCCCTGTCCCGGCCTCGACACCCTCCCAAATCACGGTTTCGTCCCATACAACGGGCGTAACATCTCCGCCAGTGCTGCCATCGAAGCGCAGATGACCGCCTTCAATTTCGACGAGCCAAGCGCGGAAGACTCTATCGCAGGCGCGTTGTCAGTCTCCACGACGGGTCACAGCGACACGTTCAACCTGGACGACCTCTCCCGCCCTGGCGCGGACCGCGACGGCGACCTGAGCCGCAACGACAGGTATTTCGGCGACGACATCTCGTTCAACCAGACCATCTGGGACAGCGTCATGCAGCACTGGCCCGATGCGAGGGTGACATTCTCGCAGGCGGCTGAGGCCCGCGCCGCGAGGCTCAGGGACGCCGCGGCTGAGAACCCCCAGTTCACGCAGCCCGAGGCGGCAGTGACGGGAGCTTCACACAGCTCGCAGGCGTGCTGTGTGCGTTTGGCGGGAGTGCGGTCGACAGCGAGGCGAGGAGGGACTGGATCAATGCTAGTTTTGCGGAGGAGAGGCTGCCTTATGAGTTGGGGTGGACCAAGTCGGCGGGGGTACTTAATGCGGCGGATTTTGCGGGCGTCATCGCTGGACTGAGGGCAGCGACGTCCGCTTGAGTTGATGGTATAGATCTTGCATACTCATAGAAGGATGACTAAGGTGTAAGGTGATGGAGATGGCGCAACAGGAATCATCCACATTTCAAGACTTTGTAGGCCGTTCAATTACCGAGGAGCCTAGAATCAATTTCGAACAATGCTCCTAGCTGCCAACACTCAGTTGGTAGACGATCTCAAGTCGCTTACGCACAACGGCCGGCGGCCAATTGTCAACCCGATTAGTGAATACTATACGACTATTAATATTGCAGCTCTGCGGCGCATTACACACTTTTGTACTTATATCCCTTAGTGTCAGTCTTTCTCGTTCCACAATTTGGGCACGTTCACCTTCTCTCGCATGGCTTCAAAGGGCTCAATTCTCGTGACGGGCGCCAATGGCGGGCTCGGCAGCGCGATTGTATCGCACATTTGTTTCTTCGCCAGAGCTCGAAACCTACCATGGCATCTACACAGCCCGCAACGCCGCCAACGCTTCCTCACTTGATACTTCTCTGCAGGCACACAGCTTCAGTTCTGCCGCAGTACCTCATCATTCCTTCGAAAAGATCTCCCTCGACCTGTCGCGGCTCAGCAGCGTACGAGAAGTGGCTTCCGATATCAGCTCGCGTGTTGCTTCTGGCCAGATCCCCCCACTCCGCGCGATCATCCTCAATGCCGGCGTTGAGGAATCTGCGACGCAGACCTGGACTGAGGACGGGCTTGATTTGACTTTTGCCACCAACTATGTCGGTCATTGGCTGCTGACTTTGATGCTCCTCGGGAGCATGGACCGAGACAAGGGAAGGATCCTCTGGGTAACCAGTTGGTCCCACAAGTGAGTCACAATATGCAACACACTGATTAGGTTGTGATAAGCTAGCTGACTAGGGCACTCTAATAGTCCACAAGATATGCATAATTCACTGAATGGGGCTTTTGCGGAAGAGAAATTTAAACATTTCATCTCTGATGACCTCGAGCCCATCGCCAAGGGCTCTTGGAGTGCAACCAAAGATGACCCAACATCTTGGGCTGCCGGGTATAGACGCTATGGCGCATCCAAGCTGTGCGGTGTTATGATGATGTGAGCGTTCCTGCAATACTGGATCTGCCCATTCGCTTTTTTTCAAACAACTGATCATATAACAACAATTACAGTCACGAGCTTCAGGGTCGTCTGGACCAAGACCCGGTCCTGAGAAACATCTCGGTCCTTGCTCTAGACCCCGGCGCGATGCCTACTGGAATCATTCGCAACAGCGATTCTTGGGTGTTGCGGTGGGTCATTTTCCCGGTAGTTATCCCCGCGATCACAGTGTTCTGGGCTTGGCTCTGGCCGAACGGCGCCTTTCGCACCCTTGCGAAATCCGCCCGTGACGTTCTAGCCGCTGTGCTTGCTTGCGGCCCTCCGCCACTCAGTGAACACCCAAAGGGTCTTTTTCTCAATGGTTCAGAACAGGGTGAGTACAACACTGAGGCTCTGGACCCTGTCAAGAGAGATGTAGTATGGAGAGGCAGTGTGCGATTCGCGAAACTGGTGGAGGGAGAGACTTTGCTTCAGGAATGGAAGTAGGACTGGTTTTACGACACCAACTATGGTGGCCCGCCCTTTGAATGCCATGGCATCGCCCGTTGCAAACATCCTTTCTTTGCGCACCAACATGGTCTCACCACGGCTACCTTGATGAACCGGCTTGCTCAGTGCTTGCATGATTTGTTCGTTCCGAACAGGCTGCTCTCCACATTGATATCTTTAATCAATAGATTGTCAGGCCAGAGTAAAGCACATTCTTTCAAAAATTAATGTGCTGGATAATTAGGCCTAACTATCTAGGCACTACTCATGTCTTCTCCATCTTGTGTGCTGGTCAATAGGCAACAGAAGCAAACAGTGCGAACCCTCAACATACTATAATTGTTGACTTTTGTCGCAGAATGCTATTGGGTAGCACTTTTGCCTATCAGAAGTTTACAGCTGATAAAGTTGACGGAGCGGGGTAGCTGAGTATTGATGTGATACATAGAGAAGTGTATATGTGCAATTAACTAATTGCTGTTCAGCTTGGAGGGACATCAAATGCCACACCAGGAGAACAATTCTCGTCACGGATAGTGTAATAAGTATGGACATGCAAATAATGAGCCAGTTAGCCCCTGAGCCCTGGTAAGCGATGGCTTTGCTAAACCAGACTTTGCAAGTCGAAGGTCCATCTGTTGCCTCACTCTCTCCAATTATACTGGAACATTCTTCCTTCTTGCTGTCATTCATTGAGTCCATTGTTTCTGGTCATAGTTCTTCTGCAGTAACCCATATATTGGACACTCCTGAGACAAATCCATCACGGAGGTTGTTCATACTGGCTCATGGTCGTTCCCATGAGATTACATGTGGGTTGAGAACCTTTGGGTTCGAAGGTTGAACTTCACGGGCAGGAACTTTACCTGCCGAAGTTACTGGGAGGGTCGACGAATGGCTGGGGGACAGCTGTTGAACAAATTGTCGTTTTGAAGACTTTGTCTACCCATGGACGGCATTGGAGTCAGAACAACGTTGGGGACTGAGTGGGTTGGTTGAAAATTGTGCTAAAACCAACATGAGATAACAGGAAATCTACGTTGGCTCACTTGATGGGTCCGACTGCCAGTCCTGCTTCATGATGGTCACTTCATTCTTGGATCGAACATTCTCTGTGTAGGAAGGAGGTTTGACTCGGGCCGATGGTGGCTGAAGAGGACCCTTGACCAGTGGCGGTTTGGGAACCAGCTCTAGTGTGTCGGGCATTGTCAATCGGTTTTCTGTTTCCTGGTTGGTTTGTTCTGGACAAGCTGCATCAGCATCAAATCAGCATTGGAACACATACTCAGCAGCTGGCATAACGAGTGGCATGTGCCAAGCTGCAGGAAGGATAAACTTTACGTCTAGACTACCAGGTTCAGAGATTGGATGACAAGTGCGTGGGCGTCAAACTATGTGTAACACGAGAGGTGGAACCTGGCAGGCCTTGGAAAGAGGCTTGCTCGGTAATGCGCCGGCCCAAGGTGTAGTGGATGTCTCACGTACATCTATCTTTCTCCGCCATGCATGCGCGAATCAACAACCAATTCTCCCTCGCGACTTCGTAAGCTTTTAGGGTTGCAGTAACACATGCAAATAATTGGTCGAGACAATCTGAGGCAGACCTGTGGGAAGCTGCGTGAAGCTGGATGAAGCAGTTGCGCATGCGGTTACCTGAATGAGAAAAGACGAGGAAGACCAGGAGGGCACGCAGGGCACGCAGAGCACGCAAGGGTTCCCACTTTTCAGGACCCAGGGCGAGATTTCTACCGGACGGACAGGGGTCCCGATCTTATCGCTGCTTATCAGCCCCACAAATGACACACCACAGCCAATCACGGCAGGGTGGTTCCCCACTTTCCCGCCTCATTCCCCGCCATTCAGAAGTCGAAAAGCGGGCAGGTGCTCTTCTCAATTTTTTTTCCCTCCTGGCGACGCTTGACGCTTGCCTTGAAGCGAAGAAGCGATGGGACAGAGGGGAGACATTTGGGCCAGGGAAAAGTGGGAAGGTGCAAGCGCAAACGAGAGCAGGAGCAACCAGGTGCAACAAGGTGCAAGGTAGGTGCAAGGTGCAATGTACGACTGGGACTGGGCCTATGTACATGTACTGGATGTAGTCTAGTCTAGACTGGCAGAGCAGAGCAGACTGCAGACTGGCGGGACCTGGAACTGGAACTGACTGAGCAGCATAATGCACTATGACTCTTTCTCATTTGATCGATCTACCTAGTCTGATTGATAACTGACTGTGACTCTGCTAGAGGGCTTTCCCCGTAACAATGCTTCCTTCTTAAACCAACCCAACCCCGCACCCTCCGCTACCGGCCCTCGACCTCGTCCTCGATTGTCTCGCTCATGACCCAACTTGGTTCACCTACAGACGCAAGTCACAACCACCATCGCGACACCGGCGCCACCTCCCCCCCAGATCCGTTCGCCAGCCTGCTGGACTGTTGGAAGGTCCCGCCTCTGCGCTGTGCTGCGCTGCGGTAGCGGACTCTGACGGCACGGCCAAGGCCAATTGAACAGACGTTCATCCTGCCCGAGGTCGCCTCTGCCCGACCTGCCTCCCCTCTTGCCTGCCTCCCACCGCCGCCACCGTGCAGTGAGTGCATGGACGGCTCTGCAGCCACCGGAGCCGGCGCCGCAAGCTCGGCAGCCCAGGCCCAAGCTCTCCACGGCCATGGACAACATGGCAACGGGGGTCCCGCCTCCTCCATGAGCCCGACCAGCCCCGTCTCTGCCCGGAGCCATGGCCTGTCCCACGCCTCTGGCATCGGTGCCAATGGCGCTGCAAAGCGCAAGAGGAGCTCCGTGGGCATGATTGGCAGCAGCCCCGGAAGTGCTGACGGAGACGATGACCTCGCTGGAGACCACCACGAGAAGAAGAGACAGCCCGGCGTCAAGAGGGCTTGCAATGAATGTCGCCAACAGAAGGTGAGTCTGAGCCTGAGTCACAGTACTCATTCTTCTTGCCCATATACACAAGTCTATCAATCAATCAATTACCACGATCCCCAATCCTTTCCGCCCTCCTCCTCCTCATCAGCAGTGCACCCAACGTCAATCCCAACCATAGCGGCCCAAACGTAGCATAGTGTACCACAAATTGCTGACCAACGGCTTTGATATTTCTCGGCAATAGCTGCGATGCGATGTTGTCCAAGACCCCTTCACGAGCTGCTCCAGATGCGTCCGTCTGAAACTCGACTGCAAGATCGAATCCAACTTCAAGCGTGTCGGCAAGCGCAGTAAGCATGCCGAGATGGAAAAGGAAATAGAGAAACTGCGTCGCAATGTCGCGAAGGCAAGGTCGCAAGGTTATATTCCAGACGAGGACGACCCCATGGAGTCCCAGCTTCAGTCTCCCGTTGTCGCCAGCGTCTATTCCCACACCAGGCATCCTTCACTCATGGGTTCGGACGAGGCTGTCTCGTCTCTGTTGCATCTCAAGCGCGGCGGCTCCTACAATGTGCCTCGCATATGTCGGGAACTCGACGAAGTCCGCTTGACTGAGGAAGCCGAGTCTCAGCTGTTCACCGAATACTTCGCCCACTACGACCAATTTCTCCCCTTCCTCAACCCAGCTCAGTCTCCCGACCAGTACTACGCCCAGCACCCATTGCTTTACTGGGTCATAATCTCAGTTGCCGCGCGTCGATACCACCCCGACCCGTCTCTACTCGGGAATCTCTCCGGTCCTTTGACGAATCTGCTATGGCAGACGATTGGGGATGTCCCTAGTAGCCACCATGTCGTCAAAGCGCTATGTCTTTTGTGCACATGGCCGCTTCCAACGAGCACCTCCTCCTCAGACCCAACGCAGATTCTGTGCGGTGTCATGATGAAGGTTGCCACACTCATTGGCCTCCACAGACCTCATCACATCAACGACTTTTCGCGTGTCATCATAGACCTGGACAACGAACAGCTGCATGACCGTGTGATGACATGGGCTGTCACCAACATCGTTGCTCAGTCCATTGGAACGGGCTACGGTCAACCTGCATCGAGTCTGTATGACTGGACGCTAGCCATCAGGCCTGGTGAATCTGGCCCATTTCAACTGTCCCCAGACCTAGAGGCTCGTTTACAAATCGAACGCTTCTGTGACAAGGTCTCCAAGGAGATGTACAGCAATGCCAGTGATCCGCGAGGCGTCGCTGGTGACGAGCACAGAGCCATGTTGATGCGTGTGTACCGTCGCGAATTCGGGGAGCTGCAGGCCTCGATTCTATCTCGCAACTTGTCGCGGGTTGTGAACCTTCACCTTAGAGCCGCCGGTCTCCACCTTCGATTGGCTGGCTTCTTCGATTCTCACAACACACCTGGGTACATGGATGATCTCATGGGACTCTGGAGGGCAAGCTGCAGTTTCCTGGACTATGCCCTGGACAGCAAACCAACCTCCCCACTTGATCATCATGGCGAAAGCGAGCTGCTACGGTACGCCACGAATTACATTCAGCAGATGCTGGTCGCCGCGGGATTCGCCCTGCTGAAGCTACTCCGGTCCTTTTTTGCCAAATCTGTAGACTATGAACGCGGCCGCATACTGTTCCACCGAACAATCACAGCCATTCGATCAACCAGCGTTGTTCAGAACGACCTCAACTGGCGGCTGGCCGAGCTCATGGTCCAGATCTGGAACGGAGCCCGCGCTGAGAAGCGAAGCAAATCCTACCACGATGAGGACTCGGTGCATGAGATTGACGACAGTTTGCAGCTGCAAGTGCGCTGCAGGCACAGCATGAGTCTTGTCTATGACTCAATATGGCACTGGAGGGAAGAATACCAAGCTCGTGGCCGAGGAAATCTCGACTGTAAGTAAAGTCCCCTCGCCTGCCCTCCGGCATCCGTTGCTGACGGAGAGCACGCAGCGCTGAAACATCCCACGAATCCAGATTCCGCAGAGCACTCTTCGGCATCATCCACGCATCTAGACCCCCCCTTGAGTACAGCACATGGGCTGCCAGCGAGTCTCCTGGCGGCTTCCAACGGGGCTCTGACACCTAGTGGTGGCTCTGGCTTCGGTAGTGGCCAGGGCGGCCTCGGTGGTTCGAATTATGAGCCGACGAACTACGACTTCTTCGATCCGCAGCACTGGATGCTAGACGGACTCATGGACTTCAACTATTCCTTCGTTCCGGAAATGGGCGCTTAGGCAGCACGCCAGGACCCAGTACCCGGAACTAGTGGATTCCAAGGGTTTCCTATTCAGACCTCGAGACAACACGAGAATGTCGATGGGTCTCATGCGACTTATCTTCAGCAGAGTCGACTAAGATCTTCTGGCGCGATTGACACACTACTCCAGGCTACGATCTCTGGGGATTCTTCCACAGTCCAACATGAAGGCACGGCCAATACTGTTGGAAATTTTGATCAATAGAGAGCGACTTCTTGCCCAAATTCCCATCTACAATTCCCAAGTTCAAAATGGATACCTCAAAGTTGAAGGGACCTACCACCGAGGATCCCGTCCTGAGGACCATGTCGATGCTGATGAGACAGGGGTTCCCGAGGGGGTGCTAAGTTGGACCGAGGATGACACCAGAGTTACACGTCGTGGAAGACTGGTCTGAACAGCACTATCGACTATTTTTGTGACAAGATCATAGCCATCATGGTAACGAACAGGACTTTTACAGGAGACCGGAAAGGCGGCAGAATAGAAAAGGGCAACAGGCTTCTTACGGTATGCAAACCCCCTCTGATACATTTACCTGTAACTAGATGCACTCGACAATGCGGGACGAGATTGGGACGAAAGTGCATACCATCAGGGGGCGGGCGGCATTGTTTCGGCTCTCACTTGTCTTCCCTGCGTTGCTTATTCGTTACGTTCTTGCTGTCTACAATCGGAACCTCATTGCTTGCCCACCAGTTGACCATACCTCCCTGTCCTTGTGGAACGATGGCACATGACAGGAGGCGGAAGGGGTCTGGAAAGATTGCTCAGAGGATTTCTTGCGTTTGTGTGTATAATGTACATGTGGAGAAAATACCCCCTTTTGGTACCTTTGTTTTTAGCAAGAGCTAGGCTGCTGCAATTCAGTGGTTGAGCTAGCTAGCTTGTCGATGTTTACTTTGCAAATAAAAAAATCGTCATGTCATCACCGCTGGCCCAGTCTCCCACGCGTTGATGTCATACATGGGACGGTCCTGGCCCGCCCACTCCCAGAATAGCGAGAGAAACGTGCTATCGAGGGAGGATCTGTCTTTGTTACCGCAGAGTACCACGCTGCAGCAGCAGCGGCCCACCAGCACCACCTAGCCATGTGGTAACGTGAAACCGGCCTGCCTGTCTCCCCGTCTGCGTGTCCCTCAATCGCGTGGCCGGGCTGCGGCGCAGGCGCAGACTTTGGCGCAGACACGGCGGCTATAGGGCCCTAAGCAGTCGCAGGATCCGGATAATGGAACCAAAGGTACATGCGATGTAGGGATTAGAAACGTGGAATTGGGGGGGGGGGGTGTTACCGTCTGCGGCGCGGATGCATCTCCTCCCCCATTCCCCATCCATCGGGCCAAATTTGCACATGTATCACCGCGGCGCAGCTAGCTGAGCACAGCGGCGGCCGCCTTCCAGCCACACCCGCGAATCTCGCAGCACCATTCACCTTTCCCTGCCCGATCGTCATTTGTAACCGGTTTGTTGCGGTGAAAGGGGGAGGAGGCAAAAGGATGGGCGGGCCACCCAGCCTCAGGTCTCCTTGGTGGGTTTGGCTGTGCTCGAGAGGAGGCCGAGCCAGACAGCCTGCCCTGGCTTGTCACCAGGCGCGCCGAGCCCCGTGTCTTGCCTAGCCCGGGGGCCCCACAAGGCGGGAGGAAAGTTGCCTTGAAAGTGCTCTACGACTGTTCTCTATTCCCGGGCAAAATCCCCCTTCGATTGACGTTGTACCAGACGTAGAAAAAATGGGCATACCCGGCGTTCCACCAGCCCTTCCCCAGGCACGGGGTGGGCGCTAAAAGCCGGCCCACATGGTGAACTCGGCCGATTAGCAACCCACGCGACGAGTCCCCGGACGCAAGCACGTCCACACTACAGCAGCCAAATTGTGTAATGCTTTCTGCGGAAATTAAAACGTTGGATATTGGCTATACGCCAGGAACAAGAAGGGTATCACTCAACCGGCCTGTTCGCTACAACCCAATACCAGCCCTCCTCGTCCGAAGTCCCAGAGGCAGACCCCCCCCCCCCCCAGAGGACGCCCGCCATTGTTCTCCCTTGGTCCCCACGCCTTGGTCTGGGTTTCGAATCCTGCCGTCGAGCCCCCTCGTAAAATAGCAAAAGCCGTTGCGTTATGTCCGCCGCTAGCCAAGGCAGGATCCGGCCCCCGGCCGCCTTGCCTTGCGGCACGTCTAGTCCTTTAATCGGGATTGGGGAGCCAAAGGGACGGGCCAATCCGGTCCCACAAGAACGGGCGGGCGACGGACACGTTCGCGTGTGTGTGTTGACTACACCTGCGAGTCTCGTTAGCGATATTGAACTATTGGGGATGAGCACCCAATACGCAGTCTTGCAGCAAGAATCGAGGGCTTCGACCTGAGCAGGCACACACACACCCACAAACACGCCCCTTGCTCGCCCTCACACTCTCAGTCACGCCCCTTGCCCCGGCATCTGCGGAGGTGCGCCTCGTAGGGCGCGATTCTCAGCCTTGTGTTCTCCTTCCAGAAGGTGGCATTTCCATCTCAACCGCGTTCCTGGTCCGTTCTGACGTCCGGGCCATCCGGCCCAGGCGGTTGACTGGCTGTGAGCAAAGCGGCCAAGGTGGCTATCCTCCCGGCCCGGCCGTGTGTCCCAGTGCAGCTCCGCAGTAGTGTGCCAGTATTTTTTGGAAGGGGAGAAGGGCTGAAGAAGGATGGGATGAAGAAGGAATCCCCCGCGGGCTGGGGTTCGAGCTGCATGAGCTGCATGCCGTTGAGGCCGGACACGTGCTGGAGAAGTGATGTGTCGCGCGCATTCTCCTGACAAATGCAGTCAAGGTCGCGATGTGTTGCCCTCGTTTGATTCCCTTGAACTAAGACACCCAGGTAGGAGGTTGAAGAGTTTAGTCATCGTCCCCTTTTGGAAGGATTATGAGCACAGAACACCCACGCCAGAACAAGCCATCAGCCTCAGCCTGGCGCCTTGTATCGGTATTGTTTTCCTCCGACCCCGAGGGAAGACGGTGAGTTCCATACCACGCCCGGTGTGTATGTCGCAAATTGATTTCTCCGAAGGCCTTGGGCTACCAGCGGAGTCGCTGGAGGATGAGCTTATGAACACAGAGAGGTCTAAAGCACTCCTGCAAGCCACTCGGTGACCTTATAATGAGAGATCCACAGCGGTGTGAAGCTCACGACGAAGACGAGAACCACCATCCCCTCCCGATGGGTCTAGAGACGCAGCTGCAGTGGGTCTCCCGCTCCCAATTCCTCTTGTTGATCTGATAGGCATTCCTTCTGGAAGGAGTACGTGGCCACGGCCAATACTCGCGACTCAGTGTAATGACCCATCGAGTGACGCATTCAATGAGGTTCTGCGTGTATTAGCATCCCCATTTCGGAACTTGAGTCTCGTAGCAGCCGTCAACTTACGCAGCTCGATTACTCCAAATTCCCCTCCCTCAAAGTAATTTCTGTGGTCCTGGACATTTGCCCTGGCTTGTGACACTGTCTAGCTGAATACTCCAGTCCTCACGCACCTTAGAACCCGTAGATGATCACTTTTCAGCGATCAGCCGTTGCGATGATGCCGGACTCCACAGGCGGGGAGATAGACAGTGGGCTGCATATGCAGGTTGGTCCTTTTGTCTTTTTTCCTGCCCGCGCACCCACCACTGCTGCTGGTAAGTCCCGCCCCGTAGGGCGTAAATACGCCAACATGACCGACAGCCAGACTTTGATCGACAAAGTTGTCTGGTCCTACGGGTAGCCACCGTAAGCCCATTTGCTTGGTATTACAGACTCCGCGGGTCTTGTGGGGGTGCAGTCCATAGCTCGTGATATGTCAGATTGAATTCAGGTGCGTCTTCTCTAATACCAGTCAGACTAGTGATCGTGGAGTCCTTTGGCATCTCACTAATTCATTCTCTGCTTGCTGGCTTGCTGGCCGGGCGGTTTGCTTGCTTGCAGTAAAGCCCAACGCAGAGTACTTCGTGTTACACATTGCAAAGTGTCTCCCTCGCAAACAGACATAGTGCTCGCCGTGAAGAGTGAAGCTCATTCTGGGTTCTGACACTTTTCACGCTGAGTGAAGCACGGAAGTCTTCTTGTCAGCACTCAATCCTTAGGGCTGAGGATGACAGTGCGCATGTCAGCCTGACAGGTGCATGCCTGCATAATAAGAGAGCAATGATAAGACGAACGGGACAGCCTAAATTCTGCACAATGGTCTTCCCATGCAGAACACGTAACGTTGCTGCGGGTTTGTTTTCGCTGATGATCTGACTGCGATGCTAGTGTGTGGGTGTTGGGTATTCCCGAGAGCCGTTACGGAATTGAGCCATTCACGAACCCCGGCCCAAGGCGTAATTCAAAGCTCAGAACTACACCTTGCGGTAAAGTGAGCCTCTGCGGGCCGCGACCCGGATGCTCAGACACATACAGCCCACGTGCGGCCGGGCCAGGCCAGGCCAGGCCTGCATGGCGGTCGCCCTGAGGATTGGGCCAGCGCACAAAACGCGGCTCTTTCTGCATGAAAGCGGAGTGAAATAAGCGCTGGCAAGGTGTTCATTATCGACTGTGCCTCTTTGATCTGGATTCGTTGATAATCAATGTGTCTGTTGGCTTCTCCCTGCTCAACCAAAGCCCTGTGAGCTCGGCAGATGACATCTCCAGGGGCTGTTCTGAACAGTTTCAGGGGCATAGCCATGGCAAGAGCACCATTTTGGGCAGTTACCAACAGTCGATACGCCACAATCGAAATTTGCTATTGTTGGTAAAAGGGAGTGTGTCTGTTGGCGGGAGCCCTGTGCTTGTAAGGCACAGCGCTTCAGGCGATCCTCATAGCCAGAAAGCGGAGACTGGCGTGGGACCGGCCAAATTCCTGAGGCACAGCAAGCAAAGACTTGCCGGACTGGGAGAAGCGACACCATGAAGGGCCAGAAGGGTGTCGTCCACATTTTGTCCGTGATTACATTGGGTCCACCCCAGGCCGTCTTCGCAGGGAAAGGGTAG